TTATATATATATATATATATATATATATTATATTATATAACAAACGGCGGTTTCCGTTGCGTATTGTCCTTAGGAAAGTGATCAATATGAAGACGGCATAGCCGAGAGCCTTCCTCCATCGGTAACAATGATGCTACCATTCAGATAACCACCCGCGGCGCCCGCCATCCATAGTATAATTCCAGCGATATCTTCAGGAGCGCCGGACCTCGTGAGCGGAATAAATTCCTTCGGAAAGGAGCCCTCCGAGATACCTTTACCACCAATACCAGAGGCCTCATAGATGAAATTAGTCATCTCGGAGTGGTAAGGGCCTGGATAAATGCCGTTAACACGAATGTGATGTCCAAGTAGCGTAGTCGAGAGCATCTTGGTGAGCAATGTTGCCGCCGCCTTAGACCCGCCATACGCATAACCGGCAACGCTGACTTGGCGAATAAAGGCGGCATTGGAACTCATGATGATTATCCGGGGCCGAGGGGGCGAGAGAATCCCGCTTACTGGAGGTAAGTGTTTGGCATTTGCCGCGTCGAGCAAGGAGAGAAATGCAACGGAGGTATAAAAGGCTCCTGTGAAATTTGTGTCCGTGACCTGAGAAAATTCTTCGAGCGAAGGGGTCCAAAGAAACTCCTGGAGCTCCGCCACAGTAGCAGGGCTGCCATCTGATTTAGGGGGAGGAGCACCAGAGGGTCCCATGATCCCGCTGTTTACTACGAGAAGGTCGATATGAGTTGTCTGAGCCGCAACCTTCTCGACTGCAGCTTTCAACGATTCTTTCGATGTCACATCCCCCACGACGGGAATGATAGAACCCTTCAGGCCCAGTGAAGCTGTCTCTTGAAGTTTACTTTCTCTGCGACCGATAACAAACACCTTGGACGCACCATTAGCGTCGAGTGCTAGGGCCAAAGTTCTTCCGAGGCCTGTTATCTGTTCAGTGAGCGAAAGATCTAAATTTATAACTTGGCCGGGCGCTTGGCAAACCCATGAAAACCCAAAAGCGTTGACACTTACCACTCCCACCCCCTGTAATGACTGCCACCAGCCCGTTAACGGAGAAGAGATTGCGCGCTTCTAGGGACTCCATCTTAAGCAAACAGTAAGTCTAACTTGTTTTAGATTCTGATGAGATTCTCCCAAAAAGAATGGGATGTAATCTGGCCAAGCATTGAGCAATGACAAGGCGTATTTATAAGTTATACTAGCTTCACGACAGTTATACTACTTTCATACTTAACCCTCCACAGAAACATCACACACAGGTAAAGCTTGACGTTGGATTTGTCACGCGGCAAGTATCACGGCTTACAGATAGAGTAGTGGGTAAGCTCAAGTTATTCGGCTTGTTTAGAAATTCAACTTTCGCAAGGCGCTTCTTTCACTCGATTTACAATTCATGTCTATTTCACATAGGAATAAATGGAGTGTTTATTAATTACGTGGAGCAAACGCAGTTTGGACACTTTAGACACGTTATTAATAAACATAGGCAGGCCTCGCGGCTCTGTGGTAAGCTTGAATCTCCACGCCTAGGCTGCCCCACTGCATCGGGACCTTTATTAAGAGGCCCGAAAGTTGTCCCATTTCCATTTCTATTACTACTATGATATCCACAAGCTTTAGCGTAGATATTGAGTAGTCCCCAATGCTACTGCTCTAATGAGGCGAAATTTGCAACTGTTGTCCGATGGCGGCCGGGGGGCGCATCCCTCCTGCTCGGCCATTTAATAATCGTATAAAGCACGAAGTACAAGCTCTTACTAGGTCCATATTCCACATCTATAACTAAGTATATTAAGCCGTTGTACGTCGAAGAAATGCTCCTTCTGCAGCGCTCTACTTCGTTCTCTCCCAAAACAAAATGTCCAATCAGAAAGTAGTCCTCGTGCTTGGTGGTGCCGGAGCTCAGAACTCGGCAGTTGTGCGGGAGCTTGCGAAAAGCGGCAGCTTTTTGATCAAAGTCATGTCCCGCGATATAAAATCGGAAGAGTGTGTGGCCTTGTCTGCATTGCGTTTTGTTGAACTGCTTGAAGGGAATTGCTACGATGAAGCGGTTCTTGTTTCAGCATTTCGAGGGGTACACGCCTGCTTCGTCAATACTAATGGCTTCGCCATCGGCGAGAAGGCTGAACTTTACTGGGGCATCCGGATTTACGAAATTGCGTATTGGTCTGGAGTCGCCCATTTCGTGTATAGCTCATTGCCGTATGTGTCTAAGAGGTCCGGCTATGACCCGACGCATCGAGTCCCCTTCGTTGATGCTAAGGGAAAAGTCTGTGGTGAGTATAAAAGTGGCTACCAGAATCTTTAGGTGCCTGTTCTTATTAAATGCATAGAATATTTAAAAGGCCAGCCCACTGACAAGATGAAGTGGAGCATCCTGGAAACCGGACCATACCCCGAAGCTTTCCTCGCTGCTTGGGCGCCTACCAAGGATGCAGATGGAACGTACGTTTTTAGAATGCCAATCGGGTCCGAGGGTGCTGTTCCTTTTGTGGCTTTAGCGGATCTCGCCTGGTTTGCTCGGTATATTCTTGAGCACCCACTGGAGTTTGAGGGCGGTTTGCTTAGCATTGCTATTGCACACATAAGTGGCGACATGGTAGCATCGGCTTTTACAGCTGTCACTGGAGAGCCAGCACGCTTCGAGCCCTCAAGCCTGTCAGAAGTGGTTAAAACGTGGCCTGGGACTAAAATTGGCATGGCTGGGTCACCGGGGTTTGATGACCCAACGCTGATGACCATGGCAGGCCAGCTGGTACCCTGGTACACCATATGGCAGGAGAGCGGCGGTAACACAGGTATATGGACGAAAGACTACAACCGCCTGGACAGAATTCACTCCAACCGGATACGAAGCATCGAGCAGTGGATGCGGGCTAACGGTTATTCTACGCAGAAGCGTCCTCCCGTTCTTAAGACCGGAATTTTCGGGGATCCTATGTAGTGGGCAAATCGCTAGGGAATTTCTCGTTTTAAGTTGGTCAAAGTCTCCACAGAATGCTGCTGCATCAGCTTATTACAATTCCCGATAGCCATTGTGGTAGCGTATGTCGAGACTCGCATCCAGAAGCGACTAGATAGATAACATATGCTAGCCAAATCCATCCTTGCGGCGATTTGAAACGTTACCGCTGTCAATATAATCATGCTATGGATATAGACACAATTTCCACGCATCCATTTGAACGGGGCCACGTAGTGAATGACAACTATGCCTTACGATATTGAAGATTGCGTTTATGTGTATGCATAACGTGTATTGGCTAGATGTGAAGCTCTGAACTATTCCACTATCATCAGATACACTGCAATCTACAAATGCAATAGTCATCTGCATAGGACTTCAAAGTGTCATAGCACAAGAAATTACCCCACACTACATATCCAATTGAGCGAGCATTATAAATTCTCGAACTCGTTAGCACCATTACTTAAAGCCAATGTTGCTGGCGAACTTCACAATCCTCACGCAACTGTACTACGGACAGCTACGTTACAAATGTATCAGAACACAGCAAGGGGAAGCGGCCAAAATGGTAGCTTTATGATGATGATGAAAAGGTGCTGTCAGACCTCTCGGTCCTCCGTTATTAGCGGGTATAATGCCGCTTATAACGCAGAGCTCGTCACGAATGGCACGTCTCTGCTCTGGCTGCCTGAACAATCAACAGGATTGTGAAATAGACCGACCTCACCGTAGTTATATGCAAGGAAATGCGTAAAATGAAACTTGGTCTATTCAATCGAGAAATTGGAAGACAGCCGCCTCAATGAAGGAACTCTATGATAAAACGGAGAAATATAGAACATAAGGATATTCTCACTTTAATGGAAATTTTGCGGACGCAATTGTAAAACACACCCCCTCCCCTTGGACCTTCCCTCCATTTGCCTGCTTATTGCTAATATCAGCAGGGCCAATACCTCCACGGCGCGAGGCAGCTTCCCCCTCTTCAGCAATGGTGCAACCGAATGTCTGCAGAATGTGAATTCCAATCTTCCGATCCACACCCGTGCAACCCAGACCTGCATAGCGTGTTCCTGATGGATGTTTAGGATCGAACTGACTATCTTTCTTATGGCCCACCGATTTGATATCTGATTACATGACGTGGCACAAAACCCCCACAACCGGAATAATCAGCTGTATACACGGGGTCACAGCCATAGTCGGCGCAAGGATAAGAATAGAAGTGTCGGTGATATGTATCATGGGACTGCAGATCAACGCCTGCAAGATCGTTTGGCCGCCCATGGCATACCATGATAGCCAAGCTAATTAATGGCAGCGCTGTCCTGAGAAAACATTAATTCACTTGCAGCCGCAAGTTGCTCCACTTGCGGTTGACTGGTAGCTCTGTTAGCGACAATGAGCACGATCTGGACGAACGGAGCAAGTGATGAACTGATTGCCTATGAAGGATACTTCAACGTGTGTGTCCAGGGGGCTGAAAGTGAAAACAGCGCTATATTCCACTCACTATAGTGTAGTACGGTAGTTAAGAGTTCGGTAAGTACTGATAATCTGGGTTGCACTTATATGGCAGGTTGACTTGCTATCTATGCATTGGGAGATTATATTGATTAGTAGTTTGTGTGACGCGAACCTTATAAAAGGTTTACCTCTTGTAGTGTAATCCTCTTACTTATGTGAAATTTTAGTACAATTAGATAAAAAATTGAGTTCTTATGGTAGAGGATCCCATGTAGAGTACGGTACATACATACAGTTCAGTCAAGCCTAGCAATAATACAAGGCAACTTCAACTTTCACTCAATAGTTACACAATTTCCTCAATATGGGTACCCTCGTATTTCTGGTAGGAATTCTCCCTACACCAGTTGAGCACCGCTAAAAATTCGCACCGCCGTGGTTCATGTAAGGGCAGCCAGCGAAGTGCCATTACCGAAGGTAGATGATATCTTAATAGAACCTGTGTGGTTGCCAAAAAAAAAAAAAGATAGCCCAGAAAAGGCACACTCAGCTAAAGCAGTTCTTATAACGAAAGAACAATCTTGGTGAACATTGCGATGACATACATAATCACCAGTTCCTGACTCGGAAACAGGGGCAGCCAATACAGCGTGACAACCGCCACTCCTGACCAACCATTGGTTTCGAAATGAAGAAAGAAACCAAAGGAGCATAACCATTTAGTCAAAGTGCTGAAACGGATCGGTGGCTCCCAGTTCGACAGCTTCCAAAACCACTTCCATGGTCCATTAGGGTCCCAATCCGCCTGGTATGTTGCCATCCATGCTCGGTGTACGAAGGCATTCAGGGCCTTTTCCACCCATTCGCGTTGCTTGAAAATGTACAAGCCGTAAAAAATGTAGAAGAGCGTGCTCATGGAGTTCTCGTCGCCCCATATCGCTCTGATCAAGTAGCGCTGTCCCAGATTGATTGTGCTACAAATGATGTGACCGATGACTATTAGCCTGTCCGAATATTGTTCTGGATTTTGGGGACGCGAAATGGCCAAGTCTTGTGGCTCGTAACTGCGCTCAATGATGAATTCCCCGTCCAGACTGGCTGCAACATATTCGTGCTTTCGGTCCTGTTGAGCATCGCTAGGACTTTTCGAGTCATCATCGATCTCGGTTAGACGTAGAGGGCAGTCGAAGTGGAGGAAGTACTTGTTGCCCACAGTGCGATGGGCGACGAATCGTGCTCCTCGTTCAGGTGGTTTATTGTCGACTACAATATACCATTCACTTGTGGGTGCGGAAGGCTGCCTGTCCTTCGATCTCCGCAGTGCTTCAACGTTGTATCTGAGGCCTTTTGCGTCCTTCTGATCCGGTAGCAGGAGCAGGAAGCGATCCGATCGATGCGGTGGCAGCTGATAGAATTTGAGAGCTTGAGCGCCTTTTCTAGTCTCAAAGGTGAAACCCGATGAGCCAAGTTTGAGAGTGTGCTTGCCCTCAAATTTCTCGGGAGTTATCTCCTGTGGTATCCAAGCATCCATGGTGCATGTGCCAAGTCTGGCGCAATCAGAAAAGAGAAGTTCGGTCGGAAGTGATTCGAGGCCGTAGAATAGTTGCTTCATCCTTGCATCAATGGTTTTACTTTGTGATATAGCATTCGCATTCATGCATGACATATTCATCAAAATCAGTGGAACGTCTTCGGCCTGGGTTGTCGTTCTAGATTGGAGGAGAGAGTGAGCTTTGACAAATCTTGCTGCTCGGTCAGTCTGCCGGGTATTAGTCAAAAAGCACTACTTCTCTTAAGAATCGAACAGACAACTAACCGAAGTTCGCGCGTAATCCTTGTACTCTTCGACATTCAAAGACTTCTTCATATATGTCAAGAGTTCATGCCGCACTAGCTCACGGAATGGCTCAGACTCGTCTTGCAGTCGCCTGCTGACCGTGGTCTTGGATTTTCTCCTACGCGGAAGCAAATCGCGAGCTGATCGCCTTATGTCCTCCGGGATTCTGTTCACGAGGTGTTCCCAGAAGCCACCAAAGCCGTCATCGTAATGCGGCCATAGCAACTTGAGGTACGCCAACGATCCGTGGAGTGTGAAAACAATATGTCCTGACAGGATACCCTCCTGCAAAGTCCACGCTCTGCCCATCCAATTTGAAGCATATATACATGCCACAACATCCAGCAAGTTTTCGTCTTGAGGACTGTAGTAGGTCGGACGCCCACCATGCGCAAGGGAAGCCGGGCGTCGACCAGCGTCCACGGCCTGCAGCCCCTTATCAAAGACGATTGTGTGGGATGCCGCAGCATAAATGGGGTTCATTGACCCGATAGCTTTGCTTCGAAGGTCGGTGTGTTCGACAGCTTGAGGTATACAAAAGCTGTCCAACCAGAAGTATTCGTATACGGAACTCGGCGGTGCGATCTCGCCTGGCCGAGAAGACTGCCAATTTGCAACCCATTCACGCAATCCCCAATGATCCATGGAGGTGGGCAAATTCGAGAGCACTTCTTCAAGGTATCCGACTTGACATTTGGGTAAGCAGTTCTGAGCAGATCCGAATTGTTGATCAGCCCAGACGTGAGATATTGCGATAAATCTGGAGGATGGCGTATATGGAACCACCTCGAGCTCAATCTTGTTAAGCGGTGACCGTGTAATCCTGACCAAAGGAATCCCTCCGGCAGCCACGATGGTGTTCACCCTGTCGACCGGAACGAAGACATCTTCACAAAGACATTCGCCAGTGCGATGGAGAGGCCCAGACAACCTACTAGTAACAAGACATCTCTGGCTACTGCAGCTCGAGTGATCTTCTGCATTGATGCGAGGTGGCTTGAGAGACGATAGGAAGTAAAATGATGGGTAAGACATTGGAGATGCAGCCAGAAAGTTCAACCTCTTTTCGCACCACCCATTCTTGAGCATTCTGCGCTTGAGTAACTTTGTTGATGCTGAGCTAATGGTCGTCTGGGTGACCTTGAGCGTATTAGAATCGAGGACAAATGCCACAAGATATAACAGCATGTGCATTGAGAGGAGGATTTCTGTAAGCTTATCGTCGCCCAGACCATCTGCTAGAAAGTCCATTAAGATGACGAGATTCTGTGCGCTCTTGTAGATTTTTTTCAGTTGAGCCCTCTTGGCTTCGAACTCAGCAGCAGTGAGGCTGTCATTCAGTTCATCCCATCGAGCTTTAAGCTCCCGCCAGTACCATTCTGGCATGCGAAGATCAATGTAAAGATGAGGTCCACCAGGGTCAGCGCTTGCGAATTCCTCATGTCTGATGTTTCGACCTAGCGCTTCAGATGCTATACCGAAGAACAGCCATGACTGAATGCCTGAAGCCATCGAGTGGCTCAGAGACAATCTAGCGCTCTCCTGCGCATCAGATTCAGCAGCGTTGATCTTTTGCGTTTTTGCATCGAGCACCCTCTTGAACAAGTCCAGGAAATTGGGTTGTCCTGTTATTGAGTATTGGGTTTGTGCTATCAGAGGTACTCGAATTGATTCTACATCCGTATGTTGGGGATACGGGAAGCAAGACATTTTAAGAGATTATGAGTCCAATTGTGAACATAGCAAACAGATACGCGAATGGAAGACGAGGACTCCACGTCTCCCCTTTATATCGGATGCTGCGCCTACTTCGAGGCGGTGGCTGGTGTAAGCTACTGCAAGGGTATGGTGAGGCGCACTCACAAAGCGACATGGAGTAGTAACCAGGCTGGCGGCGATTCGTTGTCTCACTGCAAACTCTGAGGAGCCAACGTTTTCGGGGCGGCTTGATGTAACAGAAAACATTGAAGGGCTCTCCCATTGAGAGTGGTTACTCGGCAGTTATGGCTGCCTAAATAATCACCAATTGGTAAATAGCCAGGTGCCAAAACTTAAGGTTCCGCGGGAGGGGCCGTCGAAGCATACGTAAGTCGCAGGCAGCAAGGCTGAAACTTCTCTTTTCGCTTGTTCTTCCCGTTCCATGACACCGACCGAAATGTCAATGCAAAAGGAAGACGTATCTAACCAGATCAAACTTGTGGAATAGATTGTGGCGGAGGCACGCGCGATCAGGACGACGTATTTGGAGAGCAGCTCCCAAAAGAAAAGAAAAGTATCAACTGAGGACGTTTGCTTGATGTCCGACTATAAATGGAGGCACATTTGCAGTGAACTCGCACTTCTGTTGTCGGTTTGGCTACATGTAGTTTCCTACTTGCCCAAATCCGGGTGGAGCGGCATCGATAGCGACTTTAGGTGGCACGAATAGCAATACCCAGCAAGTTGCTAAAGAGGCAGCATGAAACACAAATTGCCACATTTAGTTTTTTTCTCTGCTTTCCTCTGTCTACATACAGATACCATCACCGTGCGTTTCTTTCGACAATCCTTTTCGCCCAATGTGTGCAGTGCTGGACTCAATGTAGAGGGCCCACCTGGTCGAGTGGCGGATACTCAGTCAGCGGCAATAAGGCGGAGAGCGTTCACCTGGCTGGCAAGTTTATCCGCTACAAACGCATCCAACAACTTGACCAGTTCTGGGCCAAGCTGAAAGAGGATGTAGACGTTAAGAAGACTGCCCCGGGTTGGGTTTCCTTCTTTAGTTCGTGGCCTGTGTGTCTGGTCGTTGGGATTATGGTCTGCGAGGACGTCGAGCTATCCCTAGACGGGGCACAGTCTCGCATACATGAGGGGAAGGCCGAATTGCCAATCGGGCAGATCGCTCTGACTGCTGGCATTCCCAACGGGGTTGGTGACTTACAGGGTACACTGGCCTCGAATCAGCAGACGGTGACTATTTTCAAAGCCAAGGTGGGAAAGAGCAATATTTTCGCTGTTGAACTGAGGAAAATCACGACGGGGTTGTTTAAGCAGACGTTGCTGCGGTTAATGGGCGACGGGCCTATGGTAGATGGTATTCGCTTGGCTAGCGATGAATTCGATGATGAAGAGGATATAGATAAACCTGTTGCTGCTGAGGACTTGATTCTTGACGAGTTTGGCCCTGAAGACTATGAAGATATGGTGGAACAAGGAATACTTTAGCAGATATTCTGTTAGGTACCAGATGGCTTTGCGGAATAAATCCAAATACTGTAGTATTTTGGCTTGAGAACCCTTACCCTATACTAGGAATAGGGATCAGGACGCTTTACTTTACTTACACACCTTGTTAATAGTAAAAGCATAGGCTATGTAAACATCTACAAAGTCAATGAATAATTGAACAAATCTCTGGGCACTGCAATATCTAAGTGATGCGAAATCATCATCTTCTCTGTATCCCCTCCAGCGACATCCCGAGGTTATCTGAAGTGGCTTTAACCGGGGTAAGCCAATTGCAGCTATATTGTCCGCTATGTCTGTCCTAACTTCTCTCAGCATCTCATATCCACGTGCTGGTGTCTATACCGCCAGCTCCGTGTCAGCTGTTGTGTCTGACCTTTAAACTGGACTCTGTATCTTTAATTCCTTGACCGCTTCCCCTTGGACCCTCCGGGCACTGACTGAACCCTTTGATGCTTGTCAGGCTAAGATCTGGTATTCGGTTGCCCTAATATATAGATCAAGTACTCCCTTTTGGATGTATTGGGCGCCGAAGGTAACTGGGGAGTAATAAGGATTATATCTATCTAGGTATATATAGACGAGTAGAATCCGAAGGCTACATACATATTACAAGGGATAGCACTAGGAGTAGTATAATTCATATTCATATGTAATTGGTGATTGTAATACAGACTATACCAGTTAACTAAATACAAAAACACACAGCGGATGCTATAAGTAATTTAGACCAAACCGGCTGCAGCACTGAGCGGGTCTCCGTAGGCATCGTCTGGGTTGTCACCGATGCAGTGATGGCACCAGAAATGGTCGCCCGGGTCGTGTGCTTTCTTAATGGCCAGCAGCTGTTCATACGATGCCTGGTCCCAATAGCGAGATGTCCAGTTATGCATGACATAGGAACTCTCAGAGAAGTAGCTGTTCGGGCCAATTCTATACAAAGTGTCCTTCGATTGTTGGGTGGTCAAGGTACGCGCATTCCACAACATCACAGCTGAGCGAAAGCCAGGTGAGATAGCCGTACCGTCTGGCTGTGGGCTCCCCAGATTGCCAGTCAACGAAGTGTAGAGGTAGTGAAAGCCACAGCGATACCCTGCTGGATCCGGCGAAGTTCGGTCAGGATTCTTCAAGGATGCGACGCAAATATCTAGCACCTCCATCATCGTGGGGGCGAATTTCGTTTCCATGGCTTGTCGCGAGACAAAGACCGAGTTTTGGGAGCCGGTAGCATTGTCAGAAGGCGGGTGTGGATCAGGGAGGGGGTTACCGACGGCGAGCAGAAATTTGTTGGGCGGCATAGTGAGCACGTAATCAAAGGCCGATTTGAAGTTCTGCTCCTCTACTTTCGTTACCTCCAGCACCTCCTGGAGACGGTCGCGGAATAGACGGTAATCTGGCTCTGTTTGGCCCCCCGCGTAGAAATATTCAAACTTGAATTCCCATGTGACTGCGCATAGACCACCCGTCTTATACTTGGAGGTGTTAATGAAGAATCCTGGCTGCGTGCTGACCTTGCTGTTCAGCATCAGCGTCCAAACGGAGAATCGACTCCACATGGCCCTCAGCCACTCATAGCCAAACGGACTCGAACCGGGACAGAAGGTGCCGCTTTGAGTCATATAGACGTGACTGAGGCCACCGCCAGGGACGGCGTGTGCCCGAATGGTCATGGAGAGAATCACACCCCACACACCTCCACCGCCGCCGCGCATGGCCCAGAAAAGCTTAGGGTTGTGCTGTCGGCTGGCCACCTTCTTGTGGATCACCGGTTGACCGTCCGCGCCCTGACCGATCTGCAGGACTTCGATCTCCAGCACGTTGTCCACACCGAGTCCCATGGTGGGGGCAAAGGGGCCGTGGCCGCCCCCGAGATGAAAGCCGACCATGCCGACAGTGGAGCACCAGCCCGACGCGATGACGCGGTTGTACTGCGCGGAGAAGTTGTGCATCTCGGCGAAGACTGCGCCTGCACCAAACTTGAATGCACCGCTCGGAGCAAGGACTGGGTCCTCCTCCCAGCTGGGGATGAAAGCTTTGTCTTTGAGCAGAATGGTGCGAATGAGGATTCCGCCGGTCGGGCAGGAGTTGCGGCTGTTGTACTCGTGACCTGAACCGGCAGTGGAGATGCACAACCGGTGACGGGCGGCGAAGCGCAAGGCGCTAGCAATATGTCGCTCGTTGAGAGGGAACACCACAATGAACGGATTCCAATCTCGGTACTCATTCTGGTGGAGAGCCGCCTTGCACATGTCTGACACGTTGTTCCATTCTGTGGAGTTGCTCGTTGGCTTGAAGCATGGGCGCTTCATCTCGTCCAAATCCTCGTAATAATACAAGGCTTTGAACCCCTTTGGCTTATTATCTCCCAGGCTGTAAAAGGGTTGGTCCTTGGTGGATCCGGCCGGCACCGGTGCCGGCTGTGGGTTGGGGTAGGTGGACCATTTGAGACCGAGCCGTGCTTCATCGGGATCTAACTCTTGCTCCAGCTCTTGGATCGCTGCCTTGGTGGGCCAGCAGCTGGAGTCGGCAGGCGTGCACCAATTGTGGCTTAGTATGGGCAGGCTTGTTATTACATCGCGTGGCTCTGAGGGGTGAGTGGATGGCTCCGAGCTGGCAGGGCTGCATGATCCGGCTCCGCAGTAGTCGTTCTCAGGGCCACAGGAGTAGCTACAGTGAGAGCTGCATGGGTTGCATCGACCCATGGCCCATTGCGTGTGCGGCCGCAGGAAGCTTTCCGCCAAGTCATCTGGCGCCAATCGATTTGTCGCACCGCAACCAAGCACAGCGTAGGAGTATACCGGATTGTATTGAATTTGGAAGCGGCAGGCGGTGATGCTGCCACTGGTGCTGGCGAGGAATATTTTATTGCGGCCACCTTCTGAATGGGTGACTGCGTAGCGCTGCACTCCGCGACTTGGGTAATTCGGCCATTCCAGCGAGGCCTGGCCGTCAGCAGTGAAGTTCCATCGAGCCAGACCCTCTTGATAGTGGTCGGATACTTGGAGCGAGCGCCATGAGCCCAGAAGCGACGGTGGTACTCCGGCGATGCCCGGTTGATAGGGGCTCAGAGAGCTGGGCTTATACGCCTTGCTGCCCGCTGGCGAGTGCTGCAGTGGAGCGGCGGCAGGAGTGACATCGGGAGAGAAGGCACAGCCCGGGAATGATGGCTTGCAGCGAAACATGAGGAAGTTGCCACAGTTAGGAGTGTCCATTGCAGCGTAGAAGTCGACAGGTGCCGGGGCACCGGTGTGGTTACAAGCTAGGAAGGCCACCTCGAGGCCACCGATGTCTGGCAGTCGCTGCACCAGGCACTCTTCCAAGTGATGATTTGCACCACAGTTCTTCAAGGCAATTTCTCGGTGGGATCGAAGCTCATACGCGCACGTTTGTGGGTAAGGGCTGTCGGTGGTGACTGTCAGGGTGTCCTCCGTGAAAGTCTGAGCGAATTCAAACTTTCCAGACCCGTGCTGTTCAGCTCCAAACGAACGCCATGTGCCTTGCCATGGCGAGATTATGTCACTTGACAGGGCTGGCATTCCAAACCCGACGAGAGGAATGCTGTAGTTGTGGTGTGGCGTGGGTGCGTTGGTGGGGTCAAGCAAGACAGTGCTGTCGAGATTGGCGGGAGGGCAGGTGGTCCAGGAGTCACCGCATGCGAAGCATTGATCGACACAATCGCCGGGCATCCTCGGGACGCTATTCACCGTGTTGTCCGTCCAGCCGATTGTGGCGAGATATGCACATTGCACGCAGCTGGCACTGACGAGCGGTTCCATATCCTGCAACCGTTCCTGCAGAGCCGAGTTGGCGTTATACTCATTGGCCAGCACGAAAGCTGTGCGGTAGTATGCCTCCTGTGGCAGGCGAAACGCACGTCCATCAGCACCAGGTATGACAGCGCACGTGCCGTGCTTCATCCACTCAGACAGGATGAAACAATTCATGGTGTTGTTGAACTTCGAGTCGGTTGGCCAAAAGTGTTTCAAAAGGGTTCCAAAGGTCGTGAGGTACGACTCGTCGAATTCTTCGCCATGCTGACAGCCATAGGGCTGATTCTTTTCTCCGTGCCCACCTTGGGAGCCAGGCCACAGTCCGTGCAGCGTGACGTTGGGTGAGCCCGGGGCAAAGTCGTTCTGCTGCAACGCCAGCGTGTAAGCGTCGGTAGCCAGCAGCCCCGAAGGTCTGTGCTTTGCATCGCACAGGGAAAAGGGAGGTGGTTTCTGCTGCAGGTTGTCGTACTTGTCCAAGATGGTGCATCCTTGCGTCCACTTCAAGTTGCAGGTCTCAACGTGGTAGTTGGCCGGATTGAAGCGCCTTAGGGGAATCGGGTTGGAAGGACAATCGTCCGACCGACCGGCACATGAGGCGGCAGCCCCAGCGACCAGATACGCCAATGCCACCAACACCAAGGCAAGACGTGCGTAACATGGCCATAGCGCTGGCTCTGCATCTAGACGTGGCCAACTCATATCTGCTCGAAACACACGACTGGGTGTGGCGTGTGTTATCGATGCTGTGTCAAGGCAGTGGTTCTCACGCCCTCCACGGCGAATGTACTTTGTTAAAGTTTGTTTATATATGTCTGTCCGGACGGAGCAGAGATTGAGCCCTTCAGTGAAGAGTTAGTAACAGTAGAACGCCCAGATCCTCCAACACCTGTAGTCTCACGCACCTTCTTCCAGTGGCTAACTATATGGGTGCTGCAGCAAATGGCTCTGATTCACGGACTTCAGAGTGATGATGGTAGTGGTGATTGTTGTGCTTGTTTTATTCAACACGACGGCAGAATTCAGGTCCTCGCTGAAAGGTCATTCATTGACAGCAGCGGCGGCCTCTGAGAGCCTGCATGATGTTTAGTGGGAGAGCTAGAGGAGTTGTGAAACAACAGGATTTCCTACGGTAACCATACGGACGGACATAATAAGCGTATATATATATACATCTCATATGTTCAACTCGGTGACTTGGACAGTGATTGGCAGCCAGTGCCACCATTTGCTGTCTTCGCCCAACCGAAGGCTCTCATCCCGCTTAGCTGCAATGATGTGTTCAAACTGAGCAATCCCCTCCTCCCAGAGGTGCAACAAGAGAGCTGAGAGACCGATAGTATGGAATTTCAGCTGCTGTAGCTGCTGCAGCTGTGACCGTAAACAGTGAGATCCACTATCGGATGCAGGAGGGCTGAGCGCGCTAAAGCTGCTAACGGGAGGGTAGAGAGTGACGGCAGATCTAATGGTTGCGCGCCACGGGATCTACCGCAGACTATTGCTAGCTGGACATCAAAGAGTGGCGGTGGCAGTGGTAGCGCTGCTCAGTGTGGGGAGCTGAGAGGGTTCAGACAGGAAGTGATTGGAGGGGAGCCAGCCGGGTGGAGGCACCAGTGCCACCGGCGCTTCGGTTCGAATGCATGAGGTGGAAAGGGAAGAGTTCAGTGCCGTGACCTAGTATGAGCGGCAATTGCAGGGTCGTGGAGCTCCCTGAGCACAACTACCGCCGAAATAAGCATCACCTCCATGCTTTCCAAGCGCGCCTCTCCAGGTCACCTCCAGGCCACCTCTATTATGCTCCGCCTCCAAAAGGGAACCAATGCCTTTGCAAACCGAAACCCCTGTCAGAGGGGTTCCCTCACCCCGCAACCGGTCTTTGCGCATTGGACCACTGACGCATTGCCGTGGATTTCTGTGAATCTCTTAGCCTAGAGCTTTTCTAGTGGATACTCGGTAGTATTATCGGGCATGAGCCTGTCGGCGTTCCAAAACTTGGCGCCAATGGCACACAGCCAGTTGGTTGACATGACAGGTATGCTGGGAGAGATAATTCAACCCGTTCGGTAACTCCAAAGTTGACTGTGAGGTGCCTCCAAAAGAACTACCAACACGAATATTCCCAGCTCAACACATTCATGCAGGTCTTGATTGAGTAACATGCACAGCATCATCCAGACGCTGGCAGGGATTGAATTCGTCACAGTGCTTTCAAACACAATCAGCTGGGGGTTCGAACAATAAGAAGGTTGGACTTATAGGGAAAGAAACCCTAACATGCTTGTCGCGACACCGCCCGCATAGAATCCTAGATCTTTAATTCTCTAGTACATGCGACGTATGTATTTAGTGCCCCATACAAAGTCAATATCCATGGCATCGATCACATCTCCGCCATTTCGCGAATTTAACGCGCAGGATAGTTGCCATCTCCATAAGGTATTGAGAATTGTTTTCCTTTCCGCATAGCTCGAAGGAAATATGCAAGCTGGAGGCTTCTTGCTGATGGCCGGAATTAATTTTATACAATGAACAAAGGTAAGACTCGAATATGCCCTCACTGTACGTAACCATTTTTTTCTGCTAGAAAGATTCCACTGGTCATATAATAATAGATATCATGCCTGAAGTCTTTGGTTTCATACCACGATGTTACGGCCAACCTTGAAGTAAATCGTTGAATTAGCGAGTTGAGATTGTCGCCTTGTAAATAAAGCATAATATCTTTGCGTTGACTCGTCAGAATCATCAGAGAGGGATGATTCAGGTACGTCCTCTAGTCTCTAATGGTAGAAGTTGTAGTATTTAAGAAGTGAAAATATTCCTAGGGTAAACCAAAAAGAGTTGACATAGCGCTGAAAACACTTGGGATTATGGCATCATTGTCAGTTGACCTGGGAGTTTCAGTTATAGAACTCCAAGTCCTGGAATTTATACTCAAAAGAATGGTTATAGAAATTTTCGGCGTTTAAGAGGAAGTGCAGAGTATGGCTAGCATACTGCAAGGGTTAGCGAGTTCTACTGGTTTGACACATGTCTGGCTACTGCCGGTTGTTCAATCTCCGAAACGCCATGAATTTAACCAATCGGCAAAGTACAAGGAATGAGAATATAAACACTAGTGGCAGGAAGTTCGTGCTACCGGGGACCGTGAACAAGGGTGCAAGGCAAGTTAGCAACATAATGTGCTTTGGCAACTGAAATGTCTGAGTAGGAAACCTGTATTGTACTCGAATTGTAATACAGACATTGGACTCCCTTACTGGTTTAGCGCGTATCTCATCGATATAGGCAGAAATGGGCTAGATTGCTGGGTAAGACAGTAAGTATATTTCTTTCTAATGGAAGAAGGCTTACTGAGAATATAAAAGGGTGCCATGGGAAATATTATCAACCAATATTGGAGCACGGGAGCTGGGCATTGAGACTTGGGCTCTGAACACTCTTTATCCAGGGTCATGGGACGTAATATAAGTAACTGGTGTTAATAGCCGGCTACCTAAGCTTTATAATAAATGTGATGGTTGAATCTTATATAACAGTCGCTATCTTTAGGCCGACAAAGGTCGGCAGTTGGCTTGTGTAAGCTTACTTCCTAAAAGGTAGTCTAGTGGGTTAGTAGGATTTAGAGGGTATCCTTTAATTAGTTCCACTACAAGCTTCTCTTTTTCAAAACGGCAATTAGATGATCTGCACACCCTAGATACTCCTCTCCAGTAGAGTACTTCTCGTACATTAAATCAGCCCAGGCTTGAAGAACCTGCGGCTGAGACTTGGATAATGTAGCATCAAGACTACCACCCAGGATACCTTCTTGAGATCTCAATTCTATGAGCTCCAGCGTATCGGCGAAGTTGTCGGCAAAAAAAGATTTGACATCGCCCACTTGCGTGTGAAAACTGTGGGCGTTCCCAACTCCAGGTTTAAATTTCTCGTATCGGCCGTCTTGAAGCTACGGCAGGTGAATAGAGGTCAGCAGAGCAAACTTAATAGTAGTAATGAAATAAGACATACATATTTGGCATAGAATTCCTTGTCTGCAATAAGTCTGCCTGGCTCTCTTATTGCAATATCTCTGAGATGCGCTGCAATGCTTACAAAAGCTACAAAAAGTACGCCATTAGGCTTCGCCAGCCGCACAGCATTGGCGACAGCATTTACTCGCTCTGACTTGTCTACCAAGTGATACAGGGGTCCCAAAAGCAGGACAGCGTCGTAGGTACCATGGTGCAGAATAGTCGGGTCTAGCGCGTTTCCAACTGAAAGGCTTTGAAGAAGATTTTCCTTTCCAGTAGCTTTACGCTTATCTTGTTCGGCTTGAGCGAGTTGGATTAGCCCAGGACTAAGGTCGACAAGATCGACTAAATGTCCTTGATCCGCAAGGGCAAATGCATATTTTCCGGGACCACCGCCAACGTCAGCAATCCGCTGAGGTGCTGGGGGAATGGCTTCGCTGATTGTGCGGAGGGTCACGAGAAGCTCTACAGGATGGGTGTCAAGGCGTGAGAGCTCATTACTGCCGAGGATGTTGTAGAGGTTGGCTATGTCTGTGGCGGGAGTTGGCATTATGAGAGAGCTGTTATCGGCGGAAGAATTAATAGCTAGGGGGAGTAATGCGAAATATTGCAAAATTGGAAGAGACAATTCAAAGCGACCAGGTTAATCGAGGGTTTGCCTTTAAATGAGAAATATTGCGAACAGTAATTGTATTATATAGTAAGAATATGAGGCATATTCTAAATGCTGCAACTTGCAACTATCCGTTGGTTCCACTTTTAGTGACTAACTCATCGGCGATTGGGCTAGGATACGTTTGGGTAATACTTTACTACTACAGCTGCCGATTAAAACTAGGATTGCTTATTAAATCTAAAGAGCAGTGCTTCATAATTTGAGGGAATATATTTATAGTAATAGTATTAAAATTTATAAACAAACAACCTGGGAGTAGGAATTATAGAGAAAGAATGTAAATAACCATAGTGCAAAGACATACTTCAGAAGAGCATCAATTGGTGCTTATATATATGGACACTTATTCTGTAACGATTATCATATGTACAATGAATGCGTTGCATCCCTGCTATATCTGTTCAACAACCACTCTAGCCTGCTACTTTTCTCTTCAGATAAAGACTCCTAGCATTAATTAATATCTCCTCGCCAGTAGTAAACCCAGAACGTATTACCATCGCCAGAGAATGGCTCAGTTCCGAACTGGTAACCTATTACAGATTAATATTCCGTTTATTTCACCAAGGTAAGTAATCGACTTACTAAGAAGATACTGGCTGCCAATAGGGTATCCTCTGTTTGAAGCTAACCAACTGTAGAATTGTTTGATATCTCCGTTCCAGTTTTGGATAGGGTTGTAAGCAACAAAGCTGTAGACCTGCATCTGGCCGTTCCATCCATAGTACAGCTGCCAATCTTGGCCGTTGATATTGACATTACCCTGGGATGAACCAATAGGGTAGATGTCACCATATCTACCAAGCCTGTTTAATCATATTAGCTGCGGAAATAAAACCAGCTCTCCATTCATCTTACCAGATCATAAGCTCAAAGTCTCCATAGTAAGTCGGGTGATTGGGGTCGTAAGCAGTGAACAAGTCGTAGGCAACATCAGCGCGCAGGTTGTTTCCAGTGTAATTCCATACAGCGCCGGTGGGCATGCTGTTGATAGTGCTGACTAGCTGCTTTGCTCCTATATTTCTTTGCACGTTTGGATATGATTTGACGTTGCTAGGATTGCCGGACCATTGCCAATCAGCGTGCCACGCTGTGGCATCAGTGATCCACTCCTTCGTGATACAACCGAATCCAGTTCCAGATGACTCGCCCCAGAGATTGTTACTGATAGTGAAACCGTTGGCCGAGATGGTTGAATATTGATCGCAGAGAGTTTGCGCAGCTACAGCTGGCAGTAATGCAGCCAAATATGAAAAGGCCTTCATTGTGATGTGAAATTGATGGTATTCAAAGGCGTCTACTCTATGTAGAATGAATATCCGGTGAATGAGCGTGACGATAAACTTTTCAATTTAGCGTTGGCATCATAACCTCTTATACCTAAAGGATCGAGAGATTAATGCCTTGCTGGTGCGAGTTTAGTTTCTTTGCATACTCATTCAATCAGCCAATACCAACCAACATGGCAGGTGCAATTGGTGACAAAAAGTCTAGACACTTCCAATCAATGACTTTCCTAAACTTGCTTGACAGATTAAGGCAAAATCCATTCGGCCGACGCCGAAGGTGCCACTCTATCTGGCTTAATCCGTATTTACAACCGGTCCCCCCTGGTTTAGTTGGCATTTAATTTGAGAACAGGGGTGGCACATCTGACAGCGATCCACTCTGCAATAGACATAAAACATCAAGTGTGTCAAAATAAAGTGTCGTATACATTATGCCTCAAGCATTATTTTGGTAAGTGTATTGTCGGAAGAGCTTTCATTGAGTTATTTACAAATAGGTAAGGTGGTACGCACAACTCAATACGCCGAGCAACTGCCTATTTGTATCGCATTAGTTCACTGCGGGGAGTTTATATACAAGCTTTGCAATACAGTACATGTGGCCTGCTGACTCGAAAACTATATCTATTCGGAAGCTGGACGTCTTGTCTAAACAAGCGTACCTTGGATATATCGAAACATCAGCTTACTTACAATTCAATAAAGAGAGTCTAACTACTTAGTTACTGAATATTTTATGACTGTGCCGCAGGATATATATCTTGAATTTAAGGACGTTCGGCAGGCTCTAAGACTCTTACGTTGACTTACTACAGTTATATTTTAGCTTTTAGAAAACTTAAAACTTACCTGGACGCCGATGTTAATACGGAGGTCTTCGATTATCATCCAGAATTCGGCAAGATAGTGTAATCTATCTAGCCCATACAGGCATCACTACTTTATCCAGGGTAGTATTACAACTTACAAGGGCGTTGCCTATAAGCAAAGGTAGTTACAACGGAAGAAAGAGGCTAACCTTGAAAGTAGTAGCAGCCGATTTTGGCAACTGTTTAAGGAGCTCTTATAATTCTTCCTATCCTAGGCCTATTATTCTACCAGCGGGAATAAATACCTCTTACATTACCCTATCAAAAATCCAGCTTACTAGGGGCTTTACCTATTAGTCGCTACATACTACCTAACAGTCGCCAAGCTATTGCAATTCCCCTTCAAGAGAAAAAACATGCAGGTGCACGCCATTGGTTATACGCTTAACACCCATGGGGCTAACTGCTCTGGTGACCGACTTTTCTTGTGCTTTGTATTTCCGTTATGCTGTGTAGGCCCGATAGTCCAGCTAACAAACCAATAAATGAAGGTTTGAATGCTATTTACTTCCCGGAAATCCCTTTGCTACGCAACCAACTCCTGGCGTGATTGACACTGGGTCCTGCACTATCATCTTCTAACCTGCCCCTCCGCCCTATTTATTAGTTAAGCAAAATGGTCTTAAACTAGCTCGTGGCGTCCCAAATTATAGAAAGTTCTTGCTACCATTGCCATTGGATAACATGTCAGAGGCTGAATCCGAGTTCTTATGAAGTCAGTGATGAGATTAATTGAGGATTTTGGCTTCGGGTGTTGTACAATTTACAAACCTTGTTTATGCTATTATATTTGTATCAGTCGATCCTCCCCCCCCCCCCCCCACAAAAAAAAAAAAAAAAAAAATTAAGGCCCTATCTCTTTCCAGTCCATTTATTCCTTCATCTTGCTTGTACTGGGGAAACAAAACCAAATTCCTAACGTAATTGCCAACAGCGCAAGCACTATCGGCTGCAAAACTTTTGGACCCTGCGCCTCTGCCAGAATCCCTGTCAAAAAGGGCAAAACAGCTGCGCCACAGCCTCCAAACGCCGCAGCAAAACCAATTACTACCACATGATGCTGGCGAGGTAGAAGTTTGCCTGCCACCAAAATTGCATTGGGAAATAAGGGCCCCATGAAGAAGCCCTGGAAGGAGACTGCAACTGCAGAAATGTAGAATTGTGGCACAAGCCAGAAAATGAGTTCCAGAGAGCCAGCAGCACCGATATATAGCTACAAAAGTTAGTAAGTGGTTTGTTTACCACAGCGTAGGCAAGTGACTCACGGCAGTAGCTAACTTGACACCGATTCGAGGTGTAGCAAAGCCAAGCACTGCACGACCAACGGTAATGCCGAGCCAGAAACTAACGGCCGACATACCACTAGCAAAGGGTTCACCGTGGCGAACGCGCAGCATGAAAACGACGATCCAACCGCCTAGAGCAACTTCTACACCAACATAGCATTAGAGGTAGAAAGCAGCAACCCATGATACACGAGCAAACGGCATGCGGAAAAGTGCTTCAGTGAGAGACACTTCCTTCTCCAGCTCGTTAGTCTTGTAGATACGCCGGTATTCTGCTCCAGAGGAGGACCGGAATGCAGATGCTAGTGCGATTGTTTCAGTGCTAGCTAGGCCAATCTATGCATGATTCGGAAACATTAGTTAACTTGTCGGCGGTATCACTCTAATATCGCTACATACCATAATGTAGTAAAACGCGTACCACTCCAAATTGGCCTTTGTAATAAGCGCCGTAACAATCAACGGACTCGCTACCCCTCCAACACCATAAAATGCATGCAGGAACCCTAACAACTCACTCGAGTTATAGAGGTTGCCAACCCAGGCATTCCATGCGGCGTCTGCTACGCCGTTGCCGAACCCGGCCAGGATAAAGGCAAGCACGAGCACAATATATGGCGGATGTAGTGCGATAATGATGTATGCCGCGGTGTGGCAGCTGCCACAAATAATGGCGATGACACGTTGGCCAAGTTTGTGGTGGAGATAATTATTTAATAAGGCAGACGAAACATAGCCAAGAAATGGAGAGAGGAAGACGAGTGATATGATAATATACGTGAGGTTGTAATATTTCTCGAGCTACTGTATATCAGTATGATGGTTTTCCTGGGATGACGCATGTAAAACTTACGTATGGAATGAGTGGCTACACACTTAGCACAGGGCATTCAGAAATTTTGAAAGACGACTTCCACCATAAGCAGTCATTTGCTCCCATGACCATAAAACAGAAAAACGACGCAACAAGTCGAAATGCATTCGTCCGCGATTCGTTCCAACGTTCGGTTACAGCAGGAGCAGAGGTAGCACACGGCTCGCTATTCCCATTCTCGTCAAGAAGAGATGGTGAGCCGGAGGATGCATTTAAGCGCATCGTGCGTTGGGATTCAGTCATATCGTGCTTAAAGAGAGCAGGTTTAACTCGCTTGGACGTTTGTTCCAGCTCGATCGTTGAATTTGCGGGAGTTGTGAGCATGCTAGCAGTCTGAATTGAGAGCGTGATTAATTTATGTAGATAGTTTTGACGTTGGTAGAGTGCTGTATTTAAACCATTTGATGGAACGGATGCAAACACACTCGTTTGTTAAATGCTATGTGACAAGCTTATAAAGATAAAAATGGGCTGCTGGTTTGCAATAACGTGGATCAACGGCGTGGATAAAATAAAAGGAAGGGGCGGAGGGCAGAGGAAGAAGCGAATGGAAGTCATATTGGTAACTATGACTCGCGACTCGCGAGTGTAAGTATATCCATATGATTAACTAGCAGTTTGACACCATGTAAATTGTACGAGCGATGTACGAGCGGCTCTGAGGCCTGTGTCTATTTTTCTATTTGTCGACCAGCCTTTCCGCAAAGTTGTTTCTCCGCATCTGAAAGAAATCTTGAGAGATTACATGCTGTCCAGAGGAAGCAACGGGCCGGCGCCATAGCTATTGACTCCCTAAACTGGTATATGGCTCAGCACAGAATGTCTATCATTCCCTAGTGCACCGTCCATATCTAGGTAATGGCTCCACATTGGAGACGCCACATGTAATCTAGTTACTAACTCCTCCCTTGGGAGGTTGTTATAGCATCTCTAATAATATCTGATTCCAGCTTGCCGACAGCAGCAGGCAGGGTTGTGGATCCGTGCCAAATCTGTTCGCTTGAGAAGCCAAGATAGTACTGTTGGCTATGGCTACTTATCCTGTTGACATAGATCATATTGTGGCGAGTCTATCACTCACTGAGAAGGTATTGTCCTTTAGCTCTTGCTTCTATTCCACATGTTGTTCACAGTTGCCTATCGTCACTCCATCACAGCGTGTAATTTCTGCCAGGGGAGATTCTGGAACCATGAGTTAATCCATGCAGATTTCACTTTTGGCTGGAGGAAGTGAATGACAGACAGTTACGATTCTTTCCCTGCTGTCAAGGTTTCCGATGGTCCGAACGGCGCGCGCGGTGCCTCGTTCGTCGGGTCCACCACGGCGGCTTGTTTTCCTGCAGCCATCCATCTTGCAGCGACTTTTGACACCAATTCTGTAAAGAAAACTGGTGCGATGCTTGCAAAAGAGACACGATAAAGGTGTGCAAGGCGCCTGTTAGGACCGACTGTATGTATTCACCACTATCCTCTTGGTGATCGTAACTTTGAGTCCTATTGTGAGGACCCTTTTCTCCCGGGCAAGTCGGCACCTCAATAGATCAATGGAGCTCTACTTACAGGGCGTATCTGCTACCATTCAGCGCTTTGTGGCTAACGAGCAGGAAACCCAGCGGTTGACTTACAACGCGTGGGTAGGCGAGTGCTGCGGGAAATTTACCTTCGACCATTCGAATTGCGGTCAAAGAAGCCAGCCTTTCGACCATCGTGATATCTTATAATTTGCTAAACAGCGAACGTGCCGACTCCATCTACTAACTATTTCAGCGAGTACACCGCGGCGACTGCGGGCGGAATGGCTTCATTGTGAGCGACCGGGGCGGTATAAATTCTGTTACCGACGCACTCAATGCAGGGCTGGATCTTGAGATGCCTAGCCCACCAAGGTTGCGAATGCAGGAAGTTGTTCTGATAGCGGTGAGAGGCAAGTATTTTACTCAATACAGAATTGATCAATGAGTGAAGCAGCTTCTGGCTGTCTTGATACAGCTGTAATGCTTCGAGGATCCTCGCATTCCTGGTGAGCAGACTGTTAGCGGCCCGAGACATCAGTCTTTTATCCGCGAAGTTGGTGTGAGAAACCTCGTTCTCCTCGATAATGAGGGCTATACCTTACCTCTCAGGCCAGGAGAAGTCCGTGGAAAGATTATTGTAGTGCTCAGTCACAAAAGACGGCCCTGGCACATGGGGCTGGTAATACGTCGGCCGTTGCCCATTGTAATATTACTCCCAGGGATGGGTTGCACAATGCCATTCGCGACAAGGTCAAACTTGATACGCGAAAAGTAAGTAACTGAATATCCGAATAGGCAATGGCCGTCAAACAAGACAACTAATGTTACTGTTATGCAGGAGCTGGTACTCTCCGCCACCTCCCTCCCATCTCTCAAGGTATCATTGGTGTTGAACGAGGGAAGTGGCAAAGTTGCCGTTACACGGTACGGGATGCAAGCTAAATGCAAGACTAATAATTTATTGGGACAACAGGCTTGAGTTCTGCAGGGTACTCACCTCGATTGGTGGCGTCATGGTCGACATGCTTGAGGGGTAGCCATGGAAATGGGCGACGTGGCATTGTGTTGACATGTGGAAGGCTGCATCTGTAGAGAACTAGGTCTAGCACATATACGGCAAATAGCTGCGCTTGTGCGAGTAAATTTCATGCAAATTACCGGTGCAAGAAGGCTAAGAGACCGCGTTGTGAACTCTACGTTGTGTGGATAGGATTTCTGAATCTACCAATGCCATCGCGCTGAGTTAACTGCCAAATCAGGTAATACATTCCACCACTCTCACTTCCGCCGCTAGCAACCTAGCCGGCAGATTGTCATCTGCAGCGATGTTCTTCCTGTCCAATAAGGCATTCGGATCCAATCCCTTTTTGCCAATGAGTGAATGCCGAGATAGCTCACCAGACTGGCCCGCCAGCATTTGTGATCTTTCTACCTCATCACCAACATAGTACCAGCCTGTTTAATAATCCAATCCTTTCTTTTTCATCTTCGCAGCTTCTTCTGCTCTTGGTATTACCACCATTCCGTCAATGGCCCAATCTAAAGAATGGCAGAAAATGGTGCGAGGTGAGCTCTACTGGGCTGGGGATGAAGACCTCCAAGCCAACAGAACACGATGCAAAAAGGCTTGCGAAGCGTTCAACGCAGCAGCCCATGAACCAAGACGCCGCCAAGTCGAGCTTTGGAGAAGGTGTGTTTGACTCGCCTCCCGCCTAAAGGCTTCGGAACCTCGTCACACATGTTTTGTATCACTCGGCTCAACTAGCACCATCCAGCATCGTCGGAGACACTCGGTCGATGCCACCTGCCAGAAGCGATCCCAAGGAAGATGAAGCGCTCTTTTATGATACGGACCCTCACGTCGATCGGCCTATCTCAGTTGACCACGGGATCAACTTTAAGGTTGGCACTGGGACTTTTCTCAATTTCAACCTCGTTGTTCTTGATACCTGCTTGATTACGATCGGAAACAATGTCTTGTTCGGCCCCAACGTGTGCCTCTACGGCGCCATTCACCCACTCGACCCAACTCTCCGGAACGGAATCAAAGGTCCCGAGGCTGGCAAAGAAATCCATATTGAAGATGACGTTTGGATCGGTGGGAGTGTGCTCGTTCTGGCTGGAGTCAGAGTTGGCAAAGGCAGCACTGTTGGGGCCGGGTCGGTTGTAACCAAGGCAAGTTTCCGTAGCTCCCGACGTTTACGCCTTGGGTATGTTGTCTCTGACAATCAACAGGACGTGCCACCGTATCATTTTGTAGCGGGAAATCCGGCCAGGGTTATCCGTCCCATTGAAACCAATTTCGCATCCAAATGAAGCCGCCCTGGATTTGTAGAATAATTAGGGTAGTATAAGGAGTAGGTAGAGTCTGTTTATATACATTCTTTGAGTTTCTAGGTACAACATGAATGAAGGATACGTCTACTTTCCGCAGAGGATTCATTTAGATGTCTTTGTATAGGTGCAGCGTGAAATAATGAATTGACGCTGCCGCCAGGCGTACGTTTCGAACACTCATTTCGTTCTAATTTCACAGAATTAAATAGTCATGAAGTCGCTCACAAGCTGGGTTCTTCGTCTTTTTTTTCTGCTGTCAATAACCATCTAGAGCATGCGCAGGACTGTAGACTTACATATATCATCCAGGGGACGTTTGTCCGGTCGTGTTTCGGCCTCTTGGAACGCGCTTCCCACACACGATGGAGAAGGTCTCGTGGAGATTGAATGGACATCTCCCCACGAGCCTTTATCTCAACAAAGCGCAATAAGACGTAGTGGCGTGAATGGGGGCTTAAGGAGTCTGCCCCAGCCATGAACAGGGGCATTATCAACAGCTCGATAAGAGCATTATCACCTGGTATTGCCGAAGCTGCATCTAAGATGGCTGTGACCGACTCTTGGATCTCTGGGTCCTCAGCTGGCTGTGTGTCATCTAGCAGGCGCAGAGACCGTAGGATACAGGCATGTCGGAAGGTTTCGGCCACATTTAACCAAAGAGGATCGTTGGTTGGATAAGCAACTCGCGAACTGTTCCAGGAGTAGAGTTTCCGGATGATAGCCCGTATGGCTTGAGAATATTCCATATGACCGATCTTCCATTCGGCGTACGCCTTGGCTCGATCTAGGGCCTCGCCCATCAGAAGCATTATTTCCCTCGGACACCCATTGACCATCTCCAATTTGTTGTCACTGAGTTCAATGATGAATTCTCGGACATCGGTGGGGAAGCACAATCGCTCTGGATGAGCAAAGGCGCGGATGATATCAAGCCTGTCAGCGTTAGCACTGGTTAGCCACAAGAGAGTAAGAGATGGAGCCAACCAAACGAGATTTCCAAGGAAGAATATGGACCGTGAGTCGTTTTGTTTCGACAATCCGTGCTCTGCTATTGCTCGACAACAAATAGATACGGCACCAGAGATATGAATACCATGTTCCGATATACCTGACTCGCTTATCTGCGACCCATTCTGTAAGCAGAGTACACCAAGACAGTGGAATTAGCTCATTGAACCCACGTCATGCAAGAGTAGCATCTGAATCATCGCAAAGATGGAGTCTCTCTCGCTCGGGCCCAGCTTGCCCAAGATTCCCTTACTAATGGCGTCTGACAGGGCTTTAAGAGCCCTTGACCTGTATTCGACGGCAACAGTGTCAAGAAGATACTTGTCGGAGTTGAGATGACCAAGGTGGTTGGCGGCAAGACCCAAAACGGCGTACAACAGCCCAAATTGTTCGTAGGCTAGAGGCAGAATGAATGCTCGGTAAGGATTCGTCGCGTCGTTAGGGAACTGCTGTATCTGATGTGGACAGATAACAGAGTCGTCTTCAACAGTAATGATTAGCATGCAGGGAGATTCTTGACTCGAACTAAAGGCAGAGCTCACAGTGGCTAAGCAATATATTTATTTGGTCCCGGACCAAGGCATCGTCTCTGGCTGTTCCGGTACTTTCCGGTAGCGCCTTAGTCAGTAGAAATTCATGAGTGTGCTGGGTGAGCAGCGCCTCCAAGGCAGTATGGTCGATAGTTGAAACGCTGCTTGAAGCAGAAACAGATGCCATGCCAACAGATATTGGACTGTTGCTAAGCCGAGTCCCTGGGATGGAGACTTGAGGCGAATGCCGCTCCACGGGTAGCCATCGAGACCGCAATAGCTCGTTGGTGGATTGATGGTGGGATGAAAGTGTTGAAGGATGCTCAGTGCATACTATTAGCTCCGGGCCATGACGGTCCAGGCCGAGCTCAGCCTTATCGGACTCCATGTCATCCGTCTCAAGGGAAATGGGGATGTTGTCCCCCGCCCGTTGGGAACGTCCCTTTGCCTTTACATGCGATGTCTTGGGGGTATCGCCCACAATCGGTGCTTGTCGGTTTTTCCATTTGCCCCGGCTGGCGAGCCCACAGAAGCGGTATTTCTCGGGGTAGCCGCCGCATTCCAAGTTCTTAGACACGCAACGACCGCATGCAGGCCTGGCGCGGTCGCATCGCCGCGATTTTGCACGGCAAGTCGCACAGGCCGGGCCTGATTTCACGAGGTCGAGTCAGTACTAAGTTGCATGTTCAGGATGGGCATGGTCAAAAAGAGCTCGAAGCCGGGAACCCCCCAGGCCCCAGCGCTCACGTACCAGGGAGTTTTGTCCGGGACATCTAGCAGCGAGCAATGGGTTTGGCAGTTGATTCGACGTTTTCTTAAGTGCTGGATGCTAGTGCGTAACAACGGGAAGTAGTAGCGGGCTTACCAATTCAACAGCTTAGGCAGAAGCACCGTTGATGATACATGGACATATGTGCAGTTTGACGTTTCGAGGACGATGCTCACCAAATGAATGGGGGCAAACATTAGATTACTGTTAGGTGGATGGAGAGTGAGACTATGGCGCTAGTTCGTCAGGCTAATCCTTACCGCGGAACTACTGGGACCAGATCCGACGCGACCTAGGGTCAACCACCATAAAATCTCCATCATTGGAGATGACTGTGCTGTATAGGGTACAGTTTTACTACAGGCACTAGGTAGCACCTAATGCTATTGATTCCATAATAATTTTCTTTCTTCGCATACACCGCAAACATAAATAAACACTAATACCTTGTCAATTTGAGTTTATTATCCGGTGAGCTGCTAACTTATCTAGTTTAGCTTACCCTAGAGACTATATATATCTGTAAATAGCATAATGGTGTAGCGTCAGCTCTAGAACTTTGAATGTAGGGGTCAGTAAGATTAGCAGTTTAAACCTTTTGTTTCTCTTGGTGTTGAATCCTCAGGAAGACGTTACAAATATATGTTGTGCTATATATATACAAGTTCAAGTATAGACAATAGAAGTGCAAGATATATACATCAATAGTCTAGGGAGTCAACCCTATGAGCTCATAGCACATCTCCGTTATTTTACGCCAGAGTTTCTTCTTCTTCTTCTTCTTCTTTGGCGTTACTTTCGGCATTACTGGCAGGATGCCCACCAGGTGCTGCTAACAACGCACTTGTAAGGCGATTGACATTGGGTAGGACCGGTGTACCCTTCACCTCCACACTGGCCCCATTGCGGCACAGTACCGCCGCCACCGCCAGTTGGGCCGGTAGAACCGCCACTTGTAGATGTAGGTTTGGAACCGCCAGTAGAAGTAGTAGCCGGAGGGCTTGAACCAGGGGCGGCGAGATCACTGACAACCTGGTCCAGGAAACCGGAATTTTCGTACAACTGGGACATATCCCACATCATGATACCCGCGAAGCTTGAGTATTGCTTGGTGAATGAGATGACTGCAGAAAGTTGAGTTCCGGACACGTATCCACTGGCAGCACCGGTGTTGGCAGCGATACCGAGTAGAATCTTCACGTTTGGGTTCTTGCTGACAGTGTGTGCCCAGTTGTCCCAGACGTCAAAGTTGTAGTTCCACTGGATCGTTGCTCCTGGGACATAGCTGCTGACCCCGCATCCGTTGTTGTAATACTGGATCATGATGAAGTCAAAGGAAACCACACCATTTAGAGCCGGGTTGTCAGCGTAATCGGGATAGACGCATTGTGGCGCAGCAGACAAGTAGAACTTCCTGTTCGCAGAAGATGCAGAAGCATCCATCAAACTCCGTAACTCAGTGGCAAAAGTGGCCAAGTTATTGACACCAGACTCAAAATCAAAGTCGACGCCATCCACCACCGCGGAGCCGAATGGGCGGTCTACGGTGCTGTTTGGATTGACAGGGCCAAACATGTTCCAAACAGTCTGGGCCGCGGATGTGGCAGCACTAGCGGACGAGAAGCCGCCCTGTGAATAAGATCCGCCTCCCAGTGAAATCAAGATTGTCTTGCCATATGTTTTTTGGCATGTAATGATGTCCTCCCTAACGAAGATCTAAGCATCGAACATTGGAAGAATTATTACGAGTTTGGGCACTACTTACTCAATTTGGGGGCAATCAAGTGCGTTGGCGTTGTCAGGGAAGGCCGTGCAGTTGTTACCTGCATTGGCAAAGTTGGTAATAACTGGGCTGATGCCATTCATGAACCCAATCGGGATGATCTGTGATAGGTTAGCTAGGCTACTGAGTGAGATCCAAGTCTTTGGTTTTACCCACATCTATCTCGGCGTCTAGAAGTAATCGTTAGCTGTCGTAAATTGATCAGAGTCGATGTTGGACTTACTAGCACAGTAGGTAGACAGGCGTTGCTGAGAGTTTGCTTGATTTGCCGAGTTTTGACCTAGACGCAATGTATTAATTGGAAGTTCAAGTCTAGAAAGAATCGATCCAGCTCACCCCAGTACACGGCAATATTTTGCGTCGAGCTAGCGTTGAAACCAGCTCGTGCCGAGGGCAGCGCGGCCAGCAAGGCTCCTACATAAGCCAGTGACCGAACCATTTTGACAGAATTGACCTATGCAATTTGTAGAGCAGCAAATAACTTGTTGATCGTGCCCCAAAGATGGAATTGCTTATCGATGTCAAGCTATAGATTGCTACTTCCATGAGACTTATATATAATCAGCCCATAGAATAATAGTCCAAAGACTGCGTGGTGGTATTGAGGAGCCGTAACTGCTCCAAGCTTTACTTCACAAGGATAGGCAGGACAGCAAAGTACCACGTTTCAAAACAGCAACCAACGATATCAGCACAACGTTGTATCTGGGGAAGACGGCGATAGCTATGGTAAAGGCTCCCGGCAAGCAGGAATCAAAAGCTAGTTTATACTAAACGCTATCATAATCATGTGCCAGTATGTTGCATACCAGACGACTTATGTGGTCAAGTGATGCGGGCCAGAGGATGGCGGGAGAGAGGGCGAGGGGAATGAGACCCAGCCACAAATTCAGAAATGTGCACCATAAAATTCCACAGGTACAATAACAGCTTGCTGATTGGTGTGCTGGAGAGAAAAAAAGCTCCGAGGCATAATGCTCGCAGATATGGTCGCATCCGTTATCAGGTACAGTTCAGGGGCGGTAGATTTGGGTGGTAGACGGTCTCGCTGGGTTACAATCTGCTGCTCGATTGTGATATTGTAACGTAGGAGCTTTGAGTCACGTTTAGGCTATGTCGCTTCCGAATAAATCCGTTTTTTTAAAATGATTTGTATCTGCGAGTTCCCTGGCCTTTACACCAAATCGCGGCGCCAGGCATTTACTAACTGCCTATATTGGCAACCCTCGGCAACACGGAGGTAAATGGTCCGCCGAATGACCAATTACGTCGAGCGGTACCTGCGCTATCACTTTGTAATTGCCTATTTTGTACTCGTACTATTAACACGGGACACAAAGCTCTCGGCCCTAGTGGTGTTTTATTGTGGCATCTCTGGCCATGGTAAATATGTTGGGCGCTTATTCTGACTGCTGCAAGTGTATGCAACGATCCAACTGGAACAGAGCGGTGCAGCTTGTATCAGGGATATTGGAACACATAGTATCATAGTAGCTGGCTATTCATCCGAGCCCTACATTGATGGCTCTCAAAATTCGCTTTAGTAGGCGTTGGGATGCAGGGGTAGGCTTCGTATACAGCAAGGTACATGTAGAAAACTGCGCTTGGTCGAAGCTGCCCATCTATGGTCTTATTGGTATCTTCCCGTTCTCTTCGTTTAGCTTTAAGTTAAAGCGGTACTGCTGGCGTTATCACAATGCAATACTAGGTAGCCGAGAAGTGGTGCTACGTGTATGGAAACCTTGGGTACATACATGTAGTTAGGTCAGCAAAAGGTATAGTTCCGCCCCCAGTGCCGACGCTCTTCTACATACTAGGCAGTACGCGTAAACGTTATGAAACAAATGCTATGACGATTTTACTGTGCTGCTAACTGCTAGCTAAGTAAGAACAATGCACTTTAAATGTCTTTCCTTAGTTTCTTGCTCTACAAGCATTGAGAGTAATATGCATTCAGGTATGTGCATGTTGAACCAGGAGGACATGCAGTCGGTCCAGTCCAACCTTGGCCTCCGCACTGGCCGTATTTACTATTAGAGGGCATTAGTATGCTATTTCACTTCCTATCTTGAAAGAAAACTTACGTCTGAGTAGCACTTGTAGAGCTTGTCGTCTTTGAAGTTGATGGCGGAATGGTGGTGGTTGGTTTTGTAGTGGTGGTTGGTTTGGAAGTCGTTGGCCCCGAGGCGGTGCTATGCACAGTAGTACTCCCAGATGCTGCGGGGCCGCCACATCCTATGCGGCTCGTCTCAATCGCGATGTCGTCGAACCAAACAGTGTTGATATCTCCGCTGTAGGCCTCCCAGCCAAAGTAGACACCAGTGATGTCAGGAACATAAGATTTTCTAGTCCAGCCGGCGTCGTTCGCATTGTCGGCATTCGGCCCCGCGGTCATGCCCGAGATGAGATTGCCATTCAGCCAGGTCTGCATCGTTCCGTCAGTGCCCAGGTAGTATTCGAAGCACTGAAACGAGCCGGTGGGCAGATTGACCGAGGAGGCAATGCCTTGTGGAGATAGGTCCGGAAGTGTAGCATCGTCGGATTCGCGGTTGTAGTCGAGGACTTGGCTTTGGCCACCAATGCGGAGGTCATCACCACCTTGTGCGTTGTCTGGCATAATAATGAATGTGACATGGTCGTTGTTGAGAGCAGTTTTAAGCTGACTAGAAATGCCCACTCAGTATGCATGGGATTATGTCCTCGGTGAAATACTTACAGCCAAACTCTAACATACACATCGCCGGATGGCACCTTGGTGGTGCCAAAGAAGATGTGTCCGCAAAAGCCATTAGGGCCACCAACGACCTTCATAGAGTTGCTGCCACTATGGGCAACTGTTGTGTCGAGACTGACGGTCCCTCCCTGGTTGCAACTTGGTGCGTAGGTGGGCCACGTGGTCTGGTCCCAGCCTCCCTCAAAATTGTCTGAGATTTGCGCCATAGAGATGGATGAGAGGGCCACAAGGGCCAGTAGAGCAGTCCGGCGGACCATGGTTGCATAAAAGGACTAGTTAAGGTGCTATTGATTTAGTTATTGTCAATTGAATATGACCTGAATCTCTTAAAAGCGTGTCTTAAGAGGACTTAGAGCATAGGGCAAGACTTATTTATATTGCAATGCCTTTCTGTTGTGCCTAGTGTTCTTGATTTGCTCCAGACTTGCTTACGATTTTGTTCAAGCAGCACTTTGTAAAATTTACAACCCAAGTATAGTAGTATTAAACCGCTTTGCCTATATAGATTGGCACTTAACCTCATACATATTTGCGGCTAAAATACAAAATGTGAAATGTTTTTGCCTAATATAGCTAATATACAGCATTATTCAAGCTCTCATCTTGATTTTAAACTTAACCTGTATATAGCTGCAATTATATCAAAATGGATTTCCGAGGGTAAAACCTTGTCTAGGGTCCTTTAGTTTATATTGGCGGACAGGTTAGAGGCTTCGGACAATTAATACTATCATGTAACTAGTAAGAAAAAATCGTAATTCCAATCTAATTGCTATGTTAGCAATGGCTATCTAAACTATCTGAATGAGTGGTATAAAGCAGAGGTATAACTGAGTTGGCCGAGCTGGATCATTAACTTTCTTCAAAATCCTGTCGTGGATCACTGGATCATCTCGATAATCCAATGATCTACCCTGTCGGATGGTCCGACAATTTTTTGGGAGTGCCCACCATAAAGGCTTGTTGCTAGTATAAGAATATCACTATAAATATAGACTTCTCCAGTAATTCGAGGAGTCTACAATGCCAAAATCCAGCAGGGTAAAAGACCGTTCCTCCTTTTGCTAGATAACTGAGGGGTTTGGCTCACCAGCCAGCGTGTGTATATGGATGTTTCAAAGATCCGCATAAATGTACCGGCCGTTATGATTATCTGGTAAGACACTGGGCATAGTAGGGATTCAAGGTAGAGCAAACGGCTGGCGAGGCGCAGATGGTCGGGCCAGAGTATCCGCTGCCACCGCACTGGCCATATAAAGTCTGGCTGGGGCCAGCGGGCGCCGAGGTTGTGATAGCGGAGGAAGAGCTGCGTCTGGTTGTGGCCGATGACGTCGATCTCGGCACCGTTGTAGTTTTACTGCTCGTCCCTCCAGTGCTGACACTGCCGGGAACTGTTGCGATGCTGGTGGCCGTCGCGGTGGAGCTCCTCTGTGTGACGCTTGAAGGGAGGCCTGATACAACGGTAGGGCCAGGAATTGTATACGTCAGTGGGCTGGTGTAAATGTTGAAGAGAATGCCAGGGTCCGACTCTTGGTAAAGTTTGGTTCCTAGGACGCCGGTTGGCTGCAGGGATCCGGTGCCTGTGACGGCGAGATTGAAGCACTGAGGGTAGTTCTGGGCGCCGTCTACTGACCCTGCGCTGTGTAAGGCAATGAGTTCGTGGCGTAGCACGTAGTTGCCTGTCTCGAGATCCGCGGGGATCTGCACAACCCAGGTACCATTGTTGCCGATCAGCACGTCTGAGGCCCATCTGCCCGGATTTCCGCCACTGATGAGACCAATACCATCAATCTTGAAAAATTCAAGCGTTGTCTTATCTACAGTCTCGCAATCACCATTGCAGTTGGCCAAGTAGTCGAGGACGGGGCCTGGGTGTGGCCACGGAATCGGTACCCACTGGATGAGTACAGAGGATCCGGCCATGACAGACGCGTGTCCTCGAGCATTGGTGGCATTCCTATGGCAGATGATGTCGGGTGATTGATATGCATCGGGCGCGACGAAGCCTGCCGAGTAGTATAAATATAACGGACTGGGAAGAGTTTACAGATCAGGATGAGAGGCATTTACCGTTGTCAGTATCACTAGCCGTCCAGCCCACTACAATGGGCGGGTTTGGTTCATATGGAAACAGTGTTGGATCGTAGCCTTGATAGTATGCCCCGTTGATGACTATGTTGTTGACATGTCCGTGTCCGATAACGCCGGTGGCCACCGTCAATGCGGTGACAAGGAGGCTAGTGAGCTTCTGGGTCATGTTTGTAAGTAGTACGGAGTAAATCCTGTTTCTTTGTACGCCCGAAATAATTATTCGACATATATCCAATGCAAGATTATCATGTCTGTATTTATGCGCGATGGCTGCCCTTAGGTACCGTACACAGCCCATCCAACTGGCTCCCTACTGCAGAAATCCAGTTTCCTCTTAGAGTGCCACATTACCCGTCAATTTAAAAGCGAAGACAATATACTATCGCGGCTAAATAATTTACCCCAGAAGTAGAACAATGGAAGGTCTTGTCCCGATATACAGCATCAATTTTGCGGAGAAGGTTACAGCGGCTAGAAAGGATTGGCACTCGCGTGCTCACAGCCGCTCGTTAAGCTAGCACATGAAAACATTGATTACTTCAGACAGTTTATAGAGTTTATACCCTAACTTCTTAGCTAGGATGTAACCAGACTTCTTTTTTATGATAGAGGTATTTATACCAGCTACCGGAAACAAAGAGTAAAACAGTGGATTCAGAAAGTGTTTACTCGTACTATGAGTGAACACCAAGTGAGCACTGCATTTCATGTACTTTTCTTGGTTAGATAACGAGTTAATAGTCAAAACACGTAGATTATATCTACATCTTACTACTATTTACAGGTTGTACAGTAAAAGATATTGCCTGAACCGCGTAAATTATCCGCCAATGCAACCCTAAACTACAATTTATCCCTCGGGAATATATATCTTTATCAACCTTTATATGCACAGTTCGTTATAATAAGGTTATTATTACTTCCTTGCCGTAAATTTTTGGATAATTATTACCCAGTTGGTACTACTGAGCTAGTTTAGCTAATACATTGCGTTGAAGTAAATGTCCAGTTATTTCCCTGCCTAGTTGTAGAGGTTCATCCACCAGTATATATTGAGACTATAAATTAAATTATTTATCAAATGAACTTACGTTATAATTTGCATTATGCCTTGTATTACAGCCCAAGAATCTATCACGCGCACTGTGCCTCTTTCAACACAGGGCAAACATTGCCCGGATACATCTGCGCTTTGCGAATATTTGTAAGATACGTAATCAGTGCAGAATACCAGTATACCGCCTAACAGTAACGGCAACACCCGCTTCCCATAGTTTTTGCGCATACGCCTAGCTCTTGTCCCACACCAAATCGAATTTAGCGGTTGCAACAAAGGTCTTGCAGACACCCCGAAGGTCGCCATCAATAGGGCTCGCAAAAAAGCGAAGATGGTTTTCTATACCTCTTTGTTGAGCGTCATACTTAGGCACAATATTATCTATGAAAAATTTCATGCATTGCCAATCTAAACATAGGGAAAACTCGTTCTTCACAAACGAAGGGTACGTTGAGTCTACGGCCTTATTCAAATCAAGATGCAACGTTATCGCTGATATCACATGAATAGCTTATACACTGGTCAGTATAGTGTAGCAATAAATAGCGCAAGTATACACATACCAAGCTTAAGCAGAAGACGTGTGTCTCGCACAAGCTGATGGCATACTTCGCTTGTGTGGCCGCCGGCCGAGATGCCTCCGATGGATATAGAGCCTGATAGCGTGTTCAATTCAAGATTGTGGCTGTACATCTACAAAGCGTTAGTAACATGTTTTATCTGTAAGAGGTATTATATACGTACCCATTTAATCACAGACCAGGCGTCATCGTAGCCTTGTAAGGAAACATTCTCTATACCCGAGACTTGGCATATTTAGCTTGAGTTTATGTACAGCATTATACCTACCGCAGACGGTAGTCTACATCAATGACCAGGATGCCAACTCGATTGCGAATCAGTATACACAGCTCTGTATCTGTTGGAATATAAACCTCAATAGCCTTCTGAAAAATAATTCCCTTTTTTCATTTCAACAGTATCGACGGTCAAATGCCCAAGGGTGTAGCCACCTCCTTTGAATACAGTAAGAAAAGCTTTCCAAAGAGCGATCGGCAAGTAAAACTACTTACATGGAAGTTGGTATACACGGGATATAGCCCAAGGCCAAACGGAGACGTTTGTGCATCTGAGCTGTACTCTCAAGCCATAATGTGGTGCCCGTCATCGGAAGGTATCTTGATGTCATTGATAAAGGGTTCCAATGCACGGCACCAATGCTGGCTGTACCGTTTTGGCGCCGCACAAATATCTGCAATTTTGGCCGTGTACCCAGGCGGTTTATGTGCAAAGGACAAATTATAATACTCCTTGAAGTCTTCATCTAACGACTGAAGAAAGGATGCATGGATTGAATTCTGACCAAGACCACCTGCCAATGTGGCGGGAGGTTTTATCGTGAAAGGTGTATTAACAAATAAATCCTGCCCCGCCCTGTTACCTTTCACCAAGCTGAACAATGTCAAAAAGAGGCGCAGGTTTGGGGACCCCGGAATTGGTTCTTACATTCTTATTCATCTCCATTTGGCGGCATCATAAGCAAGCTGAGCCCCATATTCGTGCGTGATGACAAGATCTCCCGGCTTTGCGCTTCAAGCCACGCCGCGTGTCAATTTTAACCCTTAGCTGCAGCTACCCTGTTCCCAACAGCTCTAGTGTTAAAATTGACACGACCGCTTGAAGATCTCCCTATATGCTTATATGTTATACTGTCGGGGCATGAAGGCTTTCAACCATGAGTGAGACATCTCATGATCGCTGCTTCCACGGTTTAATTCTTTCGCGAGCTCCGGTGTTGTGACTTTGTTAAACAGCAGGCGGCTACGGTAGTTTAATTAAGGGTCGCATGACGCAGGGACGAACCGAAATCTTGATGGCGGCATAGGTCTCCTGTAGATCTCTATATAAACTTGGAGTATTTTTTTTTTGTTGGGGGGAAAACATAATGACTATATATTTATATTTAAAATTTAGTTAATCGTAGTTTTCAAGTTGTGAATAGTGTAATCTTTTAGGGCTTTTCAAAAGTTAAGTTGTAGGTAATGCTAAACTAATGTGTTGGTTTTTACATTGCTAAGTAAGCTTTGTCGTTAAAACACGGACGCCTTGAGATGGATTTCGAGGGTATCCGAAAATCCTATCCTTAATAACTTCTACATCCGCTTCTGTCGTCTCATGTAGTTCTAGACAGAATCGTCTAACTATGACAGCAACTGTCATGAACATTTCTGCATATGCCAAACTAAAGTTATAAAAGCACGGGAACATATTAGTAGGGACCCAACGAAAGCAGAAGTAATTGAGCAGGCCTTGGATGCTGTAAATACGTACTTCATGCCTAGACAGTGCCTTGTTCCTTTGCCGAACGTAACAATATACTTTTGCAGACGCTCTCCATTCTCTTCAGCAGTAATCCAACGCTGTGGAAGGTACTTTGCAGGGTTTGGGAAAAGAACAGGGTCCATATGAAGAAAGTAATTACACTCGCTTATTCCAGTCTAATGGTTGTTAATCATAGTTTCACCCCTTCCACAGAGTCATCGTTTGAGAAAGGGTACGTACACCTGGTGGGATAGCACGGCCCTGGTAAATAAGTGGTTCAGTAGGGGCAACCCGGGGGAGTCTAGTCAATGGTCCAATGGACAAGCGAAGACCTTCATAGATGACGCCCCTCTACCAAGTATTAGATCGGAAAGTACGGGCTAATTCAACGGACTTACCAGGTATGGCAGGGTTTCCAGGTCTTTCCATGTTAAACGTTCCATACCCTCTGGAAAGGTCTTTATAAGTTCCTGTTGGAGTACACTGTAGTAAGCTCCGTTGTCTTTAAGTAAATGAAACATAATGAAAGCCAGTGTCTTTCCTGTTGTAGTTCCTGCATTCATGAAAACAAAGCCCTCATCATTGAGCCTCTCCAGACTTCTCTCCGATTCTGGGATGCTTGGGTTATTGAGTACTTGTATTAACATTGCATCGCTGGTCTTTCCTTGCTTCATTGTATGAAGTTCTTCAATTGTAATAGCGTTGATTAGTTTCCGAAGGCCTAGCACCTTACTTAACATGGGATTTAGAGACTGAACCACTCGAAACGGCAAGACTTTTGCTCCCTTCATAACGATGGGGAAGAATCTGACAATGTGAAACAAAGTAAGACTCGCAAGTAAGCTCTCTCGAATGTCATTCTTGAAATCTTTGTCTTCCAGGTAGCCGAAGCACCGACCGTATGCGTACTGTGAAGTGATATCTGCTGTTAGAGCTGAGAAGGCAGAGTCCAGCTTGATAACGGTTTTATTCAGATAAGCTGTTTCGAATCTCTGTGAGAGCATATTGACTTTTTCTAAAATCAGTGGCTCGATAGCCACAATTGATCGTTTGGAAAAAGCGCTCATCAGCGGCTGGCGGCGGGAGTTATGCAGCTTGTGGTCGTGTGTCTCAAATGCAGACTGTGTAGCACCAGTGAAGTGGTAGAATGGCGCATATTTGTCTTTTGGGTTCTTGTGACCGGAGTAAATCTCGCTATGGAATTCGGGGTCGCTAAAGTGAAGCTCATTTGGGGTGATGCGGACAACTGGGCCTAATACATTTTATCAGTAATCGATGGGCAGGAGGATAGGGCAAGAACCTTGCACTTGCCATATTGTTCGTGCAACTCTATGAGCTTCCAAAGGAACATGCCATCTTTGATGACACTATAGTAAAACTCGTAGCCAGTTGTCACAGCTGCAAACTTAGGCCCGGGGAAACCGGCTAATGGATGAAACCAGAGCCGGTAAGAAGCTTTCAGAATAGTGTAAATAATGAAAAAAAAAAACACTCCAACAGCCACATTAGGGTCACAAAGAGCATCAGATAAACTGCTCGAGGAAAACAAAATGTTTGCCAACATTATTCCTTGATCTTGTGCTTTATGTTGTTTCAATAGTTTAGACGTCAGTTGTATGTTTTCTGAGGATCTTATCAGAGATCAGTGGTTTATAGACCACCCAGTGGTTCGAAAAGATACTCTTCAATAGAATGATACACTGTCATGCGGTTCTTATTAATTGAGCCGCCCACCGGTCGAGTTTGTCTGCCAATGATGTGCCGGTAAATTATTATAGGTTGCTCTATACGCTATTACAACAAAGCAAAGTTGAATGACGCTGGATTGTCCGGCAATGCTTATCACATCTCCTCTCAGTATGTCGGCAGGCTTTCTAAACATGCCAAGCGGAGGGTCAGACTGTTGGTTGAATGTGACTCACGGCCCCATCTCTCCCCACTTACCTCCCGCTTTTCCCTTACCTTTCTGGAGACAGGAACCACTTCCCGCTTTATCGTTACAAATATTACCCATCCTGCATATTAGAGTCCCAGGGATATTTGACAAAGGTTCTTCCATTCATACCAAGCCGTGCACCATAACAAGGGTACAGAGCCAACAGAACGCGTATTGGCATTTTTAGAGTCGTATTCCGAGACAAGGTCCTTGCAATGTCTTTCGGCAGGCTTGGTGAAGGATGAACTGCAGCCGTGAACCAATCACGCTTCCCCTGTAGCAGATATCCGACAGCAATATCCGTATCTTTCATGGTGGGGGGACGGATACGAGTATGGCTTGGTCACCTATAAAATGGGCTGACTCGGGTTTCTTAGGCTTAATGACATTAGATCGCATAGCTAGTGTGTTAGTAAATACAAGAGAGAATAGAAGACGAAAGTATTGAATTCTATCGAGGCTTGGTCACAATGGCTGGTATACTCAAGAAGTATATCAAAGGTGAACTCGATCAGAGGTTCCCATTTGTCTTGTTTCTGTTCGCCATATAACAAAATTATCAACTGCTATCTTGTCTAATTAATAATACATCCGGATATACATCCTTTGACATCCTTCCCGCAATGCGATTATAAATTACATGGCAGGGACTGCGGAACGAAACCCGTGCCCCACACACATGCATATAAAGGGTGGGATTGTTATGAAAGAATTTTCTGTTGACATGGCACAGCCTTGATTTGTGGGCTTTCGTTGGTTGTTTGCTTGGAACCAACAGTCTGTTGCATCGTAGGAGCACTTACATATGTAGTGGAGAAGGTTGCAAAAATTATCACGCCATGTACTCCGTAAGATATTATAAAGTCCCCGTAAAAAAGCAAACTCTAAACCTCACTCGTGAATAAATTCAGGAGTAGAGTGCATCATAATATGTCACATGGAGAGTTATTTAAGAGCGTTTTCTAAGTGTAAGAATATATGCATATTCATGCGTTGAGGCTACCTGTCAGAGATCTGGATGCTTTCTTGCGACAAAGAAGCAATAAAAATTGAACTAGGTATTTTGGCTTAAGGGAACGCTATAAAACAAGAGCTTTCTCTCTTTGTTGAACGAAATCAGAGATAAATACAATCCATATTGCCACGTAGCCGCGGCATCTGTGCGAGTTCGCTTTGTTCCAACTTTTGATCTTCATCACTCTTGTCTTTGTGCCTTGGCTCCTGACACTATCACTATCAACTACATTGTAAATATAGATCATTCTATTGCAAGCGTATGATGTAAATGGCTCAAACTTATCAATATTGTAGAATTCACCGATTGACGTTGTGTAGATCTTTCCTGAATGGATGTCTTCAGCATTGGCGATCCCTCCCTTTCAGGGGTATAGTAATTGCAGGCAGGGCATAATGGGTCCAGCTTGCGTCAGAGGTTCATCCATTCTATGAATAATCAACAAGTCTACATGATTTATAACTCTTTGTTAGCTTACGGTGTACCGCCTCTTGGCTGCTATTCAGGAATTACTCGATATTTATGCAGAATGGAGGACTAACATCAAGTAACATCCAGTGGGACTCAGTTGCATTTAGAAGGAGCGCAGGATCAAAGGAACAAGGCAATGTTCAAGCAGGACACGAGGCAAGGAACAAAGATGTCTTGGCCCAAAGATAGCTGACTTGACATACAGTTCAAGATGGATACGAAGGCCGAAGCGAGGCTGTCAAGGTCCATAGTAAGCAGATATTACACCACAAAACCACTGTGTACGATAGAGGGCCAACATCTAGTAACATCTAGTGGAACTCAGTTGTATTTGGAAGGCGCGTAGGATCAGACAAATACGATACGGTTCAAGAGGAATACATTGCAAGAAACGAAGCTGTCATGGTTCAAAGTGAATAAGCATAACAACACAGAAATATAAAATTGACAACAATGCTTGAGAATCCAGACTAAGGCATTCAAACAGCATCATTCAGCACTTTATTTTATGCCTACTTGGCAACTAGAATCATATATCTGTTTTCTATCTTCCGAAGCCATTCAATATGAATGAAGAAAAGAAATTACGATCTGATTCGTTTGTGGGAACACCCTCTGCGGTACTCCGCGAACTGGATGTAACCGTTCGACTATTAAAATCGAATGCAATTGGTTTTCTTTTCATTTTCATGGGTGGGCTGCTATCCAGAGTCGTCCAAACACCCTTATCGCTGGCAAAAACAATCCCATTGCTCACAGAGACGGCCATTCTATGGATTCTTTGCAACTATGTCTTTGATATCGCCAACCAAACTTCGTCTCCAGATGAAGACTATATAAACAAGCCACATCGTCCTATTCCCGCTGGTCTCATCACCATCAAACAAGCTAAGACACGCTGGGTGTTGGCGTGGACGTTGGGGCCTGTCGCTCTCTATCGTCTCTTTGGCGTCTGGCCCATGCTGCATCTTTTGCACTGGGAGGTTTTGATTACAGTATGTTATGTATGGCCCAAGTGGTTTAGTTGGTTTATGCGCAACTACTTCGCCTCCTTTTCATACTGCATCCTCGGGCGGCTCTTAAACTCGGTTCTGGCAAGAAATGTGGAAGCTTGGAACATCAGCTTTGCTATCGACTGTAGCATTTTTGTCTGGTTCATGGCAACCATTCACATTCAAGAATTTCACGATCTTGAGGGTGACCGAAAAAGCAAAAGGAAAACTCTTCCTATGTTGCTTTCTGACCGAGGCATAAATGCTCTTCGAACAGGAACCTCCCTTTTCGTTCTCACCTTTGGGACATGCCTGTGCTATATTGGATATAAAGTAATGGATAAAGATATAAAGATTGCACCCATGTGTGTTCTGCAGCTGTTCTTATCCTGTATCCTCGCCTACAGAATTTCCACATCTGATGGGCCTGCAATGGACAAAAAGACATATCACGTCTATTATTACAGTGTAGTACTGGCAATCCTCTTATGTTTGTGTTTAATACAGAAACAGCTAGCCTAATGAGCCGCTATTACTACGTTGCGTGTCAACACCCGAGCGATGTGACTCTGAGTCACGATGCTGAGGGTAAACAAATTATTGATACTCTGTGTAATCTGTTCTTCGGGGTTGTAGTATAGCAAACTGCGTCTATTGAATGATGGCCGGGCTTGATAGTCTAGAACTCAATGAACCAATTAGATCATACTGGCACTATGATACCTTGCTACACGGATATATGATAGACTCCAATTAGAAGAAATAATAAAGACCTGCCTACTTGGTGCGATCTAAGTTATGAATGCGATTGATAAAGGTAGAAATAGGCATCCGCTGCCTTATGTTCACAGATAGGGGAAATAAAGTACCACATGTTAATGGAAGGATATAGAATCATAAACCGGATAGGACGCTAAGATGGATTGCTTACCCTGGCGGTGTCGTTAAGTCTCTCCATCGCCAACGCTCAAAGCTGCCCTTTGTGCATCGAGATGAGCCCATCATCACACATAAAAAAATATATGAACGAGACTTATCCTACAGTTGCTCTTGTCTACGACTAATCACTTTGTCATCCTGCACATTTATTTGCGTCGAAGCAATCTCCAAGTAATCTTTTAGCAACAGCTACTTGCACTTTTCATCATTCCATGAAGATTCGTATATCGGTATTATTTACCCCCCTCAACCCTGCTTACAGCTTCTGCATAGCAACAACATCGGTAGACTGAACGTAATCCTCAAACTCCTGAATCTCTTCCTGAAGCTCATCAGTAGAGACTTTGTCGTCCTCAACAACCAGATTGATTTGCAGCTTCTTGATACCGAAACCAATAGCGACCAGCTTAGATTGACCCCAGACCAGGCCATCCTTTTCGATGCCACGAACAGCCGCCTCGAGGGCAATCATGTCTGTCTCGTCATCTTCAACTCCAGTTAGCTCGTTTATCATTAATAGCCTTCAACTTAAACCATCACGCATTCAGGATAGGCAAGCTGGAGCTTAAGACAGAACAATATTTCAACTTACCCCAGGGCTTCACGTCCAGAGTAACAACAGATTTGGCAGCGGGTTTTGCCTTGCCCTCCTTCTTTTTACGGTACTCTGCCAAACGCTCCTCACGGATACGGACGGCCTCAGCGTCCTCTTCCTCATCGTCACTGCCGAACAGGTCGACATCATCATCATTCTCTTCGGCGGCGGGGACCTTAGTGGCGTTCAAGGTGACTTCAGCGAAGTCAGGGCCATAGGCAGTATAGGGCTTGGTAGTATCTCCGCTAAGGGTGGAAAACTCGTCCTCGAAGGTGGCAATGTGCTTGTACCATCGAGCAGCGTGAGGGTATTTGGCAGAATCGGGGGAACCCTGAAGGGCCTTGAAACAAGCGACGTCGGCCTGGGTAGGAGCGTAGCTATTTGAAGGGATCAGAATTTAGCGAAAATAAGGTCAGTAGTAGGTGATATATTGTGATTGGGAGGGACAAAGAGGGCACTGGCACAGAACGTATTTTTAGACAAAGCAAGTCTACTGCGATTTTGTCTTAAAACAGTTGAAAGCGCCGTGGGCGTAATTGTTGTATCAAATGATATAAGTAGGTATTGAGAATATTTCGTTAAAGGGAGTCAACTATACCCAGTGACATAGGAGCGAGTCAATAGCCAGTTATTGAGCACTACAATATTGTCAGCAGAGTAGTTTCGTGGCAGGTGTATACAGCTTTTGCGATGGCTCACCGGCAAGGCCAGTGTCGGCAAGGAGGTCGGTGAAACCCATGATAACAAAAGGTGGTAAATAGCAGTAATGGAAAGAATATCTTAAACGTATATGTAGACGGAGAAAAGTTAGCGAAGGGATGGATAAAAGAGGATATTTTGCAAGGTAAGGGAGGTGGCAGGATGTAGGTGCCTATTAAAAAGAATTCCTAGAGATCCATAGACGGCACCTACCACCCAACTTCCTCCCGCCTGCGACATTACTACCACTAAACCCCTGTCGATACGACCCAACCAATGCTACGGCCCACAGTTCTAGTGCGAGATTTACCACACACATCATCAGTAGTTTTAGACAGCAATGCAGCTACATTAGCAGCGTGGATCCTGGAGCGAAGCCTGGCTTAATCAGTACAGTGGGGTACGACCAAGGCAGTTGTGAGTCAAAAGTAAAGCTGCTCCTCTACCAGAGTTAATATTTTCTATAACATTTCTGCGAGACTTCCTCCAGCCAGGCAAGAAATAATAACTCCCGTTAATATATTTCTAGGAAATGTGGTTTTTGAGTCAATTTGGACAGTAGTCTATCGTTACGTCTTGAGCATAGACCGATTGCAGGAGCCTGTAGGGTGGTCACAAGCAACAGCTAGTTCTTTTCCCAAGTTTCAGCAGCTCTGCTTGTCCTTATCCTCGGGATTAGAGCCGGTGGCGGTGGCATCGACTTCCATGCCATTAAGTGTGCATCACCTTACTACACCTTATTTAACATATGTCCGTAGTCTATCACAGCTAAGTGTGGCAAGGTTTCGTAGCTCTGAACACACTCTATCATATTTTCATGTATGCGTATTTTAGCGGAGATGAATACCTTCGATCTGCGTTGTTTATCATAGACACGATCTAGTTGCTTATAAGATAAGCAGATAAATCGTAGATTATATAGACAAAGAGGATGGAAGGCAATCAGCCTTTGCGGCCACATAAATTTATTTCTGCCTTGGAATTTCGTATTTTCTGTACTAGATTCCAAAATTATGGCTTTGTTCTTTTTCGACCAGAGCTGCTGTCTGTAAATGTCTGTAAAGAAGGGTTATATTGATTTCGGAGCCAATTCGCGTTTGAGAGCCAATTGCGGGTCAGAAGGGGAGTGATTTACAAGAAAGCCTAATATAATTCAGCTTACAACCGAACAGCAGGCCAGAATCAAACTCCCTAGGTCACCAACTACAATTACAATTACCGTATAACGATCCGTCATACCGCTAAGTCAACAGGGCAAAAGATTAGGCCAACAATCATCATTGTAGTCAGTATTATAACGGAACCAGTTGTTTAAAAAGAATTGGCGTTACGAGGGACTAGGTTGCAAAAGTATTCGTTAAACTGCTGCATACTATATACTAACAATAAGCCTTGATATGGAATTTGTAGTTTCTTAGTGTATTGGTATACTGCCCATGTCTTTTACGATGCCAGCTATATTTTGGTTCCAACTCATGACTTACAAAAACATGATTTATCGGCCAATCTATAAGTGGTCCAAGGTTGCCATTCACAATATCTCTGATAGCGATGCAAACATGTTCCGCCCATCCCTTCAACCACCATTCCTCTACCGTCTTAAGCAGAACTGCAAAATAAGTCAGAATTGCCAGTGCGGCCGAATCCTCGGACCGAATTGCCTGTATGTACTCTCCATACAGTCGATACAACCAGCCTAACACGTACTGGTAATCTTGCGAGACTCCGCAGTTACCGCTCTCGTCACCGTATATACCTTCAAACAACTTAACAAGTTCAGCAATGGGGTGAAGACAGAGTTTGGCATACGTTCCCTCCTGTAGGATTACAAAGCGCTTCAAGTCTGCCAACGCCGAGTGCCATTGTAATTGAGCCTGGCCGAGCTTTTTGCAAAGAGGCATCTGGGGAGCCTTTTTTGCTGGACTACCTGGCAAAGGACTCAACGGTGACATCAGCCCTGCGAAAAGTGCACTCGGCGTAAAGGCTTCGCGGATAAGACGAAGACCACTGACCAAATTTATCCACCGAATATTTTGCTTATTTCCCAAATAGCAGATCATTAAGTCTTCTGGCCCACCTGGCCCTGCTGCAAAATTGCAATAGCACATAAGTGTTGCTCCAAGATAGGCAGCGCCGCAGTTATTGTCGTCCAGGTGACTGGTTGTACTTGCCAAACCCGCTGTGCCACGAGCTAAATGCTTAGATGCCAAAGTCTTGTAGTGCAGCTTTCGCTCTTCATCAGAACACTGCACCGCAATATGATATGCAGTGAGGGCATATATAAGATGAAGCACAAATGGATACGATAGTCCAATAAGAGGAGCATTTGTGGTCCAAAACTTAGTAATTCTGTCATCGGGCGACAAGCCACCAGAGAGTGACTGTGCTGTTGACTGAACAAAATGCAAAAGTAGCTCAGTATCTTCCAAGTTGAGACCATCCGCGTGGGTCCCTGTATCAGTCATATTCAAAGTTGCCACTGCAGAATTTGCGTTGGACTCGTTCCACGCATCTGATGGCAGTATTCTCCAATCGTTTCTAGGCCGACCTCTACGTCTTCGGCATGACGCTGCGCGTGGTAACAACTCATCAGCATATACAATTGCTCTTTTTGGCGCTTTCGGCGATTGTTGATCCAAGGTTGGCCAGGAACACACTATGCCAAAGCTTAAACAGGAAGAGCATCTTGGCTTCGTCTCATCGCACTAGGAACAGCCGGTCAGCGATTGTTTTGAGTGTCTATAGGCCACCTTCCAACGGTTACTTACATAGCCTTACCTTGATTTTGCGCCTTTTACAGTTGATACACCCAGCCCTAGACTTTTTGTGTGGTCGTCTGCTATGTTTGGCCATATTTACCTCGGTGGATGAAAGAAGTGTGATTGCTGCAATGGGATCTCATAATACTCCACGCGCGCCAGTTATAACGTGCTTCAAAGCTGCAGTCCTTCGGACCAAAGCCCATGTATTATAGTAGGTGGCGATAACAATTGGCTTTTTTAATAATTTTTTTTTTTTTTTTTTAAATGATGCAGAGGGCAACGAGCTTGCAAAGTACGTATATGTATTCTGAGGCATGGAAAAGTGCAAATGTGGAGAAGCCCACGCGTCATGTGGGTCGAAACTCAACGGACCAAAACGGATCATTAAAAGTATTCGATGGGTATTGGTTGCATTTTTCGTATTTGCATACGAAAAATATCCGCATGATACAACATTCATAGTATTCTTAGTTTTGTTACAAGTGAAAGACAAAAATGAACAGTCTTTTAATTAAAAGGATCTTCTATAAATACCATAAGGTGATACGCAGTATTAGAACTACAGATACCATACGGCCTTCTATTTCTCTTGACCATCAAATCGTTCTCTGTCTGCCTCACATTCTCCCTCTCCTTAATCCACTCTTCCAAAATGGACAATCTTGATGAGAACGAGATGGGCGATGGGCCATTCGGCCCAGTTTTAAATGGCACAATGGTCATTGTGTTTTACGACTATCGGCCGAATCAAATAGCTGGATACCTATTCATGGCTTTATTTGGCCTGGCATCTTTGGCACATTTGGTATATATTGTGAGATTCAAAGCTTGGATGTTTATACCCTTTATTATTGGGGGAATGAGTAAGCCATCACAAAATGTATCGAAAAGGAAACCAAATCTCACGAAGCCGTTGCAATAGGTGAGACTTTTGGCTATTACGGTCGAGCTCTATCCTACCATCACCCAGCACGACTTGGTCCTTGGATTCAGCAAAACCTGCTGATCCTCGTAGCCGCTCCGCTTCTAACGGCCACAATTTACATCAGTCTGGGGAAAGTTATCAATGCCCTACAAGCGAATAGCCAATCTTTAATAAGCCCCAGATGGATGACGAAAATATACATCCTCATTGATCTGGTATGCTTGTTGAGCCAGCTTGCTGGTACGGTTATGCCTGCCTCCGGGGACACGCGCGTTATTGAGCTAAGTCGCAAGGTCATTTTCGGGGGCTTACTTGTCCAACTGGCTGCCCTCTTATTATTCTGCTATATGACTTGGTATACCAGTCGGGAAATAAGTTGCGCGGAGGCCAAGATATTTGCTGCAGATGCAGGTGTCCATTGGAAGAACCACTTTCGAACCATACTTCTGGCTGCAAGCCTAGTTTTGATAAGAAGTCTCGTACGGGCCATCGAGTATGGGCAAGGCGAAGATGGGTTCATCATATCACATGAGTTGTTCATATACTTGTTCGATGCAGCGCCCATGTGGTTCATTATGTTTGCGTTCCTGCTGGTTCATCCTAGTCGACTTTTGCGAGATGCATACCTGTTGCTAGACCGACATGCGCTGCTCGCATTGCATCACCCACAATAATGACGGGAGTATACACGGGAGAACTTACTAGCCGTGGTACCAAATCACGATTACAAAGCTCAATTTGAGAAGCAAATGTACACAATCCAGTGAAGTAATAGGAAGAGACGCTGCTAGGGTTCTTTTTCATCTCATTCAGGATCGTGATAACCTCTATCTTATCAATGGGGATCTAAGGAAACGGTTAGTTAGTTAGACACATATATGTTTACTTGTTTTATTTATTTGCCGCTCAATACACAATTGAAACAGCTATTGAGTTCTGAGTCTGGATTGTCTATAGTTTTAGAAGAATATTGCGTATCAACACCTTGTGAATAAAGAACGCGCCGTGGTGATGTCTTGAATAAAAATCCCCGTTTTGGCGCACGATGCACAGTGGCCAAAATGAAGCCCGGTTTTTTCGCCTCCGTATATCTTTTTTGTTATTAGAGTCCTTGAAGCCTGAACTACGGAAAAAGAATACCCGGGTAGTCTTGATACTTTTGAGTGAAATTGCGCATTTTCTAAGTAACTCACTGAAGAGATCTTTGAGGTTTGCATTTGTGATATCGGATATGCTGGCCATGCATTTGTCGAGGTTGCATTCGCTCTCAATGGGTACACATGTGAACCAGATGCTCCTGTGCTGGCGGACCATTTAGGAAACATATCCTCCTCAATGTGGGATATATTTTTTGGAGTATCCGTACTACGACCTCTTTTTGGGCTGAGGGAATTTCTAACATCCTCCACAATGGCGGCTTTTCCCGCTTATTAAGAATGACAATTGACAATGGCTGGATGCTGTTAGAATCAATGAGCTCTGCTACTGCCTGAGATGCACGAATTGCTGTGAGATCAGAATTCCCTTCTTGTAAGCACTAGTCCGGCTACAAAGTGCCGTAGGTTGCATGCTGTGCATTAAAGGATTCCAAACTCAGGGCATGATTTGTCACTATGAAATCCCCTGCTATTGACAGGCAAGTATATCGAGCATGCAAAATTCAGCACCTGTGAAAATAGATATAAAGACAGTCACAGCTGAGGTCTAGTATAGATCCTTGATCGAAAATAACTAGCTCTATTGTTTTTATTTTCAGGAGCCCATTCTTTTTCAAATTTAACTATCCACTCTTGCCAGCTCTCTCTCAACAAGTTATTATCTTTTACACAAAGATTCACAATGAAGGGTTTCACTATATCTCTTTACCTTCTTGCGCTTAACATGCGTCTCTCAAGTGCTGTTCCCAGGCCTCAATACCCGGATGGGGCTGAGCTATATTTTCTCGAAGATAACCCGGAAGGTTCATCTGTTGTCTCAATTAGCATTGGCCGAGATGGCAAGTTGTCCCAACCGCACCACACGGCTACCGGCGGCAAGGGCTTCGGCATTCAAGGTTCAAATGGCGAACTTATCTCTGGTGAGTAGTATAATTGAAGCTGATATCAATAGTATTATGTGGTGAAAAAGAACCGATACACTGACCACCGATATCAGCTGGATTGCATTCTCAAGATGCTCTTGTGGTAGATGGCCCATGGTTACTTACATTAAACTCTGGTTCCAATACAGTATCTCTATTCCAAATTCCCGAACATGATCCCGCGCGGCCTGTATTAACAGGGAAGCCTATATCGACTGGGGGCGAGTATCCCAACACAGTGGCACTCTCAGCTAGACATAGACTTGCTTGCGTGGTGAATAGCGGTGCTATTCCCGGTTTACAATGTTATTCTATTTCGAAAACTGGTAGTCTCGAGCCTTTGGGTAAGTTGAAGCCGTTACAGGTTAACGAGCCGACGCCGCCACCAGGAGCCCCTGGGACTGTCTCTGACATCGTCTTCAACCCCTCTCAGACTGCCATCTTTATCACAGTCAAAGGGGATGGCAGTAATAACAACACAACTCCAGGCTACATTTATGCCTTTCCATTAATTAACGGAGTGCCTAGCGACAAGCCCGTTATATCACGACCACCACAGTTGCATGCTGATTTTGCTTTAACCTTTATCTCGGACAGACGCGCGGCAATTGCAGATACAAGCTTTGGCGCTGCATTACTGGACATTTCATCTGACTTTAAAGTCAGCGTGAGCCGTACTATTGAGGTTATTGGCCAAAAGGCCACCTGCTGGATCAAATATGTGCCTGAATACGATGTTGTGTTCCTCGGCGATGGTGGAGTTTCTAATATCACCGCACTGGATGCTAGGAGTGGAGATATCAAATATGTTGTCCCGTTTCTGGCTGAGGCAGGTGGTTCCTTTGATTTCGCCTTTTTGGGTAATTTTCTTTATACCCGTAGGGGAAACTCTGCTGTCTCAGTCATCGACCTGCAGGACAGTAATAAAAAGGGCGACCAACAACTTCCCAAAATTGTTGAGTTATATAACACAAGTTCACTCGGGGCTGCAGCGAACTTTAACGGCATGGCAATATTCAGTTACTAGGGTAGCTTAGAATTTTGTTATCACAACAAATTGTCACAATAGGTTTGGTTGAGGAACTTTATACTACTACTTGGCATATAAGAAATTGGTTATTTATGGGCTGGCTTCAAGGAAATAGTAGTGTGTAGTAAGATATATAAGGATAGCGAGAGCCTTTTTTGGCACTAATATTTCCGTCTATTGTGTTGGGATAGATTTAAAGTGGCTGAGTGCCATTGGCCTGGCCATAGCTGTAAATATCTAATCTGTTAGAACCGCCACAAGTTTCAGCAGCGTTACCGGCGCAATTCATGTTGCATTGAGCATTTCCGTCCGGAGCAATGGTAGCACCATTCGCGAGGCTGTTGCCACAGTCTGAAAATCATTAGAGGCGAGGCCAAAAGGTTACGAGCTGGAGTTGGACTTACAGCATTCATCAGCAAACTCAAGGCCGGCAAGAACGTATCCCAAGCCTTTGCATACAGTTTGACATGCCTCAACAGTCATTGACGTTGGGCCGCCGGGAACAGACTCGGCAATCAAAGCTCGAGCGTCGACGCTGTCTGTATAGCATCCTCTGAAATTCCAGCCGGTGGCCACTGGCGGTGGGGCGCTCCCAGTCGAGGTTGCCAAGCTGTAGACATCGAGGCGGTTCGGTCCTCCACAGGTTTGCTGCGGAGCACCGCTGCAAGTCATAGTACATTGAGCATTTCCGTCAGGGGCAGGACCACCTCCATTTTGGACTTTGTTGTCGCACCCTAGGTATCGTTAGATATATTGGAGTATCGCTATCTTGTGACACTTACAGCATTCTCCCGAGTATTCAACGCCTGCAATAGTATATCCAGCAGATTTGCAAGCTGCTTCGCACGCATCTATCGACATGGCAGATGCACCTCCTGGGACTTGCACCTGGTTGCCCAGAGTTCGGCCGTTAACGTTATCGGAGTAACATCCTAGGAAATTCCATCCAGTTTGCTTCGGTGGCGATGAGCTGGTAGTTATGGTAGACATTGTTGTAGGGCCTGTTGTGGATTTTGTTGTTGAAGAAGAAGGAGGAGGAGGAGTCACGCCTCCGCTCCCCGAAGCAAGCCGGAAAAGAGCCACGATATCAGCGAAAGCATTGACATTGGCGGAAGCAATCGCCAGCACATTTCCATTCTCCACGACTTGGTTGACAACGCCCACAGTTCCCAAGTTGTAAATGCCAATGTTGCTGAGTGTGCCTTCGAGATCGACGATGTTGTTTTGGCAATTTTCGGGGCCCAGAGCTGCGTCACAACCTTTCAACTGTTAGCTTACTAATGGAAAAGTAGCAAAAAATAGCTTACCTGAATTTCCATCGTTATTCTCAAAGAAAGAATATAAGCCGGCGGCGTAGATGAGGACGTTCTTGGAGCTAAGGATCCTCAGACCCCAAGCGTCGGCGCATCGGCCAGATTTACCGGCGCACGAGGTGGCAAAGTCAGGGTCATTTAGAGCAGTATTGACAGCGAAAGGTGTCGGAGCATTGGGATTTGGTTGGTAGTAACTGTGCAGAGTTTCTTTTTTTAGCAGTGATTATCATGTGAGAGCAAGTATTATACTTACGGTGTCTCTGTCTGAATCACTCCCGCATATATGTTTTGTGTGTTGGCAAATTGATACTGGTACAGAGTATGGTGCTCAACAGCCGTTCCGACACTGTTATCGGGTGTCAGTAAGTCACTCAAAATAGGAGAGAATAAATTTGAAGGAACGTCGGATGGAAGGAAGAACATACAGCCAGAATGTTCCTGCAGTACTCTCAATGTACAAGCCTCTGCCATTGAATATCGTGATTTGGGTGTTGCTTGAGTCGTCAATATCGTGGTCCGCGGTCCAGAACCAGTTCTTTATACATTAGCTTATGATGAAATCTGGGTACTGGTCGACTCACATTCTCCATGTAAAGGTTGCTTGCGCCAGCGGTTACATGCATGGACATGTAAGCACCAATACAAGCCGTGTTCACAGCCGAACTACTCGCAGTCACAGGGCATTGCGCAACTTGGAGGTTTGATCCCTTGAAGCCACCAATTCTCGTGTGGACATCCCACATACCACTTGGGGTTCCAGAAGTATTCAAGTTCCACTCGATGAGAACAGCTCCAGCTTGTGTGCCTTGCGTAGCCACAATCATATCTGACCACTCCACCTGCCCAGATTGGCCGGGTGTACCAACTTGAACCACAGGTTTCGGATTGTTTTGGTCATTAAAGAAACTTCCAGACGACATGATAATGGGATATTCCTCTCCTACCAGCTTCGCGCCAGGAGGGATACTCAGCGTTTTGGTGATACGATAGATACCAGCATCGAAATACACTACTTGGCCCGCAGCAGTTGCACTGTTGATGACGTTTTGGAGAGCGGCGGTGTCATCCGTGACCGCATTGCCTAGATTCCATGCGTCAGGTAAAACTCAAACTTTCACAGGCTACGGGTAACTATGCTCACCAGTGGCACCGGCAGATCGGACGCTCCTGAATGAAGAAACAGGCAAAGTTTCATATTGAGGCTTTGAGCGCGTGTAATATTTGGATCCGCTCAAAAGCGACGCGGGACGGGAATTTGGCGTGATGCTGCCTTGAAATGTCGTCGGCCCACCGGGAACATACTGGTGTCCCTGACCCCACGCAGCGATTGTCGTCGTTCCTCCAGCCAGAAGGGTAGCACCACTCGCCGATTGGATGGCCACTGGAACATTGTTGAGAGAAAGGTTCTCAACGATGAGACTGTTGGCCGTAGGGGGCGACTGGTTGGCGCTGAAGCTGGTTTTGATTCCGACTGGCGTCCCAGTGATAGAACTGTCAATCAACGTAATGGACTCAGCGGCCGTTATGTCAATTCCCAGTTGGCAGTTGTTGATGCTAATACCCTGGTAAACCCACTCCCACGTGAAACCACTGACAATGGCTGTCCCGCAGTTATTGAATACCAAGTTGCGCATTGTGTACTGTTGATTGCCCACGCTTGCACCAATCAGGCCACCGTTGAAGGTCATGTCAGTGAGGAATCCAGCGGAACCTATGGAGCTATTAGCGAGAAGCGGGCGGAAGAGTGTCACGATAGTTCTACAGGACGTACCATTCTCGACGAAAAGACCGACTTGTTGATTTCCAGACGCTGTACTCATCGTGACCTGAATGTTCTGCAAGCTTGTCGCTTGGGCCGTCGGCCAATGGATACCATAAATCCTGGGTGCAGAAGCCGGGATAGACGTCATATCAAGCTTAAAGTTGCGCACTTGTCGGTAGAAGACATTGGTAGAAATCCAGTTGGGGTCGTTCGGATTGTTGTCGCCATAATAGGTATCACCATCGATGAGGGCAATACCATTAAAACCTGCGGTCGCTTTTATGGTGGGAAGGTTGGTCGGATCTCCAACGATGTTGGTTAAGTATTGATCAATGATGGGAGTCGATATCAAGTATGTTCCTGCGGGAAAGTATACTATTGCCGGAGTCAATGTGCTGGATGTGCAGAGTCGACCACATCGACCTCCCGATAAAATGGCATTGTTAATTGCTGCCGTGTCATCGGTAACACCATCGCCTTGAATATTCTTTTGTTAGCAATTGTAGATAGAATGAGGGAGGTCAAAGTACCCTTTGCGCCGAAGTCCTTTACATTGCGATATACAGTGTAGCCACTGGGTGCGAATGGTGCAACACCTTGATGGGCAATGTTTTCATACCAATACGTCGAAGCACGCTTTTCCACAGTGGATTCAGCCTTAGCTCCAGGAGTATTGACCCCCTGACATGTTGCAGCAAGCGCAAGGACCGCAAGCACGGCGGAGCGTATGAAGCCCATGATGACGGAAGCTATCTGCGAAGCTTCGCATTGAAGGTTGAAGTACTAGGTCGATAGGAGAGATATCGCAGGAAGCTCCATCTCTTTAAATCATTTTTGAAATAGAATACTGGAACACGGCAAGTGGAGATACCAAAATTACGCATAAAGAGGTTTGAGGATAAAGAAACGGGCCTTTTGGCTTACCGCGAGGAAACTGTCGATGAGCGAAAGGTAGCGAACGTCCGAGAAAGCCATCGTGATCTTCTCACAATTGAATTATGGTAGTAACGGCTCGGCACGTTATCCGGTAACCTTGCTCGTAGATGGGCAAATATAAGCCCCAATAAAGAATAGGCCCGAGTTGATGCCAGCTATCCATACTAGTGAAGCGTTCTTTCTGTGCATCTTCTGTGGCAGAAAGTCCGGGGTAAGCTGTGGGTTTCGGCGATGGTTTATGGTTACACCGACATGAAGCCTAGTCATCTATCTAGAACACACAAGCATAGAGCGTGTGCGGAGCGCTGTGGGAAAGGGACCGGAGAAGCGCCCAAACCAGGCCGGGCTCTAGTCACAATGCTCTTTCCCAGACCAGCCTCTACATTTTTCTTTGGTCTCACGATATATACGGTCTTTTCCCTTTTGAGCGTGGCAGGCTTTGGCGCCAGCCTAACGGACGGCAGGAGAGCAAAGCACAAGGTCATGCCATCGCGGAATCTCGGACTCCAGCGCCAGTCCAGACCAGCCCCATGTCATTGCGAGTATCTCCGAACTGCGGCAGTCTAGCATTAATGCCATTAAGGCAGGCTTTTGAATCTTCCCCGCACAACCCTTGTACGCAGCGCGGTACCCTATATATCATCGTGACTCAGGTCATGACAAGCTCAATTTTTTTACTAATTATCATAGAATGCGCTTTGTTGACTAAGTTCAGCAAACCTGTTGAGTAGCTCCGCAGTTATGGCGGCTGAAAATTTCATATTTTATGTGTATAATTAGCTGAGGCATCTAGTAAATCTCGAGAGCATCTTATCTATCTCGATAAATATATGAAAACAAAGAGGAACTTTGCACAGATAGTACGTCGTGATTTATTTCGTAAGGGATATATCTTCGTTATCTTCTCTTGTGATTAGTTTACTTCCCTTTTATTAGAGGCAATATAAAATATTGCTTCGACGCGCCCTTGATAAAATAGGACCGAAATCTGCCGTAGAACTATAGCTTCGTTCCATATTATATGCGGGGTGATAGGAAGTCTGGGGTTCAAACTCCAGATTTCCCCTTGTTTATAAAGTAAAAGAGCGGAGGTTGCGGCTTGAGGTGCAATTGGCGCGGACCTCGGCAAATTAAAAGGTTCAAAACCCGCCGGGGACCACCTACTACATCTAGGTACATGTACTCCGTACCTAGGTACCTACTTATGTAGGGACACCAGCGCGCTGTGGCTTAGTGAGACTGTACCGACTAAGGTGTCTATGTACCTATGCATCATCGTCAAGACAATCTAACCGCAAGTCGACCTGGATTGATTGTACTTCGTATACATTGTTTCAACTAAGATCTATCTGCAAGTGGTATATTACCCAAAGATTAACGCCATGATTTATTGTGTATAGATAAATATATTTGAGAAAATGCTTTACCCCTACCACCTATTTGAAGATACAATTGCTGGCAGTGCATGTACCAGATCAATAGTCACGTGAACGATAAGGGTCATTCCTATCTTAGAGGGTAATAGTCTACAGAGTAAACATGCATGTATTACTCCATTTGTATGCTCATTTATACATGATGCTCTAAATCTTCATAGTGGCCTAACCAATTTCTCTACTATTCTTTCCGGGCTAAGCGATGAATAATGATGCCTCCAGGTGGGCATTCAAACTCTGACTCAATTCGAAGCTCGCAATTCCCTCGCTTCAGGGACCTTCCCACCGAATCAAGGCTCGAAATATGGCGCGCCGCTCTCCGTCAGGCGACCGTTGAGCGAACCATTCACGTGGAGATTCATGCCCAGCTATAGGTAACCCTGCACTCCTGTTTTGCCACTACAGGGATATTTTGTGGCCTCCACGGCAGCTGTCCGAGATTCCGATACGGCAATAGCCTGGGAAACTGGCCATCCAATTGCATGGCCGATGGTTATTTCGCGTCCACGGACCTGGTTTCCAGCCCCGAGGACTTAAACTCCGCTTCTGAAATGGCCAGTCTTAGCCTTGCCTGCCGTGAGTCTCGCATGATAGTCCTTGAGCTGTACTCCAAGGTCATCAGAGTGTATCAAGGTCCATGGCACCAAGGCATCAAAAGTCGGCTGGTCCGTTGCCGCCCAGAGACTGATATTCTGGTCATCTATGCGGTACCAGATCTTAGCTTGGGTCACCAAGTGTTGGAAGGGTTAACTACTGAACATTATTGGCAGCTCCAAAAGGAAGCTGTGATGAAACAGTTTCCCTGCAGTAACGGATTGTTTGCAATATTTAAAGAAATGATTTCTCGCTTCCAGAACATCGCAATTTTCTCTCTCCTGGGCCGCGAGCGTAAAAGTCAGTCGCGAGACTTACCAGAAAGTGGCGCTGAGGGAAGTGTTGGCGTTGATCTCGCTGATAGTACAGATATGAGAGCATTGCTTTATTTCTTTACATCACTGAAGCAATTATATCTTTGGCCGGATCCAGCTCCTTGGCCCGATTTGTGGGACAATGCGGCTCGAATAGATAATGTCCAGGACATAAAAACTTCCGACGAGGTTGGCGCTACCTATCTTGCGAGCCGCACTCTGCAAGACAGGCAGTGTATAGTTAGAAACTTGCAAGACCGGTCCGGAGATCTTCTCCAATCTTACAATGAAGGTGTGGAAATTCAGAATAGTCACTTTGTGAGTGATAAAATACATTGGGTCTCGCAGTCCAAGCCGCTGGAACCAATTGGATGCTATTGTCCTGCTTCTTGGTTACGATAACGAGAATATCCCATGGCCCCAAGTGGACCATGGTGTCTGCTAGTGCTCAACTCGCATGTCGTTCATGAAAATGGGAGAGCCCCTCTTTCCGGATTGGCCCTGTCTCGATGCACTCCGTGTGTCTTCTCACAAGCCAGCTGGCGATTTCGACTTTTGACACTTAAACTGCTGTAGTAAATTTGGCCCACTCTACCAGTCAAATGATCAGATGCCTCAAAATGCAAAGTTTCTTCTCTCATCTTATTAGCAAACCTAACTTCGCTTGATCTCTTTTGGTACTACACCGCTCAAAATTTACTATGCTCGAAGTTTTAGCCAACAGACTTATTGCACGCAGCTCTTCCAATAATCCAGGCTTGTCAAGAAGTTATCGAAATGTTTACATTAGGAGTACCGGCAAACAAGTCATCCTTCCGGAGCTCGTGCCGTAGTGAATATTCTCATGGCTACACACTGGCCCATGGGATACAGTCGACTCGGTCCTTAACGTGATTTCTTTACATCCAACGTTGGGGTATGTCGCGCAACCCAACCGGCGATTGCAATTAATGCTTTTATGAATACTGATATTTACGTGGCCGTGATGCATATAATAAGAAGCCTATTTCTCTCTAGAGCCTAGGCCTTTTACGATGCGGTAAAGGTAGAGCGCATGCGTAGCATACATGCGTTATTGGTTCTGTTCGTTAACCTCTCATCCTCCACCACATCCGACATTTTCTCTTTCACCATATTGAGCAAAGAGGAGTATATTCGACCGGCGCGCGAGATACAAGCCTGGCGTCAACGGGAAGTGCGGCTCTATACAGTGCCACACTTCGGTTCTGCTGTCGATGGCATGTTCTAGAGTCGGATCCTCTAAGAAGGAGAATCTCAGAAGGAAAAGGGGCAAAAGTCTACAAACACTAATCCTCAACATCCTCAAGTTCCCACTAACGCCCAGCATCCACATCGCCCTATAAGCTGTTGTATCAGCGCTCTCACTTGCTACTCTGTTAGTGAGAACTAAGGCTAAGGGTCCCTCTACTCGGCATCTCATGCTTAATTGACAAGAATGACCCTGCCACCGAACAGTCATTGCTAGTGGTTTCGGTCGAGGAAAAGAAAATATCGTGGGTGAAGAGTAAAAAATATTCCGAGATGAGAATGTGGAAATTGTTTCAGATGGAATGCACCATACTGGTAATTTTAATTCATTTTCCTTTTCAAGCAGCCACTCCAAGAATTTTAGTTCAGTACTCCTATTCCCCGTATTCTTATCTAATGGTTAGTGTTGGATTCCTTTTAGAGAAATCGCGAGATACACCTTAGTATTATTAATGGATTATTGAAGTGAGTACGGAGCAGAAAACGGGCGAAAACGTGTCTCCCGGACCCCGGGGGGGGGGGGGGGGGTGGGTTGTCCAACGAGCCACTAGCCCAACTTACAGTAGGTCGACAAAAGTGTCGATGCGCTCCACAGTGCACCACTGTTTACCTAACAAAATCTATACGTAACACTCGTTTATATCTCACAACATATTTAAAAAAAATTAAATAAAAATAATAATATAAAATAACTATTAAGTAAATTTTATTTATTTATGTTTAAACAGTTTTATTTTTTACGTAGTGCTGTTAAATATCTTATTAAAATTATAATAAGGATATTTACAGTGATATCCTCACTGTATATCCACTATAACTCTAACTATAAGCCCTTTATAAATTAAAACAGATACACTATATAAATTTAAAGCTAAATAATAAAATAAATGAAATTTATTATAAAAAGATAACACTAATATATTAAAATGTTAGTATTAAAATATATTATATAAAATCTTTATATTTTTAAATTATTTATATATAGGCTTTTTTAGTAATATAAAATACTGTGTTTTACGGGTAATTATAGGGTGCATCGACACTTTTGTCACCCCACTGTAGCATATAAACTGTTAGTGTCTTCATCTAGTTTGAGCAAGCGACACAGGCCAATATCGCTAGTGGGCAATTAGTATCTGGAGGTCTTTATGAGTTCTAACATTACTGTATTAGGTGGTAAGTGGTGAGCTTACAACTAGCTATCTAAAGTTCTCTAATAATCGCAGAAACATAATTTTTATATCCCCAGTCAATCAGTTTGATTATGCCGACTACAGATGACTTTGATCGTCGTGAGTTGTATCAGTAGTGCATGACTGCTCTAATCGGCCAGGTTGTCTGCAGTCGACATGGGAGGATGTCTACCTAGGAGGTCAATTGCCAAAACCATGAAGTTTGAGTCGTGACATACCAGCAAGTGGAAATCCGAACCTATATTTACGTTTAGAACATTGTTGTAAGGCTCATTTGCCTTAAATTGTGAACGATAGGCAAACACATATTCTCACGGTTCAGAGATTTAATCTTGATGCTCTTTATATACCTACCTATGCAAAATACAGGAATTTCTGGCTTGGACAATAGGTGGCTAGGCATGCGCTGTTGAAATGGGTCAATTCTAGATAGGCTGACTAAAGACGCTCAATTCTATTAGATGGCGGTAGAGTTACAACAGCTAGAGGTTGGTTCAAAATATGAGCCCCTGGAATAAATTTCTTGGTGTTCCACGAAAAAGATGATACACAAGATAGAGTAGAACCTTCGCCAGCTCAAGATGAACATAGACCACATCATCGAGATTCAGAAAATGGTGCACCATCGGTTTGACTGCTACAAATGGTAGAATCAATTTTTTGGTCGCCGATTACGCTCGTGGATTTGTAGGTGGGCACCGTAATATCGCATCAGCAAGGCAGACAAAGCCTCGCCAAGACTCGGTGACCGTTGTCGAATCATATTCGACCCCGTGGAGGTTGTTGAGGCCTAAATTTATATTTGAGCACCCACCTGTGATCCTTCGTGTAACTTCTCCATTTTGAGCTGTTCCACTGCATCGGCGACGCAATACCCGCAAATCCAATCGGCGTTCAGACTGCCTATCTTTGTTGAGCACATTTATTTACCTGTACAAAAATGGCCATGCTCCCAGATAAACAAGCTGCGTTGCGGCACACAATTTCCATCTCTTTTATCTGTCTTTCTACGCAGGAGAGTTCCGCTTCACAGATTCGGCTGCGCGGTCGGTTCGGTTCTCGCTATCGATCATACAACCGGGCCCTTAAGCATATTGAAGCATGCTAAGTCCAGCTGACGTCCAGGCCGTCGTGCCAGTGAAATTACCAAAACCAAATACCAGCATGACGGTAGATGACATAATGGGAACGACAGCAGCAGTTGCCGACGCCGAGATGAATTATGTGGGAAATGCACATCTTATCAACGACACTATAAACTCCTTCGCCTGGACCAACCTTCAAGTGGTTGTGAAAGATCGGAAAACAAAAGCGCCTCTGACTATTCTCTCCGATGCAACAGGAATTGTCAATGCTGGGGAGATGCTCGCCATTCTGGGGCCTAGCGGCTCCGGTAAGACTACTCTCTTGAATGCGCTCGCACACAAGGCAGCAGCTACAAATGCAGTCACTACTGGAAATATTTTAGTCAATGGTCACAAGATATCTCTTCAGCAGATTCGTCATCTATCTACCTATGTTGAGCAGGAGGATGCCCTTATTGGCAGCCTTACAATTAAGGAAACTATGGTGTTTGCTGCACGACTATCCCTTCCAAGGTTCGTGAACCCCAAATCTTGGTCTATTTAATGTTGATTATGACATTTTAACAAATTGGATTTCTAGTACAATAAGCAAGAAAGAGGCTTTCAAACGCGTCGATGATCTTATAGCCGCCTTTGGCCTACAGACTCAAGCACATACTATCGTTGGCACACCGATTAAAAAAGGTCTTAGTGGCGGTCAAAAGAAGCGGCTTGGTATTGCTAGTCGGCTAGTGACAAACCCAAGAATCATTTTTTTAGACGAACCAACAAGTGGACTAGATTCCGCCCTCAGCCTCGAAGTGTGCGCCTATATCAAAGACATCGGGGTTAAGAACAATGTAAGCATTGCGTCGCAATCAACAATTATGTGCATTTTCTAACATCGGGTGATCCCACAGCTTATTACAATAGCATCGATTCACCAGCCATCTTCTGCAACATTTCAACAGTTTGATAAATTATATCTGCTGTCTGGCGGACGAACTTGCTACTTTGGCCCAGTATCGGAAGCGACCGCATATTTCGCCAAGATTGGCTACACAATCCCACCTGAGACCAACTCAGCAGATTTTTTCCTCGATCTTATCAACACTGATCTTGATAAGAATGGTGACATTCATCGTCGAACAGATCATGTCTGTCAGGCTTGGAAAACGTCTTCCGATTGCAAGGACCTTGACGTTGCCATTCAAACGTCCATAGAAGGAACATCATTATATTCAGATGTCAAGATTCAACCCTCGGAATCATGGAAAACCCCTGGAATACTTATTCACCGCTCGTGGATCAAGTCTTACAGAGATGTGCTGGCCTACGGTATTCGCATCGCCATGTATCTTGGGTTAGCCATTCTTATGGGCACCGTCTTCCTGCGCTTTAAAACAGAGCAATCATACATACAGCCTCTCATTAACGCCATTTTCTTCGGTGGTGCCTTCATGTCATTCATGGCTGTCGCCTATGTCCCAGCTTTTCTTGAAGATTTGGGCACTTTCCGACAGGAACGTGCGAATGGGCTAGTCAGCCCCCTTTCCTTTACGGTGGCCAACTTTATCATTGGTCTTCCATTTCTCTTTGCGATTACTTTTCTATTCTCCGTCGTCACATACTGGCTCTCCAATTTCCGTCCCGATGGATCTGCATTCTTTGCATGGATCCTCTGGCTTTTCCTTGATCTTGTTGCAGCCGAGTCTTTGGTTGTATTAATGTCTTCAATCTTTGACATATTTGTGGTTGCATTGGCGACAACAGCCTTTGCTAATGGACTTTGGATGTGTGTAAACGGTTTCCTAGTCCCTATGAACATACTGAATCCATTTTGGAAGTATGTTTTTCACTACATTGACTACCAAGCATATGTCTTCCAAGGCATGATGGTTAATGAGTTCGGACACCGTGACTATCAATGTGATGAGATATCCAAAGGTAAATATCAATGCAATTATCCAAGCGACTTGAACTCCATCGGGAAGATTCGTGGGACCGACATCTTGCGCCAATTCAGCATCAAGACGGGCCAAGAGGGTACATGGATAGGCATTATGATCGGTATCATTGCTGGTTACCGATTGCTTGCTTATATTGTATTGGTTTTGAAAAGTAGAACGTGAGCATTGAAATAGGAATTGGGCTGAAAATGAGTGCTGGTAGAATTCTGCAATTTGGTCCTAGTATTTGATTCTGGTGTAATTACCATTATTACTAAAGTTTCACAATACCCCTCATATATCTCTTGATCAATTATTGTTATTAATTAGGCTAAAGTGATACCTATATAACGGATGGCAAAGTACCCGAGCAACCGCCACATATTTCGGATCCTCGGTGCTGATTTTTCGTCACAGTGCATAATCGTAGGATTTCAATGTGACAGCATCCCACAAAATATTTCTCCCCATGACACCACTTATTTGTACAAATACGGGATTAAGTAGATAATGATGAGTTTATTCTTTGTTCTCTATTCGATTGAGGCAACTGAATAATCCCACCAATATAGACGATTTGCGGACAAGACCAGAATTTCATCGATGGTATAGTCGCCAACCAGTGAGCAATAGCCATAATGGAATATTTTGAGGATTTATATAGGATTCGCGACTGGTACTTTGCATAAGGAGCAGGTGGATTTCTTAGACACGAAGGATCATTTATGATGCAAGGATTTGCGCCTATGGATTCAATACGACGTTCGAGCAAATTGATTATGCCGCTAATGTATTCACAGTAGTATTTTCGCAGAATGTGATGTTATATCAAACCACTATAAAAACCCAGCAATCGCTAATCTTTCTGAATTTTTTTCTTTTCACAATCAACGTTTCAAAAGTAACATACACTACTTCCAATATTGTTGAGTTTCCAAAACAAGTTTTACAAGCAGTTGTCTTGTCAGTCTCTCTAATATGCAGCTTTCTGGGATCACACTTCTCTGCTACCTAGCGACTGCTACATTCGCAACACACAGTCCGGGACAACCATGCAGCGGCTCTGGGTACGACTGTAGTGACGACTTTCGTAGTATCGTGGTTTGCAATGGCGCTCAGTGGCTGATTGCTGCTACCTGTCCCTCGTCATGCTGTGCATGGCCTGCTGGCGCTCTTGCACCGTTCTGCAGCTGCTAAGTATAGGTAGGGAAATTCTGTTGTTTGGGGGATTATTAGCTGAAATACTAATAGTTTGACTAGCAACAATCAATTTTTTCCCTAGGTTGAAATTTAGCAAAGACTAAAGACGGTCACATATGTAAAGTTTTGTTGAGGGTGCAAATTTTTCTTGTCATTTACTCGAAGGATTGGGACAAAAGTTTTGGCAAGAAACAAAGGCAAGCCTGGCATGACCAAGTAACATAACCCTGAGAACTATTATTGAAACATATTTGTCTGCTGTCTAATTTTATACTTCATTTTCTTCCAGTGAATTTCTTGCCGCTATTCTGTTCACTATTGTAGTCAATGTTGACATTATGCATGGACTCCATGGCTAGCGTAGGATTCTACCACAGCTAGGTATTTGCCTGCAAGCGGGCTGTGTATCCATGTTTGCCAACGCCCAGCCACACTAGTCACGTCAGTGAATTTGACTGGCCTTGGAGGCTCAGTCGGCTCACTGTAGTTAGCGCTGATTCCTCTTCAGGAGTATTACGAACCACCAACGCGTCCTGCAGCGTTCCGAAGGTTCAAGCATGGACAATGAATGACTCCGTATTTGGAACTCAGGATTGATCAGTACAGTCAATATGGATATATAAATCATAGGCCACGCCTCAAACCCAGGCTTATATTACCATCATAGATCTTCACAATTATCACAGTATCCCCGCCTTATCTTGACCATAAACATTCGATATGAAAAATTTCCTCGTCGTTTTGGCAGCTACAGCTGTGTATCCTTTTCTCATATCTGCCGCAGCGCAAACATATCCCCCTCTTGGTATTGTGCTTCCACCAGCACAAGCACCAAGCAACAACCCAGCGGTTATATCAGCCACTAAGAAACTAACGGCAACTATCGATTCGAAATTCAGTTCGCAACTAAATTCCAGTGGCATATCGCTAGTCGTCAAATCGATCCATGAAGATGTACCACTTTTCAGTTACCACTTCACACCGCAAGTCCTATCAGGAATTGGTACAGCGGCCATCAATGAGAATACCATCTTCAGGGTTGGGAGCTTGTCAAAATTGTTCCCTGCGCTAGCAGCTCTGCAAATTAGCTCCATTCATATGGATGATCTTGTGCTCAAGTATATTCCCGAAATCAAGGATGCAATTGTAGCTGGGTCTGTCGAGTCAATTCCTTGGGATGATATTACTGTCGACTCATTGATGACGCACCTTTCCGGTCTTCCTACAGATAGTAAGAGCTCCTTTCTTTTTCCAACATGTGAGTTGTATTGTTAATCTGAACAAAGCGGCCATGGATTTGGGCATCTTTCCCGTAAGCCTATGGCAGGAAATTGGTTTACCAGCAATTCCTGACGGGACCGGGCCAAATTGCTCTGGACTCCCAGGTACTGTTCCATGCACAAAACAAGACCTTATCAACGAATTGAAGCAGAGGGATCCTATATACCTTCCCTACACAACTCCTTCATATTCCAATGTTGGCTTTGCCATTCTCGGAATGGTCATCGATGCTGCAATTAATGACACCTACATCAATGCCATTCAACATGACATATTTGACGTTATGGGCATGAACAGTTCCTCATTCAATGGATTCGTGGACTCCTTTCCAGAAAACGGCTTCGTCCCTGTTGGAGAAACAACATGGAATGCGACCTTGGGTGTCTTCGAAAGGTGAATAACAAGACTTTCCAATCATGTATTGGCTTCCAATAAATATCAGAGATAATAACATATATCTAGTGCTGGTGGAATGTTTTCCACCACTTCCGATCTAATCGCTTTCACTGATGGTATCCTCACGAATCGCTTTCTTAGCTCGCGACGCACTCGCGAATGGATGAAACCGCGTAGTCATACTTCTTCCTGGGGATATTCGGTTGGTGCACCTTGGGAAATTCTTCGCAGCGACCAGATCACAGCCGACGGCCGTATTGTTGATTTGTATACCAAAAGTGGCGACCTGGGTCTATATCATGCTTTGCTTGGATTAGTTCCAGATTACGATATATCTGTTGTCCTTTTCGCAGCTGGTGCTGAGGTAAGTCCAGACACAACCGCTGAAATATTCAGCGCCGTCATCGAAGGATTACTTCCTGCAATTGACGAGGCAGGGCGGAGTGAAGTAGCGACTATACCTGAGGCTCTCATTGGCACATACATAGATAAGACAACGAACTCCAGCCTCATCTTAAGCATTAACTCCGAAGATGCTATTAAGATTGAGAAATTTGTTGTTAGGAGCTTCGATGTCCTCCATCACTCGAGTCTGTATAGCCTCGATGCTCTTTCCATGGATGATGGGTCGCTTCCTGAAGATTCTTACGTTGATGCTCGATTGTATCCGACAAATCTCGTGGGCCAAACAAAGGATGTTTTCAAACAAATGTCATGGCGAGCAGTCTATGACACCAGAACTGCGAAAGAAAAATCTGCAGAAGATGCAAAGTTGGTGTTCAAAAATGGTAGCTGTCAGTCGTGGACCCAACTGGATCGAGCAGCCTATAATTTTCTCAGTCTAGGAGATTTCCTGTTCACTTATGGACCGAAGAATGAAGTAACTCTCATTAAGAATGCAGCGTTCAATATTACACTCACGAAAGCTTGCTAGCTGAGGTTGTTTATTTCCCTTATCATTTGCTAGGAATTGCCTAGTCACTCGTTTTTTTTTCACACTTTCCAAATAGCTAGTTATATGTATTTACTTCATAACACTCACTTAAATAGTTAGAGAATCACATATTGATATAACAATTCTTACAGGTTTATATCAGCCTTACCATGAGAATTCAACAAACACATTCTTTTCCGTGCTAACAGAACAATACTTGCGTTTTTCCCCGAGAATCAAACCTCCCTCTATTCCGAGGACAGATGTTCGGTCAATATAAAAAATTCAACGCCAATTCCATTATTAGCCAATGCTATGTATATCTTTTTCAATGAATATACTCCACACAAATAGTAGAAAAAGACTATGCATTCGACCTGGTTCTTGACTATGCAGTAATATTAAAAAAAGTTGCATTATGAAGAACCCCAAAATAGCTTTGGTACGTTGAAACACATTTGCCAACCATATGCTAATACTATGTTTTTTTTTTAAAAAAAAATGTATTGTTCCGGGTTTCAGCGGGACGCCATGTTGTAGAGTGCCGCGGTGCTATAAGAGGAGACAGCCATTAGTTTTCCGATCCGTATATTCTAGCTGGTTTCTCGACGGTCCGGGATATTATTTTGAGATGAAGATTATAAATTGTTCCGTTAATCTCGGTCTATTGCTCGAAGGAAAATGTTTTCCTTCTGTGCTTTAATTAATACATATACATAGTCTACAGTCCCCATTTTGATCCAATCTTAGATATTTCTCTTGAGTTGATACATAATAGTGGGTATTCCCACGCAATCCGGTCGTTAATGTGGCAGACCAGCCACAATGCCAAAAGATCCCTTGTTTTGATGACCGACACATTATCTCGCCTCTACAAAGAGCTAGCCCATTCAATGAAGTCCTGTTACAAGGAAAAATACCATTTGAAGTAATAAAAGTTCTTTTGAGATTTGAATAAGAGTAATACTTCAAGTAAAGAAACCTTGGAAACCTTGCGTCTGCAGCTTTTGGACCCAGCACTATTACGGTAGCTCCGAGGAGAAAGCTTCTCCTGGGTGGTGTCCGCCGGATTTAGATCCGTTCTATCAACGCCACTTGCCCGCCGGTCACCAAAATGCCGATACCTGATTCCATTCATCGGTTTTAAACAACTGCACAGAAAGCCGAGGCTTGCAGCATGATGTTTGTGGTTGCTGATGTTCTATAGGATATAAATACCAAATGATAAGGCTGTGTAGGCGTAAGGGTTTGAGATTGTAAAAAGACTACAATTTAGCTCCTGCTCTCTTCATGTTATCCTCCACTAGATAGCAGCCTGAATTCTTCTGATGGACATTTTTTAGTAGAAAGATCTGCATAGACCTCTGCATTCTCCATATCTCTCTACGCTTCTTTTTCCTCTCTGTTTTTTTTTTTTCCCATTGGGGAGCGTAACAGTGGCCTCCAAAATGTTCGCCATTGTTGGTGCGGCCGGAAAAGTTGGCTTTGCCACATCATCAACGTTGCGTGACGCTGGCATGCTGGTCAAAGCTATTCTACGTGATGTGTCAAAGGCGGATCGGCTGCGTGAAATTGGCTGCGAGATTGTTATAGCTAATCTGCTGGATTCTAAGGCTCTTGTTAAGGCGATTGGCGATGCTGACACGGTTCAAATCATCCTTCCACCGTCCCCAGAAGTCAGGGGCCCTGAAGAAGAGATGCGGAGAGGAATTGAAAGCCTTGCCAATGCACTTGAGGGGGCGTGTCCGAAGCGCATACTGGCAATTTCCGACTATGGTGCTCACATCACTCATGATATTGGGATGCCCACGCTGTGCCGAACATTCGAAGAGCGGTTGAGCAAACTTAATTGTCACAAGGTGTTCTTACGATCAGCAGAGTATATGCAAGGATGGGGACGTGCTATCCCGACAGCCATTGAGTCAGGCACTCTACCGAGTTTCCATGACCCTCTCGATATGAGGTTTCCGACAATTTCGGCTCCAGATCTCGGAGTGATTGCCGCTGACATCTTGCTGCAGCCAGCAAGCGAGAAAGCGGTGGAAATTGTCCACGCCGAGGGACCACGCAGATATGGCGACGGTTCTGAGTCAGCTACTAGGCCGGATAATTAATGCAGAGGTTGTGCCGCGCCATCAGCGGAAGGGGGCGTTTGAAAGTGTCATGAGTCCAAGCCTTGCTGAACTTCTCATCAAAGCCAATGATGCTCAAAATGAGGGGGGTCTGGTCGACGTTGAGTCACGTACCAGCGAAGTTCGCTATGGGACTACAGAATTGCTTAATACACTACGGCCATTAGTTCCGCCCCAATACATCGAACTCAAGATTTGAGTAGCACGGAGAAGTATTCCAATGGCACCCCGTAGTGTACCGTCGAACCAAGAATACCGAAGACAAGCACAGAGCTAAACAACGAAATCCGATTTATCAAATTATTTACATGGAATGTGGCTTACCAAATATTCTCCAAGATAGAACATCGATATTATCCTTCTTCTCAAATGCACTATTCTATAATGCATATTTTTGTAATTGCCTGACATACTTGCGCGTCCAACCATTCTAATCCTGCGTGTGTGAAACCATACTTACAATCCGTGAATTGCAACTTCGAGAGCATTTAAAAAAATATTTAATTGTGGCGCAATGTGTTTAGAAAAATGAAACAATGCCTCACAAAATTCACGAATGCTCAAGGAACATTTTTGAAACAGCTCTAATCCCATATGTGAAGGGAAGCATTCTGTGGATAAAGAATTGCTGGTACTAGGCTGGACTGGTCGAACAGCTAACAACAATGAAACGGAATTACCAAGTTGGCGGACCAATTTAACTACTAGGTACCATTAATATGATATGAGTTTGGTAAATCTTCCAGCCACACTACAGCATTAACACCTAGGTTAAAAAACAAGGAATGTGCTCTTGGGGGAAGACAAAAGCCTAATTCTGATGACTTTTAGGCAATCGTAGCCAAGGAAAACAACATCATTGGATATAAACAGTATGAATTCTCACGGCCAGTTGAGTCAAGAACGCATCTGGTATACTTGCAACTCCTACTGCGGGGCAACTTCATTTAAAGTACTTCATGAGCCTATAACTCCGCTGTCTTCAGACCAACATCCAGTAACGGAATTTAACTGCTCCATTTGTGTCAAGAGTGGCTATCTATTGAAATATGGGTTGAGAGAAGATGTCCAGTTCCTTAGCAGCTGGGAAGATTTGAATACTATCAGGTAACATTCCAAATGCGAGATCACAAGTTTTGCGGTGTCTGCGGAACAAGCATTGGCATCGATTTTCCCGGAAAATAATAAGTTAATGTGCTAGGTATAAATGCTTGTAGCTATCGAGTTATGGAGGAATTTATACCTATAACGAGCTCAGCTGACACATGTGTAGACACGTCTTGTTGAGAGAATTGGTATTAAGCAGTCGAAGAAGCCTCAGGGAAGCGGCTGTCAGTACCAAGCAAACCATATCAGTCAATAGGTATAGAGGAGTTAACAATTACCGGATTATCACAGCCTTTGCCAATCTTCTGGAACCGATGTGATTGTAGATTGTTAGGTAAGTCTACGTATAACTTGATGGTATAGAACCGCAACTCTATGTAGGGTTAAAGCACAAATAAGCGCGAGTTGATAATTTTATTGTTCACTATAGACAGGTATGGTTTATAAGTTGCGTGCTAGAGCAACGAATAATTACAAATCGTGTTTATAACCCCCAGAATGATATAAGGGCGGACTTATATGGTCGCGAGGTTATTTAACTCCGTGTGATCTACACCATAATTGTTATTCAGCATGTCTACTTTATATATGAGTGATATTTAGCCTGCAATTGTTCATAGTATAAGAGTCGAGCGGGCTTGAGCGGACCATGAGCGGGTTGTAAGAAGTTCAGAGCGGAATGTGGGCTAGTACAGTACACACAGGGGTCTAACAAACACACTAAAGTGCTCTGCAGTGGAAGTATGACCCGTAAGCCTTTTTTTTCATGTACGGAGTAGAGAAGCGTCAGTTGCTCTAGATATGGGCCGGTTCCCTAGTAGTATGTGGTATGGCTTCGTAGGTTGGAGCAACGCTTGCGGTCTCCCAGCCAATCCCGGTATTGGCTCCAGTAATTAGGATAATCTCTTTCGACATCATGAAAGGGTTAGTAAGTATTGATCAGAGAGTAGATTCTTCAGAACAACCATTCTTCCGTTCAAGAGTGGCTGGACCGTTTTTTTTATAGTGGTTTCAGCTTAATTTGCTTTTCTGCTAGAGTTCTCTTCCCTCTTTTTTCGACTCCATATGAGCCTACGTTGCTGCATTTCTGTAGATCGCGCAATGTGAAAAAGCCTACAGCCAACACATTGGGCTCAAAATTCAAAATGCCGTTACTTCCGAGGTCAAAATTTGTAGAAATCCGGAATATTTTTGGCAGACGGAATGAAGCCGAGGAGCAATCATATCCCCCCAGTCTCGATCCAGAACTTGCTGGGATCAAGGCATACGGAGTTAAAGTACTTCGTATGTCCATGGAGCTTGGCAGCAACTTCGTATACTTGTGAAAAGGTTGCTAATGGTTTGGTAAGCGGGTTAAATCACGCTTGATAATGATGCACATGCATATCTGTGAAAAGACTATATCTCATAGACACCCAAATTATAGATATATATATGGCATTTCATGGCTGGAGATGAGTTCGATGTTCAATGAAAACAGCTATATATTTAAAAAGGATCTATTTTAAAGGTATACTATTTGAGTCTTGCTGTTATTCAATGAGGCGGAACGCTAATATGTTTTCTTCAATACTTCATAGTTCATTTATGTATAACTCTCCAATGACTTCACAAAGCGAGTATCAGAGTTTTAGCCCAGCAACTGGGAAGCATCTGATGACGTTTTCCGAGACAACAGACGAGGAAATACGTTCTGCTCTCTCAGTGGCGCATAATTGCTTTACCAATCATTGGCGCTCAACTGCAGTTACTGAGCGAGCTAGATTGATGCATGGTGTGGCAAAACTGTCCAAGAGCGTAGGGAAGAACTTGCGCAGCTCATAACACTGGAGGTTGGAAAGCTCATTGCTGAATCCCGATTTGAGGTCAAATTTTGCATCCACACGTTCGAATATTTTGCTGTCAATGCAGAAAGATTCTTGCAGCCCACAACAGTCACCTCCAACCCGGGCTGTGAGGTATGGACTGAGCCGCTAGGAGTCATCCTTGCCATTGAACCTTGGAACTTTCCTCTACTCCAATTAGCTCGAGTTGCCGCGCCACATATAATGGCCGGGAATGTTTTGATCGCATTATTCCGCGACGCTGGCGTCCCAGATGGAGTGTACACAAACGTTTTTGCCACTGTCCCTCAACTTCATAACTTGGTAGAGGATTTTCGCATTCGAGGCATCACTTTGACAGGGAGTGAGCGAGCCGGCGCTGCGGTCGCGGAGAATGCCGGCCGTCATCTAAAAAAGATTGTTCTAGAGTTGGGGGGATCAGACCCATTGATCATCCTCCCTGATGCTCCCATTGCTGATGCGATCAAACAAGCTGTAGCTGGTCGTATGTTCAATACTGGCCAGGGATGTGCAGCATCAAAGCGAATAATTGTTATTGGGAAAGATCGCGAACAGGAGGTTCTCAACGGTATGAAGGACGCCCTGGCAGATTTGAAGCCGGGTGATCCTTTGAATCCAAAGACTAACCTGGGTGCTATCTTCTCCGAACGTGGACTTCTTGGGTTGTTGTCCCAAATTGAATCGGCTAAGGCAGCTGGGGCTAATGTCATTCTCGGCGGGAAACGCAGCGAGCATCCAGGATTTTACCTCGAGCCAACGATTCTTACAAACATCGCCCCTGAAAACCCTATTGCACAACAGGAGACCTTTGGTCCAATTGCTGCTATATATGGCATTGATACAGAAGAACAAGCCATTAAACTGGCCAATAGCACAGATTATGGCCTGGGTGCGAGCATCATTGGAGCTGACCCTCTCCACGCGAAGAAGGTAGCAGCACAGATTGAGGCGGGTATGGTCTTTATTGATAGTCCTGCGTACTCAAGTCCAGACTTGCCATTTGGAGGCATTAAAAACTCTGGTTTTGGAAAGGAGCTGTCAGATATTGGTTTCGGTGAGTTTACGAATAAGAAGCTAGTTAGAGTAAGTTACACATAATTCCCCACCACCTAATACACACACAGAGAAGAAGAAGAGAGAAGAAGAAGAAGGAAAAGAAGGGGAGGGGCGGGTGGGGGTCTTTATGATTGGGATATTGCCATTAAGTGGAAGAAGAAAAGGAGGGGTGGATGGAGAGTAGGACAGGCTACAATGTTTAGTTAAAGTATTCCATAAGCGACGTAAATAATGAACTTGTCAACGATATCTCCGACTCTTTCAAGGTCATATGAGGCATTCTATCGTCCTTGAATAAACACGTAGTTGCATATCCCCCTCGTGTTGCAACAAACTTGCTCCTTCGTCTTAAGGTTGCTCCATAGAAGTAGAGCACGAATATTCCAATCACACCTCCATAGCTTAACTCTGCTAGCAAACTTATTCTTTTACCAACGCCTAAATGCTATGAATAATAGCCGTGAAAAATGAATAGCGCCACATCGTATACTACTTTGAATAAAACCATTTGCCGCGAATAAGCTAGCGCTGTATATCGGATAGCTAATTGCAATATAAATGAAATAACTTGAAATATGATGAAGATGCTAATCACAAATATAATAATACATATAGTACGAACGATCCAAGGGATCTTCGGACTGGAATGTCTGGTCTAACCAAAAATAATAAGACTGATTGGAAATACGAAGCTCGCAGCAAGGCTATAGATAAGGCGTCGCTTAGGCTTACTAAGACCTTAATTCTGAATCTCGCGCTCGAAGACGAACTTGAGATATGTAACGTAGTAACTAATAGAGATAGAGACATCTACACTGATGGATAGGAATATTAGACCAACTTGACTAGCGTGTATCCCATAACCGTCTGCTGGGGAGGTATGGGTAGGGAGGCCTGTTGCATATATAAAAGGAAAACTTCGAAGAAAGAACAGTTCCGTATATAATAACAGTGTATGAACTAGTGAAAAGCGTGGATGGATTAAACATATTAATATGCAGAGATCTTTAGAGACTATGTACGACGACTTCATTAACTGCAAGCTTAGTTCGGTTGATTTTTGATTGAGACTGTAAATTATTCTCTATGGTGAGCCTGCGGAGACGCTGGGTGCATTGTAGTAGAATAGTTGGCATAGATGTCTCTGGCAGGAAAAAGAATATAAAAACAAAGATAGGGCTAGTAGGCCAGATAATTTCTCACAGTGACTAATGCTAATTTGTGGCTGGAACTGAGAAGCTAGATAAAATCGGCCTAATAGCTGGGCCAGCAGTTGTAAACGTAGCCCAGCCTGTAAGCGCGTATGGTAGCTTTACGAGGTTGTATATATCGCTAAAAGATGCGCCTCCAGTCGCCAAATATGGAGAGTCGAAAAGTCTTTGTAGAAAGAGTAAGACTATTAGGGCCGGAAAGTTGGTGATGATCGCAGTTCTGGCTGAAATCGCTATGGTGATGCTGAATGTAATAATATACGGTGTATTACGTCTGATGGCCGGAATCTTGGAGAGGGGCGAAAACCCTAGAGGTTTGATGCTATAGCTAAGAACATAGAGAGAGAGTCCCATTGATGCGACTTCTGGTTTTACGCCGAATTGAGCTTTAATAAAAGGCTGAGAAGGTGTTATGATGGCAGATCCGATGTAGATAGAGAGGGTGTAGAGATATTTGAATGACCACAAAGAATTCTTTTTGACCACTTTGTGGGTATTCTCTATCGTTTGTTGAATACCAGTCAACCAAAGTGACATTATTATTCTTCTTTGGGTAAATTATAGAATGCTGCGACATTACGTTAGCCTGGACTATTACTGCAGTATATGTTTGTTGTAGGCTGTCTAACTGATCCAATTCGTGACATCTGAGGTGTCGAAACAATTTTGGAGAGAGTTTGGTCATCATGATCGCCTTCCCTTGGCAATTATGAGCAGGTATCTGTAGATGGTGGCGCGACTGGAGGACTCCATTCATTATTTCTGAGGTGTCCTTCAAAATGACTGTTGGCACCAATATTAGATTACACTGTTGTGTCTGCCGGACCAGCGTTTATATATAAGTTCGGACAATTAAACGATGGTAGCTCTTCGGGATACTTGAGATAATTGCGTTTGGTTGTCCAAAAAACTATTGCCCCAAATGTCGTACCACGAAGGAGGGCAGCCATGGCTTAGAATAGTGGAATCATAGATTTTCTGGGTGGCTAACTTGGTGCTGTTAATCGGCATTGAAGGACGCCCATTTTATAAGCGTGAGGTCACCAAACTGCCATCAACTGCAACCGGCTAGTTAGACTTTACTTTATTTTCTTTCTCTAAGATCAGGTGGCAGTGAATACTCCAGTCTCGACTAGCGACAGATGGCAATGCACATTAGCCCATTATAATCCTGATGTCTGTTATCCCACAAGCGTACTTGCTAAGCCTGAATATGGTGTCATAAGACATAATCAGCTGTTTTTTTTTTAATTACCAGATGATGTCCAAAGTTGCATGAGATATGTCGGATGGAATGCAATTGTTAGTCATAGACTGAATCCCCATGCGGGACTATAAAAAACGTAGCCTTTCCATGAAAGTAGGAAGTTGCTGGGAGTCCTTATAAGAAGCGAGAATTAATGAGCATAGATTGTTTATTCATTATGCCTTGTTTCATAATGTGATTGTACAGCCAACTGCCAAGTAGTGTAGATTTGAAACACGAATACTATGCGCACTCTGCACATGTGTTTAAGTATACCTATATCAGTATCTATCCAACCTATCCAATACACCTCTAATGATAAGAGTAAACGTGAGTAGAAATCTGCTGTCCCTTTTCGTCGTATCGTTTTGGAATGACATTCAGTACGCCATTGATATCTCTTGGCTCGTAATCAAGTAGCATGGCTGCCTGGATAAGAATATCTTGGCCGTAATTCTCCTTTATCCAGTGTGCAAACATATCCATACCCGCGATCGCGCCAGATCCTGTCCAGATATTTCCATCAACAACCCACTTCTTCTCTCTCGTCCATTTAACATTAGGATATATCTTTTTTGCATGTTCAAATTCGACGTTATTAACTGTTGCATTCTTTCCATCAAGGACACCTGTCTCTGCAACCACAGAAGCGCCGGTGCAGTTGGTAAACAACAATTTCCCTGCAGCAACATGGCGACGGATGAACTCGGCAAATTTTGGGTGCAGTTTGAAAGTGAGTGGGTTCGGCCCACCGACTAACAAAATGTCCAGCTCAGGACACTCATCAACAGTGGTAGTGGGCACAATGCTCATTGAGCTTGTAAGGGTTACAGGATCACGAGTGATGCCAATATGATGAAAGTCGAATTGGGGTGCTCGATCAATGATGCTTTGATCAATAGGACCAAGGGTTTGCATGCCTTCCAAGAACTCTTTAGTGAGACTGCCGAGAAGGTCGGTTGGACAGGCCACGTCAACGACTTGATAGTCGAAAGAAAGAATGCCAAATTGAATACGAGCCATTTTTAACTGTGCGTAGCTGAAACTTGAGAGTAGAAGAGATGTGTGGATGGTTGTGTATGGTGAAATGTTCAAAATGGAGGTGATTCTTCAGGCGGTATATATATTTGCGCTCCTCCCCCCTCATAGGAAACTGTTGTCGGTTGTCGCATTCCTACTCATATCCGATCAATTTCGGGTTTGACCATGGAACTGAGTTTTGTCATTATGCGGAAGCAGCTTAAACACTATACCTTTTTTTTTATGCATATGACATTATTCAATGGGTTTTTTGTGTTGTTTTGCAAATTCGCATGTAACGTCTTTTATCCAAGAGTTTTCGGCATTTCATCGTAGAGCTGTAGCGAGACTAAGTCTTTTTACGTCAATTGACATGGAATTTCTGCAAACGGGCAAATGGAACTTCATACTATTGAGAATATTAAAACACTGTATGATATTATGATGCAATATTAAGAATATGAGAGGCAAATATGAAAACATGCGAATATGTTGTTTCCTAAAGGCAGAACGGCTGGCCGTTCCGTCGGCAAGCGTCTTTTGTTTTGAGAACGTAGATAATAAGCGTTTAACCAAAATTGGACGTCCTCTTGTGACAGGTTGCATCAACGGCATCACATCCATCCGTTTATCCGACTTTCATCGGCTCTCGAACCATCCCCACCAGCGAAAAGCGGGGTTGGATCTTGGCAAGCAAATGCATTTATGAGTGGCTTGGTCCAGTAGCTGGACTTCGAGAGAATTATGAAAATAGTACGGCACATGGTCATACTAATCAATTTTAGAAATACTCTGGAAAAGAGGACATCTGAGATTAAATTAAGGGGAGAAATGTATGAGGAACCAATACCAGCAGAAATATATATACAGAAGCCGTTCCATCGGCATGACTTTTGTCAAGGTGTAATGCACGCCGACTTGGAAACCATATCAACGCCAGCGCAAAAGTAATGCTCAAAGCTGATACACATCCTAGAACAAACGTTGAGGCATACACTTGACCCCAATAGTATTCCGATGGCTGTGGTGATGTGCTGGCAACCATGGATACCCTAAAAAATAAACCGAACTCTACCACTCTGGTAACGCATCCCCATTTGCCCACCCTGCCGTCGTCGCCCAGAGATCCTGAAGTATCATGTCGTCGTCAGCACTAAATGCAGTTGCTATGTCCCCACCAGGCAGCGCTGTGGTAGGTATTTCCGCGTCTACTACCGACTGCCAGAGTTGAAACTGCTTATCCATGCTCCCATCGAGCATGGGGCATCCGAGGCTCAATTTTGGAGCTGTCATTCCATGTCCATGTTCCAGGATGAAAAGTCGTTGGGTATACTTGTCTTTGACAATTCTCATGACTGTTCGCATTGCGGAGAGGACATCGATCTTTTTTCCCGCACTTGTTGTGGGATCCGTCTCTTTACAAATTCTTTCCAAAATCTCATCGAACCGCAGATGGGAGCGCACCCAGGATGTATCGAAATCGGGGCATTCGGGTATCGCGAGTGACAACCGAATAGCAAGAATTATACCGGAGATGAATCTGCACCAGTCAGCCGTGGAGAATCTGGCCATAGTTGCTTCATCAAGACTCAGAATATAGTTGAGCAACTTCTGTATCGTATCTACGCTGGCATATAATTGAGACGCTTCAGGGGGTAGTGGTGGCCGTCCTTTGATCAAGTGTGGAGAAAGACGCGGCAACCTTAGAAGAGCGCCATCCTGCATGGACAGATGAACAAATAAATTCTGCATATAGACCACGGCTTTTAGAGTATCAGTTCCATGGGAATGAGGCATGTGAGGTATTTAAATTGGGGCGGATATGTCAAAACATACGCGTTGAAGCAATGTGCGGTGGTATGAGTGACTCTATATCCCGAAGCTGTGCTTCGAGGCCTAATAATACCAGTCGGCTCTGCTGATGGGTGTGGCTATTATCATCATTGATGGCGCGAAGTGCCTCTGTAGCCGTACTGGATAGTCGAACAAGAGATGCAAGCACAATGTCGTTGTCAACGTTGCTGCGTTCAAGGATCTTGCAGCAACTTTCTGTCCAATTAGTAAAGACTGGTGGTTTGTTGCCGCGGCTCTGCCATTCTGCGGGAATTCTGAGGATATATTAGAAGAAAGATAAGGATCTACCAGAAATACCAGGTTGATAACTCACGTAGAAGCAAGATAGAAATAGCCCAAGTATGCGCGGATACTATGAAGTTGCTGGGACGTTAGTCGTGCGTCGGTATATTGCAGATCAACCCGTGTCTCTTGGTCTAATTCCAGTTCGTGAATAATCTCAGCTGCCATGCGAATATAGCGAAATGGTTGTTTACTCCGTGGCCGTAGATGAAAGGGATACCTGATGTCATCGCGTCAACATTTCTCATATCAGCATTCTGGTTTCAGAACGAAACCGTCATAATATGCGTACCAGGCGCAGTAGATAAGGATTCCTTGGAGTATTTCCACCGTTCTCTCCCCACAGGCAACGAACTTCAACCCCAAGATTTTCCTAAATTCTTCGTCATATAGACTATTACTCTGTATAATTCGCGACCCAGACGCTGCAGCAAGGATGGCCAGTAGAACAAAGGGCTGTGTTGACGCAAGTAAGGAGACCGAGATATCCGGGCTTAATACAATGCAAGGGAAGTGACACAACATAGTGTGAAATGACGTCAAAAGGGACTCGGCAGAGGCAAGATTAAAGGATGGTTTGGCGTGGAGGTCCGGAATAGGTTCAGCATCTGTAGTAGATGTCGGAGTAGAGTATACGCTATGCATGCTGGTGTTGTGTTCGGACAGACCAGATCCGTCGCCAGGAAAGACGAGGCTGTCAAAGAAGTTGGCGTGAGCGTCTCGAAGAGATTGGAAACTATCTTCCACCTCTACCTTCAATGGTATTGCAAAGTCAATACTAAAACTCTTTGATGGCCCAGTAGCAGGCTGCGGAATTGCCTCGGGAACCAAATTTTGCTCTATGCTGGAAATTGGTCAGCTTCGTTGTGAACGCCGATGAGATTCAAGAAAAGAACACTACAATAAAACCATACTCACACCATCCGCCGAACCCTAGGCTTCGTCCTCACAATACATTCCCGTTTAGAGGCCAGGCATCTAGGCCGAAGCTTGTCAGTGTCATATCTCCAATATGGAGGGCGGGGTTGTCAGAGAGCGATAATGACTCGCAGAGGGTATATACTTGCGGCAGACGCCAGGCTTCTCACTGGGCCGGCATCGAATCTTGTTATCCCGACAAGCTTCACACGCCGCCAAAATTCTCTTCCTAGGCAAGCCGTCACCGCTTCCTTCAGGCTCGGCATCGCCCATTGTGAAAGTTTTCGCGAGTAGGCACCGACTGCAAGTATAGATAGTGCAGCTCGACCAGACAGCAACTAGAGCGGCGATGGATTGAAGGGGACGATCAGAGCAGAGATGCCAAAGCCATCACCATGCTAGTATGGGGCATGCTTTGGCGTCTGGCAGTAGTTCGGCAAATATTTCTGCTCGAAAGCTCGGAGGTTTTTGAAGCTCAGGGTGGGGGTTTAGTGCCAGCGCGGTACGTACTCCTGCTAAGTTAGTAGGCCTAAACTACATAATAGATACGAGTACTACGGGGTTCTCCGTATATAACGTGTAGTTCTGATACTGTGTGCAGAGCCCCGCCTCCTTAGAGCTCTATACTAGTAAGAGTGCGGGGGATGAAGAAGTTCATGAGCGTCAGTAAGACAGTGAGCCTGGGGAACATCCGCGCTGTGTATAAGATTGAGGTGAGCAGGCGGGCTTATTAACCCGTCCTCCACTAGATGCCAGAGGCTAGCAGCTCTGGTGTCAAAGCTTCCAAAGCCAGCAGCAGCCCGCTCTTCCAGTTTAGCAAGGTTTAAGTATAGGGTATTTCTTGGTGGCTAAGTGCTGCCATAATGTATATTGATAAAGCAATATTTTCAGTCTACCTATTAGCAAAACCTAGACGAATATCTTTTACTAATATTTCCGGCCTCTCAAAAGCTCCAAAGTGTTTTCCTTTGTTGACTTTGTGAAAGTGAATCATATTTGTGTAACCCTGCTCGGCCCATTTTTTGGGGTGCTTGAATATATCCTTTTCAAAGACAAGCACAGCAACAGGCATTTCAACAGGCTCAAAGTCAAAATTGAAATGTCGATCCTCCCAAAATATTCTTGATATGGAACCAGCACTCCGTGAAAACCAATGGACACTAATGTTATCCAACATTTCATCCAGTGTAAGTGCGTCTTCTGGATCACCAGCGTTGTCAGTCCAGTCTTGGTACTTGTCATAGATCCACATTGCTTGACCAATTGCTGAGTCAGAGAGAAGGTACGCAATTGTCTGTGGCCTTGTGCTCGAAATCCATTTCCATCCGCACATCTCATTTTGCGTAATATGGAATGCTTCCAATGCTCTGCTCTCCTCGTCGGTTGGATTCTCAAGGGTCTTTGGAATGGTTAACAGAAGATTCAAGTGAATGGCAACAAGGCCCATGGGTCGCATTTGTGCCATCAATGTCGTTATCGCGGCCCCGTAGTCGCCACCTTGAGCAAACCACTTCTCATAACAGAGCCGTTGTTCCATTAAGGTAATGAGAGCCTTGGCTGTATGCTCCATATTCCAACCAGTTTCTTTTGGGGGCTCTGTAAAGCCCCAGCCAGGTAAGCTGGGGATAATGACGTGGAAAGCGTCGTCAGGGCGACCGCCATTTGAAACAGGATCGACTAGCAGAGGGATGCATTTCAGAAACTCGACAAATGATCCTGGCCAGCCATGCGTGAGGAGAATTGCTTTTGCATTGGACTCATTTGAGCGGACATGGAAAAAGTGTATGTTCAAATTGTCAATCTTTGTTGTAAACTGAGGGTATTGGTTGACTTCTTGTTCAAATCGCCGCCAGTCGTATTCGTCTTTCCAGTATCTCGCCACCTCCCGAGCCTTATCCAGAGATGTACCCTGAAATGACCCATCAGTTACTTCTTTATCTGCCCATCTTGTTCTGGCAATGCGCTGTTTCAAATCATCAATCTCTCCTTGTGGGATGTGGAGAGTGAATGGTTCTATCGTCGCATCTCCAGTGTTAGTTTGATCGTCCATCGTGATGAAAATTTGTTATACTTGTAGCTCATTGACTTTGACAAGCCCCTTGTGTTCAGCCAGGCTCTTGCACTGATTTATAGTTTTCTCTACTGTCCTGATAATATGTACCCGCTATATTGCTCATTGCTACGCTATTTTAAATTCTCTTCATGTATCGGCCGCTGCATTAGCTTTTCTCGGAGCAAATGTTGAATAATCTTCTCAACATTACGGAGTATTCTGGACAAGTTTGATTTGGCAAGTTTATTGTAATCCGCACCAACAATATGACAGGGTACCGGCGGCTGCATACTTAGCGCGCATTACGTAGCGATATGTCAGTGAGCTTATGCCTCGGAACGGTTGGAGACGGTTGTTATAATTACTTGCAAATAAGGAGAGTAGAAAAAGTCGTAGTTCTGTTCAGGTTTGGTTTTTTTTTTTGAATGCGATCTTTTTCTTTCCTTTTCTCCATTCCCTCCCCTCGTTTTTCTCAGCTTTTGCTCATCACGTACACTAAGGCCCATGTAATGCACAGATGTCTACGTTTTCCAAATCTGTTTTTAAATAGGCACCTGCCAAGATAATTTACGTGTCCCACTGTCCCATCGCAAGGCGCGGTGTATATAAAAATACAAAAACTCTGTTTGATTTGAAAGAAAATCTGTGTATGTCTACATATTTTGAACGTGATCTTGAATATTTGATATATATTAACATTGGAAACAGACCTCAAGTCACGGTTTTGTATTTCTTCTGGACGAGTGGTAGAATTTGAAACGCGGTCATCGCGTCCGATGTCGAGACCCTAGAATATTCATTCGTGGCGACTGTTTGTACTACAGTATACCCAGTTGGATAATAAGAATTCCCATAAAGCAATCGACAAGGTCTTGTCTTTTGCAGAGGAGAATTGATGTTTGATACTCTGGATCTATGATTTGCACCATATAGCGGTGAGATGTGTCCTCTATTGAGTTAAGAACGCACGGCTGTCGCATTATGTTTTGTAGAAATGACAGTTTGAACACTTCTCAAAAGACTTCCTGTAAAACCGAATTTAGCTAAAATGCAAGTGCATTTCCGTGAGACCAACTTGCCTCCTAGAGTCCATCTTTGGAAAAAGTTATTCATCGTGAAGAGCATATCCTCGATTTCATCATGAGGAACGTAATTGTTAGGGGTATTAATAGCGGTATAAACAGCCCGCAGTTGACAGAATATCCCAATAAATGAAACCTGAGATGAATCGACGTTTTTTATGGCACAGAAAGAAATTTTAGCAGTGTCCCATATCATTTGACAGGAAGTTTGCAGTGTCAGATCATCCAATGAGCCGGGCATAATTGTGGCTTGTTTTGCGTGACTGTGTCGAAGTACGATGAGGGAACAAAGAGCAAGAGAAATAATGTCACACAAATACATGGAATGACTGTCCTTCGCTGTCATTAGCGCTACCACCAATGTTTGCATGCAATTTTCCACAGACGTATAGCTCTCATCAACGTCATATCCTTGATTTGAGCAGTAAACGTGATGCAGAACTCGCCCAGATGCCAGCACAACTTGGGTCATAGTATAGAGCTGCTGGGAAGGAGAGGCCCCAATGGATGCAGACTCTGCAACAAAATGGCGTCGAATATAATACTCAATAGCCTTGACAAAGGGACTATTCGGGATACAGAGTGATGGGATAGAGTTATCTGCACTCGATAGCATTATTATTCTATGGCAGGTGAGAAACATGGTCTTTGAATCGTTGAAGAAGGAGGCCGCACCGATCCAAGATGAGAAGCGACACTTTAGTCTGCAATGGAATCTCTGTCTCATGTGTATAAGACTCTGATAATGTCACCATAGTAAAGATGGAATTGAGTGTAAGCTGTGCTTGGTATACCATTCCTCGGCTACATTCATATAATCCAAGAAGAGCCTGAACTTCAATTAGGCGCGAGTTCGACTTCTCACGCAAAGAAAGTAGAGCTGTCATTAACTTCTTTGAAGCAGTATATAGCTTTTTCGGTCCTAAAGAAGCATTAAGATCGCAGGGCTGGAGGAAGTCAAACAGTAGTAATGCTAGAATAAGCAACGGCGTCGCTGTATCTCCCTCGCGCGGATCTCGAAGGGTTCGCGCATCTTTACGCAGCCGTTCAATGTCAATAACGGGGAACCAGCGGTGGATAGAGGATGAAAATCTGTCAATAAGGCCAGATATTTCTGTTTTACTTTCTTGTAGAATATCGCTCGTCAGCTGTGAAAAATAGTGGAAAGTTGTATCAGTAATTCTTGCACAATTGGATATCAATCGCAAAAATTCATTCTCGCCACGAGAAGAAAGATCAAAAAAGCCACGGGGTTCGCAGATAACCAATGGCTCGATTCCGCGCACATCTTGCATTAGGCCATGGGCGCTGCTTGAAAAGAGAGTATAGTCGCAGTGCCGTAGCTTTCTATCGGGACCCAAGTTAGATTAGTGTGCTGTATAACGAATAATCGCGCATAAGGAAGCTCACGAAGCACATCGGGAGCATCTAGGCAGAGCCCGATCGCATCTCTGCTTATGGAGCCGACACCTGGAGCAGACATTTGCTGCTGTACTAACCACCTGAATACTGGTAGCCATGTATCGATTTAACTCAAAGGAGCGAGAAAGAAATGGATAAATTGTATCATACTATTTTTGCGTCCCCTAGTACGATCAGATAGAGTTAAAAAGTGCGTAAAAGGTTCCAGAAGGTTTTTGGTGTTTTAGTGGATGATGTCCCCTCTGCTCCAGTAGGCGCACCGAAATTACATACATGTAGGTACCCCATGTGTCCAGCTGATTAATTATAGCTGCCTACCTGGAGTAACATTACTCCGAAGATAGACTGACCAATGGCATTTTCGTATAACTAGAGATAATGCTGTCAAAACAATTGCCAAGGACCGCAAGCACTAATGACCAAGCACACTTATGTCTAGCCGCACTATCCTTGTTTGCTCTCTCATCCTTACGTAGTCCTCCATAATTCCGAGGGTTTTAATTTGGCCAGAGTTGATCTCGTTTATTTCTGTCGGCAAGTCTGCAATCCTTGGGAACTGACGTGCTTCTTGCTCATCAACTCTGCTTGCGAGAATGCCAAGCAGCACGGCGATATGAGCACCTTGGCCTCTAACAATGTTAATAAATGCATGAAAGCTTTCCAGATTCGTATTGTCCAAGCTTAGGTAATTTGAGTAGGCCCCATTAGATACAATAAAGACGTACACATACGCTGTTCTGTCCCTCGAGGGTTTCCGTTTCCAAGGGGCCCCCCGTGCTTAAAAAACAAAAAAATAAAAAATAAAATAAAAACAGCGCAATCTGGTATTTCACTGCTATTCCATGACTATTGCTTCACCAACCAAAATTTCTGTCACAGCATGGTGCATAAAATCATCACGATCTTGTGAAGGGCGAGTAGGATAAATTCCTCACAGCCTATGCATTGCTCTATCAGCAAATACTCATTCTTAACAATGTCGAGTAATAGTAATTCGAGCGTAAAGTGGTATGATGGGGCCCAATTTAGACAATGAGGGTAACGCCATTCTAAGCGTAGGCTTGTATGAGACACTTCAAAGTCAACCAATTTGTTGCTGTATTCTCAATCGTGGTGTCCCTCGCCAGCTTCTCGATTTCACAACTTCCGACCTTTAGCTTTGTTTCAACATCTATTGTGATTGCTGCGTAAGACAGTATCTACCGCAAGATATCTTCATGCAGCGCAGTTGAGTGATACAGCTGCTTTATAACATTCTCTAGGAGCATCTAAGTTGATATCAAGAGGTAGAAATAAGACTTTAGTGTATTGCATTGGGATATAGAAGGGCGAATGTCACTCCAAGAATGAGTAGTGAACCACATTGGGCCAGATTGGTCCTGATCGCGAGAGCAAATTCGCCATTCATTAGATATTTTGAGTTTTCTAATGTATCCCCAAACTCTAATGGTCATGAATAGTAACGATCATCAACGACCTAGTGTATTTTGATAGTGTTCATGCGCGAAGCGCTATTGTGGACCAGGCACCATATCCACAAGTGTCGCAGCGGATCTCCTCAGACCTACGCCCCAAAAAACCATTACACCCACTCACTGCCTTCGTATGCACCAGAAAATTGATAGAAGTGAGTATTGAGTCATAGACATGGCCGTATACAAAATTAGCCTACAGCTAGGGTTAAAAAAAGAAACATACGAGAATGACATTAATCGATCGCTGCACAGGTTTTCACACATATATTGCACAAGAAACAAGGCTACTGAGACTCGTCAAATCACTCCGTAAACTCCGACTGGGTCCCAATTTTGAGACTGTCTCATTCGACCACTTTGAAACACTTCTTTATTTGACCACAGCCCATATCCAGACCAATGCATCCTTACGTTAGCACAAAGTTGTCAAATTAGCTCCATTTCTTTACATTTCTTCTTAGCTTGGAGGAGATAACTCCAACATCCAGACTTACTGGGACCCGCATCCCCGAAGAAAGATTTATACAAGTTGCTTAAATGATTTGATACATAGACACGTCTAGTATAGAAGAGGATATTTTGCGTCGAACTAAATATATATGAATTCGTAATTAAATTTGTCTAACTACCTATACACGACCTTTGCTTCGAGTGTTAACGCCATGGGTTTATAACATTTTCATACCTGTAGCCTCAATATGTCTTTGAGGTGAACTACATCAACAAACTTCGGGAGCACCTTCGACATTAAGAAATTGTGAACCTCTGGGTCGTCGTCAATGATGCCTTCTTCCACACAGATAATGTGAAAATCCAAGTCCGCGCCTGCTCGTGCTGACCCCAGGATGCTTCCCATAGTTGTCAGGCCTACCAACACAACATGGCGAATACCACGTGCACGTAAATACGACTGCAGATCAGATGATCCAAAGCAGCTTGGTTGCAACTTCCCCAAGACGATTTCATCTTTACCACCCCAACCACCTGATGGTACAATATCATCTGGAATACCGTAGTATGGATGATGAGGGTCGGATGGCGCGTTTGCAAAATAACCTGCATCTTCGAGTTGTTTCACCCATTTGCCGAGTTTATTGTAAGGCGACACAAACGCATTTGAGTTGAGGTTGAAGGGTAAAGTGTGATGGACAATGAGAGGCACACCATCGTAAGGCGCACTTCTGATTGTGGTATCCTGATTGGAACGACACTTAGAAATCTCGGCTCTGAAGAAGCCGAGAAGAATTTTGATCTTGTCAAGATAATCCTTTTGGATTTCGGTAGGAAAACGCTTCAGAATTTGTGTCTGCACATCTGAAAGAAGGAGAGCTGTGTGTGAGAGCTCCACAGGGATGAAGAAAGGTGATGTCATGGTTACTTGTATTGTGATTTGAAGTGTATGTTTGCTGTGAACGCCGCTGCTTGCTACTCTTGGGTGACTATTGTTGAGGCAAAGAATGATTGTATAGGTAGGCGTTTATATATGTATCAGCCGTCCTTAGGTTCAAAGGTTTTGCTATTCCACCGCAGTAGGGAATTCACCGAATTTACCGAATTCACCGGGCTACTAGTTGCAGGGAACATAATGCAGCTGTGTCTTGGACCAATCGGTTTCTGACAACGCCATTGCCATGTAGATTAGCATACTAATAACCGTTATCAATTAGAATCAGTATTACCTCCGATCCTACGACAACTATATCGAGGGAAACAGCTAGTTGACAACTTCTAAAAGGAGGCAACATATTAGAGCAGGAACAAATTTAGGCATCCTATCTATGGCTACGTCAATAGGGTATTAGCGATTGTTGGGGGTGGTATTACCGGCCGCCCCCAAGAAGCAGCATTGTTCAATTGGCTGGTAATAGTACCACTGTGGCAAGCACAGAATAGAACTCTCATGCGTGTCTGATGGTTTTGGTGTGTACAATGTTATAAGGTAGCGAATTTACTATCTAGGTTTCGTAGATATATTAACAATTTAACTAAATGTACATTTCAAGAGCATATATACATTATTTATAATATAAGGAAGACTGAATGTTGTAGTTAATAACATCGAACTGCATGCTTAATCGTTAAAATATGAACACAATTTAGAAGTAGGTAGCTGTCATATTAATCCATATCCGACATCCAAACTATTTTATCGTAAGCATGCTTACACAAAATTTCGCTTTATCATTGTCATAGAACAAAAGGGTTTTCATAAGCAATACCTCCCTCAGATAATCTCATCCAGGGATATACAAATCAATACCACCACTGTGGGTGATCCTATGAATAATTTCCTAGAAGATAGGAAATGGTGTCAATAGTTAATATATGGGCGCCCGTCGACCACGAGTAATAATTTTACTCTAAAATGCGTTCAACTTCATCCTTTGAGTAACCAATTGGTTGTAGAGGCTCCCAAGCTACTATTATCGGTAATAATGCTTCTGGAAATGGCGAACATCTCGCCCTGACCAGCAGTCATTTGAATAATATTCAAACCCTTGATTAGTTATTCTAAATCATAGGTAGTAGTATTCACATCAAAGCTGTTTCACAATCGATGAGTTACTGTGCCTGCTAGATTGAGACCCTTGGAAGGCACGTAGCATGGTGGTTTATAGCCGAGAAAAATATATCGAGTGCACCAACCTTCATGGCCAACCTGAAGAAGCCTCAGAGACACTCAGAACCGGCTTGAACTTATCCGATAACACGTCTACCTAATAGGTACAACGTTGCAGATGGCACAAAATACCGTGGACAACAGGAAGGCCTCCGTGCTATTCGAGGAGGGGGATACTGAACAAAGCGATAATAGTGGGGTCCAAAGGAGCAGCAAGGGAGAAGTACTGGAACGAAACCCAATGGCTATGTATTTAATGATGAGCTGACTTGAAAGAATATGGCTTTGCTTGTGGAGAAGCTGAGCATGTTTAGCAATTATAGTTACACCAAACATACTTGCCCTTACCACTTGGGGGTAGATGGCGCAGTGAGGTGTCACTGGCTCGCCCAGCTGAAGTGAAGCACCTATTAGATGTTTTTAATGGTCTGGGTGGCTTGAACTCTAAGCATAAAAGGCTATCACCGATGACAGCCACATGTTAGCTGGAGGCGTTGAGGGGCTGTCCTGTCTCTGGTATCCGAATTATAAAATACGATGCACACCTTGGTTACTGCCCGCATCATCCCACCGTATCTTATTTTCATCCCTAGTGCATTTCCCAAATCTACAGTCACCATAATGTTCAATCGTCGACGGAGACCAGTTCTCGGCGCTGCCGTACTTGTTGGCGCATCTAGGGCAGCCGCTAGGCACGAAGTACAGAGACAGGCAGTTGCGGAATCTCAACGTGAGATGGACATACAACGTGAGGTCGAGGTACGGAGGCTCCGAGAGGTAGAAATGGAACAAAGAACACAACGCGCCGTCGACGAAGCGATGAAGAAAGCAGCTTTGGAGAACCCAGCTCCGCAACAGAGCCCTGCTGTGATGATGGTGCAACCGCCTCCACAGCAATTTTACAATAACCAACAACCGATACCAATTCAATCGCCAGGACAGTCCTACACAGTGGGTACAAACATGATGCCTGGCCTACAGCCGGAGCAGATTATGCGCGCTCCATCTCCGCAACCTCCAGCATACTCATCAGAGTCCCTATCACAGGATAGGCCAAAGAGTGCGCAAGGCATTGGCTCTGCGTCACCAGCTCTAGAGTCGAGCGTTCGGTATTGTTCCCAATGTGGCTTCAGTTGTCAAATCGGGGATAAATTCTGCAGCCGATGTGGCTCAAAGCAAGTTCCCTAAGAGTGCAGGTTGGAAGAAGTGGCTTATAATAATTGATTGTTGCTTGCTTTAATATCACAAGTGGGAGTCTTGATTTGCGGTTACTGTTTGCTATTTAAGGGAGGTGGATTGTTTGTTCGCAGCGATCTTGACATGTTTGCATAGGTTCATTATGGACAGCCAGCATCAATATGAGCGCATTATAATTATTACGCACCTTAATCCCTAACTTCCACACGGGATTATCCATCGTATTTCCGTTCGGCGGATTGAGATTTTGTATTTCCGCTCCGCAGATTATACTACTGATTTCCATATGTCCTCTTTTCTCATATATTTCCGTCCGCAGATTGCAGCAAGGGTATTAGGAATACGTCCATACCCTACCGCTCGGCATGTGTTCCTATTCGTCCGCAAGCCCCTGTTATATCTGCCATACCAATGCTGTCATGAAGTATCACAAGTTAAATGTCGTTGAGATATTTTATGTAGCATTGAAATCAACACTTCATTACCTGTCTAAATTCCATATTGCTTTGTCCCTTAACCTACAGGGTTGCATTTGCTTATGCCCTCAATTGTACTAGACAAGGCACGAGGCAAATTCTCTTGCTATACCATAGTCCTTCCTTTATGAACTTGGATTTTGCTGAGATTGTCAGTTATATTATTGCTACTTGCTTGCCAGACAAATAATCTGCTCCATCTCCACTAGTGACTATGCAAATGTATTACCAGGAGATGACGTAGTCCGAGATCTTACTTCCGTCAGCCCATTTTTAGTTCATCTTTTGCCCACTGCGGACCCCGTAATAATCTTTTCTGATAGCCATGCGACGATCTTCTGTGAAATTCTTCTCATCAGGTTGTAATTTTGCAGGTAATTCTGGATATGAAAAGGTTGCTTCTAAGGCGTCCATATCAGGAAAAATTGTAGTAACCACAGCATCGCAGTCAATACTCGCGTTAGTGTTGTGAAAAAGAGTCCGAGTATTTTCATTATTTTTGTGAGTTATGAATTGCTAATGCCCATTTAATGATCTAGTTTCTTCAGCCACCGGAATCTCAAAGTTTTTTACAACAGAATATTGAAGAACGTTGTCTCGAGTGAGAATCTCTGCAACTATAGGGATATGGATTTTGGTATAACGTCACTCAAAGTCTTCATCTGTCATGCCCTTTTTCTTTGTGACCAAAAATATGGCCTTAATGCCTGCCTGCTTCGAAACCAGTAGTCATACTTGCATCTCAGTGATGATTCTGATATTTGTTCCTCAGTTTCACTAAAGTTTACAGTATTAATTGAAAATGTCCCGCTGGTGTCGGGCGTATATTGGGCTTTTTATACTTATTGCGGAAAGCAACATATGATAATATATATATTTGTCAGCTAATTATGCTGATGTCTAATTGACTTGGCTAACTCTTCCAGTCAATCAGAAAGAGGCGTGCCTTAAACCATTTTTACTATGTTTCACCTGCAAGCTCTTTCAATTCTTGCTGGTCTCACAAAGTGGCTTTCCATGATGGCACGACAGTCTTGTTAGTATATTGGCCAGAAAACTGTACCTTGATAGTCAAATTCAAAACACGATAAAAGGTAGACATCGTTCATTATAGAGGAATAGCCCCCTCAACTTTGTCTTTTATAATTAAGGAATCTATGTGTGCTTTGATTTGCCCCAGATGAGAAAGATGGGTATGTCGTGTCAGCATGTTCAGGCCTATAGCATATAGTGACCTCACAGCTAATTAAAACAATCCATATTAGTACATAGTAAATATCCAATTAAAGCGGCTAGGTAAGTTGCTTCAGTACTTTCCTTTGACAAACCTACATGTAGCATAACATAAATTCAGCGCTATCTAGTTCTCAGATTTTAAGTGCGCGCTTCAGTTTATACTCTATAACTATGATTACGTATTTTATCTCCGAGCTAAGCTCTACTCGTATCATCGATCCATTGTGCTAAAAAAAAAGGGGGGGGGTTAAGGGCCTAAAACTGGAACCTCGTATTAGCCTGAAAAAAATACTATATCCTCAGCTCATTTTGGTACCTTGACTCATGCAAAACCAAGATAATTGGCGCTAAAGAGCTGCGAAAGACTCTGAAACTCGTATTAGCAACCTTGAGCGCTATATAGTCAACCAAATGTGGTATCTTTATTCAAGCACCACTCAAGGCATGATAGCATCTCCGGCATTATAGCATCTCCGGCATTGTAGCATCTCCGGCATTGTAGCATCTCCGGCGTTATTCTCGTGTTTGCGCGAGTCGCTTCAAGACTTTGGAGCACTGGAACCCACTCGAGTAAGCGCTATTAAAGGGCTCGCCGAAAGACAGCTTCGTATTTAGCAACCTCGAAAATGCAATTACGAACACTTGATAATATTAAGAAAACTGAAGTGAAGTCATAAACCTTTCTATTTGTGATATAAGAGGCAAGGGCTGTCCAACATTTCACTTTTATTATCTCTACCGGCCTCTCAAACCAAACTTGATACATCCAGACACTCGAATAGGATTCCATCCTCTCAACTCTTTCCTGAAATGCAATTTTATTACTTGGCCTCTGCGGCCATAGCTGCGCAAGCTTTAGCTGCGCAAGCTTTCGCTGCTCCATCACCGAAGCACAACACTTCCTCGACTCTAGAACATTGGCTATATAGCAGCGATATTGATGAGATCTCTCTAAGTCTCTTGGATAGATCAGATATTGTTGGCATTCAATCTCTGTATAGCTGGAAGTCCCTTGAGCCGGCGGAGGGTGATTATGATTTCTCCAGCCTTAGAGAGGATTATGAAAAGGTACTTGCGAAGGGCAAAAAGTTCTGGATTCAGCTTCAAGACAGGAGTTTCAACGCTAGCGTCGACCCAGTTCCCAAGTACCTGAATACACCATATTATAACAATGGAAGCGCTCCAGCTTGCGATGGAACCGCATGCGACACCAATTTTACAATCAGCGGCTGGGTTGCGCAGCAATGGAATCCACGAGTGCGTCATCGTTATCACGCCCTCCTCAGCGCAATAGCAGGAGAATTTGATGGCAAGATTACCGGCATCAATTTACCGGAAACATCCATCTCCGTTAATGAGAATACAAATAACTACACCGATGAAGGTTACTTCCTGGGCGAATTAGAAAATGCAGGCTACGCAGCCAAAGCCTTCAAGAAGAGCTATACCGTACAATATGTCAACTTCTGGCCTGACGGGTGGAACAACACCAACAACCGGTTCACAGATTCCTTCGACTTTTACGCGAAGCATGGCGTGGGCGTTGGTGGGCCTGATTTAATTCCAAATAAACCGGGACAGGAAGCAAATTCTTATGTATACATCCCGATGTATCATGATAAGGTACCTATTACTGTGGTGGCTGTTCAGGAACCAGATTTGGAAGAGATAAACAAGAGTACTGGAATGCCGTTCACGAAAGACGAGTTTGTTGATTTTGCTGTCAATGAGCTGCATGTTCGCATTATATTCTGGACAGTTGAGGCACCCTGGCTGCAGTCCAGCTAATATAGCTTGTACAGCTGTGACGAATGGTTGAGTTTTTCTCATAAAGATAGAATGAAATGAAAAATCCACTTTCTCAACCAATTTCTTTAGTAGCATGTTATCACGGCATTCAGAGGTGTGTTTATGGTATGTATCTGGCGGAATGGGTATTGATAATGATCTCAGCACACTGAGCCCAATCTTGTCTCAGCTTCAATTTACTTCACCTAGGATGCCGAATAGACGAATTAAGAAGACAAAGCTTGTTTGAATCGAAATATACCTAATGGTACTTACTAATGAGTTATTAGTAGCGCTTAGTCGCCCCTAGAGCTCATCGTGTGCGCTATTCTCCTCATCAGCCCGAATCTTGTTATAGCTTCCTACTGGCAGTTTATAGCCACCCCGCCAAAGTATATCAAACATTCCTGCCGGGTCATATGCCTTCTTCACCTCTATCCTCTTATTCATGTCATCAGGCGTGATAGAGCGTTCATATACACGCTGTTTCCCATCCGCATAGTTCAGGTATATAAAATCATTCAGTATGCCTCGTTTACGAGCCTCAGCTTCGGCCAATGTACCAAGTTCATAAGCTGCTTCCTCTAACGCAGCGTCATCATCAGGGGTTTCCCACTCCATTCGAATGTGGATATCTAAACTATTGAGTCAAAGGGGGGAAATTTGGACTATGAGCAACTAGTAATCACTAAGTCGTCTTTCCCTTACCCTAAGGCATTGAAGATCGGACTTTCTTTTGTTGCATTAATAAAACTCTTCTGAAAATGTTGAACTGCTATGCTCCAGAGGATATTTTCGCGGTTATCATGACGCTTCATAATATCTTCGCACTTCTCGAATATATCTATGAAATATTCCGTGTCAATCTTCGTCGTAATTGTGTGCCATCTTGTTCGCGTCGTGGCTGTGATTGCAGTGTCAACTACCTCACGCACCACTCTATAAGCGCTTCCTACGGTCTCCAAATGCATTATAGGCACAATCAATGTGAGGAGATCTTGGGCGATACCATTTTCATTGACTTGAACCGTCAAGGCTGCACTCATGCCCTTGTTTCGCATCATACCAATGGATACCATGTTGGCTTTCCTAGTATTTTTGTGCCCCCACTTTTCAGATTGTGCGTAGATTTCAGATGCAAGAGTTGGCGTGAAGGGATATATATTCACGGCTGCCCATATCTCAGAAGATTGATAGGTACGCATGTCAAATCGAGTAACAATCCCATAGTTTGTAGAGGGTAGTTTCATCGCCCTGAATAGGTCTTCATTCTCTTCCTCATTTGCGTTGACAATTGTGTCATTAGAGAGGACAACCTCGTAGTTGATCACACTGTTTGCGCCAAACCCCTTGTCAACGGATGCAAAAGCGATGCCGCCTAACAATGAATATTAGTAGTATAGCAAGATGCTCGGGGGTTACAACAACTTACCGCCCAAAAGGAACCCACCGACACCAACTCCACTGATTCGGCCTCCAGCTGTGGAAATATTATATGGTTCCATGGCAGCATAAACATTTATCCAGTGGCCTTGGACGATATTAATTTTATTCAACGCCCTCAGATCAATAAGGGAACCGCCATCAATGTTTGATGTGCCTTTCCAGCACATGTGCCCTCCGGATGCAACAGCAAATGGACATTGTAGCGATTTTGAGACCTACAGAATACGAGAGACGTCATCTGCGCTCTTTGTTCTGAGTATACATGCAGGATGGAGTTCCTGTTGTTGCCTGGAGTAATGTTGGGCATTCCGAGATTCATATTCCGACGATGATGGGTAGTGAACGAGAGACGGTAGTTCTTTGTGTAATTCATTGCACTTCCTGGATGTTAATCGAGACACACGCGTTTAAAACAATATTTGGCTTACACATATCCTACTCAAGTCTGAATCCGTAATTAACGTGGCATCGCTGGCTACATAACCCAGGCGATTCGCGGAAGCTAGCAGAAGTAAAACTGTGAGAGAGCGCATATTATAAGCAAGGGACTCTTTGCTTTGTATAGTACAAGTAATGGAATGGAGGAATGCAACTACCCATTTTGCTTGGTGCGGTGGCCTCAGCGGGGCTTTGTACAAGGAGCAACGCGGACGGACTTCTTTGTAAGGCGAAGGCCGAGGAGCTCGTAACTGAAGTCTGAAGCCCCGCCGGGTATCAAACCCAGCATGAAGTTCTACCAAATGTACTTTGCAATACGCTGATTTTGTTAGTGCTGGTGTGATACAACATTGGACTGTTGAGATGTGTTGACGGAGCCCAACGGTTGCCAGGTCTTGAGTCATGACTGCCTAATTATATCTGGGAACAGTCTTACTGTGACTTTCAAGATTTAAAGAACAGAAGTCCATAAATCTGTATGTTATGGGGAATCTTACAACAATCACTAACTTAAGTTAAACATATATTCTAGTCTCTGAACAAAAAAAATAAACATAACCCTAGATTTTCAATAAGAGCAGCACCGCAGCGTGATGGAGTGATGATAATCAATGGCAGAATGCTACATCGCAGGTATTAAATGCCAAGAATAACAACTAGCATGGCAACAATTATGTAGGTGGGGTAATAAATAGAACATTACTAGATGAAATGATATGATTTGGGCTCACAGGACATAGACTGGCGATCTAAAAGCATGATGAGATAGCATGTTTCCTTGCGATGTTAGTTTATTGAGTAACGTCGCTGCTGTTGCATTCGTTTAAACAGTAACTAAGTCTAAATATTTGATAATATTACAATTCCGAAAAGCCCACTATCCAACTCATATCCAGAATATTAAACGTCGTATTCTCTTGCGTTACTTCCTCTGTGGGTACATTCTCCAAGATTCTTACAAACGACATGTCGTCATCTCCACTTGCGGAGCATGCACCAAGACAATGAGCCTGGTCGCCGGAGTATTGAGAATTCCAATTCAAGCAATATTTGAAGAATTGCATCATTTTCCAGAAGTAGTCACGTCTATCTTGCTCATTATCTGTCATTGTTCCCATGGCCACCATTTTATCGCGGAGAGCAGTAAGGTAAGAAGAAATGTCTGCAAGTTCTCGCAATTGGCTAGGCTCTCCTATAGTAATGCTCCCAAGTGTCGCTGCAGCCAGTACAAGAATGGCATAAAGAAGTTCTGCCTCTTGAAACAGAACAGTATAGCGAAGGCGTTGCGGAGGTAAGAACACATACTCCTCAATATATTTCTGCGCCGCTTGCACGCAAGAAGTAGCGATATGAAGTCGTGGTAATGACGAACACCAGTTGCAGCAGATTTCAGTGATGAAGTCACCAGTATTCTTATGCTGTGACGGAGAATGAAGGCCAATCTCTTGTATGTATATCTGAATGTAACGGCATTTTCTTTGAATCAAGCCTATGGCAGTGAGAATTTGACAGGTTCCAGGAAGAGAACAAATTGATAGACACCTACTGTTTGCTTTTGTTTCGGGTGGAAAATTTTTAAGCAGTTGATCAAGTTTTCCCATGAAACTATCCATCATCACTTGTATCTGCATATGATCAACGACTTCCAATAGCTGAACGTTATTATACCGAAAAAGCTGATCGACTTCTTCAGCAAGTCCTTGCAGCTGCACAAAGCACGATAAAACTTCATTGGGTACAGTAGGCGAGATAAAGGGTAGCAATATACAACAATCTGCGATATTACCACAGTATTTGAATCGAGTAGGTTTTCTCATTGCCAAAGAAATGCTTATAATGGGATGTCAGCTCAGTAATTTAAGAAGCATTCTTCGGATACTTACCATGAATCAACGTAATAGCAGGCCACAAATGTTCGCATCTTCTCGGTAATAGAATGATAGAGTTCGTTATTGTCAAAGATCCCTTGTCGTTGAATTAGAATATCCTTCAAGGAGTCGTCTGGGGGGCTGAGCTTAAGTTCTACTGCCATTGTGGTCGCCATTTGAGACAATTGGTATATCTGTTCCCTAGCAGAGTTGAAATAGAGGTGATTCCTGTTAGGTAAGCATCAGTATGTACCTCTCAAATGAAAGGTATGATGAGTAATACCAAGTGATGAATACCAGCAATCCTTGTAACAGATCTAGATTCTTCTCACCATTGATAATTACTTTCTCCGCTAGCATCTTGCGGAACTCCATCTCTAATCTTGTTTGAAGGTGATCTTGCGCACAAGTGGTAAGAATTGCAAGGAGAAGACAGGGTCGCTCCAACCGCAATTGGTCTAAGCTAGCTTGAAAAGGAAGCAGTACAAGCGGGAATTCAGCTGAAGCAGCAGCGAAATCGATTAGAAACTTCTTTGCTTCATCTGTGGCTAGGAAACCCTTGGCAATTACATCCTGGTGAATGCTTGGCCATAGTTGTGTATATTCTTGTGCACTGCTTTGCGCTAGAGTCGTAGCTGAATCTATACTCGTAGGATACTGAACTTCTCTCGGGTTTGCCTTTTCAGATATTGACGATATGAGGGTAACTAGGCCATCAAGCTTCTCCTCAACTGCTCTTCTTCTCGATTTACTACCGTGTGTAAGTCAATTTACCAAACTGAGCAATAAGGAAAGGACACACGGTGCCGATTTGGTTCGTCGAGGTCGAGCAATGGCGCGCTCGAAGATGCATGCTGTCCCATTGATGCTACATCTAAATCAATTGTTAATGATTTGCTCGCCGCTAAATATTAAGCACAATATCGGTTTTGGGATCACCTTTCGCACAATGGAGATGCATTAGCATTCTCTACCATAGGAACGCAGCGGACCTTTGAACTTCGACATGTCTCGCAGGACCGACGAAGATGGCCTGTCCTCCGTCTTGGCTCAATGTCTACTCCGCCGCGAGTAAGCCGTGAACCCGCAGTCTTCTCCATTGGCACGTGTTGAAAAGCCCAGAGTCCGAGATATGATACGGCTGCTGCCAAAACTCATTTGCGCCGCTTTAGTTGCACGATTCTATCTGCCTACTGCCAGACGTCGTCTAGGGGAAGAGTTAGTAACGGTCAAGAGGATCAGATCGGAATCTCGGAACGATATGCATCCACCGAAATTCCGAGTTGTAGCACTACTGCAACTAAACCCGGTGGCTGAGCACTTGGTACAAGACCCACAATAAGAATTTGATTGTATGCAAGTCCGCTAGGCACGGGTTGTGCTGGTACATTTGAACATGTGAAAGTAAATAGTAGGTGTTATTGGTATTTAAAAATTAAAATAATCTTCCCATCTAATCTCGCGCGAATTGGCCATCTATGCTGTTGGTTTCGGCCTATAGCTTGACTGTCTAAAGAGGCTACCTAGAATATTACTACATAGTTAATTAGTAATAATCTCGGACAATTTGCTCACACAGATCCCAAAGCCTCTTGCCAGAATCCCTCTCCGCGATTCCAGCCTCGACATTTGGAGAAGTTGTACCGACACGACCAAAAGGAACGATGAAACATCCATTTCTCATGGCAACTTCATCTGAAAATCCAGCATAAAGCTCCGTCAGGGCACCGAATCGTACTGGGTGAGACATAAAATTGTGGAAGACTTGCAGGAACCACGGTGCGTGACGGGCGATATCCGTCTTGATAGCTCCCGGGTTAAATGCGCAGCTGATGATGTCCGGATGGAGCTTCGCCATCTCGGCTGCGAGTATTGCGTTTGCAGCCTTGCTTTGCATGTATCTACTGGTACGACCTTTGAAGCCGCCAAATTCAGTAGAGCTTAGCTTCCAATCATCCCACAAAATACCATCTTCTCCTGGTGGTGGTACGCTTTCGCCAGACCCGGCCCAACAAACTCGAACAGAATTTTTCGCTGTACCAGGATTTAGGGTTGTTTTGAGCATGATTGGAGTCAGAAAGCGCTGTAATAAAAAGGGGCCGAAAACATTAGTTGCAAAGGTTAACTCGTGACCCTGCTTGCTAACGCTGCCCTCTGGGGCAAGCATAACGGCTGCATTATGCCATATGATATCAAGGCGTGACTCAACCTTTAGGAATGATTCTGCTGCTGCCTTGATGCTGGAGAAATCTCCGAGATCGAGCGCAATGAAGCGAATGGTGTCTTCTTGTCCGGCAGAACGTGGTTTCATTCCAGGAGGAGGCTCCGATGTCTTGACCAGCGCGATTGCTGCATCACCAGACTGCGAAGATCGAGAAAGAAGATAAATTCGGGTTGCATTGGCGTGATATAAGATCTTGGCTAATTCAAGACCTATACCTCCCGTACCTCCGGTAATGATAAAAACCTTTTATTGAAATGTGTCAGCAATCAGCAGTCATATAAACGAATACTGCAGTATTAATCTCACTTTATCTCTCAAATCAGCCACATCTTTTTCTAGGAGTAATGGTTTAGCAGGGAAGTAGCTTCGTATAAAGGCCATAGTTGCTTAATAGCAGAGAAAGTTTAATTGCTGGTTAAGGCGCAGTATTCTCATGCGACACCTTTATAGTGGTGTCTCGGACTGTAAAATCGGAATTTCGGGTCTGAGAGTATAACTAATTACCGAAGTATCTAACATGAACACAGGGCCGAGTATCGGAACTTCCGAGCAAACATCACCACCGCCCAGTTGGGGTAACTAAAACACTCATCTTCTTCTCTTAGTACCTGAAGTTCGCACTACGCTGAAGATATATTTTACGCTATCATAAGTATAGCATCTCTTTTATGTGGGAAAATATTGAATAAAACACTTATATCTGTGTATGCATAGTCCACTGCAACTCAACTAGTTGTAATGCTAGGGCTATGAAGGCAATTTTACTAGAATTCTACTCTGACTACCAACAAAACGCATGCAATGGGTAAAAGGTGAATAGAGCTTAAATATAATAGAGCTTATGCACTTCCCTTCTGAACGCGAAACACAAATTCTATTCAGTCCACGGCATTGCAGTGGTATCTCCAACAGTGGCCCCGTTATCATCGGGGGCAATTCCATAGCTATATTGGGACCCTATGTGTATCCACTATCTGCTACAGCATATTTTTACTTCGAAATATCACACTCGACATTAGAGACCCTTTGTAATCTATTATACCCTACCAAGTTTGGCCAATTCAATTTCATCAAGACCCAATTCAAGACTATCTAGGTTAAATTATCATAGAAGAGAATGCTACTAGTAGATGTCTAATTATGCAAGGTATCAGTTCATTCCATTAGCCTTAAACAACGAATTTCGAGCGCCTTTCCATGGTTTCCGCTTTCCTTCATCGAACAGTCTGTAGACCTGTGGCACAAATTTCCCGTCCAAAAGTGCCCCGTACAGATGATAGTCTGTCAACCATAGCCACCATGATTTCCATCCATTACCAAGCCTGTCCTGTATTCCCAGACCTGCCGCCCTGTCGGCCCACATATTCCACTCTGTTGGATTCACAGTGGCTGGATCATAAATCTCGCCGTCCTGGGCCAGAGATATTGCCATCTGGTTCTGTTTGTCTGCGTTGTCCGCCATCTCACTAGCGGGAGGCAATTTTGAGTTTCCAAGCCACACTTGGGCCAATGCCATTGATGCCAGATCCCCGTTAATCGAAGCGGAAAGGGTGCAACCCACATTCTCCAAGTAAGCAAGAGAGTCTGGGAAATCCAACGAAAATATTCCTTGGAAAAGCCTTGGAAGAGGTCGTCCTATAGATCCTCGAGCATCTTTCCATGCTTGCGGCATATGTCTGGAAGGATCGTAAGGACCCAGCAGTGAATACGACTTATTGTAGCCAATTGCAAATATGATGACATCAACTTCTAGTTTGTTTCCGTCTGTCAGCTCTACATGGGACTCAAGGACTCTCTTTATCCCAGAAACCAAGGTGACAGCTTCGGAGGCGAGAAGGTCATAAAACTCGTCCCCAATGATTGGCAGTTTGTGAGGCATGGCAGGGGCGTTAGCAAGACCCCACTCTGGCTTCAGGTTAAATGCTTCATCTTGCATGTCGATAAATGCTTTATGAAGAATTCGACCTTGTTCAAAGGCTGGCCTTTTCGCGTTTTCCCGCTGCTTGCGCAGAGAGGGAAAGCATATGTCATTTGCTTTGCCATAGGGCAACTTTATATCATATCAGCAGCTGCTTCTATTAGGCGGGGAAGTCTTTTTACCATCAGGCATCCATTTCGGTGAGATATGAAAACGTGATTTGCCCTGCCTACAAGACCTCTGGCAATGTCTGTTGCCGTTGCACCAAGACCAACAATTAATACCCGCTTCCCGTCGAGATTCTTTGGGCTAGGAGGCTTCCAATTAGACATTGTGCAACATGGCTATCACACTGCGTAATGCTAGCCGCTTACCTTTTGTAAGTATGGGTATTTAGTATGTTGCCCTTGAATTGGTCTAGCCCTTCAACACGAGGCTCCTTGGGGGTTTGAAACAGTCCAGTGCATATGATCAGTCTGTCGAACATCTGTTCTTCATTTCTACCTCCTGAATTGGTAAGAAGCAAGCGCCACTTGTCCCCAATCCGGCTGACGGCTATCACTTTTGTATTGAGGCGAAGCCGAGGTACAATATCGAAATGCTGAGCATACGATTCCAGAAATGCTTGGATTTCTGTTGGATAAAGTGGAACATCAGACGCGCCTAGGAGCTTTATGTGAGTGCTAACGTTTGTTGAGTCACATATACAACGGAAATTCTCAACTGACGTACCACCAGCATAGGGAAAGTCAGAAAACCCGAACTGTATACTTAGCCACATGCTTTTCTTCACGACTGCCAGCTCACTTACCGTACTTCTCCGAACTAACGCTCTTGTATCTATCGAATAAACTTATTGTGAGATAAAAGTGATCATTGGGGGATAACACCGCTCACTAGATAAGCAGCTTGTCCTTTGATCTTCGCTATAGTGCCAGAGGCCCCCAATGGCATCAGAAGCCTCGAATCCAGTTACGTCGAACCCAACTTCAGTCAAGTTCTTCACGGCCGAGATTCCTGCAATTCCTTTCCGTGTGTCAGGTTAGTAACGCAGTGATGATAGGTGTCTCTATATTCGAGAAAGGCCACGCAACAATCCAGCTGAAGCAGACTTCAATACTCACCCAGTCCACAGACTGCCACTTTATTTCTCATGATATGATTTTGAGCCATAGCTATAATGATTGTATCATATGTCTCTGGCGAATATGTGTGCAAAATGTTCAAATATGGATGGAAGAGCTTAACCCGTAAATTCTATGCATAAGTTGGGACAAGAAAATGCCACAGTATCCGTGATAAATCTTGGTATACAAAGCTTATTATATATTAGTAGATGCTCTCTCTATTCATTTTGTCACATGATAGAACCTCTTTAAAGTTTGCTCTTCCTTGCTTTAGTATAAAACCTTTGCCTTTTTGTTGAAGTGCGTGAGCTCTTATGTTGGCTACATGTATTTTATGACCATATTGTACGCGATCCATGTATATTCTAACCGCCTTTCTCAAGTCTGTTTTTCAGCTTGCTCACTTGCCAGTGCTCCTCTTCGGCGCCGAAATAACGCGTTGTGTTGGTGGTCAGATACATTCGGGAGCATTGTAGAATTAATATTTTTTGATCCTGTTGTTTTACGAGCCATGTGTCCTAACGCAGCGAGTCAAGAGATTACGGGAATTTTTAACGAACATGAATCTTAACAGAACGAAGAGAGGGAAAAAAAAAATGCCGACTTCTCTGGGCATTTGTAAGATGGCATACTGCATTGTTTCATGGGCGACCTGAACGGAAACTGCAGCTCAATATAGTTTTCGTCATCACCGGCATGGTGCTGATGATAGCACTAGAGCGATCTAAATTATGGAGTATCGTATTGATTCATGTTTATGTACTTCGTCAGGCTGAACTGTGGCACGGCGGGGCAAACCAATGAAATGTGCCAATACAAATGTGTAGGGAGATAAGGCTTTGTCCTTAACCCAACTTTTGCACATCTTATTAGAATTATTTAGATCCAAAGGCAAAAGTTTACTAAGCTTTAGATTTTTGTGATCTATACTGCATGAAAAATAAGAGCCTTGATTCTTCCTTAGTTGGGGGGGACGTCTAGTATTGCCTGATCTTTTGCGTCATATTCCAACACCTGCGTCACCGCCTTCGACTATGGATGGTGCCGGATTTGCATCTGACTCAGCCAAGTCAGATTATTTTCTCTTTTTTCCCCTTTTCCTTTGTTTTTTTATTTCACGCGAAGAGATGATACATAATGTATGATTTTACGAAATTACGGGTAGTCAGCACCACCATATGTGTCCAACTACATCAATAATAAGTCTTTCGTATCTCATCAAAACAACGGTATGCTAGGGACCAAATAATGGAAGCGATTTGTTTCGCTCCTAAAATCACACTAAATAGCCTCCTCAAGTCAGGCCCCCACCTGTTCCACCTTTCATTCCACATCTCTTACCAAGGCTGGCTTTCCAACTGGGGCTTAAAGTCACTGTGAATTTTGCGATATATTGAGGATCAGTTTAGAACTTGGAGGCTTCATATCGACTTCTTAACCTGATAGCCTTTCCAAATTTGAAAAATTTCCACGGAACTGGCAAAAGAGCCATGGCAAAGAAACCGAATTCTTCAATGAGTTGCTCCGGAGCCGCAGTCATTACCGAGGTGCCAAATGATCTGGTTAGAATATTAGATATCCTACTCTCCTCTCTAGATTGGGGAACAGCTGTGAATGCCATAGTGGAAACGATGGCAATCTGCCATGCTTTTCTACTGGCAGGCCAATTGTATGGATTATCTGAATCTGTTTCCCAATCCCATTGCTCATTAGAAATGGACAGCTCCTGATTTTGACCTTCTTGGTGATTTTGAAAATTTTCTCTGTTTGCAGACAAACCACTCTGTCCTCTTTCGAGAAAGTTTGGGTTCTCAGAGACGCTCATAGTCTCTAAAGTGGTGCGGTCAGCAATATCTGCCATGTCTTTAATGCGTCAAAGAGTACAATAATACAGCGAAAGAAAAGTCAAGAAACACCAAACCATGAGGATTTATGTATACAGGCGCAATTTCAACCGCAAGCGAGCCCCTATTATTGGCTGCAAAGAGTAAATGAAACATTTGTCATAAGTGGATACATATAATACTAATACATAATTATTCTTTCAAACATTGTGAAGACTTGGCCGGTTAAAAGCCTTCGACCATGAGAACGGGCGCAGTATGACTTAAATTCCAAGGGAGAGTATAATTCACTTTCCATCGAGACACCTACACACCTTGGGCCCTCTGTGAATACAATGCTTATTCTGTAGACTTTCTATTGAGAATGTGGGACAATTTACAAGGAGTTGTTGCTCTGATATGTAGTCATTTCCCATTGAGACTGCTTGAGCGTAGAGCTAGCACCAGAAGCAGAAGCCCAAAAGACAACAAACAATGACCTTGACATTCTTCATAGTCATAAAGAGAAAGCTTGATTGGCGCTCAAAACTCCTGAGAAGGGGGGGGGGGGGGGGGGGGGAATTCTATTTCCATTCGGTTGTCTACAATCTTCCCCAGCTGCTATGAGATACAACCCCGATCCTGCTGCTCCATCATGGATTCCAACGGTCTGGTAGTATTCTGAAACCCAGTTATTTAATGTGATATTGCCCGCACCTGCCTTAAACATTGCAGTTCAAGTCTACTGGGCTACGGCGTTCAAGCCATGTATCGAGGATACGCATTACCGGTGGCAATTTTGCAGGCTATGAGGCCACTCAGGCAGTTCCTTCTCAAGTCATCATGCAGGCGCCAGGTGTTACAGATTCCAATTAAAATGATGCAATATGCACCGCGTTGTATCGTCTCCTATGGTGAGCCTATGGTGAAGGGTCGCACAAAAATAGAAAGCTGTGTAGCAAGTGTAGCCCGTACAAAAAAGTTGTACGATTATAACCGAATACATTGCATCTAGACTGTAGCACTAGTTGCTTCGTCAATTTTGACTCCAAAGGAGCTGACTGCTGTCGTATAGCTCTGATGAACAGCTTTGCTAGCATAAATTCTCATCTCTTGTTCATAGGCAGCTGTAACGCCAGGTTTATAGCCTCCAGCCTCTCGCAATAATTTTCCCAGCAGCGCAGAATCTTGAACTGCAGTATTGGCCCCAATACCTCCAGCAGGTGTCATTGAGTGTACGGCATCCCCTATGACTGTCACGCGAGGCTCATTTGGCCATTCTGGCACGCCTGATGGAGTTGAGCATGTAATCTTCCAAAATGCCGCTTCAGACTCGATCATCTCATCAAATAGAGGCTTGAAGCGCGGATGCCAGTTCTTTACAAGCGACTTGGCGATGTCGGCAGCCTGTTTGCCCACAATGCTATAATCATCGTTAGGGACCTGGATTACACCTGGCTGGCCTCCCATTGTCCATCCGAATTCAACGCTGGGATCGTCCATTTGATCAGGGCGAACATTCGTGATTATGAAAACTGCACCGTCCGGTCGGGTTTTATCTCGTACTGTAAAGACACCTTCGCCCAGACCCTTGAACGCACTCGTGGGGGCCTGTCCATGGATTCCCCTAGCGCCTGTGTCATAGACTTTGAGTCTCCCACCCGAGACCTGCTTCGCAACTTTAGAGTAGATACCCTCGCCCCCCACGAGCATGGAGCCTTCGATTGACTTAGATCCATCAGAAAATATGGCAACAACCCCGCTGTCAGTTAATTCGTAGCCTATTACGTTTTTGGCCCATTCAATGTGTTCTTCGCAGCCCTCGGCAAATACCTTCCGCATGTCTCCCCGAGCGATGCCAACAATTTTTCCACCTCGTGAGGACAAAGCTTCAGGAGCAGTATGTTCAGTTTCTTCTCCGGTTATGGCATCCATTGCAGTAAATCCGTTGCCACCCGTCTTTCCACACTTATCCCAGAATCGTTGGAATGTCTGGGAATCGAGGACCGATTCGATAGCCTCAAGACCTTCTGTAGATAACCTGAGTCGGTATCCTTGGGCTCGAAATGTAAATGACGCATCGCGCTCGAAGATCTTGAAGGGTATATTAGATCGTCGCAGGGATTGAGCCAATAGCAGTGATGAGAGGCCACCGCCTGAAATCAGAATTGGCTTGGCTGCAGACATTTGCGTTTGTCTTAGTTAATGACTTAGCACGTCAAATATTTAGTGGTGTTGTGAATCTGGGAGATCCGAGAGAGGGGAAAAGCTGAGCACTATAAGATTTGGCCTGCCTTAGTACATGTTCGCCTGGTACGGAGCATATCTTACCATGCTTACTTACTGAGACAGTACCTATACATATAGGCAATGCAACCAATTCTAACAATTTAGCGTACGCGCAATATCTTACTAAAATCAAATAATCAGCTGCACTCCGATTACAAATAAAAGAGTTATCGTTATATAAGCTAAAACAAATCACGGACACTTATCTGCAGCTGGAAGTATATTTTCAATTTTTTGAATTGGAGCGCCAATCTCTGCTGTGAACAGAGCAGAGAATGATAGATCAGTACTTTTGCAAATACGACCTATAGCTAGTGTAGTATACTCTATACCAGTTTATCTATATAAAAACATATTAAATCAATCCATGTATGCCACTTAAATCTCTCAGATATCGAATACCGGATCGCATAGATAAAATAACGGAATCGAGGTTATGACATTTTTTAAGACCCTCAGTAGGCGATGTAACTGTACATCGTTTGGAGAGTAGTTCGAAGTTAGAAGCGATCTAGGAAAATTTGGCTTGGGTGGCATCTTGCGTGGAGAATACCCTATATGCATGCATATTATTACACATAGACTAATAATACATTTTAAGCCACTTCTGCAAATCTAAAAAACAAATTCTGTACTCACAAGCTACTTTCTAGATATCTTGGACTCGTTACTCAATAGCACGGTTAGGTATGAGAATTTCATGTCACATGTCACATACATTTGCATGGCTTACTCGGTAAAGAGGCACTGTTTGTGTTATAGTCTGTTTTATATCTACAGCACAACGCTATATTCAGTCGCATAATTTACACAAAATGTTGCCTACAACTCTGTGACGCGCACATTACCGTCTTGAATAATATTATGAAAATAGCTAGATTTTCTTGATAAATCGAATCTCTTCGATTGGACTGCCAGAAGAAGGGAGCGTGAGCTATTTTCGATACACGGGATATGTCGGACCGCTCCACGGAGTTTCGGTCAACTTCAACTCCGCAGCCTTTGTCAGTATTTAAGCATTCAGGAGCGAAAAAAATCCTGTCCTTGCCAGAACAAAAACAACTGTTATTTTCCAATATGTTTAGTCCTATCCGAAGGATAACGGAGACTCTTACGCCGAAAAAGATCGCCTTAGGAACGGCCCTAGTTCTCGCTAGCGTCGGTGGGACATATGGCTGGAGAGTACGCGATCGTCTCAGCCAAACAAATCCAAGGGACATTCAATCAAGTCTGAACGTATCGGAGTCATTGAAGGACTCGAAAACTGTTCGAAGCCTTGTAAATCCACGAAGCCATGCTAGCAAGGGAGATTCTCACTCTATTATCTTATCAATGCGCTCGAGAGAAAATGTGCCGTCAGAGAAGGCTCTGTTGTCTGCATTCGTGACTGGTTTTTTTTCAGGGCCAATCTTTCAACCAGAAAGTATAGCCCTTTCTCTGTTTAGTTTATCGAAAGTGTCTTATGACAGTGAGTAGCATGCAAGGTTATAATTAATTAAAGACTTGGTATATCTAATATCTACCAGAACTGGCTCCAACAGCGGATCAGAGAATCATCTGGAGTACTGAGCAACTATCCGACTCTCAGCTCCCTCCTACATCCAGTATTCTGTGGGGAACATTCCAAGTTGCCGACATTGAACTGTCAGATAGCTGCACCAGCAAACCGACAGGAAGTAGGGCTGATATTGTCTTTGGTGACAGCCAGGGGGGTTTCGCTGGTTGCCATCGATTTTCTGTCAAGCGGTTGGACACAAGTGAAGACATTCAAAGAGGGGAGATTAAATTTCGTCTTAGTCTAGAGTGCTTGGTCTGCGATCCGACATCAAGTAAACCAAAGGAGTCTAAGTTCTTACACAAGGTACATAACAACTACTCACATTTGCTGTTTAGAGACGCTGTGGCACATACAAAATCGAGATTTAAAAGCTTAGTTTAGTTTATCTTCACGACTCATTCTGATAGAACAGTTTGAGTATGTAAATATATGTTCCATCTGCTTTATTTGGAAGACTCGCAAGATCGATTCCATAATAGGTTCATTAGTAATATTAAATATCCTCAACCTTATCATGGCCATTTTGCCGTACTGTATCAACCATTGAGTAGGTCATCATTGGTCGGGTCTATGCGGTCAACTTTCTAGACTAATGTGGGAGTAGGGTTGCTTATAGTGACGGACTGCAGTGGGGCGTAGAACCTTGACAGGCAAGTAGGGCTGTCAAATAATTACCTATGCGGCCACTTTCCGATCATTCCCATGTGATATATTTCGGCAAGCACACGCACACTCACTAGTGAAAATGTGTAGGTATGGCTTGTCAATGGCTTTTTTCGATGTATGATTTATCATGAACGATGCCTTTAACGAATAGTGAAGATAAAACTGACGAGTAGAAGTCTTTCATGAAGATACGTACAATTTCATGGATGAAAATACATGGATAAATATCAGGAACTGGAAATAGTGTAGGTAAACCGTTGCAAAGGGATTGGGTGGTTAGAGCATAGGATTGAGTCTAATGTGAATGCAAGGGGAACTAATACGCTGGAGGTAAATATTCGCTCACACATCCTCAGAGTTCTCATCTCAGGCCATCAACTTTGTCGGTCTTCTAGCTCTCGAATTCCATGTCATAAGCTAACGAATCAGTGCAAAGTTCCTGTCTCATTTTCATTACCCTGAAGAGCTAAGTCAGCGCCGTTCTCCTATCTTGGAAGATGAGTTCATACGGTTGATGAGCTGAATGAGTTGCATATATCGGAATGGTATCGGCTTTATCAAGAATTGCAACAATTCCTATATTGAACCCTTGTGCTCGTGAAGCTGTAATTGGCAGTGGCTCTCCAAAAGAAATCTTGAGCAGGCCTAATGATAATTATCAATAACCTGGGTTAGAGCTGAAATAGGGATGTCGCACCTGGAACCTGGCCATGCATGGCAAGAACCATTTCTCGCCAATTGTCAACTTGCTGAGCGGTTACATCTGGCTTCAGTTTAAAGAGAACTGAATATGTTACTAGAGAGGCTCCTGGTCCGCGTTTATTCCAGGGTGCAACATACCAACATGATAAACAGGCATGATGACTGTGTTGAAACAACAATGCTGCAATCGGAGTGATGCGGGGTATTATGGTAAAGGTATGGGCACAAGTTTCTTATGACCGAGCTGCCTTGATGTATTCTCAGTATCTATGTAGACGCGTAATAATTGCTGCTGTGTCCTAGCTGCAGTTACGCTGATACAGATGAAAAGAGGTATAGAAATCCACGCAAGCGTGAGCGGCGTCTTATTACTCTGCGAAAGCTCAAAAAATGCCGATAGCGGTGACGTCAAATTGGTCGTCGGTTATTAATAGTCAAACCCCGCGTCAAAGTAGCATAGCAGTTGGTCTAGACCACAGCGGAGGTCGATGTAATCGCCGATGCCCTGATTCACTAGATGATGCGAAGCGCTCTGGTACAATGTGATTAAATGTTGGAAAACCACCATAAACAAAAGCTCCCAACTTGTAAGTTAATATGTTGCAGTAGCCTTATTACAATTAACAAATGCCTATCGTGTTACGCCCTCAGCATCGATGGCTGCGATAACAAGTTTCAGTTTGCCGTGGTGTTACTTTACAACCTGATGATGATTGACATCACCAGATGGAGATTGTCGGGCATCGCGCCACGGTCTTTCCCAGTAGGTAGCGAGTACAGCTGGATACGTGACCCTGTAGCTAAATCCACGAGCATAGTATAAAATACAATGATTCTTATGCGCTGATAAACTCATGTTTTCTGATAAAACAATTCTTGTACACGGTGCTTGACAAGAAGGTAAGGCATCAAAGGAAATGCCTCTTAGAGACGGTTTCTTAATTCTATGAGCTGTAATTAACCGTGAATATTTAATTATAGGCCCACGACGCCTGTGCTTACAAGAATTGTAATTAACATTACTGCGCCAAGTGGCCAATTGCCAGGGATTAGAGAATCTGCACTGCCATTATCTTCATCATCGCTGCCAGAACCTGTAGCATTACCTGAATCTGTGGCATTGCCAGAAGTAGCCAGTTGGCTACACTTGTCCAGGCTTCCAGACGCAGTTTGTGTCTCAGCACTACTATTAAAGTCACATGCGGTGCTGACTTTTTTCTGCTTTTGGTAGTACTGGTTCAGGACATATGTTAACTTGTCCTGATCGCTGCACATGCTGTATGGACCATAAACACCCGTTGAGGTGTCACCATTGATGCCGCTGCACAAGGACTGATCTGACCCACAGACATAGTCAAATAAGCTTCCGTAGTTGCTAGAGTCCGTGCTGCTGGAAACAACGCACTCGGAAGCCTTGACCATGCAGCTACAAGCATCAGAATCGGGGGTGGGCGGGAGTTTGTCGCTAGACTCCCATGTCGAATTGACCGTTGGACAAGAAGCGGGCTGATTGGATGGGTTATAATTTGCCATTTCGACTCCTTGAATGTTAACTGCCTGGATTTGTTGTTGAAGCGCGGTAAAGTCTTCAAGTTTCGTGGCGGAGCTACCGCTTATCTTGACAAGGCCTATGAGATATATTTTCAATCAGTCTCAGCTCACTAGGGTGCCCATAAAAAACACGGGGTATACAAATATGCAGTGTTGCGTACCGTAGTCATTGGTTTCCTCAAAATATTCATAGACAATGCCGCCACTGAGAACGGCTGTCATGTTGTGCGCGTAAAGCGCACCTGTTTCTTGAAATATGCGGCCCGCGGCACCGTTGGGGAGATTGCAACCATATTCGGCAAAAAATACCGGTACGGAGTAGTTTTGAAAGAAATCAAGAATTCGATTATAGCCGGATGTTTCAAATGTCTTCTCGCCACACCATTCGTAGACATTATACCCGAAAAAGTCGACACTTTCCTCGGTTGGCCCGCAGTTAAAGTAGGCGGCTATCTGGTTTCTGATGTCTTGATCGTCATCGGCGGCGTAGCCTACACCCATGGCGCGGTATTTTTTGTCTTTGATATACTGCTTCACATCTCGCACAGCGGCTTTCACATATGCAGAAGCTGACGTCGTGCTAGCATTATTGGTGACCTCGTTGCCAACAAAGAAGCCAATCACATTGGAGTAATTAGCGAAACTGTCTACAACCTGCTGGAAATGGGTGAAAAGATCCACGTTCCACTGCGGGTTTCCGCGATCTATGGACTGCTGTGGGTTGCTGAGGTCAGAAATAACGTATATGCCCGCATCGTTGAGCAGTGACATGCAAGCAGAGTGATCTGCAGTCGGATCGATTGCATAAGTGCGGATGACGTTAGTCCCAAGCTCACTGAGTAGCGGAATATCACGCTTGCAGTTTGCTTCATCTGCCAGCGGGTCAACGAATTTTGTGTTGGTCGCGATCGCTCCGTTCGCAGAGGAATCCTGTTGGTACGCAATCCCTTTCAAGAAAAATTGAGTCCCGTTGGCATAAAAGAACTTTGAGCCCTACGAGAGTGACATGAGGTATTAGATAAAAATCCCAAACTTCGGACAAAGCTGGCCGCTATTTAGCGTTACCATGGCTTGGGGAAATGGTAAACTTGCAGACGTACTTTAATTTGAATCGACGGGAGATCATCGCTTAGAACGACGCAAGCAAACAGCAAAAACGATAACGAGATACTGTAGATGCCCATGGTGAACAAATAGGCTAAGATTGTGCCGCAGCGTGAGCAGCAATGGGTCGCCTAAATTGCCTTGCCTCGGAATGGGCTGTGGTGAGCTGTGAAGTATCTAGAAGATTAATTCCCACAACCTTCAGATCGAATCAGAACGACCGATGGCAATGGCCCCAAAGAATGAAGGCGAGGATTTAACTTGAAGTCTTGAGATCAGACGAGAGGCCGGGTTATCACCAATATGATGAAAGTACTGTGGTGCTGGTAGGAGATCGATGGTAAACAGATCATTATATGGGGTTTAATTTTGCTCTGGATTTACGACCATTGTGGTTTGCGCAATGCTAAGAACGGATGGAACGCAGAATTGACCACGGAGAGAGAGATTGGCACGGTAGATAAGGTTTACAATGGTGTACCCAAATACAACAGCTGAAGTCTTGCAAACGAGGTGAAATTTGGTAGAACCCGAGAATACGTAAATCATCTAACAGCACGGGGGGGCGAATGATATTTATATTCAGTAGCCTCCATTACGGATATGTTGGGCGCGTCACCACTACAAAGCCAGTCCAATAGAATGTACGAGTTAATAGCAGCGCATGGGGTAGTGTAGCATTTGTAACCGCGTCATCTCTACCAGGCCGAACCTGCGTCATCATGGGCGAATGCTAATAGGACCAGACCGAACCAACGCGTGGCGCACGCCGGATTGTTGTCTATTTAGCCAAAATGGTGTCTCGTGTCGACAAATGAACGGTGTTTACTGATTTGCGAAGGTGCCTAACTAGCAACGGGCCTATTCCTACCTAAGCTATGCTTCAACCCTTGTTGGTACTTAGCGGTTTGTCCCATTTGATGTGATTTGGGTGTCTTTGTCGATATATCTAAAAATATAGGTGGTACCAACATTGTTCTCGCATTGCTCTGGTCCAGAATTATTGGATTTCTGCTTAGCATTTAACGTATAAAAATTTCTAGTGCAATTTCCAACCAGACATTCATGATCGGAGTCAGTCTATATGCCTGAGACAAATTGGGAGCAAGCATATTAAGATTAACCAACTACGCTCTGTAAATACAATTCTGGTTCTGGGGGAAGTCTGAGATGCGAAATGCGGTGGCAGAAATTTGGATTATTATAATATAGCCCATACCGAGCTGTATTAAATGATCTATAAATAAGGCACGGTTGTAGATAGAGATTGAGTTCAAGCCACAGCGGCAAAGCTGACTTGGGCGTGCCTGGTTTAGAGTCAGTGTTTTGCCTATCTGTCTTGTTCGTAGGTCGGAGAAGACAAAGTAACAGCCCAACCATATGTACTGAATTGAGATTAAGAAAGATGATAAATCAGAATGTAAGTATGATGATATTTATTTTAATTTTGCCCAGTCATTCATTTGCACCTTGTCTTGGTCTTTCTTACTGCCCTTCCCGAACCTTCATTTAGCTCATCGCAAACACTAGTAGGTCTTGCTTATTTTACGAGTTCTCGTACCTGTTAAGTGTTCCAGTAGCCAGCCCCTCCTTTGGCGAAGTCGTATTATAGTAGCATATTCTACCTCGGAATATCGGCACCTCGGATAAGGCGGCAAGTGATCCTGTAGGATGTCTGCTTTGCGTCTCAGAATCAGAATTGTATTCTTCGAATTGCGCAGCAAACTGTCGCCTCCACCTGCAGGGTATTGAACCTAACCCTGCCTGACTACATACAATGCGAGATTCGACACCACCGCCATTCCTTTATGCCTACTGCGGGCAGTCATCAAGGGCAAGTTGTTTTATTATCGAGTCGATCGCTACATAGGTACCTACCCAAACCACGAATCGCCTCCATATATCCAGAAACTCAATTCCTTCTGGCAATGCTATTAACACTCTGCTTCTACAATGCTAAGGATACATCAGCGCAGTCCTGCCGTTGAAGCCTTTGACAGAAACAGGGGATCGCGCTGCCGAGGATGCCGGCAACAGCCTAGTCAATGAGCACAAGGAGACCGCTTACAATGGAGCTAAGATACGCAACAATGAAAATCGGTCGTCCGTAAAATCAGACACGATGCATCTCGTTGTACAGTGCGGATCAAACTGGTCAAGATGGAAACCAAGTGTAGCAGTAGGGGCTGTAGCGCTTGTATGCTTTCAATGCGTGGAATTTTTTTTTAATCTTTTTTTTGGTGTTTGGAGTGGTCAATTGTTAACCTTACTTACACCACCTTGCTAAATGATGCGGACCCGGCGCTACGAGCTGTTTTTGACCCGTTTCGGGTCCAGTGGCTTTGGAGATTGAATCTGACATGACGAAAGTAATAAGGCAATAAAGGTCCCTAGGTAAGTTGATCTGCATCGGTACCAGAGATACATCGGAGGTTACATACTAGGTAGCTACAGTACCAAGCGGCTCCTTCTGTATCATGCTGGTTGGGTGATATTAGACATTGCTGATCTAGTGCAACTGCACAATAAACAATGCATCTGTGTCTAGCAGGCCGAAAACATCTACTGGAGTTATGTGGTAAACTGGCTGTATAATAGGTAGCGTCACAAATTGCGAGAGGCCAACTTCGAATCTTACAACATACTTTCAGACTGCTGTCCTTTTATCCGCATAATCTAGTTGGAATCGGTCAGCGCCATATCCCATCCATTTATTGATCGAATCTCTTCTTCTGTCAGTCGAATATTAAAAAACTCCCGCAGCGCGCTCAATCTCTGTTTTTCCGAATCAAATTGCAAGATTACCGTTGTTTTATTACCCATATTCAGTTTGACCAGATTATTGACCAGCATCACCTTGCCAACGATGTTAATTTCCTCCCCACAATCAGCTTTCCAGTCTTGGTGCGGATACTTGACAGGTTCCCCCTCTCGCAAAAATCTTACCGCCAATACTGTCCATCGATGTAACGTCTTCGCACTTGCCCACCAATTTTGCACTTCAAAATCCTCTTGAAAGAATTCGACTTCCAAAAAGCTGTAAAATGAATTCCACGGTTTATCTGCGCCGTTGCGGTATTGGTATATCCATACCTTGGGATCCAATAGTCGTTGTTTTGGAAGTACATCATGAATAAGGCGGACGTCTTGACTGCCTAGATTACTGTGTATCGTGGCTTTCTCATCCATGCGAAGGGGCAAAGTTGGCCCATCACCACCAAAGGCTACATCCGCAGTAAACTTAGATCCGTCCGGGAGGTGGATGATGTTGTTGATATGAGTCCTTTTCAAATCATTCGTTGATTTAGAAAAATAACATATCGTAACAGAAACTATGCAGGAGCACACTTACCAGCCTTGAGTCTCCCCTTGCGGCACTCCATTTGTTCGCGTACGATTGCGTACGCCAGTCATATATACATGGAATCCAAGTCCTCTTAGCATATGATGGAAAAATATACTAAGTTCCATGCAATAACCACCTCTGCCATTGCTGATGGGCCCCATCATTTTGGTATATAGCGCATCAGGCTGGATATCGACCAGATGGGTGGAGGAATAATGAACAGAAAGATTTTCATAAGGAAAAGTCGTAATCTGGGCGCGAAACAGAGCTTTCAAAGATTCTTCTGTTTTTGGAAAGGCTGCTGGATTGTATGTGTATTGTTTGTATGACGAGGGTAGGCGAATATGTTGAAGCCATGCAGTTATTTGCGAGTTGGAATAAGCCGACTGCTGGGGCAGCGGGTCCTGGAATGTTTTGAATGCCATTGCAAACAACTACAGAAAGCAATTTTATGTGGCGTTTGATTCTGTCAATTACCAAGCATAGATGATAGCGTTGGAAACATCTGCTTTTTGTGATCTCGACGGAAGGCAGCTGAGTCATAAGTTGTGGGTGGTCGGTAATTTATCGGCCTCCCTGCAGCAGCCCATATTCAATCGATTCCATGCTCCAAAAAAGGCAATCTCCCCTCGGCCAACGGCTTGATTAGACTGTTATATAGTGGAATTTACGAGAAGAGAGGTATATGGATTAAAATGAGCTGAATTATGACAAAAGATGTTGTTTCAAATCGAGTAATACTTTATACGGAGTAAGGATGACCTGGATACAGAGTAAAGAATAAACAGGATCTTGCTAAACTGTAAGCGGGGTTGAAGGATATGCAATCCTCATGATGTGATCAGCCAAAGTTTGTTGTTGTCAGCAACCTAGGAATGCCTTGAAGCATCCTAGCGGTGTATTTTTGGGTTGATCGATATTATGACCTATGAAACGGATCAAATGAAATGATTCTACTGCGGGCTCACATATTCATTCAGCTTCATACACTAGCCATCAGCTGATGTGATGGGGTTGAAGAAGAGAGAGCACTACAAGCGTGAATCTTAGTTCCATAGCGCCATACATTTGTTCACTATTTCAGCATTAAAACTCATCGGTCCGCGCTTATTCCGGGTTACGTGTCCTTGCGCTAATGAAGTGCTAAATAAGGCACCTACGGCGTTCCAATAAGACACTGAATTTGAACCAATCTCCTGCATTTTCCCACTGGTCAAAGTAATCGAGTTCATTTCTCTCTGGCCAACTCTTTGCTATCAATTTGTTGAAGCAAAAATGGCTGACAAGGATTCGGAAGCTGATAGATCCAGCATTTTTGACATCGTTGTTCGAGCGGATCTTGTCGGTCTTAAACAGGCCCTATCTACGAAGCAAGTAGATATCGATGCTCGAGATTCAACCGGCCGAACTGCGCTACACATAGCTGTTATTGCAGCAACAGTAGATATTTGCCAATACCTGATTGATTATGGCGCAAACTTGGACAGTTGGACCGAGCAAGGCGAAGCGATAGTACATCTAGCTGCTAAGAGGGGAGAAGTTGATATTTTGCGCACTGTAATGGAATCCGTTGCAACAAAGCAACGAGCCATTCAGGGCGAAGATAAATCTATGGCACAGACAAAAGCTAGCGATAAAAGCGATAAAGGTAACCGCAGAGTCCATGTTGATTCTCTGACACAAAAGTACCAGATGTCGCCCCTCTATATTGCCGTTGCTCTGGGTAGGCTTCAATAATGCTTTCATATCTTTGAATTCTGGCTTATATGATAAACAGCACATGTGGAAGTTGCAGAGGTGTTGCTGACCACCTATCAGGCGAATGCCAACATCATTTCGGGTCGGCAAGACGCCCAACGGGGCACGCGAACTGCTCATGTTCTTGAAGCAGCCCTCCAGCATCCGCGGGACGTTTGTCGCCCCCTGCTAAAAATGTTGCTTCAGCATGGTGCAAGTTTGCTTGACCCATCCTCAAACACGATATCGGAGTCGCTCCTTTTCCTAGCTCTTAAGCGAGATGAAGATGCACTGGATATATTCGCTGAGCTTGATAACCAAAATTTCATGGTTGCAATTTCCAACACAGTCTGGTCTGGGCCTATGAGTTGCCACAATATTTTGACTAGTGCCATTCAACATGGGCTGGAGAATGCTGCCTTCAAGCTTCTCTCGTACGGAGCGCCTCCGCAACTAAAATTCAACTCTTCTTTGGACATTGTTGCTGGCTTTACTCCGTTTGGCAAAACGCCTCAGGAGGCTGCCGAGGGCGATTTCTGGCAGCCAATCTTGATAGCTGCTATGAACGAAATGCCGCGACTGATGATCGATTTATTAGATCGTGGAGCAGATCCTAACTCTAGGCTGACAGATCATCAAGCTCGCTACATGCTTCATCATCGTGATTGTCGCACTGTATTGGATATCGTTAAGGCGAAACTCGTAGAGTTGCGCAATTGGAACAAAAAGGAAGAAAGCGCTAGTTACGATATCAGAGGAACGCCTGAGGAAGCCAAGCAGATCACTGCAAAGGAAAACGCGGTAGCCCAGCTTATTAAGGAATATGAAGAAGTGGAAGCAAAATTGATCTCCACGGGAGCTGAGACATCTGATGGACTGAACTTACAAGACCCACCAACACCGGTTTCTATCCGACCTCACAAGAGAGTTCAATTACATGCTCCTAGTTCTTTGGAGATGGAGGTTCAGACACCGCCGGCCTCTAAGGAAATTGACCCCAGAAAGCTAGAAACGCTAGAGGATGGTCATCAAGCGCTGTAAGCTCCCTCGCTGCCACCTTTTATTCCAGAATGTATATTGACAGATCTTATTTGTTTAGTCTCTCAGCATGTAGAGAGGGAAATGCACCGTTGCTTAAAGCACTAACTCTGGGAGAATGGGGTACAGATGCAAAATTCCCCCCCATTTCAGTATCAGCGGTATCAGGATATTCCAGGGGCCCATTCTTCGCGGCTGTGGAATCCAAAAACTACGATATAGCCCGCACCGTCATTCATATCGCTACTGTCCAGCACGTAGACTTCGCAGATAATGAGGAAAATGATCTATGCATCGGGTTGGCCGATGATCACTACTCAGTTTCAAGGATCAAAGCTGTCTCAGCACAAGTCAAGTCTACCTTAACTGCCAAGAAGATTGTCTTTGACAGCAATATCTGCTTCGCTGCAGAAAAACAAAAAGATATGCAGATGCTACGATTCGCAATCGATGTGGAATCTTCGTTTTCGCTTGAGCAAAGCGATATTGATCGCCACATCCATCATGCATGGGCTCTGGTGAAACATGGTGACTGGCCTGATGCCTTCGAAGAGTATATCAAAGCAACTGGTGCACCATTTAAGCATGTAGTGAGTCAAGGTAAGTTCAGAGGTAAAAGTCAACTTGATAGACTCCACCAATTGTCGCCTTTGCTCCAAGCAGCCTGGTCAGGCAACCTGGATATGGTGCGTTTCTTCCTCGACAAAGAAAGGGCAATGGCAGCATATAGGCACTTCGCAAAGAACCACGATTTTACAACCCGCAAAACTGGCCCCGAGCAATCTCGAGAAGAATTTATAACCACTGTAGAGAAATGGATAGACAATCGACGTAAGTGTGCCCTGCTCTGCAAGCTCAATATTGCATGGCTGTTAATGAACGCATATTAGGTAACCTTGTCTTACACTGTGCTGTCATTTCTCGAAGCATAGAGCTTGTCAAGTTTTTATTATCAGCTCGCCCAGAGCTTCTTGAGGTCCAATCTATAGATGGGTGGACACCCCTTTTGACCGCGGCAATTCATCAAAGAATTGAGGCTCTTCACATTCTTCTTGAAGCGGGTGCTAGCCCCTTTGCCACTGATACATTCGGTCGCAATATGCTTCATCTCCTTCTGGTTAGTCCAGGACAAAGTTATATTGCCGAGCCTGAAAAGTTGGCGTCCTTCCTCCGGTCAATGAATGGAGTAGTGTTGCATCAGTTGCTGGAGCAACGTTGTGACGAAAGTCCTGGTGGTCAAACACCTATCGCCCGGGGCATTTCCCTTCGGTCTCCACCAAACGCAGTGCTCACAACTTTGCTCGAACTATCCAATTTGTCAGTGCTGGGGATGCTAGATGGTGGGGGTTATACTCCCCTCCACACCGTACGTTTTCTTCCTTTCTCTAAACATTGAGTAAATCCTGTCTGACTTCCTCGGGAAAATCTTTGCGTAGGTTATAAATTCTTCCATGGAAAACCTAGTTCACCCTGTTGTTCAAAAGGCGCCTCACGTTTTGCTCTATGAAGATACACGTGGGAAAACTCCTCTTGATGTTGCTGTCGAAAAGCAACTTCACGGATTCATAGAGTGTTTCATGTCAAGCTATACCCGAAATAAAAAATACCAACCATCTTCTCCGCTTCTCCAGTGGCCTCTATTTGCCTTCGGTACGGATTACAGTGGCCCCATGCAAACTAAAGATCCATACAAAACATGGGAAATTAGCCAAGAGCTAGCCAAATCCTTGAAATATCGGCAATACTCCCGGAAGTTCGTTATGCAGACAGAACGGCAAGAAATAGAAGAACTGTACGTGTAAGAGCCAGAGTGTTGTTGCGCGATGTATAACTAATACCAAAACAGATCGAAAAACAAGAAGGTACAAAAAAATCCCAAAGGAGACCAGCATGACGTGGTGTCATTGACTGTATATAAACCCGGAAATATATGTTGGTAGATGTGAAATCGTTGATTGTACTTCTCAGGATGTATACCTTATCGTCGTACCATTCTTTTAGTTTAAGGACATCAAATTACAGTGCATCTGTATCTTGTCATATATGTTCAATAGGCATGAGTAGGTGGACTATTCATGGCCCCATATTAGCTAGGGATACGAGATGACCTAGTGTGTGTGAAGATGGTGGAAATTCTATTCTTATCCCGAGTGCAAATTCTGACAACTTTTGGATCATGTATTATTTTCATAGGGTGGTAGACTCATACAATAGGCTCAAAGGAGGGTTATACATAACATATAACACTTTACGGCATGTATTTTGCAAGTGTCATCCTATTCTGATATTATAGCATCGTACCTAACTAAGCCTCTCTTAATCTTCAACTCCAACACTCATTGATATGTCCTCTATTGTATCCAACTCTTTCACCCACGCCTCTGCCTTCTTTTTCGCCAAAGGCCAGCAGTCTTGTCCCAGAGGTACTCTCAAACACTTCTTGATCGTTTCATCAGCCGCCAAGCCAGAGCCGATGATCACATCAAGAAGCACATTTGCAGCTTTGTCGACGTTTCCCAGTTTGCGATTTTTCATATCCTTTGTCATTTCAATCATCTTTCCAGCCGGTGTTTCTGAGTATTCCCCAATACCAGCTTCAGGAAATGTCAAGGTATCCAGAAATTTAGTTCTGTATGCACCTGGCTCGGCGATGATTATGCGTATGGAATATGGGGCGAGCTCGTTCGCAAGTGCCTCTGAAAGACCTTCAACGGCAAACTTACTACTGCAATACAGACCTCGACTCGCAAGGCCAATGAAACCTGCACCGCTGGTAATATTGACAATTGTGCCAGATCTGCGAGAGCGGAATGTTGGAAGAACGCCTCGAACGGTCCGCAACGTCCCATGAAAATTTGTTTCCATCTGTGCGTGGGCTTCCGTGTCACTGATGAGAGATTAATATGATTGATTTCCTTGAGACTATGATGAGATGAAAGGGCGCTGCAAACCTAATCTGCTCCACTGGGCCCAGAAGCGCATACCCAGCTGAGTTGATAAGAACATCAACGTTCTCTTTCTCAGCGATATGGCGCACACAGCTTTCACAAGAAGGGCTGGAAACGTCCATTGAAAGCCAGACACCTCCTAAACCTTCGAAATCAGGGTTGGTTGTACGGGCTTTAACTGAATCACGAGTTGTTCCTATGACCCGGTGACCACGGTGCAGAGCCGCAAGACTCAAGGCAAGGCCTAAGCCTGAGCTAGCTCCTGTTATCAAGAAAACAGTCATCGCTTAGGGATGATTCTGAGTAGGCCAACTTTGTGATATGAAAGACATGAGAGAAGATGAGTAGCAAAATACACTGCCTTGAAGAAATGGCAAATGGACCAGTTGCAATTAATTTCTCAAGCCTGTTGCATCACACAATCTATATACGTCTATATACGCAAAAGTTGCCGGATTTATGGCTTAAGGCCGATACAAAGGTTGACATGAAGACGGTGAGTGGTCTCTGCCTCGTGCAGCAGACGGCTGAGATCCGGTATCTCCGACCTTGGATATCTGGATTGAGTCTTGGCTAATGATAATCCAATATGGAAGCGAAGGGAAAATTACTCCGTATTTTAAGAGTGGCGATACAAAGATTATAGAGCTCGGCGACCATTGCAGCAGACTGATCTCTGGCTAAAATAAAGTAGCCCGGATGTATAGCGCAGGGATGAAAGACAATCGCCTCCAAGTGTGTTAGTATCCAGGGAGAGGAGACTACCTGTAGGTAAAAAAAAGCTAAGAGAATGAAACCAAAGTGCCATTGTCGTATGATTAATCATGTACCCCAACTCCAGTACTTCATTATTGGAAACCTTATTTAGGTAGATACGTATCTGAATGCTGCAGGAATGGCAGAACAACGCCTAAAATATATCAACTAGAGGCTGTAACTATAGGTATTTAGTACTAGCTAGGTGGTATATGCTTATTGTAGCACGTATAGAAATGCTCCCTTTTTAATTACAATAACTGTATAATACTACGCAACTCTTCAATTGCTGTTGTGGAAGCACGCACGCACGTACACACCGCATCTTCAATTCACCGTCTATTAATTTTTGTCAGCCTTGGTGAGAATTTATTTGCTCTTAAAACTTATTATCTTTCCAGTTCACAGGCATCCAATATCGCCATAGAATTACCAGTAGTTCCTTTTCTTCATAATTGCTGATTCACTGCTACCTGCTTCTGTGCTCTCGGAATCGAGACGCCTCTGTCGTCGAAGATAACAGAAGCTATCACATAGCGTTGTCAAGGCAAATTGAGATCTAACATTGGGCATGATTATAGCTGGATTTATAGCTTAACATTTAGCGATTACTTGATGCTTATTAAACTCCATGGGAGACGTCTATTTCTGTGTTGATTTGCAATCGGTAGAGCCTCGAATTTGCGAAACGTCATAGGCAGAATCGCAGAAAAATAAAGTTGCCACTATACAATGTAGCAAGGGCCATTTTGCTACTGCAAGTGCCCAGCTGCTTTGTAAATGTGGAAGCTAGCCTAATATGGGACTTCAGTGCGATAACTTTTTTTCCCTTTTGGGGAAGACTTCCCTAATGATGTAGCCGACACTTATCGGAATCTACCTCTATAAATCCAAAACACTGAAAAGTTTCCAAATACTAACCTCGCGAAAGGAATCCTACCTATGTTTAAACAGCTTTATTACTAACTTGGTCAAAAAAGCCTCTTGTTATCTTCTATTCTGCTAATAGTGCCACGGGCATGTAATCGACTCCGTTTATGCCGACCCAATTTCTGGCCGGTTCATAGAAACAAACGCTATTGCTATGCTGGTGTTGGAACTAAAGTGTATATATACCCTGGCGGCATCTCTCATTTTCACTTTTCAAATCTCAATAACATCAGAAAACAATCGTGTCGATTTTATAAACACCCCGCTTGTCATTAGAAATCGTTGGAACACCATTATCGGCTTGACAACCACCAACCAGCTTCACTACTTAGATCCCGCAGTCGAAAGTTCCTTTTGATCTCGGCATTTCGCACTTGGTCTTTTTCATATATACTTTGGAACAAATGTCGTTTAAAGACTCTCTTCTATTTATGCCTCTCAAGCTGGGCGAGGTAGAGCTTGGCCACCGCGTTGTATTATCTGCTCTTACACGACTGCGCGCCGACAAAAATCATGTTGCTACAGACCTGATGAAGGAGTACTACCTCCAGCGCACTTCTATGCCTGGCGGTCTTAGCATCGCTGAGTCTGCTTCCATTGCTAAGCATCATGGCGGCATGTCATACACTTCAGCTATCTGGGGCGAAGAGCACGTACAAGGCTGGAAACCTATCGTCGACGCAGTTCACAAAAAGGGCGGCTTTATGTATCTTCAGCTTATGGCATTCGGAAGAGCAGCTCAGCTTTCAGCTGCTGAAGAAGACGGATTTACGATCAAAGCTCCTAGTGCCATTCCATGCGAGGGAGGTGCAATGCCAGAAGAAATGACCATTGGTGAGATAAAAAGCACGGTCCAGGACTATGTTCAAGCTGCCAAAAATGCTATGCGGGCCGGATTCGATGGCGTTGAAATCTACGCTGCTAATGGTTACCTACTTGACCAGTTCATCCAGGACGTAAGCAACCAGCGGACCGACGATTATGGGGGCAGCATCGAGAATAGGAATCGCCTTGTTGTAGAGATCGTCCAGGCCGTCTCTGATGCTATTGGCGCGGAACGTGTGGGAATCAAACTAAGTCCATGGTCTGATTTTCAGGGCATGCGGATGGAAACCCCCATCCCACAGTTCACCGATCTCATTAAACGGATCAATGTCGTTGGAATTGGCTACCTAAATCTCATTGAATCCCGGGTTTCGGGAATCGATTACACTGATGGCACAGAGAAGCTTGACTGGGCGTGGGCACTCTGGGACAAAGCCATCATCGCAACAGGAGGCTATCTTCCTGAGACGGCGTTAGAACTGGTCAAGAAGCACCCTAACACGGACATTGTTGTTGCATTCGGGAGACGATATGTTTCGAACCCTGATCTGCCATTCCGTATCCAGAGAGGTCTTGAGCTAAACCCGTATGATCGCAGTTCATTTTACAAAGTGGGAGCTCCTGAGGGACTTATTGACTACCCATTCAGCAAGGAATATTTAACGTTACAAAATTGATATAGATTTTGTAGTGAAGTAGTAATGGATGATAGCATAGCATCAATCAACATATATTACAATGCCATCCACCTGTCGACACTTGATTGCGGGTTTATCAACTTCCCAAGTGAGTCTATCAAAAAACCAGAAACTGCCGTGGGGTATCATAAAGAAAATAACGCCTATACTCCTTGTCTATATTGCCAATCTGAGGATCCAAGTTCACAAGCCATCCAAGACTTCGCCGCTGCACCCGGCCCTGCCAGGATAACGACCATGCCTACGGAACTAGCCGCATTATGATGGACTGCATTTCTCCTCGACTTCGTCGCTGCCTCCGACCCTGTCAGATTAACGACCATGCCAAAGAATGATGCTGCCAACTATCACGGTGCTAGCAGTTGGTTATACCGATGAACTGCCCGCTGCCCCTAGCCCTGCCAGGTTAACGGATATGCCCTTCGGTCAACTGATGCTCGGATATTGGATCCCCACGCAATATTCACCGCCGGGTGCTTGTAACTGCGCATGCAATGCCATTGTTGCTTAAATACCATAACTCGCACTGGGAGTCTCGTCGGGAGGATCGCTTTGACTGCAGAAATCTTTTAACAAGCGGTGAAGGGTTTTCATCTCGTGGCCGATCGTGATAGATATTTTTCTTCTTGCGTCGCTGCTGCCGAGGCTGTTCTTGGTAAGATGACACTGGGATGCGTCTTTCGATTCGCTGACGAGAACTTCGATTTCTCCTTCTAGAGGAACTGACTTTGGGCGACAGCGATTTCTGCGGCTTGAGGTATAGCATCTGTTGGGGTTCTGATGCAGAATGCCGCGTTTGATGGGCGGCATGAACGATCGTTTGCTCAATCGCTTCATTTTCGCTTGCGTCGCTCTCCGAAGGTACTGGACTTGGTAGAGGATTCCGGCATATCGTCTGTGGTTGGCAGCTGCATGCCACCTCCGTCTCTATACAGGATCTGTAGAACTCCTCCACCAAAGGATTCGGTTCCTTTTCTTCTTCCGGCACGTATCCGATGCTCGGCCATGGCTCTGGGGAGAAACTGCGTGGACAGCTTGTTGTGTCGCTTGGACTCTGGCTCGTCCTGGCCCGCTTTGCACTTGGCTCGTCACGAGAATCAATATGTGAATGGTCCGTCCTCTTGCGTTTTTCGAGCCGCGTAGGTGTCGTTTGGGATGATGGCGGTGATGGTATTGTAAGAGTATCGCATGCTTCGAATTCCAGCGAGACGTGGTGCTGGGCTACTTTGGCCTTTTTGCGCGGTAAAGGCGGATCGCTGCTGAATTTTCGTTTGGACATGATATCGGTCGGCTAGTAGGCACCAAAGATATGGCGCAGAAGGGAGATGGCGACTGTCGTGAGTTGTCCGGCGATAGATTTGAGCATTCGTTGGTGTATTGAGGAGGCCGAGCGTTTGATTGAGAGGCTGACGATGCAACTCCACGACCACATCACGTGATCTCGCGATATCAGCGTCATCTTCTGCGCGACCCGGAGCTGGAAATTCGCACCCAACTGGAGCTAAATCCACTGGCAAGAGCGCATTATTCGGATCTGTTCGTTGGTTATCTTTTTCTCTCTGCTTAATGCTTGTCAAATCTCTCCTTCAGCGAACCGAGGCCTCTCTCAGCCACCCGGCGTACCGTCCCAGGCATTCTCCTGTCCAGCTATTCTCATGACACACCCGACGGCGGTTTCCGATGATATCCCAATCGGCATAGCCAACGATATCGAATTTGCAGTCTTCTCTGCTGATAATGAGGCGGCAATTCACCTTTTGGAGACCATTCAGTGCAAATCATCGCCCCCAACGCTCAAGAGCGACGAAAATACCATCGGTTATCAGTTATCAATACCCTTGTCATGCGACAGTCTTGGCTCTGGACGATTCAGATGGCGTATTGGCGCTGGTCCATCTCCGGCATTGATTGAGAAGGGATTGTGCTGTTGTGAACCAGATATTCTTTTGTGTCCACCGGGCAGGACGCCGAGCTCCGCGGCTGTTCGGCGATTCATCAAGGACATACACGCCAGTATTCACTTCCATCCGCAATCTGGTGTTCTGTTGCTTAAGACGCATTCCAGTCGACCTATTATCTACGAGCAAGGCGATGTGGACGATCATGATTTGATACTGGACATGCTGGGGAAGAGGAATACATGCGTCCTGCGGCGACAACGGAATTTTCTGCGCTTTGGCCAATACCGCTTTGCACTTGAATTCATTGTTAAAGACGAAGACTTGGGCAAACTCAGAGCTCATCTCGACGATAATCTTAGTTGCCGCTACAATGGTATCCGGCCTTCCCAGTTGCTCAATTTTATACCCACGCCGCATTCTGAGACGTCTTGGAACGTATGGCTGCACCAGAAGATTCCAAGCACTTCCATAACATCTGGTGTAAATATTCACACGGGACAACCAGTTGCTGTTAAAAAGCTGCAAGTAAAGGCTAGATCACGGCAGCACATGCTACATCAGCTCCAGTTTGCCTGTCAGTTTAACGGCAAATCGGATAAGGGCGTTCTCGGCGTCATTGACACCTGGTGTGAGCACAAGATGTCACCACCATGCTTTTTCAGCGACCCAAAAACGCCTCATCGCTGTAGGCATTTGTTCTATTCTATGCCTCTGGCCGAACACCACTTTCTCAATATGCCGTGGGTGAAGATAGACACCCACACTCGTCTTCTTTATTTCTATCAAACTTTAACAGGACTAGCTGAGTTGCATCGACATGACGTCGTGCATGGGAATATTCTACCCGAATCGTTGCTTATACTGCCTGGTATCGAATCGACGGCGATGATAGATCGCAATCTGCCTAGAAAAGCCGTTATTTCCCTTTGTATGAGGCAGCCGGACAAGCCTAACCCGAGCGTCTGTGTTGCTCCAGAGATTTGGGCAAATCGGGACCCCGTGGATAAAGCCAAAGCTGATGTATGGGCGCTTGCTGCTTCTTGGCTTTTTGCTTTCGTAAGACCACCAGGCAGTATCAAGATAACACCAGTGTCTTACCAAGCCCTGCAAAAAACTTTGGATAGCCAAACCAAAAAGGGCTTCATAAATGAGCCGTTTGCAGCCCTGTTACGACAAATGTTAGCTTGGGAACCGCGCGACCGACCAAGTGCCGCCGAACTGCTTGCAGATACCATATGGGAATCTGTTCTGGCACATACACGATCAGTCGAAGATACTAAGAAGCGAAAGCGAATGGAGAATATACAACACTCCCCAAACCAAACCAGGAGAGTCAGGTTACTCTCCCCTGACGTAAACGATTGAGGATGGGAGAATTACAGCAAATTTAAAAGGATCCTGCCATGAAATCACTTCCAAACGATGCTAAGCATGCTTAAAAGAACGTCAGCATATGCTCGGCAGCTTCAGCTCATCATCAAAGCTTGTACTTATTGATAGATGAGCCAGCCGTCAAATTTGGCTCGTCCGGCAAGAATTATGCTGGACTCCAGCAAAGTCGTTCTTCTGGAGTCTCTTTCCGGTACACTGCCTTGGATATATCAGCAGCGACCTTGGATGGTCCTCATAAGGAGCCATTGCTAACATGACATTCACATGCCAAAGGTACCCTATCCTGATTTTCCCACTTGGTAACTTTGAAGGAAGGTACTTACAAGTCTTGTCTCGGCGGCTGTCTAGGCCAAGTCGCATCAGGTATCAGCGAACGGATGGAGAAGTTGCTGAGCATCCAGACTTGTCTGCTTCACTCGCTCATCATGTATCTCATAAAAATACAAAAAGCAGGGAAATTTATTCTTCCATCCAGATAATAAATTCCGGTAGTGTTTTCGGATTGATGGAACATTAAGAATAAGGTATGGAAATGCTTGCGTAGTATCTTTCGCAAGGCAGAAAGGTGGATGATAAGCAGTGACTTTATTACGTTGCACTTTGACTTCTGCATCGCAGACGACGGGGGATCAGTGCGTTCACAGTGAGATGGGCAGAGATTTTGGCGCCTTTTGGATAACGCGATCTTAGTATCGATATATTATTGCTTATAAACGCCTAACAATTTACGGCACATGTGGAAGTTTGCCTGCTCAATCTCCCTCTTGCTAACACAAATGATACGCCCACAAAAGCCATGATCCATAAAGAATTACATCTTGGCGATAATTACGTCAGGAACAGGTTTATTATTTGAGAGTTTCTAAGCTCTCTAACGCTGACCGTATGGGACTCTTGTATGCTTGCTTACAGAGAGGAGCCAGCCATCGGTGAGCCCGAGGACTATTCCCTCAAAGGCAGTTTCTGCGGTGGTGGAGGTTGGATGCTACTCTTCTAACCCCTCATAGCTAGCTTATTTTCTCATTAATGTTGAATCAAAACGTGTTCTCGTGCTTCACGGCTTCCCCTCAATTACTCCGCGTTATCCCCAGCATTATTGTCATACACCAACTCTCCACGCCCACGGTCCCGAATGTTGCTTGTAGGCATTGAACTAGCAATTGATGAGTTTATTGACTTAATTTATCGTATCAATTACTAACGTGAACGTTTCCACTATTAGCCCGTCGTGAAGTCGTGCAATTCTACATACTTTTGGAGCCTTTTCCCCTGAAGGCGTGGAAATTTCATTACACTGCTTAACAGCGGGTTATTCACAGCCTGTAATTACTCTGTGGTTAGATATTCTTATGTACCATCTTAACACATCGTCCCTACTAGGAGGATAGAAAAACATCTGCTGACGAAAACGGATTGAAATAGTTTTGCTAGGTGCGAATTATCCATCGAGTGCTCAGTTGTTGTCCTGGCAAAACCCTCTATCCTGTTGGGCTTTAGACATTCTCGAGTTAGGTGTTGCCTCGTTTTCTGCAACTTTCCAATTCTAATATCATTCAACAGGCGGCTTTCTCAACAGAAAATATCGTGGATACCATGATTCGGTTTTCCGGGCTTCGAATAACCGTAAAAACACACCCTCATAGGCAATGGATGACCAGACATCAAAAAACATATCTACGATGGCAGTCCACTACTAAAGCGCAAAAGGCTTCAAAGTCTGCGCCAGAGGCCTTTGCTATTTGGGGGATAGGCGCAGTTATTGCAACTGGAGGGGGAGCCTACTGGCTGAGTCAGAAACCAGCTAACGTCAAAATCCCTGACGTCCCAATCGTCAAGGCCGTCACTTCGGAAGTGGAAATTCCAGTCGTATCTCCTGTGAAAGTGTTGGATCTCAGATCTGCAAACGCAAAGCTGCGAGAACAAGCTCAATCATTTAAGTTTGATAGCGCAGATGGGCAAAGGGGCCGTGTTGATGTCGTCCGTGTCGCCAGCAACGACCCAGTGGAAGACGAATGGTCTATTGGGGTTGGTGGTGGAATACAGGGTGAGAAGACGTTATATGCTGGCATTTTTGATGGTCATGCGTGAGTACTATTGCCATGGAACGGAGAGATCATGCTGACACTCATATACAGCGGTTGGGCGACATCAAAAGTCCTGAAAGATGCACTAATTCCGTACGTCTCGTCATCTCTGGGGAAGGTAGTACATACCAGCTCGAGGGATGTTGTCGATGCCGCTATCAGAAAAGCTTTTACAAATCTTGATGATCGCATAATGGCGGATGCCCAGAAGGGTGCTAAGGGAGACTGTGAACCAGGATCTGCCGAAGCCATTGCCGCTCTAGCTCCTGCTTTCGCAGGGTCGTGCGCCCTGCTTACCATTTATGAGCCCAAATCATCGACCCTGCGAACAGCTGTGACTGGAGACTCGCGCGCTGTTTTAGGATCTTGGTCTATTGATAGTCACACATTTGCGGCCCATGCACTGAGCAAGGACCAGACCGGATTTAATGAGGAAGAGGTAAAGAGGCTAAATGCTGAGCACCCTGGTGAAGGCGGTGACATTCTTAGTCCTGAGACTGGAAGACTTATGGGAATTGCCATCACAAGAGGATTTGGTGATCATCGATGGAAATGGACGAACGAGTTCATCAAACATCTGCAATCCAATTTTTACGGCAGTGCCCCGCGTCCCAAATCCAAAACACCCCCCTATATGACTGCTGCACCAGAGGTAACTACCAAGAAAGTGGAGTCGTCGGACTTTGTGATTCTTGCCTCTGATGGTTTATGGGATGTGATGTCCAACGATGACGCGGTGACTTGTGTGTCCCGATGGCTGGCAGCCCGTCGCAAGGGGAAACCAGAGAGTGTGGAGGACACCAAATTCACCTCATATGCGATAGATGATGAGGGATTCCCGAGTTATAAAGCCACTCCTGAATTCTTCGCTATAGAAGACTTGGATAATGCGGCTGTATGTTTGGTTAAGAACGCGCTTGGTGGGAGACGAAGGGGGCTATTTTGCGGAGCCATGACTGTGACCACTCCTACCAGCCGATATATGAGAGATGATATAACGGTGCAAGTTATTTTCTTTAAAGATCCTTGAGAAGGGAATTATCTTAGCAAATTGAAAGCACATATTTCTTGAGAAAAGAGGTAATATTTCTGCCAATGTTAACATTATCGTCGAGCTCATGAACATGGTGTCATTTCACACCTAGCTGTTTGCAAAGCAATTGGAGGTTAGTTAACATACTGTCAATAACCAGACGGACCGTGATGCAATAATTCTACTTGAGCTACAAACGCCAAATAATTGGAAAGGCATTTAGAGTTTATGCTAACGGGGAAATATAATGTGTTATTAATCTACTTGCTAGAGCAAGAGAAGTTATTAATAGTCGAAGTCTCAAGTGAAGGGAGTAAATGTAGGCAGTCTGCAGACTGCCTACTCTAAAACATACATTGGAACAGCCCACTGAACAATCCGTTCTTTCGTATTATATAACATACTTTGATATCGTCAGTGATTTCCCATATTTTGGTATTGAAGGTAGTGAATCTCACCAGTATAAAAATGTACGGGACTTCTTTCTCATAACGTTTCCAAGCTTCATTGTACTTTCTCCGGCACCTAATAATATCGCGCCTTATTTGATGAATAATCATTACTATGAGGAGGATGAGACAAAACCAGGGGAATAGGAACTTACGGTTCTAGTGCGAAAATGGTACTCAGGATCTTCTGTCTACGTAAAACGTCTAATCATCTCAACAATCCTCTTCATAATTCGCAATGTTTTCTTTGCAAAACACTCCCTCATGGTATTCAGATTTGGTGATAAGGATAGACCAATGACCCTAAATACTCACTACCAAACTAGCTTGTTCGCGCCTCCATCCTGGTCCGATGCATATCCCTCCTGCGAGGGCATTCTGCATTAACACTTGAAGCAAACCAGGCGATGGCAGAGCTTGTGAAACAAGATTTCACTCCCGTTATCCCTCTTTGGGGCAGTATCTCTGTGTCGGGGGACCTTACATCATTAGCGTATATCGCCGGTGCTTTGTAAGGCAATCCAAACATCTTTGTTAATGGCGAAAAGACTAGACAATACCGTATCATGCCTGCTGATGAAGGTCTTGCACTTGTTGGCATCCGGCCGTTTACCTTTGGGCCAAAAGAAGGGCAAAGTTTGCTCAATGGTACCTGTGTCAACATGGCAGCGGCTGGTATCGTCATTCACGATGTTCGGCAGCTTGCCCTCCTCTCCCAAGTTCTCACTACAATGAGCTCTGAGGCCCTGCTACGTACTAATCATAATTACTATCCTTTTATTGCTTAGATTCGACCCCATCCTAGTCAACGAGAACTTGCTCAGAATGTCTTCAATTGGCTAGATGACTCGCAGCTTGCCATTGGCAATCATATTAAGAACATTGGCCTAGCTCAAGATCGATATGATTTGCGAACATCGTCTCAATGGATTGGCCCACAGTTGCAAGATCTTCTCCTTGCCCAACAGCAAGTGGAAACTGAGCTCATGTCTACAACTGATAACCACTTGATCGACATCCCTGGGAACGCAATTCATCACGGAGGCAATTTCCAGCTGCTTACATTACTTCTGCAATGAAGGCAATGCTTGCGACGCAGATGATGGGCAGGCTACTCTTTGCGCAATGTAGCGAAATTATCAATCCTATGTTGAACAAGGGCTTGCCTCCTAATCTGACGATCGATGACCCTAGTTTGTCTTTCGCGTTCAGGGGTGTTGATGTTAACATGGCCGCCTACCTGTTCGAACTAGGATCTTGAACACACCATGTCAGCCCACATATCCAATCAACTGAATCCACAACCAAGCTGTAAATTCGCTGGCCCTCATTACTGCCAGATATGCTAGAGATGCAGTGGAAATACTGGGCATGATGTCGGCGACTTATTTGTGCGTTCTATGCTGGGCACTAGACTTAACAGCTTTGCATCTTGAGTTTGTGTAGGCGGCTAGGCCTTAGGCCGAACTTGAGACGCTTAATATATTTGGAGCGTAAACTCCATCTGGAGAGCACTAAGCGCTGGAAGGTCCCGTATGAGACCACTCAATTCTAGATTGAGACGAAAGATCGCGCCTCAACCTCCGTGATTGAGCTGTCAAGACAGCCGGCAGCACAGTCCATTGTATCCCTGACTTCGTCACGACTCACGCGCCTACGGTTGGTGGTGGTGATAACCTACTTTTCAGAGGCAAGAGTGGAAGAAGCTTGTTGAAGAATCTTTATACACAGCCTATGAGGGCGTTCGAAATGAATTTCTTGAAAAACCGTCTACCCCAGCGTACCTCTATCCCTACTTCAGGCTGATGTACACATACGTCTGACACACCCTCCTCATTGTGCCTACCTAACGCGGTCTGGAGGATCACCCTACCTACGGTGCCAAAGTGAGTAGGGTGGTCTGACGGAGGTTGTATTGAAATAATTGAAATTAGCTCATAAACGGCATGTATTACCTGAGCAGGGGCTCTTGTTCATATATATTATTTTATTTGAAAGTTGTTTAGATTGGTACTTTTTGAGAGATAGAATTGGAGATACCTTTACTAAGAGATTGCCATATTCCATGTCATCCGTCTCCACGAGGTTGTTAGGGATGTCAGCCCGCTCGCTCCCGCGCCTCATTACCTGTAATAGTGACATGCATAGTGCCCTGGTATTTGTTGGTACGTGATTTTTAGTGAGTGTTGAGCCAACTCTGTTGATAAATGGATTACGAGTATATGACAGCAACCCAACTTTATGAAGTGTAAAGTTATCCATTTCCTAAGTAGGCATGTAGGAACTTCCTCTATTGGCTAAGTAGGGGTGGCTTCAATGCTAAGACAGCTAGGCGGTGAACCGACTATTACGCCCCAGAACAGAAATCGTAAACATACCGAGAATAAGACTCTTTAGATGGAATTCAGGTTTCCTTCGGAAGAAATTTATCTTGCCCATATCCCCAATCGGAGCGTGCAGTGTCGGCAACTTGTACATTCTTGACAAAATCGGAAAATTGAGAGAATCATCACAGTTGAAACTACTCGTAGCTGTGGCAGCTAAAAACGGCCCGAAGGAAAACCCCGAGGACTAAACTGATTCAGTGATAACAAGAACCTACTGATGCCGACATTTCGACTTATGCAAGCCATTGGACTGTTTTGAGTGGAAGAAATTTACATAATGGAGGTTAAATAATACCTCAGTACGGATTCAGTATTGCCCCGATCAAGAACCCAAGGGGAGTATAAGATTTCAGCTTTTCATGAGGAGGCCTGGGACGGGCTCGACGTGCAATGTCAGCGCTAGTCCAGGCACTGGCTGACCTCAGATTCGCCTGCAGATATCCTCGGCCCCATGTCTGATTCACATTGTATGTATAGGGCTTGATGGAATCATAGATATAGTAGAGCTATATTTCGGCATTCCAGTATGTTGATGACCAAGAGATCCTATCCATCATCATTTAACCGCATCATGATCCTCCAACGGTCTAATGTGAATATGCCCATCTCCTTGGTTACCACCTCTGGGGGTCTTCATTGCACAACAATTGCAAAGCGACATAGAGATGTAGCCATGCAAAGCCAACATGCATATATACCAGGTATATATTTTTAGCAACAGATCCCGATGATGAATGCCGAAATGGAGCAGCGTAACTGTCACGTTGCAATAACAGGGTTATAGGTGATAAGCACTATAAGCTTGCCCATATTATTAAATCAGCGTAGTATAGTCCAGCTTCATATCGCCTGTATGCGTTACTTCCCCAAATCGTTATTACTATTACGGAGTACAGTACAGTTGCCTGGATTTTCCGGGCAAATACGTTATCCCGTACCCAGACCCTACAATGCCCGGAGGCTTGAATGTGCCGGTATGGATGTGCTCTGTGGGTCTAATACCGGGGAAACTGCCCCATCTACTCTGTGCTAATTCATTGATCTCTTATGGTTGGTGCGCTCTCCCTGCCCAAATAGTCATTGCCAACAGTCGATGACCCGGCCATATTGCAGACTCGGAGTCCGGGAGGCAACAAGAAGCGAGGAATGGGGATATTTAGTCTGGTGAACAAGGTAGGTGTGCAAAGTCACATGAGATGGTTTAGAGTTACAATATAACAAATGTGAATCGTATCATTTGGCCGCCAGTTCCATAAAAATTCCTATTGCCATGAGTATGACAGCTCCCCGACGTAAATGCGGGCGCTGGACAAATGCCGAAGACGAAATCTTGATTCACAAAGTAAGGGCACAGGGTAAGTTGGGTTGTATGAGAACAGGTTAAGTTAACGGTGTACTTATCCTACTGTTTCTTTAGAACTGATAGGACAGCCGCGAGACTGGAGCTCCATTGCGGCGATTATTATCGGTCGATCGAACAAAGACTGCCGAAAACGCTGGTTGAGACTTAACGGGTGTATAAAGAAAGGCGAATGGAGCTCAAGTGAAGACAAACAGCTGTGCGATGCTGTTCAGCAATTTGGTTCCAAGTAAGTGGTTACCACGATCGGGGCCACCTATCGAACGTACTAAGAATAAAAGCAGATGGGTTGAAGTGTCAAAGTATCTGAAAACGCGTTCTGCAGATCGTATGAATCCCTTACATTGAAGAACAAACCAAAATAAGCAATCAATAACCATACATTTTTCTAGAGTGCGCAGCGAGATGGCAGAACTATTTGAACCCCAATATTAAGCGTCATAAGTGGTCAGATGATGAAGACCAGCGGTTACTGTATGCTTTTCGCGTATACGGAAGCAATTGGAAAACGATACAAATGCATGAGCTTACCGACAGATCTCTGCAAGATATTCGCAATCGGTATGTATCTACATTTGACTTTATGCACACTTATCCAGCATAACTTATCTAGTACTGTAGTTATAAGTCTCTTTCTCGGCTCTTCAGTCGCAACAGCATGTCCCCGTTCATCTTCTCGACTACCCATCCAGACGCGATAAATCAGATTCACGACCGGTCACCGATGCCACCGTACGACATGTTTTCTCTAGACGGTCCACAATACACGCCAATCGACGGCACAATGCTTTTGAATACAGTACCACCTGCCCCTATTGACTATGCGCGTCCCCCAATCAACTATACCGGCTCTGAGAGTGAAGAAACGTTATTTCACGAAAACATACATGGGTTCAGCCGCTTGTGGTCACACTTGGATGTCACTGCAGATTTTCGATCCCCTATAGAATCAAATAATCAACAAATCCACATTGATCAGCCCGTAGCCCATTGGGTTGATGGCACATACATTTATGAAGAGATGGATATCAAGGCTACAACATCGGAAACAAATGGCGTCGTTACCTTCGAGGGTTTCAATAAACATGCGCTAGGTTTAATTATGAATGTATTGATATCTAATAAATCGAGCCGTATTATTAAAGTAAATAACAAAGACACTTAATATTATACAATCCTTACATCTGGTGTAAAATGTCTTTACGGAATCCTTACCATTTAAACTAGTACCATCATTGAGAAGAATGGGTTTACAACATATTTTTTTTCATCTCCAACTGCAAGAACCCTTGATAACGTTTGCAGTGGACAACCTATTGGCAAACTCCATTCTCTTTTACATTTTATTCCCTCTTTCGGCGAAATTAGTTCTGGCATAACATTGCCCAATTTCTATAAAATTACCCAGTATTGTAGATCAAGTATGGGCGGCAAATACTTCATGAATTTAGTTCAGGATCCGTTTTCTTCGTGATTTCCTCGCCGAATCGCTAGAAGTAGAACGGCGATGTTGAGAACGCGAGTGCAATGAATGCAAAAATGGAGTTCCCTCCCCTACCCTAATCCCGAAACTTCATACTCCTGGGACCCCGCCAAAGGCAAAAAAACGCCCATGAGAGAGCGAAGTGTAATATTGATAGCATTAGTTGATGATGCATAAATGGTATAAAGTCTATAAGGTAAGCGCTTCCGTCAAATACTACGGTGATTACTGTTAACCAGTCAGCATAGAAGTTGCTAGTCGTACGCGAAGAACTCACGAATGAAAAAGCAAGCCCAAAGCAAAAGAAGCTGGTCCGAATGATGGGGCTATCCAATGACTACTTCCCCTCATTGTCCATCCATACCAAAACAGTCCAACTGATAGGAAGAGACATCCAAACATGGCTGTAAGTAGACATAAATCAGGTGTCAAGCTTCTCTTTTCCAATAATTTGGCAGCCATCGAGTTTGCGAAGTAACCGTATAGTGCTACACCCAAGATGGCGCCCACCCCCCAAAGACTCAACAGCAAAACCCAGCAGATTGTTGAGAGAAGTCGTAAAGCGATTCAAACTCATTTGCAAAAGTGGTGAATAAAAGGTAAAAATATCCAAACGTAACGCCTATATAAAGGGAGAGAATAGCGACAATGAACGATCGAATAAATAGCTTGAGAGATTGACGAACGGCTTTCTTACATAACTCGAGTATCGAAGGTTGGAACTCAATGGTTCTATTAATTAGATGCCTAACTTTTAACAATCGAAGTGATTTGCGGCGCAAAATAACTGGTGCATAACTTTCGTCGGAGATGAAGAACTTGACAAAGAGAACGGCGCCGGCGTCTCAAAAGAATCGCGTAAGAAATCACTATACCTACCAGGATGAAACATAACCAAAACTTCCATCGCCACTCTTCTCGTTGCCCAAGAACACCTCCAGTAATAAGACTTAGAACTAGACCTAAGAAAGGTCCTAGAGACCATATAGCCGGATCTCCACCCCGAGCTTTGGGCAGGACCATGTCAGCGATTGTTCTTGGTCCAATGATCAGTGGGCAGCAACCTACGATACTATTCAACAGGCAGATTCAAGTTTTCACACTCTAGGGATAAGATTAATTGATCAATTCATCCATCACTGGCACTTATTGAAGTTGGTTTCAAATATTGAACATGGTTGGAGGTAACAACACGGGAAAATTGAAAGGAAAATTTGCAATATATATTAAAATTGTCCAAATTGACGACGTTTTGGTAATTTACTATGTACGTGTTGTAGTTTCCCGCCATGTATTGGCCCCTGCTTGCTATATTATTAGTAGAATCGTTTAAAACTGGGATACCCACCATCAACTTCGGCTTGCACTGCCTTGTTATAATTGCCCACCCCTCCCATATAATATAGAAACACCTGCTTCTTTCCGTCGACGTTAGCTCCGATGAGCCATCATCCTCCTTTAGCAAAGACGATCATTTTGCCCATCTCGTTAGTGTGTAACTTCGACGATTGGCCATGGCTGCGTATCCGCGTTTTGAGCCTCGATTGGCATTCGTTCCTTGGGTGCTTCTGCAGTGGCAATGAGACTTGTGATAAAATCGACCTGGGTCTCAATGAGAGGCGGCATGTTGGTTAACGGGCCTTGAAGTCCGTTAACCACACATATTTGGAAAACCGCTCATTGCAGTGGCTAGATATGCCTTTGCGCCATCGACCCAGTGATTTTGCAGGGGCTGGCCATTTTCCCCAATTATCGAGATATCATGGTACATGCCATCGACAGCGGCAGAGTCCGTGGCAAAAACAATGGCGTCCAAGTCGTACACTGTACCGTCCGAGAGCTTAACACCAGTTGGGGTGATTTCCATAGGCGTATTAAGCACGTTTACGACGTCGACATTATCTCGGTTGAAAGTCTCGTAGTAGCCGTTGACTGTCACTGGGCGGCGGTTGAATGCACCGAGCGGAGTTAAATTACGGACCTTGATGGGATCCTTGACAACCTGTTTGATATTTCTGCGTATAAAGTCCGCCGCTTCTTTGTTCGCTTCGTCACTTGTTGCGATATCCCCAAAAGTCCCAAACAAGAAGTTAATCCCGTTGCCTGTCTGCCAGACTTGTTCAAATACGCGCTCACGCTCCTCAGTGGTCACGCTCATTGTCGGGATTGACGATTCTGTAATCGCATGTCCTGAGAGATTTGTCTTGACGTTGGGCCATATTTGATCATAGTTTTCATTGATCTGTTTTCGATCTTCTGCTGAAACCGGGCCATCACCGTTTGGAACTATGTGTTGTAGATGTCTTTGGAATGAAAGCAGTTGTTTGGCCTCGTCAGCAAGCGTTATGATGAGCTAGACACCTGTGGAGCCATTCCCAATGACACCCACTCGTTTCGTTGAGAAATTATGGGTTTCTGGCCAGTTTCTGGAATGAATCATCACGATTAGTGATAGTTAAAATGCCGATCGATCTATTATATAGAAGAGAAACGGGAGATTTGCTTACGCGGTATGATCCTTTTCACCGGAAAAGGTACCAAGGCCAGGTATCTGCGGAAAATATGTCTTTGACAGAGCCCCGAGCGCTGTGATGAGATGCCTCGCCCGAAAAGTTTCACCAGTAGACAGGTGTATTTGCCAGCTGTGATGAAGATATTGCGCCGACTCCATCCGGGTGTTCAATTGGATATACTTCTCCAGATCATGGCGTTGGACTACATGCTTCAAGTAGTCTTTTATTTCGCCTCGAGAAAGATATCGAGTATTCCAAGGATAAGTGAGTAAATCCTCCTTATCTCAACTATAGCGAAAGACTTCGCTATGCGTATCGCTTGTTGCACCAGGATATCTGTTCCAGTACCATGTACCTCCAATTTCAGGAGCAGCCTCAACAGCCTTTACTGAGAGACCAAGTTCGCGGAGCTTACATAGCTGATATATTCCACTGAAACCTGCCCCAACAACTATGGTATCAATGTATTGCTCCATGATAGACTATGTGGGCGGGTGAAATTATCTTTGACCAAGTTAGGTTGTGTATATAATTGTAGAACAGGTTGAGTGGTCTTATAAATGAATTGTATGACCTACTTCTTAATATCTCTAGCCATAGTACGGCCTATTCCGCTTTTATATCTGCCTTTCATACGCCAATCTTCAAAGTTGGTAATACGAATTTCGGTTGCTACTCTAACGTTGCATCATACCATATGTGCTAAGCATCTTCAATTTCAAGAGGTAAAATGGAAAATCCCTCATACTGTTGAACTTCAGGAGCTACTTGCCGAAAACTCTTAATTATTCAGCTTCTGAATTACTCAGTTGTGTCAAGACAATGGGCACCTCGAGTGGGATGAGGTAGTAGCGCATTGAAAGCAAACCAGTGTTAAACAAGGGGTTGAAGGTTTACCCAACACAGTAACTACCAGAAACGGAATTTCCCAGTACCGAATAACTCACCCACACAGTGCGGAATTGATTGCTAATAAGTTTACATACAGTCACATTATAAGATGTATTTCATGCCTATCTATACCTCAACTAGGGCATTCATGTTCGTTCTATCAAGAAAGATGAAGGCAAACATCAATTTGTCTCATCATCTCAAATCTCCTCACGAATTCTCCCCTTCCTCAATTTAGTCTCAGGCAGCACTCTGCTAGGATTGGCTTCCGCGTCCACTACCATGTCCATTCCAAATTCATCAACGTCCTCGACAGGTTTTAATCATAGACTAAACTCACATAACTTTTTGATGAGTACCAGAACCAAAGGGCTTGATGAAAAGTGTATTCTCCGATGAGTGTCCATCCACTACACCTTCGTCCATACTTTGCCTTTTGCCAGGTAGAGCTTTGAAGCTCCATAAAAGGCGCTTCCCACGGCAAGCATTACTCCGGTGAAAACCTGCAATTTCCAGTAACTTCCTCCCGACGCCGTAATTAGTGCCCCTCCGATTGGGCTGCCGGTAAGAGCTGCTATAGACATGAATGCGTACATCGCCCCTGACCTTAGACCGATTTCACGTATGTCGGATATTTGGGCCACTAGTGCAGGACTCATCGCTGTATAGGTTCCAGTGCTCAGCCCAAATAGAGACGCGAAGACTATGGCAGTCGAATGGGAATGCCCAGGTAGCCAAACTCCAAAGACTAAAACTGTAGAGAGGCATGCGGCAAAAAGCGATACATTAAAGTTTCCCACTTTGTCAGCTACGTATCCAGGGAGGATACGTCCAATGCCGCTATAAATTGCCAACGCAACGTCAGTATGCTCGAAGCATCACTAATGTACGCCTGTTTACGGAGATAGGATAGGATCACTTACCTTGCTCCATTGAACATAGAAACTAGATACCCCGCAAGCGATGGCGACATTCCCACATTTCTACCATATGTCACCAAAAAGGTTATGGGTATAAACATGCCCATAGAGTAGAAGAATCCAGCCAAAGTTAACAATAGAAATGGAGGATCTTTGAATGTTGTAAAGAAAGATGCAATCCCGAAATTTTTCGGCTGAGGACGTAGGCGTGACCGAACAGTCAAATTAGTTATAATGAGCAGGCCCAGCATTAGAAATGCGCATGTTCGCATCGTCCAACCAAACCCAATTACTGGTATAAGCCGATTTACCATAATAGGCATCACGACTCCACCCATACTAGATCCACTGGCAGCAATCCCCATTGCTAGAGCACGCTTCTTCAGAAACCAAGTTGTGATACAGCTGAAAGAAGGATATAGAACCATGGCTGCGCCAATCGGACTGCATATGGATTGAGACAGAATGAACTGGTAGTATTTGGATGAAATGGATGCCATCATTAGTCCAAAAATATGGATAGCACTGCCAAGTAGCATGAGAACTCTAGGACCGAAATGGTCAAACAACTGTCCGACAAAAGGTCCCTATGAACATATAAGCATCAGAGCTGATGGATGATAACAATGGAGACTTGATTGCATATTGACATACTGCAATGAATATTGTGAACATAGACAACGATGGAATCCAAGACACTGTACTTGGTGACAGTAATGCCAGCTGGTGGGTTTCGTAGTATTCTTGGAATACGCCAACACCTTCGAGAGCGGTTAGCCGTGCGGTAAGGAGGAATGACGGCATTCAACGTACAGTTTGTCCACCCAAAGCTGATGAACAGACCAAAAAATGCGCCCAAAACAACAAGCCATGCTTGCAAGCCCCCATCTGGGAAGGACTGTGCGTCATTGCGCTTTTCCTCGGCGCTACGCGGTTCTTGATGAACCTCCTTGGAATATTCAGAAGTATACACCTTGCAATCCATTGAATTGGTTGTTCTCCTGAGCATTGGCAACTAAGCACCTGCGAACATGGCGATTTTATGGAAGATATAGATAGAGGTGACTCAACGAAGCGCCCATTTCTTCGGGCGGAAATCATCCGCGCCCTTTGAGAATTTCGGATGTCCGAATTACCCAAGTAGCCCAACCACACCGGATTTAGTCATTTGTGCAGGATTACCATGCATAAATAATTTCCCGAGTACATCTCCGTAACATCTCCGTAGCGTATTTTATTAATTTCTTTGTCCCCTATATCTGTTCTATTCTTCTTTAAGCATTGAGATCATGCTTGCACCGCCGTCTGAGCATGCCCTCGGCCGGTCTGGCTGATGACTCATATACAATAACTGGTACACTTCGGGTTGTACTATTGAGAAAGGGAACCAAAATACAATTAGAGGCATTAAGCAGATTAAAACCAGTTACAAATATCCGCTATGGCCGCAATCCAGCGTTATAAGACCATAAAATTTTATGTGCAATATGGCGTGAGCCTAAAGATCTTTTGCCGCCTGACGCAGCTCGTATATGAACAAATTCTAACTTTATGGCCTGTTCAGCTATTACAAATGAAAAACACTAGAATCCGTATTTTGTTTGAAGCAAATGGTGAACCTATGTGTGGATAGCATAACGACACAATGAATTTAGCTACGCATAGTGCTGAAAGGTAATGCCATCCATCGCATAAGCCATATATTAGCTAGTAGATGCCATGGCAAGTTTTATCCATGAACATTACTGAAGATCAATGAACGTACCGGGTAGTCGTATACATTTCTTTGTCTGAAGGAGGATCTATCCAATAACTCAGAAGCAAACCGCTGGCAAATAACATCCAAGCATTAGGCCAGGATGACTATTTTATTAAAAAAAAAAAAATCGTAACCTAATAAAACAAGGCGCGTAAAATAGGTCAGAATTTCTTGTAAAGTCGACAATCAACAAAAAATGCTCTGATCAGATTGCCTACATGACTACCGCCTCGTAGATGATAGAACCGCCAATGCGGTAGTATATTATGAATGCTGTGGAATGGTTCTTTATGTAGTGTATATGAGGACTACGGAGCAGTATAACCACCATCAACGATAAAATCGGCTCCGGTTGCGTAAGAGGAGGCATCAGAAGCCAAGTATAGATAGATGCCTTGCATCTCAACTGTCTCGCCAAAACGGCTAAAATAGTCAGCCCAGAGTCCCCAGTTCTCGTATAGTAATACATTAGTTTTACTTACCCCATCGGGATTTTATCCCTGATCGAGTTCATGGTCTCCTCTGCTACTGCCCCTGACAAGCCAGTAGTTACATATCCAGGAGAGACGCTGTTGACACGAGCGAATCTAAGCCACTCAATTGCAAGAGATTTGCCTGAGGATAATACGGATATTAGAATACCAAGAATTTCAGAACTAGAATAACACATGATAAACACTCACAAAAATGAATAATATGCGCTTTAGAGGCATTGTATGCCGCCTGGCGCCGAGGAATATTAACAATATGCCCAGACATGCTTGCAGTTGCAATGAAGCTGCCACTTGAGAAATTGGTCAATTTTGATCCATCTGTTGTTGTACCCTCCATTTTTTGGCGACGAAAGTGCTTGCCAGCAGCGCGTGCGCAATAAACGACGCCATCAGCATTGATTTTCATGAGATCATGGTATCTGCTAATATCCGCATCGATGAATGCCTCATCTCCCCAGGAGGTGCCTGAATTCGCGACAAAGATATCGAGACGTCCGCCAAACTCTTTTACAATTGCGTCTACTGCCGCTTCCACTTCATCGCAAGATGTGACGTCAACTTTATATGCTCTGCCTATTCAACACTAGGGTCAGTTAAGAATGCTTGGTATTAATAACGCAAAGGCGAAGCTCGCGTCTATGCAACATGGCTTCGTTACATTTGACATTAAAGGCTCTCTCAATGCTGGCGGCCTTCTCAATAGCCTCGCTATTTGTGTTGTACCAAATGGCCACATTGGCACCTGCTTCAGCGAAGGCTTTGGCCGCAGCCAGGCCAATTCCTCCCCCCGCACCTGATATAATCGCCGTCCTGCCCGTTAGAGAGAACAGGGACATGACTCCGTTATCCGCTGGAGGCACTGTGTTATTGCGTCGAAAAACGCCATTCTGAATGCTCTCGGCCATCGTGAGTCCTGTTTTTGGTGTTATTTATTAGAAAAATGATGTTTGAATACAACTCAAGTAGTCAGAGCTCTGGTGACTGAGCTAGAACATACGTCTTTTGTGCTCCCGTGTTCTCAACATAGAATGTGGAGTACGCTATAAGTAGGCTTAAGATGGGTCCACTAGAAGTTCCGACCTCGCATGCAATGACTTTTACAACTTCTAACAATTTCTGCCAATTTCTGCTATGGTGAATAGTTAATCCTATGACGGAGTACTTAGCGCTCAATTTGGTCCACGCCACTACCAAGCCATAGTCATTAGGAAAAGGCAACGTTACATAAGACTTCGACAGAACAAACATGTTTCCTCCTTGTAGGCATCATTTGGACGTCGATTGCAACGAGCAATCGCCAGCAGATACTAGCGAATGGATGTCAAAGAGTTCAATTTCAAAAAATATCTAATTCAAACCCGCTTAATGCTAATACTGAAATCTGATACTAAAATAGGTTTGAAATAGACTAACCACCCTATCATTATAACTAAGCGTATGGGGTCAGTCCAGATAGCAATGTAGCGATTTAAATGTATCTGATATTTCGTGGTTGGCCAAATCCAACAACCACGGGCGATCAAAACGCTGCCTACTCTTAGAGATTTTATGGATTTTTTGTGAGAAGGGAAAATAGAGATGAACATATTCCTATCGCACGCTTCGGTGTTCCAGATTCATCGGATCATATATATCGTTCACTCAGAGTCCTACAGTTATGCAAGGTTTATCACACAATATTAGTGAAGTACAGATAGACCCTCCTAATTTCTACTTATAACTTAAATCAGGTTCTGCAATCTCTGATAGATCCAGGTATGGCATGATTTTCTTTGGAAGGGGGACTCTTTGCGGATATAAGTAACCTGTTCTATAGACTTTGCTTCACAGCATCTGAATGGAGAACCGCTAGGATGCGCCCAATCAATACAGTGTGGCCCGGGTGTTCTAATGTGATATACGTTTGATAGGACCATGTCTCACTTGACTCTTGTAATGCGAACACTATTAAATGCCTGACTTTGTTGAATTGGATAGAGGAGATATTACGCATAGAGCCCAACAGGTGTCAATACACACGTCTAGCCTCTCCAAGAAAATCCAAACATTTTTTTTGGTATTTATTTCCTCTTTTTGTTCGCAGTCTGATAAGCATTTTATAGATCTCTCTTATCTTCAACTACTCCCGAGTGAACAGCAGCGAGCGAGTATCTAATCACAACAAACTGAGGATTTACTGGGACTACTAATTTTAAACTCCACGGCCTCGTTTGAAATTTGGTAAATACATCGCAATTTACCCTCGGGAAAATAGTAAAGTATGCGCGCTATGGGTCCGCTGACGTCTTAGATGCCGAAAGAAGCTGCCATAAATATGAAGGCAATGACTTTACTTTGTGCAAATTCATTTTTCATAAATTTCGTCCGTATATGAAGCTTCGGTTCTTGCAATCTTACTGCAGTTTAGAGACTCTTTTTTTTTTCTTTAAAAAAAACAACACACGACTGCTTGCCGCAAGAAATGCAAGAAATGCAATGTCTCCCTTGCGAGCCGACGTTTTTACAACCCTCTCTATCCCCTTCATTATTCCTGGCGGGAAGCTAGGCTAACAATTACATTGGTCCCCTACGACTGCCACTTTAATCTCTGAAGAGCGCGACTTGGGCACAGATGACATCATATTAAGATTGGTGTTATCATAAACTGTGGCACGGACTGCCTCCCATGCAGTGTAAATACTTGCAGGCCGTTTGCTACTCAAATATCGTGCAGCTGCCCAACTCTTGAAATAGATGTTCGTGTCAATAGGAGTGCAATTCCAGGCTTGAGAAAGTAGAAGATCAAAAACGATTTCATTACTCTGTTGGGCCTCCATAGATAAGCCCAACCCAACTAGCGATTGTGACTCTTGGAGTGCCAGGATAGGGCTCTTGGTGAGATTCTGGATCTGGCCGTACATATTTATGGTGGCCCCGTAGTTTTGTAGTTCGCACCAGATCCAAGGCTTGCTATAATATGATTGAGCACACTGCCACTGCGACATCGACTCTAACCAAATGTCCAAGATGAGCATGTCACTGTCAATAGTGATACCACCAGGGTACACTTCAATACGGTCATTGGTCCAGAAAGTTGTGTTTTGCGCGAATAGCCACGCCTGGAAAACCCAAATGGCTTCAGGATCTGCCGATTTGAGTGCTTTCCAAGTGTTTGAGCTCGCATTTCTGAGATAGTTGAGCTCTCCTGAGGGCGGTGTCATTTCATCAAATTGGTCAAGTGTGTAAAAATGGGTGATGTTTCCGTATGTCCTGTTGCTTTGTGATAAAGCTTAACTGCATTTGCGCAAGTAGAGGATCGACGGGATCAAGTAGCGTATCTTCGGTATAGTTTTCGGGGAAGTTGACCCACTGGATGCTATGGAGTACTTGAACATCAGGTAGCACACGAGACGCTTCCCGAGGAATAAAGTCAGGGAATTCTGGCAAAATAGGTGTTATGCCTAATTCGACTATATGTTCAATAATCCTTCTCTGAAGAGCGAACTGGTTGTCGACCCATTCAAATGGTAGGGCACAAGACCACGATCCCTGTAAGTTCCCAAAGTGGTTCCAGGCAAGGAATGCAGGGCCGGCTAAGAAGTCCAAAATGTCATCATCCGTGATGCCGACTTCTTGGAAGACTTTTATGAAGAAATTCTCGATTCCAATCCAGGCTGGAGCCAGGTTCATGCCCCGAAGAGCCACCCAGTCTAATTGCAATTCCCAATCTTCCCAAGCCCAAACGGGAGCCGCATGCGAATTAGTGACTAAATTATGCGTTATCGTTGTCGACTAAGTTATGAATATTGAGGTTTATTTGTGGAATTATACGCACCGGTGTTCAGATGAAAACGATAAGGGACAATACTCGACCCATTCAATGGAGATGACAGCCTGGGCAGATTAGCTGGTGCATCTTTCAATTGGCTGCTAGCGTGCCAGCAAATATCGACATGAACAATATCTTAGAGATAGAAATGAAGTCTATTGTCGTAATTAGATGCGCCAAAATACTTGATTGATCAATTAGGGCATCCCATGATAGGGATAATCCGGCCTTACTCATATACAATAGAGCTAAGTGATGTTCCATGTATGTAGATCTTGTCATCGTGGGTTGTCATAACGGTGTAACTCTCCGAATCCGATCCATTATTTGTAGACAAAGGGAACATGAAAGAATTCTCATGTCTTGGTAGTCGTCGCTTCACGAGGACTTTTATGCCAGGAGTTAGATCCGTCCTCGAGGCAGTGGTCGCTGAAGTAGTAATTGTTCCTATTGGAGGAGATAGCAGACCTACAATTAGAATGATATTAAAGACATGCATGGCTTTATTTCGGTTTGGATTACCAGTTCATACCAAGCCCAGCCAATTCGAAACAGTGGGGGCCAGCGGATGAGATTGACAATACTTTAAGGAATGCGTTGCTTGAAATATATGTCGCTTTCAGTACGTCCACTAGCTGCCAGCTTCACACTTTGTGCAGGTGTGAGATTCAAAATCGAAGGACCGTAGCTTAAAGCGGAGAAGGAGGGGTATGGTTACAATCGTGAATCCCAAATCAACGTTCCCTTGTCGATCGTTAGATGTTTATTCAATTACGAGTTAACGGGAATTGTCTCACCATCACCTACTTGGTATCTGAGCCGATTATCCGATGCTTGCCTACAAACTCAGCACCCTGGTGTCATCCATGCCTGCAACAAGAAGGCTAGATAACGCCTTTGCAACAGCGGTGAACAGATGACCAACTTGCTGAAGATGAGAGAGAAAGCTGAGGGGGGCAAAAAAAAGAGAGAAAGAAAGAAAGAAAGAAAGAAAAAAAAAAAAAAGGAATAAAAGCATTTTCTCTTAGATATCAAAGCAATTCAACTTAGCTTTATTTATTTTTATACGGATAATTACCATAGTTTTTTTTAAGGGGTGGAATCATCTGTTCAAAGGTAATAAACTCTCTCAGGGCAGATGGTTCTTCACATCGACTGATCCATTACTAAAAATGTGTTAATTCTTCCACAATACCTGCCAGCATTACCATTCTACAGTGAGAATCTATGTAGTTTTCTCATTTGCTGCCTGCAAACTCTACGTCCTGGTGCATGGATTAAAACTCTCTGTGGTATCGAGGACATCGAAGCCCTTTTGTTCTGTACATTGAGGATCTGGAGTTTTTGAGCTCTACTCCGTACCAATTGCGGGGTAATTTACAAGTGGGCTAACTTTGTGAATGCGCTCCATTCGACACACACGGAGTAATGATGGGGCAACCCCAAGAAATTACAATGCAGTGGTACATGGGAGGCTAAGATCGCTAAAGGACGAAATACAGGCAGACATGGGGGGGGGGGGGAAGGAAAGAAAAAAAGAAAGGAAAGGAAAAGGAAAAGAGGGGGGACCTGCTCAATTCAACAGTCCACTTAGACATTGCGAGCATAAATGACGAGTTGGGATATGTATTTACCCTTCACTTAGGGGCTTTAACTAGGCAGAAGCGGCTAGTCTTCACGCCCTTAAACCTCTTCACTACTTACGATATTTTCCAGGCAGCCGCACGGTCCAAGAGCCCTCCAGAAACACATCCCGATCAGTTGCAATCATGGATACTCCTGAATTTGTGCCAACGGATCAACAGATCAAGGCTTTCAAAGATTGGGTTCAGTCAAAAGATTGCAAACCTCATATGTGGGACGCTCAAAGATGGTTTCAGACGTCTCAACAGATCGCAGGTGTCTCCGAAGCGTCGCTCGGCCTTATTCTTGGCCCGCTTATCAATGAGGCGATTGACGATGCCGCCAAGGCGGTTGAAGAACGCAATAAGGTGCCCTTATCCAATGTTCTAGCATTGTGCTGCTTTTTCTACTCACCATCTATTACTGACTTGGAGGCCGCATTAATGACTGTAGGCGTTGGCATATCTCAAGGTTCCTGGCTTTGGACTCCCATTGGGACATATGCCACCCGAGGAGGAGCGCTTCCCCGTCCTAATTGGCGTTCATAGCTACGACTGGAAAGCCGCAACGCTTCTCATACGAGAAGTGTGCATGCTAAAATTCATAGAAGAGGTGACAAACAAACCCCAGTGGTGGGAAAAAGTATTCAATCCCGACATTGCCAACAAGTGGAAGCAAGAGGCTTTACAAATGGATTGGGAAGAATACCGCAAGTATGCGGATTTCACGCCTGCCATGGCAGATGCAGTAAGTGTGTATCTCATTATCATGGGAAGCCACCTGACTGACAGGCAAATGTTAGTGCATCGATGAGCTGCGCCATAAAGCGGATTTGGTCAAGAAGACGGGGCTCATTACCATTTTCGACTATTCATCCTGTGTCATCAAATCTGACAGCCTCATCCCCGAATGCTTGAGAAATGCCCTCCGCGCAGCAACTATGGTGCTCGAAAATGTTCCGGATGAAGAAAAAGATTGGCATCCGGGTAGTACCCATAAAGTGCTTGACCTTGTCCATCCATCTCTGTGGCCATTCGTATACGGTCGCACTCCCGTATTACTCGACAAGCGAATCAATCTTGAGAATGCATTAAGCCACTGCGGTGTCGGCACAGTTTTCCCAGCACCAAAGCCAATTGAGATAGCCGGCCCTGGAAGCGATTGGTCAAGCCCCTTGGAGAACCCCGTTCCTTCTCTCTCATATAAGTATCAATGGCTTCCATGTGACGTTGTGCTAGATGGCACGTCTGCAAAGATCGACAGCTACATAAACAACCTACATCCAGTGGAACACGCGAATCTATACCCCATCATCGAACGGTTTATCGAGAAATCTCTGCCAGCTTGGGACATCATTTACCGATGGCCAACAGAGTTTGATAGTCAACGGCTGAAGACGAAAGAAGCTCAATCGGAATGTTCAACTAGCGAAATATGCGATCGAATTTATGGATGCCAGCCGTGGAACCGTCCAATTGACGAGGGCGAGCCGCAGCGGGATGAAATGGAACCCTACACTGAAGAGTATCGTAACTCTGAGCGGTTCAAGCGTGATATGGCGTGGCTAGTGGAGACTCACAAGTTAAATTTACCAGAACCAGTTTCTACCAGCGACGACTACTTTCGGCTAAAAGCGTCGGATGTCAAGTCGAGCGGTTTCTTCAAGGGCGCATCTCGGATTCAAGTAATCGTCAAGCTTGCCAACGTTCATCTCACTCCCGAGGACCCCGAATTTAAATTCGAAGCATCTAAAGAACTTGTCGACTGGTATACTTTTCCTGCTGATAATAATGAGAATGATCCAGATTTGGACGGATCGTCTTATAAGCCATGTTCTTCGGAGGATTCTCTCTCCGACTCTGACGGCTCATCGAGCAAGGGTCGATCTTTGTCTCTGAACCTCTCCGATTATCATAGTATATACGTCGACAATGACCCGACTGAATTCGAGGGCGGATCATGGCATACCGAGGGAATGTTGAATGAGCGCATATGCGCAACTGCGCTTTTTTACTACGACTCGGAAAATATTACTGACTGCCATCTGGACTTCCGTACACCAGCTGATCGCGAAGAATTGGTCGTGAATCTCAATTATGAACAAAGTCAACATGTTCCGATTGAACGAACATTTGCAATCCCTAACACTGACCGTGATACTTTACAGTATGTTGGGGGGGTTTTGACTACAAATAGTCCCTCCACTGGAGAAGCCGATACACGTGCCGTTTTCTTTCCAAATCTCCTTCAACATCGTGTCTCTCCATTCCGTCTCAAGGATCCGACGCGACCAGGCCATCGCAAAATACTCGCTCTTTTCCTTGTTGATCCCGCGATCCCTATCCTTTCAACAGCCAATGTGCCACCGCAACAGCGTCACTGGTGGGCTCAGGAAACTGGCATTGAAAAGGCCCTTGCCACACGACTGCCTAACGAGCTGACACAACTCATTCTTGGCGATACAACGGGATTTCCCTTTGGCTTGGATGAAGCCAAAAGCATCCGGCTTGATCTAATGGACGAGAGGTCAATGAAACAGGACAGTACAGAAGAGCAGCTTTATAGAGCAGGCTGGAACTTCTGTGAGCATTGAAGGGGGTGCCGATGGTCTCCTACGAGTCATTTGAGTTGTATTATTAGCGATTATGAATCGGAATTTGAGAGAAATAATGCGCTTCAAACAATCAATGACATATTCAGCATCCAAAATTCTTTAGCTACGGCGCTGGTGTTCCAGAACGCCTCGGCAAATTAGAGACATTCTAATTCGGTATGTACACGGAAGACCGAAGATGTCACTCATTTACTCGTATTTATTGTTTATCTCATGATCGCATTTTTACTCCTGTTTGAACTGCTAAAGGCGACTATTGAATGGTAGCAACTATGGCGTGATGCGCTGTGGAGGAATCTTTGTCGTCGTGTGGAGTTCAACATAAATATTGGCTTATCGACAGCGGAGTGAAAACCAGTGGATCCAGAAAGTTAAGATGTCATTTTGCGTATATTTCAAGTGTGACTTTAAGACCGACGACGCATTAGTCGAGGTTTAGTGCCGTTTCAATTCTCACTATAGTGTCAGAGCTAGAAATAACTACGTGCACCTACGCCTTGGACGAGGTTTCTGTATTAGTACTCCAAGATAGAGCTGCTGGACACAAAGACGACGAAATTCCTTTCTAAGAAAAGAAGCCGATGAGAATTAGGGGTATAGATTTTCTTCGTTAATTACTCGTAAATTTGACCGCCATTCGATCTTCAAAAATTTATAGGCGGATAGCACAGATTGTAGTCTGAAATGCGTATCTAGTGTAGGTGTTTTATCCTTAAGCCACGTCCTTCCTGAGAAGTAGTCAAGAGATAGCTCAAGACATAGAGATAAAACTTTCCAACCTTTGAGGCCACGATAGCAGATTCATTATAAATGTTGAAAATTACATCCACAGCTTCTGTGCTCTACTCGGGTATAGGGCAGAAGTCATAGTTGCCGTTGATATTGTTGCCCCACCACTGAGGGAAAGGCTTAGCAGGGCCACCAGCCCCAAAGACCGCAAAGGAAAGGATAAACAGCACTGTGAGACTGGCACCATCAAAGGCACCAGTGACCAAGTACGAATAATCCTTGAAGATGCGAGGGCGGTAGTTTCGGAGATAGAACTGGGTGAAGAACCCAGCAACAAGCTGACTCCAAATAACGCAGGTTTGAGACTGGTTATATGGGATATAGCCGGCGTATTGGATAAATTGGGGCAAGTTAATGTCGTTAACATCGAAGTTTCGAATCTTGGGAACGAACTATCAAAAAGAATTGTGATTAGCGTCTTACAAAACAATGTGGAGGGTAGCATGACAAAAGATATACTCACGTAAACGAAGATACGGTGGAGAACAACCGCTCCAGCACCGATAGCCAATCCAATGGGCACCATCTCGTACTCAGCGCCAGTCTTGTAGAGATACTTTGCCAGGGCCCAAGATGTGGCGTTGGTGTTATATGATTGAATAGTTGCGCCGCTCCAGGAAGCATTGCCATTGCTATCAATAAGAAGTTCGCGATTGCCGTTGACGATGGAGATCATGACACCGTAGTTGACAAAGCCTCCTAGGATAGTACCGTAGATTTGCGTGAGAAACATGACGCGGGGTGGGATTTTTACTACAGAGAGTCAGTGACTTCCATTGATTCAATACTGCCGAGGGATTGTGACATACGATATTCGCCCATCTTTAGGTCATTGCACAGGCTGACGCAATTGGAAATAACGTTGTGAGACCAGGCTGCAAAGTACATGTTGCCGACAGGGCGACCAGGAAGCATCAAACCAGCCAACATCTTGGACAAGTTGTTGGTGGCAATACCGTTGCCATAACGAGAGTAGAGAATTGTGCTCTGTCATTAAGGTTAGAAAAAAAACGTATAATCCGAAAGGACCTGGTTGGAATATTTACCAATGGGGCGATGAAGATGCCGAGAAGAAGGGCGACGACGTACGCCCAAGCAGGAAGGGTAATGTTCTCCTTGATAACAACAACAAGGCCGAGAATAAAGCTAAAAACTAACACAGCAATGTACCACCACCAGGGTGCCTCCTTGTAGTGCTCAGCCATGTGTGCGTGATGTCTATCGTCATATCGTCCGCTTTTCGCACTTTGGTATGCCTTCTTGACATCTCCACCCCAGAACAGGAAACAATGAGCAACCAGGGCACCAATCTATGCAAGTTTTAGTCGAAGATTCCAATAAGATGCGGGCTAATGATACAATAAAGCACCATGGGAGGGGAATACGTACAGCAGCGTTGGCCATGAACATGGCATATGCGAAGCTTCCTGTGAGTTTAGGAATACCATACGTCTGCAAAGCACTCTCATCAAGCACACCACCGACAAACACCTTTGAAACAGGGTACTTGGTACCATTCTCAGATCGAAGTTGCGTTGACATGAATGGCTGAGATTTGGCGCTCCAAGAATTAGTATAGTAGATGGCGAGCATCACGGCGTAGCAAACAATGAATCCGGCAGCAGCATGGGCCTGCAGTGTGAGAGGAAGAGAGGTATTGAAAGAGGTGATCTAAGCGGCGTCAGCTCAATGTCCTATGGTTGCTCTCTGCGGAACTATTGACTTACGTATTGCCAATCAAACGAGAAGCTGAAGAGTCCCAGTCCTTCGTTGTTTGTAGCACCACCGAACAAATTGGTGAGAACAGCTGCCTTTGAACCTGTAGCGTGCATGGCGGCCAAGCACGGGATAGAGATAGAGTTCAGGAACGGGAAAATATAGGCAGGGAAGAACTCGTAAACGAACATGCCCGCAAAGCTGTACCAAAAGAATCGGAGAGGCTTGGAACCTTTGAGGTTTTGCCAGTGGAGTCCCTGGAGGGTCTTAACCGTAGGAAGAGTACTCCAGTAGACTGCTTCAACGTGCCACACGGCAATAGGACGCAACACACCGCAGATACCATAGCCAAAGAGTCCAATTGAGATGGTACTCAAGACGACGGTGGAGGCGCTCAAAGGCAAGTTGTAGAACAGGTCCTGGGCAGTGAAGACGGTGATACTGGCAGAAGCGTTGGAAGCAGAGGTAGCTGTAATTGCACATACTGCGTGCTCCTTAAGATTCCAGGGTCCAGGGTTGATGAAGGCAGCGATGGTAATCCATAGGGGAGGTTTTCCCTGGCCACCCTTGGCTGCCCATCGAGCCCGCAGTTTGTCACCACGAGGGAGGAATGCAGCCCAGGCATTGCCGATGAAGTAAGCGATGAGGACGATGAAGGTTCCCGAGATTGTTGCCGCGGTTGGTTTAAACTTGATTAAGGTCAGCTGGTGTTTGACGTGCAGAGAATACTTGTTAAACAGCACGAACCTGGTAAATTTGGCTCATAACAGCTTGGAAAGCAGACAGACATGTAGCCAGGAACATGCTTCGAAACGTCAATGATGGCTCGCCATCATCCCGTAGTGGCAGCAGGTGAGCCGCGGCGTCAGCACCCGTGACGATGATAACATCATCACTAGCATTGTCCTTCTCGTCATATTCGTCGTTGTCCAACGGAGGAGCAATGCTGATCTCGGTATCCAAGGCACCCTTCTTCTCAGAGTATACCTCGCCAGCAGGGACTTTCTCATCGCTGATTCCGTGGGTAGGGGTCCTGCCCTCCACAACAACGGTGTCGTCTGCTACTGAGGCCGTCATGATGGCACAAAGCTTGGAATAGCAATCACCTGAGAGGTCAAGACAAAGCGCCGCACCAGACCAGTCTCAAGGCTTTGGCAGCACCCGGCTCTATATGACTTTCCGTTTCTCGCCATGTCAATCACGATATGTGATATCAAAGTACCATACAACAATGATACCATGTTTTCGGAGTGCTATGGGGTCTAGTCCGGTGGTGTAATACGGGTGAGAATTTATGCCATCAATAGGCTAAGTGCTCTAGAATGATACCCAAGCAGCACTACCAATGTTTAGGTTGGTACTTTTGAAGACAATTACCAAAAGGGTACGGACTTTCCGGATCTGGCTAGCAATCGTGTTAGATGCTTGAAAGGTCCCGGGGCTAGTTTCGTAGATAAGGTTATGTAAGTCTGTTGGACCACGTTCTAGGACGCTTAGATAACGCAATGTGACCACAGACTTCGGAAGTGATCGAGCCTCTCCGTGTAAATTGCGCACTCAGGAAATTCAAGACATCCAACGGCAGACATATTCGCGCATCATCTGATTCCGGTGTTCCGTTGAGCAGAGGAGAAGAGAACCAATCTAGTAGTGTTTCCCGGGACCTTTTCGTTGGACAATCAGGTGAGCCGCTAAGGCGGCGTTTGCGGGATGAATATTGCATTCGTGTAAGGGCCCTTTGAGTTTCAATATATCTCACATGTCAAGCTGACTCGTATAGATAGGGACATGGCAGCACCAGGCGTTGATTATTGAACATGAATAGCACTTTATAGTCGTTGGTTGAATTGTTCCTTGACCACTCTTAACGATAAAACAGATGCATTACAGCGGATAACCGATCTTTGTTTTCATTTTAGGTTTCCCGGTGACACTCTGGATCTTGTCTTTGTACATGAGGAGGCTGACCAGCCCAAGCTAGCAATGCAGCATATCTAACTTGGGTTACATCTCTCCGCAATTGCCACACTGGTTTGGGGGTCATCCATGCCACCTTGCCACGCCCAGTAGAATACGAAAGTTGCGATGCAACTGACTAGACTGCTTGACAAGCTTTTGGCTTTCATCTGACGGAAGTAATCACATCAACGGACGCTAAGATTGATCTTTATTGTCTATTGGTCTTATCGGGCCGCGGAGGACTTTTGGTGTTCAATCATCCTCCATCAAAAAGTCCCATCCTTTAGCGTACGATTATGGCAAAGTCAACCATGTGCCAGATTCCCAGGATGAGCATCACGGTCCTAACCATGGCTACATGCCCGTAGGATCCGGCAATTTACATTCCATTGATTTAGGTACCGTGCATATTGGTGTGAAGCACCTTATCGGTCGTTGTGGATTGTGGTGCAAGATAACACAGGAAATCCTAGCAAAAATCCTGGTCAGAATCCTGGGAGGTTACACCAACATCATGAGCATTGCTACGGAGTAAGAATCGGATCATTCATCAATTAAGCTCAGGCTCGGAAGATTACGCTACATAAGTGCACTTCCATCAAATGGCTCCCTATTTATAACTTGCGTGATAGGTCAGTGAGGGAAGAATGCAAGCTAATGATGCGTTGTACTTAACGACGCCGGTCAAGAAGGAATATCGACGTTGGCATTCAGCTTCCATGTTTATACAAATTGAGCTGCAATAGTTAGAGTAAGAAGATTGAAATGCAAACTGGTGAATATTTGCCGCGGGACTACGAGCAGTCCATTGAGGTGATACAATGGAATACGCCTGGCATAAACTCTCTCCGCCAATCTTCACCCAAGCAGCACATACGGGATCGGCGACCCATACTGTCTCCGTAGCCTTGGCATCTTTCCCGATTACCCTTGGTAGCTTGTCCAAGTTGATAATCTTTGTTTTTATTAGTTATACTCTTGCATGTGATGTCTAACAAAGGAGAATCAAGATCGAATGCGCTCGAATCTGCGATATCGAATGGCGATGCTTCCCTCGGGGAAATACTGCAGCACTCACGCGTAGTTGTAGCGATGTCTCCATTTCCAATATCTTGGCTTATCATGCAATTTCTTGGCGTGTCACCCCTGCCGCTTACCTTTATCAACTTGAAGCGAGCGAGGCGAAAATATTCATCGTATTATGATTCCCACAATACGAGGGGTAGCTGTTACACTGTATAATCATTTAGCCGAGTCCAGCAAGCTGTACCACCATGTTTACCAACTCTCTTCCTCGAAAGTTACTTGGTATTAGCAAATACGATCTTCGAGGGGGACGATAGGTGGGCTATTGCCTCCGTCAGGCGTACAAGCACAGTATTTGGGCAACACCGGAAGTCAGGTAAATCACTCACCTTTGGGAATTCGCAAAGCAATTAATGCCCATATCGACTTGCAGAGCGTTTTCAACAAGAAACGTTCTTAGGGAGTGCACCATTTTGGTATTTCTAAGGCACATCAGCTGAATTCTACGCAGTTAAGTGTCGGCGAATGAATACCACCGGCGCGGTGCCCAGTATGCGCCGTATAGTGATGCGAACTAACTTCTACGAGACACCAGATATCACGAATCGTCCATGTTCTATTTTGGTTTCTCTAGGGTAGAAGTCCTCTCTTCGCCTTGAGCACATTTTGGACGCCCGCCATCTTCTTTTGTTTGTCTCTATGGTGGAGCATCCAAGCTCTTAGTCAATCACATCTCTGCGACAAATTAGACCAAGAATCGCATGACCCATTAACCGGTTGGCTAATAACGAGATATTTTGCAATATTCTGTCATATTTGGTACAGTCTGTAACCATTTCCCCTCTACATGTCCAAGGCCAAGACTTGGCTTGACGCATCGCACATGTAGTCTGATTTCGCTCGTATTTTTGACTTGGCCAAAAACAATTAGTGGGATTTTAGTCAAAAGCCAAGATATTTTAACCCCACGTATATCCACGTAGCCAAACCTTTACTCAATTCCTAATGACATTGGAAGAAAAATATCTCCCCAGCACATCTTACCAATTTCAATCCCTTGCTACTTACCCCTCTTCTCAACAGTACATTATTTTGCATTAGTTATTAGTCCATTTTGTCTCAGTACATATCATATATTCAGGCTCCTCTCACTTGTCTCCCCTTGTCTGCTCCGTGTAAATAATAGTTGTGATCAACACCTTATGCAGGCAAAATATTCGACGAGAACTTCAAATAGTCCTGAAAAGCACATTAATACCAAGGGTTTGGTTATTTTTGAACGTGTGGTTTCCAATTTCTCCTGTTCTTGGTTATTGTTATGACGGAGGATACGCCACCCACATGTTCTTCACCCTTCAATGGCGGATTAGCTCTCACTCTACCCAATTAAAAGTTGCTCTCTTTATATAATAGCTAAGTACATGTCTGATGTGTTAAACTTAAAAAGAGCTTTACGAAACGCCGTGGTCCTTGCTGTTCTATGTAAGTTTATCATACTAGGGATGCGGGCAATGAGGCTCCAAATGAAAATAAAATTGGGGTAGGAGTGCTAAAATGTACAGCCTTAGATAGTTGTAAGCCTTCACTAAGTCGCGATATTAAATTAATAATAAATGATTGGCTGGCCATTAATAGGGTGCTCATGGGAATCGATCTGCACGGCAGAAGGAATTTCGGTCGGCGCCGCCACACCAGCATCTCCACAATCGCAACTAACTCTCGGCGTTATAAAGCCGAACCGACGTAAACAGTAAGAGCATAGACTTGTGTATATAACGAAGGCACTTTCAGACACTTTTGATATATTTACATTCGATTCCTCGTTCCAAGTTCTGTCGTTTTACATGTTTGTAGACAAACAAACCGCGTAGCCAAAATGGCCTGTTCCAACGCCGATTCTAACATCTTGACTGCTCTGGCAAGCCAACTACGTCTTTCTGCCACCCTGGAAATCAATGAGCTTATTCAACGACGGGTAGCTAATGGGCATAAAGTTGTTCATTTGGGATTTGGAGAAGCCACGTTTCCAATTCAGCCAAATGTCGTTGCAGCTCACAGGCAAGCCAGTGATATCACTAGCTACCTCCCTGTGGCGGGACTGATGAAATTAAGAGAGGTGTGTATAGTGGCCATGGCAAAGCACTTCGTTTGCAAGGTTGACTAAAAACATAGTCTATTGCCAATTTTCAATCTCGCCGTCTCAATTATACCATTTCTCCACACCAAGTTATTGTAGCTCCGGGATCTAAGCCATTGCTGTTTGCGCTGTTGGATATTCTCCAAGGAGATGTGCTATTGCCGCGACCATCGTGGGTTAGTTACGAACCACAAATTCTTCACGCCAGCAAGCGGGTTTTTTGGGTGGAGACGGATGAAGTGGATCGCCATACTATCACAGGTTTGAAGCTGTTCCTCATGGTTTGCTTTTGTGAGGGCCATCTAGCTAACAGTTTGCACAGAGTCTTCACTTGAAATGGCTTTCCAAAGGGGAGTCAGTGAAGGCGGAAATCCTCAAGTTATGCTTATTAATAGTCCATCCAATCCAACTGGTCAGGCATTTAACCATCATAATATCGATACCATCACAAACTTTTGCCAGCGCCATAATATCACTCTCATCAGTGATGAAATATACTCGGATATAAGCTTCTCCAAGGAATATAGCGCTACCCCTTGCTCGGGGTCCAAATTCAATGATAACAGGAAGATCCTAACTGGAGGGCTTTCAAAGGTAAATTCCTTCCTGGGAAGAGATTGGCAAAGATGGTGCATGAGTAACAAAATCATAGACTTATTCTGCCGGGGGTTGGAGAATAGGCTATGCGATTTTCCCTAAAAACGCGTTTGGAAAAACAGTTCAATCGGCAATACTAGCCTATGCGTCTGAATGTTGGTCTGCCGCCTCCGCTCCCGCACAAGAAGCTGCGGCTGTCGCATTTGATACCAGCCCAGAAATGGACTTGTATCGTAGCCAGGTTGTCGCATTGCACAAGCGATGCACGTTGGCCTTGTACCATGCCTTATATGAGTGCGGTCTCGCAGTTGCGGAACCAAAAGGTGCATTCTATGTGTATCCATCTTTCCACCCTTATACACAAGAGCTCGAGGCTCTCGGAATTAAGACCAGCCAACAGCTATCATGCTGGCTTATTGAAGAGTGCGGCATTGCGGCTCTCCCAGGCTCCGTTTTTGGTGAAGAAGATTCTGGACTGGTGGGTGGCCGATATCGCCTGCGAATGGCCACAAGTTATCTATACTTTCAAAGTCATGCTGAAAGATATGAGCGTGGATATGAAACTCTGAATTTGGCTTCCGATTCTAGTATCGCTTTAGCCTTGCCGTTACTCGATGAAGCGATTTTGGCGATACAGAATGCTGTAGGAAAGCTCCGCGCAGCGGTATAAATCGATAGTTGAATAGGTATCACATCTAATTAGACTATTAGATGATTAGAAATGTTCTTAAGATATCAACTTCTACTTGTAACGCTCAGTTGTGAGCGATTCTATAGAATTAATGGACGGTAACCCCTCTTGTGTTGCTGACTGACTTAATGAAGAATCAATACTGAGCCCATGAGGAAACATATCCCAAAAAGTTTGCGTAGAATCTTGGCCCATGAACTCTCTGAAAATGTCCAAATAGTCCAAGTCTCCTTCCAAATTCATGCTGATATATGATGTATCGGTTGTGAAAATCTCATCTGCTCTCAAGGTATTCCCTGAGGCATTAGTATTTGTCGAAAACGCTGAGCTGAGAGAAGTAGCGGTTGTCGTCTGGTGTGTCATATTGGCAGATATGGTTCTCAACGTATCATTTGCGAGTAAATCAAACTGGGAATCTAATTTCGATAGCAAATCTTCCTGTAGTCTTTCGTTCATTATAGCGAGGCAGATAGAACAATTTCTGGTCCAGGAGTGGAGATCGACAAGCAGAAATGGCGCCTCGATATGAGACAAAAGCCGTAGAAGCCCCGTTCTGGCAGTTACCAACATTGTCAATCCTGCAAACAAAACTCCTTGGACGAGCATCCATGAAAGCGGTACGTTGCTGGCTCGAAGTACTTGTAGTATGCTGTCGATATAGCTTCCAGCTGATCTAATGCATCGTTCTAGGGATTGGGCAGGAGGGTTTGGACAAAGTGGACTTGGTCTATGTAGGACAAAAGTCGTGCCATGGTAAAGACGGTCCCAGTAGCTTTGAAGAGATTAGTCAAGAAAGCCTATGGAAAGATCATTCATTCCTACCTATATGGATACGGATGCAGTCCTTCCGAATGAGGATTGAGTGGAATGCTAGCTCGCCACTCATCAAGTTCTTTTTGCGCATTTGAGATTAGTCTTTGCGTTTGTTCAGCCGACATGTTTCGATTTCGGCTATTAAGGCTATAGATTTGAGCCACGACCCTGCTTTGAATCTGCCGATGTCTGATGTGATGTAGGCTAAGAAGGTTTTCGTTCGAAGGCTTTGGTAGTTCGGCAAGAATATGTTCTTCACTGATCGATGGGGGCCGTCCAAGGTTATAGGCGAGGCTGATTTCCACGCCGTAGATAGTCCAGAAAAGGCGATTGCTTTTATCTTTCACGGCATCTGGCTGGTTATTTGTTCTGGGTGTACAATGTAAGCCCGTTTCGACAGCCATCTAGGTGTACACATTAGCGATACAGAGTTTCCAACCAAAATTATTCAAATGTTGGAAATATACGGCTCCAAGTATGAAAATAAGGAGCGCGACAGAGGTTAAAAAAATTTATGGCAGGATATCATACATACCCTCATCGCAAGGCCAGCCAGCTGCCACTGACTCGAGCCAATAGGTCCATAAGAGCTGTAGATTGAAATCAAGACGATGGCTTGTATGAATCCTATACTTGGATGTAACTTTTGAAAACTAATGTCCATCAAATTCAAGGCTCTCATACAGAGTGACATTGGCGATGGCCGAGGAGTTGGCATGTCTGACATTCTCTCTGGTTCAGTTTGCCTGCGCATTTGTTTGAGGGTATTTGCAGCATTGATAGCCCCAAGAGCCATCACCAAATAAAAAAGCATCATTTCAGTAGCTCTTTCGGGTTGACAGCCAAGGTCTAGGTTGTCAGCTTCAGATCCTTCATTATACCCCGAGACTAGCAAATCTAGATCATCACAGTTAAGAATCGGGTATAGAGGCAGTATCCACATCTTGTACGACTCTAAAAAAAGGCTGACATCGTTAGAAGAGATTTGAACGAGGCTATTGACTGAGACGGCATCCGTCTTATGACCAGGATTTGCGTGCTGAGTGCTAAATGTTGTATTCGGCAAGCTTGATGTTGAGATACACGACCGTATAAGTGCACTAGTATAAGCAGCGAAAAAAGCACCGCTGGAAGGACCGAGGTATCTCATCTCTCCAGTTGCATTTAGAGCTAGCATACCAATATCCGCAGCATGATCGGTTGGGCCCGAAGAATTTCGTGTGTTGTGGCGCGTGTTCGAAGGAGAAAGACCTGGGTCTGATTGTCCCGGAAGATCTTGCTCATTGCTAAGAACCAACCCTTCAAGGACAGGTTGCAGAGGGGTCCCGGTCGGCACATGTTTACATTGGATGTGAAAGTTTCTGGAAACTTCGTCTTCAAGCCAAAGAGTTCTCTGTCGGTAGTATTTGAGTTCACTGGATCAGTTAATCTTCAGATTCTCTGTTGGTGAGCTGGAAACTGGGAGCTATTTCACATACACCAGGCCATCCCCTTTTCTATGCCTTGTATAGGGCTCACAGTTCGCCCCTACCTTGGCGCAAGTGTGGCAGCTTGGATAACCAGAGCACTACCCATCTGTAAGTTGAGATGTCCTCTTCCTTCCACTGTTTCCCCCCAGCTTTCAGTTTTCTTTTCCCTACCCGAATCTTTTTACTGTGACAGCGGACACATGCTTTAGTAGTCGCCATATGTGGAGATAGAAGATTGGTTGTAAGTGGGCAGGGCAGCTGATAATATGTTCTGCGTAGTACCTTACAATAGGCAAACACACAAAAGGCTAGCCATCGGCAAGAAATCCGATGAAAAGAATCCAAATTCAAGCAATGTCTGGGAGTGATAGATGCTCATGAACGCCGAGCTGAGTGGGCCCGGTGTTTTTTCGCCGAGCTGTCTCCACATCCTCCAGCTCCGTACTCGGAAGTATAGGGACGAAGCTGGAATAGCATGAGGTGTGAAAAATAGCCCGCTAATATCTACTATGGCCGGATGGAGCTTACACTGCGTGTATTTCTTAGATCAAATACCCAGGAATTCTCCTTTAATTGACACCACGAGCATAATGGACATGTACAATCCATTGCTATATCATACTCTCTATTTCTCCTAGTAAACTATGAGAGCATATGCATTGTATATACCTATCCCAGTGTCATCACTCGTCGAATCGTATTAGTTGAAGCGCTCGGCGATTAAATCCTTTAGCTTCTGCTGGGAGATGGCTTCAATGCCAACAAGTATGTTGTCGTTGCTGTCGTACGCAGAACCATATTCTTCACCTCCAAAGGCAGTGCCAAGCAATATCTTCCCTACAGCTTGCAAGCTATTATCCCCAGAGGCGACTGCATCAAGACCTTCTCTCAGGACGTCTGATGACTTGATATTGCTAATGGTCCATGTTATCTTTGACTTGATTTCTTTGGCAATGTCAAGTACTTGTCTCTGTGTCAGAATTGCCTCTGAAACATAGACAACACGATTTCTAGTCTTTTCTGGATTGTTGAATATACCAGCAATCGCAGTCCCAACGTTGGCTAAAGTTGTAGTGCTGAACCTATTATTGCCGTCATCAATTAAAGCAACTGAATGGTTTTTAAAATCGACAACGGATGGTGCCATCAGTAAGTACTCCAAGAAGCTTCCAGGTGCGACCACAGTGTAGGACAAAGTGCTTGTAGCTGCCTTGTCTGCGAGATACTGCCGAACAGTTGCCAATGTAGAATAAAATGGAAACCCCAAAACCTTGGGGCTAGTGGTGCATACTCCAAAGTCTGAAGGAATAAATCTTTGAACGCCGGCGGCTATGGCTGCATCGATTAAAATCTTTTGCCCTTCCAACCCTGCTATCCCAACGGTCGATACAACAGCATCTTGATTTTGAAGAGCCGATGTCAAAGAGTTCGTAGAGGTAAAATCTACCTCTGCTACCGTGATTTTGGCATCGTAACTCCCAGGCTTCTGAGAACGAGTCAGAACGGTAACGTTAAAGTTAGCTTGAAGAAGCGCCTTCAAGACATGTGATCCAAGGTTACCGGAAGCCTGTATATAAATTAACTTCCAAGATATATTGAACCAAGGGCCATTCGTTACTCACACCAGCAACCGCGACATTTCGAATCGCCGCCATGGTGGATGGCAAATTTGTCGTAGCCTGTTTGGAAAACCTGAGGTGGTATCGTGTAATAAGAAGTTGAGCTGAGTAGAAAGTGTCGAACGTTTGGGGTTCAATTGGGCTTTATATATTTGGCTTGCTACATTTTTTAGAATCATGTTCTGTCAATGGAGAATCGCAATTACAAGAGACGAGGCTTGATGAACCCTGCCACCCATCCGCTGACACCTTTAGCTACTCGTACAAGTCCGACGCTCCTTGCGGTAATTGTCCGCAACCATCCCCACAAGTCGGCAATCATCCGCAATTCGCATGACTAATACGACCTTATATATCCTTTCGCGTCCGCATGTTTCCGCTGATTGCGTTCTGGACTCTTGATATCCGCTGAACGCCAAACCGAAGAATGGGGACGTCGGGTTATCAATCTCAGTCCCTCTAAGAAATTCACAGATGAGATCAATGGACAAGCGGCAAAAACCCACCAATGCCAGGAAGGCGTGTCTACGGTGCCGCCGGTCTAAGAGGAAATGTGACAGAGCACTCCCAAAGTGTCTTCTTTGTAGGCGGTTAGTATTACGCTATCAATTTTAAATATTTACTTGGATCTCGTCTATTGACTATCACATGATCTTTCTAGCAGGCAAGAAGACTGCCAGTATGAAACAATAACCCTGTCATGTTCAGGATCTGTTCGATCTCCTGGCACTAATCCGACAAGCTCTCCGGATGAACTTTTCTCTCCGCAACGAATTAAGACTGCAATCATTGAAAAAATATCAGACATCGAGCCAAAAGACATCGTGTCTGCATATTCTCGCACCATACACCCCTGGTTTCCTATCATTGCAGAGTCTCGCGTCGGCGACCAACTCCCTGACACCTGGAATGATGCGAGTATCGATTTCACCTTGCTATGCTTGACCATTATGTTGCTTTGCACCATTCCGGACTCCAAATCATTGGCGGATACCAATATTTCTGTATTGAAAGATCTCTATCTTTCTGCCAAGAGATGGATCGCATTAATCGAGGGGATTGGCGCCAACTCAACGGAGATTGTACAATCCAGGCTATTCGTTACAGTGTTCGAAGTCGCGCATGGCTTGTATCCTGCGGCTTACATATCTATAAGTGCGGCAGCTAGAGCAGCAGAGATGCTAAAGAAGGCTGGCGGCTTAGAAACGGCCTCGTATAATCCCTATACAGACGAAGAAAAGGTAGAGAGCTGCATGACATGGGCGGCAGTTAAGATTTTGGATAGGTGAGTTACAAGGAGTGATATACTATATATCTTGATACCATTTATCAACACAGTGAAAAATGTCTTTCTAATAGCACATGCTAGGTATATTGCCATTGAAAGCGGTGAATATCCTCCGGTGACAAGACGCATTCATACAAACGAGGTCGATTTACCTTATTCGGAGCTTCCATTCGCCGTGTCTACTCCTTTCTCTTCTCAGCGACAGTTCTTACGATTATACGAGGCAACAAGTCTTCTAGATAAAGTTCATATAACCATCTATGAGCCGACGCCGCGAATCTCGTTTAATCTTGAGGAGGGAGCTCTTTTGGTGAATACATTGCTTTCATTGCGAACGGTAATACTTGGAGAGGTGCCAAATGAATCAGCAATATACACCAGTGGTCTTCTCATTTGCGATACGTGAGTTTTACCTCAACTTTTGAAGTCAGAAATGCTTACAGCTTGGCAGTGGTCTTCTCCTAATATATGATAAATGCAACAGAGAACGGTCATTCAATTATAATATGAAAGACCATTGGATTTCAGCCACCCTTCCGTTGAAAAATATTATTGAAGACATCTGCAACATTATTCGACCGCTGAATGCTTTCGACGACAACGCGCTAGGCAGGATCCCACCATTTGTCCACTTCTTAATGTACAAAGCTGCAAGCATTTTGACGAATAGTATGCGAGATCAAACCAATTTCGAAACAAATGCACAAATTCTGAAGTCGCTACGAGATTTCTTGAATCTTCTACAAGCACGATGGCTTGCTGCTGGTAAAGAAGCGTTGCTACCATATTGGCAGACAAGTGTTAATTAATGTTTAGGCCGTTATTTAAGCCTTTTGGACGAAGATACTACCCCAAGGATTTTCAAAGTGTTGGAAACAGAGAGATCAGAACATGCGCCATATATTATCAGATAATCAACCTAGAGAAAGGTTGAGTACATCCGTGGCTGTAATTTCTACTTTGGCCGATATGTTACAACTTGGCAAGTAACTGACCTCGCAGATATCGCATCTGACCAAACAACTGAGCCCACCAAGAAGGTTTTTGCATCATAATCTAAGGCCTTCAAAACATGTGTACTCTCTTTCCAGAATGGAACATGGCTGGAAGGAATCCTTTGTTCTCATCAAGATTCTCGACAGCACTCTGGAGGATCTTCGGAGTCTTCTTAAGGACTGAAACTGCAAGATACTTGTCCATATGCTGAGCTTGCATCTCAAAGAACTTCTCATAAGCTGCCAAAACAGTGTAATGGCCAAGTGATATTGCCGCCTCTTTTGCATGCTCGAGGAGGTCGTCTAAGAAATTGTCTTCTTCAGCCTCGGCGTCAGATCCGCTACCTTTTGAATCGTTAACTGCCTCATTGCTTGTCGAGAATGGGAACCTCATCGTGAGAGGTGACATAGAAGAAAAGCTCTTGGCTGTCTCAAGTCTCTGAAGTCCCGCATCGGTGATCTTTCCATAGCTGTCATTTGCCAGATTTGCAGCTTTGGACAGTTTCTCTTCACTTTGCTTGGCATTCTCAGAGCTCTTGATGTATGTCTCCAAGATCTTGCACATTTTCCTCTTCTTTCGGTCCATATATATCTGCCAAGCACTCATGAGTCCCGGTTCTACTGCAGAATTGGTAAAATCGATTTCGGTAGCGGCTATGCGTTGGCCATAGAATTGGTGCGTAGAGCCTAATTCGAGGAAACAGAGAAACCATTTTGCACCAGGAACTCCAGAGAATCGTGCCAGTACCCACTCTCCAGCAACAAGCTGCAGCTGTGGCTCTTGAATATAGTCAAGCATCCTGACTACTGTTTTTTCCTCCTTGGTGGCGCGTATGTAGTCCGTCGTGTTCTGTTCCTCTGCCTGGCTGTCTCGGCTACTTTCACCAATAGTAGTTTTTGCCACCAAGTTCATTCCATCTTCTACAACTTTGTCCATACTTTGAAGTTCAATGCTTCCATGAAGCTTTTTGGCTCTGGTATCTTCTTTTATGATCTTGTCTTCAGTCGCCTTTTCCACATCTAGCTGCGTTCGCAGAATCCGCTGCTCACATGCAAAATGCACAGCTACATTCGCAAATCCGGTGCTGATGGTGCACCATCCAGAGATTTTTTGTTTCGGACTTGCTGCCTTTGCCACTTGTCGCACCAGTTTCTCTCTGTCAATCATTGTCACAACAATTCGTTGTATGTCGAATATACCTTCAATTCCGGAGCTGTTTACTATAATCGGATTTGGACACGTTAGGTTTTCTGCCGTTATCCTTTCTTCGCCGTCTCCAGCTTGGCCCAGCACTCCTTCAGGTTCAACGACTTTAAAGGTGATCTCTTTTACTTTCTGTGGTAAAATAGATTCCTTTTCATCTTGAGACTTGTCGGCATCATAAATAGCCTTCAGATACTCAGTCACACCTGAATCAAGCCGTTTCCACTCAGGCTCCGCCGGCGCTGACGGCGCAGTGAGAGGTTTGGATGTTGCTTCCTGCGCTGAAGCTTTCTCCGAATGATTTGAAGAGAGTCTGCCTAATGATGATTTGATATTTTTGCCTAGCCCAAATCCTGGGAGATTTGAGGTGACCTTCCCAGAGGAGGACTTCAGATTTGGAAGTGACGGGGTTAAATCGAGCGACCACGAAGACTTTTTGTCAGCGCCTTTGGCATCCTTCCAGTCATCAGGCGGAGCACTATGGTCGGAGGCCGACTTCTTAAGCTGCGCGCAGTTTTTTTTGATGTAGAGAAGAATTTTGCCAATATTCCCTAGCTGCGGCTGGAGATTCTCGAAGGTAGAGTTGCTTATGAATGACGTTACTTCCCGGACCCAATGCAAGGGTATACTCTCGCGTTTTTTGTCTTTCACACAGTCGATTGCATCGCGGAGCATTTGGATAATACCGTGATAAGTTACCATAGTTTGTTTCCGGTCCTGTCTCACCTTTGCAGAGATCATCATATTGTATCGTCGACCGCGATCTTCATCAGTCCCGTATGCCTTGTGGGACGCGGGATACATGGAACGGCCACGAACAGGGCTTCCCATCTCTGCTCCTGCCCAATTGAACACAGAAACATCATTATGGGTGGTGATAACCTCGTCCAGAAGGCGGGCAAGAGCTTTTGCGTAACCTTCAGCATGGAATGATGGAAATCGCACGCCGAGAATACCCATGAGAGAATAGACATGGTCAACTGGAACAGTGGCGACTCTACTGCACGACAGCTGTAGGACTAGCTGGGCAGGAAATCCACTGCGAGCGATTCCGCTTTTCCACGTTTTGAGTGGTCCGACACCACCAAACTCGGCAATAAAGCGTCTATCAGAGACAATGAGACCTCCCACTTTCGCCACAAGACAGAGCAAGAGAAATTTGATGACTTCTTCAGTTCCATCTATGCCAATAGAACTTGCTTCTATAGATGGCTTAGGTAGGTGGTTTGCTTTGAGCTTTGCCAAAAGATGTATTCCATTTTCGTCTAATCCATATCGCTTGCTTCCATCTAAATCCGAGGCGGCGAGGTAGACAGCGCGCGATATCTCCGATGTAGCAGTCTCCACTGACATATTGGCTGGGAAGCGAAACCCTAGAGCATTGAGAATAGCAATGAGCTGTATCGACTCTCTGACCTGCTTTACTTCGATCTGGTAAACTGTGTCCCAAGGGCCGCTGCATTTGCTCTTATTAACAAGTTCAATGTCGGTTTCCCGTAAATATGGAATGAGGGTGTTAAAATCTTCCATTTTCCAACGAGAAAGCTTTGTGTGATTGGGGTCTTCTGGCGCGTTTGCGTAGATGTTCGATGTTATTCCCCGAGTATGAAGTTCAATGAATGGAATCAGAGGATAAATATCGCCAAGATTTTCAATGGGTCGACTAAGAGGCTTCCATTCTGAGTTGACAAAAAAAGTCATTTTGCTCATGACTAATTCCTGAAGTGTCCAAGCCCGACTTGCCCATTCGATTGTGGATTTTATCTCTGGGAAACTTCGAATATTCGAGGTCGTAGCGGTATTCGGCATGACTTCATTATTCTTCACATCCCGTCCAAATTTAAGCCAATCAGCAATGGCGTCGGCTTCTCGCCAATTTGTATCCAAATGAACAAGGCAAAACTCGGCATTTGAATACCAGTCTCCCATTAGCGACAAGGACTGGGATAATTCTCCGTAATTCTTCTTGTCGATGCAGCATGTGTCAGACCAGATATACCGTGCCCCATGGCTCTGAAAGTGGTTTGTTTGGAATATTCTTCGGGCTTCTTTTATCGAGCTATCCAACTTGATAGCTGACTTCCACCTTTGTAGGCGACGAATCAATTCGTCCACTTCATCACCGAGACGGTTGCTCTTTTGAAAGATTTGAGTGTATTCCCCAACACTGTCTTGCATTTTAAGCAAATCTTCGAGTTCTTTCTCTGCTTGAGCGTATGCTTCCTCTGCCTTGGTAACAACTGTGGATGTGGTAGTATATTCTGAGGTATCTTGCTGTACCATAGCAGAGGCACCACTGGCAATCCCTTCTGCAATATCTGCGTTTTGTAAATCTTCTGTATTGCTGTCGATAATTTTTCCAGCGCGGTGGATTATTGTGTCAAACATCTTCTTCTCGATCTTACTCAGATCGACCAATGACTTTTTGGAATCTCGTGCCTGACGAGCCGAGTTCATCTTCCATTTCATTTCGTTGGCTTCCACCTTTCTCCTAACAAGTTCTTCCACACTCAAGTTCTCTGATTGTTGCTTCAATATGGTCTCAATTATTTGCTCTTGGTCGAGTATATCACGCTTACACTGCTCAAGAACCAAATGGATGTCATCGCTCCGACCCATTGGAGTCTCGATATTGGGGATAGCTGCTCTAACTTCCCCAGATCCGGCTCTTATGCGCTCCATGTGCTTCTCTCTGGCACGCATAATATGAGCCAGAGTGATCTCATCTCCCTTCCAACGATGAGATAGGATGCAGTATGAGTCAAGATGTGAAATATTCCACGCATCGACTATGTTGCCCGTCTCAATGTCTATCATACGTAATGGCCGTTGAGGTCGCTCCGTATCTGGTGACTCCAGAAATTCAATGTCTTGTAGCGTGCTGAGAGCATTGTCCTTCGAGTGTGTAAAAGTTGGCTTGAAATCAGGGACAAACCACAGGTTCAAGGCTGCGCGAAGCTTCTCTGGGCTGCTGCCAATATCGTCAAAAATCTTCTTAATTTTTTCAGGTGTAATATCTGTGTAGTTGCTCAGGTCAGCTACCCTTGCAATTTTATCCGATATACTGGTCATCGTGGTCGTCATGGTAAAGTTGGATGACTAGCAGCTCTTAGTGTGCAAATATCCAGGAAATAAATTGATGATCTGTTTCTGTTTTTATTCCTAGAGAAATTTCAGCATGGGCCGACGGTAATTATAGTACTTCTCAGAGCTCTTGGGTACATGCAACTCTATGTTAGGAGGATGTCCCGTCAATTGGGCGTGGTGAAAGAGCTTGCAGATGATGCGCCAAGACTCTGATTTGATTAGCCGCAATTAACCTCTCTACACTGATGATAAAGCAGCCCCTTGTTTGAAGAGCAGCAAAGCTGTAGCCTATTGCTGTCCGCCACGTTGGTCTTGTGCGCTACATTTCAGCTGGTTGTAATTTACTGGGTCTTTTGGGCTCCCACAGCCAAAGATGCCTTGTAGCTGCAATTTCATTGGCGCCATTACAGAAGCTCAAATAGCTTGCATCGGTATGCTATCTTTATTCGGAAATAGCTCTTGTAGAGCCCGGAAATGCTCGTACATGCATCGATGACAGCCAACTGGTGGGTCGGTTGGATGGATCAACTGAACGATGGTGCCCAAGCTAGCCAACAATATCGCTTCTGGTGTGTGATTCAGAATAGGAACGGCCGAATCACCGGCATTACTCTTTTTACGGGAATCTCTACTCAACTCTCAGCTTCTTAAAAAATTCACAACTCTCCAAATACAATCCCGTAGGAATCTGCGGTTTGTTCTTTAAGAAAATTCCATAACGCTACTATCCGCAACTTTTTGCGAAGCTTTATCCATGGCATCTTATCATAGGGTTTTGATGACCTTTGATAGGTCGGTGACCCAAAAAAGTGTCGAGTGCAATTAGTGAGTATCCCTTTCGGATTCATACCAACATGTATTTTAACAAAGCCTTCTTTCTTGGCAGTGATATCCACCCGTGGGATGTGTTGATAAATGGCTCGCGGTGGAATGGGAAGATTCGACTCATCGGCTATGTCGATGTCTTTTTCCTTATATGTTACTCAGGAGAATCTCGCTTCGAGAAGGGCATTATTATCTACAGTAAGTCAGATCCGGCTGATGACATATTGCGTTCCCAAGAAATACATAACTCGGCTAACGATCATCACAGAGGATGACGAGATTATCCAAAAGTTAATGGAAAGTGCAGGTGTGACCGGAGAGGGTCTCGGCCTACAGCTCATGAATGAAAAAGAGGTCAAAGCAGCAGAAGGTGAAAGGAAAGGTACGTGGCATCGTTTACGTTGTTGATTGGTCAAAGTTCGCGAAGACTCACTTCTCAAGGTACAGTATTAAAAAAGTATTTCGACTTTCAGACAGTCAAAGGAGGCCTTGACTACACAATTACAAGCCTCGGTCATGAGGTGGGGGTCAAAACGGAATACGACGCAACCACTTTAAAAAAGTACGTCATCAAAATTCGCAAAGGTAGAGATTCTATAATGAAACGTAAGTGTTGTTCAAATCCTGCGATATTATGGGAACATTTAATGAACAGATTATAAGCGAGGATTCGCAGAGGGGTCAGTCAGCATGACCTCTTCGATCTCATGCACGATGCCGTTCGTCTGGGAATAATCACACAAGCCGAGCTCATCGGTCAAATCATTGGAAAGACCATTGGTGGATCTACAATGGAAGATGTCACATCAAAATATCTTGATGCTCTAATAGGAGCAAGGAACTCCAAAAATGTCGCACTGGAGGCTGACAGACAATGAGGTCGCTGAGCAATAATAGGATCGTAACACACGTAGCTTAGCTCGTTATTCATTGCTAGACATTCAATATACATCGATTTAAAACGATGTAAATGGGCTATCCCACTTCTTCCACTCCATCAATATTTGTGTCTCGATGCTGTCATCCTTCTTTCTTCATGTCGTCATACAAAGTTGCATGTCACACCTTCACTAACACTCTCGCGTTGGTCACGAACTCGCGCTCTATCACATTTCGCTAACCAATCACTTAGCCTGGTGAAATGCCTTGGTCTCTGGTTCACTTCCTCGTCAACCAACCAATGAATTATGTGTCTTCGGCTACCCGTTTGCTTCCATCTTTGGCGGTTGCCATAGCTCAGAGTCACCTACGGGGGGTGGCACCGGCCTCACTCAGCTTCATTCATTTTAACCGAACTAACCAAAAATGAAAACCATTTGGTAGCATTGCAGTAATGCCTGCATAGCTAGCGCCTCCTAATTGACTTAACGACTGGCCTAATTTCACACTCTCGTAGTTTGAACATGCTTCAAATGGGATGAAACGTGCTGAATGTTATCTGCCTCATTATTGTGGCGCAAATGATGGATGGAATAGGCAAAAGGCTTGCGGGATACATGAAGGATCTTCGATTGGCATCAACTGAGGCACAGCGAGAAAGGATGATGGTAATCGGAGTCGGTGAAGATAACTTTCATACGGAAAGATTATTCCTCTTAGTTTGGATCTACAACATAGAGCTGCAAGGCCAAAACCAGCGTCCTTTGTCCATGAGATTGTTCAAGTTCGTGCTAGGTAAATGGCCACATGCCCGTGACAACAGGAATTGCAACACTGTAAAGAGTTCAACTTATTCCCCCTCCAGATCATTGCAACCTTGATCATCGGCATATTTGCCGCCGAGCAGTTCTTGGCAGGGATTGCAAGAGAAGGCGGGGTGACAACATTATCAAAATTGACGTGTCCGGTGGGTACGGCTGCAGCAGCGATTGGTCGTGACAGTCTGTGAAATTTGGAGGCTAAGGCTGAGAGAGCCTGGCGGCTAGAGCTCATTGTGCCTGCCAAGCGATTTATCGGTGACTTGATTCACAGACTTCGTCCTCCTTGGCCAGTTCTCATCCAAACCGTCTTCTGGTTTTATGCTGAGGCAAGGAGCAAAGAGAAGGAGCAAAGAGCTGGAGCCACGCGACAAGAAGGAATCTTCAGCAGGCGCTCACATTAAACCATGTCTTCTACGGATAATACTGAGCTGATTCTTGCCGTTGTGGCTCTGATCATCTCTATTCTAGCTTTTGTTATAGCCATCCTACAGGCTCTCCAACAGTATTTTGCATCGGCCACGGGATATTCTTCTTGCAGTGAAGCTGTAATAGGAAAATGGTCGCGCTTCTCCAGACGCCAGATGCTTTGGTCCGAGTTCCGCATCGAGGTACATTTTGAAACACCCGTGCTATTTGTCGCGAGGCCCGAAAATACGAGAGGGCCACTCGGGAATGATGAAGATTTTCGTCAAGAGGATAGGAAAATTATACGCCTGGACGGCAGCCACGCAAATCTCAAGTACACGCCAAGCACTGAAGAGTTTAATGAGCAGCAAAAGAAAAATAAGCAACAAGCTGTCCGTACAGCGGACAACGAAAACGCAACCTGGTGTCACATGTTGATGGCTATCTATCAAATGGAGAAAGAGTCCCGTTCTTGGCAGAAAGAATCGCTAGGGTATCAGCCTCCTTGCGATCCCTCACCCCCTCACTCATTGGTTGTCTGCATGCAGAGAAAGAAACGAGTCTGGGATAGCATTCCCCAAGGTCTCAGTAAACCTTATGCTACAACAACTATATCGCATCTGATAGAGATTGCTGCCATGCTTGGCATTCACTGGAAGAATTTCGATTTAGACAACGATCGTTATCGAGCTCAAGGTAATGGCTTTGTCCTGTACGGCTCTTACATCGACAATTTGGGTATATCCTTCACCTTTCAAAAACAAGGGCCAACGGTGTTTGGACAAAATCGTATAATTCCAAATCACGACATAAAGCAATTGTGCTTTGGTTTGGCGCCGACAATTCTCCATCGGGAAATGCTCATCAATGTCGATGGCCATGGGACTCATGTAACTTTGCAACTTGGCAGCTTTGCAGAGATTGCTGATACTCTCGCAGAGTTCGGCTGTGATAACAACACGATTGGCTACTTTAGAAAAAACCCTGAGGAGGCCCGCCATGCCCATCTTTACCCTGGTACGTCATGTTCAAATACCTACCACTCTGTCCAAAACACTGCAAGATCTCTAGAGTGGTCTCGTAGTACAAGAAATCCGTATACAGACTAACAAAATTACAGTTCCTTTCGAAATACTAGGCATGGTCGGCCAAATACTTCACATCGAGGATACTGCTTTTCGAATGCTTCCGAATCCCACAGTTTATTTCTGGGAGCCCAACACATTCTCTCTTCCCACTCTTACAAGTAACATTGTTGCTATATTGAGGGAGACTCAAACAGAGACTACAAATATGGAGGAGAATGACCAGATTTCACAGCTATTAGATTGGTGTGACGAGAGTACAGAACAAATTGAAAAGCCGCCCAATGGATCACTTCATACTGATATCAGCGGCACAACAGCAGCCAACAAGATTGCGCACTTACGTGGGGGTATAGAGCTCTGTGATCACTACTTGAAAGAGGTTGACATGGTGATGATTTACCAAGTCGTTCGTGTCCACATTCAGGAAGTTCTGGGGATGCTAAATGAGAAACCGGGCGACGGGCTTGAGGATGAGAATCAGGATTCCAATATTATAAACGAATTTGATTCGGCAACTGTTGACGAAAAACATCATCTTCTAGCACGGCTGTACTGTACATCCGTACGGCATAATGTCATAGAAACTGTGCATAAGCAGCGGTCACAATACAGCCAGAAAACAAACACACAGGTGACCATTGCAAACGACATGGTGGATTCTGAAGCTACAATGAAGCGCGATATTAACGAGATATGGTGTACTCTCATATTCCGAATGCTTCACTGGCTTCAACTACACGACTTTCATAAAAAGGACATTCAAGTAAGCAAGCGTGATGCATACGACAGTCGAATACCGGTATACATTCTCTGAACTTTGTTGCGTTTGGTTAGTTTAGCGAAGAATTGTGAATTGAAGTTTTCTTGATCTTATTCCAACTAAATCATTCGTTACATAATTGCACCGTGTACCGATAAGAGACGAAAGAAAACAAAAGCCCAATAGTGGAAAGCCATGATCTCATGCAGCTCAGTAGTTGAACTGGTTAGGCTCCACGGTTCTTTTAACAATGATAGACCATTGAGCAATCAAGAAGAAAGCAACAAACCCAATCAAAGACAAAGACAAAAGGATAATCTTTATGGAAAGAATAGCCAAGTTTTTCCAACTCGCCCATGTAAAAGTATAAAACGCGTCGGACATCGTGGCGTAACCTCGACCGCCCACAACTGACGGCACTACCTTGCCATCAAAAGACCTGTCAAATGGAATGATGGCATCATCTTCGATAGGAAGAAGAGACGCTTGGATTCGCATTAAAACGACTTGACTAGGAACAACAAAACATATGGATCCGATAATGGTTACGAGTATGACGAGGGCGCATTTGGAGTACAAGGCCATGTCTCCCGTCGCCATGTCAATTCTAAATTTGTAAGTATTGTCAGGCATGAGAAGGTTGAAACAAGGCCAGTCAACTCCCATGGAGGAGGCTATCCAGTAGGGCAGCCACCTCGTTATCTCAACAGAGGCCCAGTGAACGACGACAGCTCTCCATGTTGCATGGAAGGTGCGCCCAAATGAAGGAACGCGCCTCCAAAATGATCGGTGGCTTGGCTTGGAGATGATGAGATGTAGCCAAAGGGTGCTGAATTGAACCATCGCAAGCGCAGGGAGAAGTCTCGCCAGCCAACTAAATGGCCAGGGCACGTAACGGGCGGCAATGACAACTGGGTATGCAGTAACGACACCCTGGAGTAGAGCGCAAGAAAATCCCCGGAAGTTGGCCAAAAAGCCATCGGTATCCACCAAGAGGCGATAAATGGCTGTGGGAGAGGATGAATTTATCCGATTAGGATTGTCGATAGAGTTGGAGCCATGTCCTCGCTCGTCGGCAACATTGCCGAGACCAATGGGGTCGTGCACTCCTCGTTTCTTGTCTTGCACAATAGCAAACACCGGATAAACGCGAGGCAAAGTGTAGTTAAACTATTATACCGATAAACATCAATTAGCTGCGATCAGAAAAAGTGGGCGATGCAGGGCAAGAGATGATCGAGTGCCAAATTAACTCAGGGCAGTACAAGCACGCACAATAATGAAGAGAGGCAGGAGGATGGCTAAATCAACCAGCAAAACGACACGCGACCACCAGGGCGCTTCATAAACAAAATGGACGTCATTGTCGTGATACAGAGGCCATTGCAGCGGCTGTGTATGTGCTGAGGCAGACATTGTAAAGACGCGCTTGTCAGTGAATCATTGAAGGAACAATGTGGGAGAGGGAAGAGGGTGGATAGTTTGTAAGATTTGAGATTGACACGACAAGACTGCCGGATGTCTCGTGCGTGATTACTTGTTTAAATTCGCGACTTTGAAAGGCTTACGGAGTAGGGGGTGGGGTCTGCCGGTGGAAAGAAGTCCCATTTTAGAAGATAATTTCCGCTTTTAGAGAGGCGCAGCCACTGTCGACTCAATAAATCAGTTGACAAGAATACGAAGTGCGAAGGCACGGATACGGCTATTACGTGGCTTACAGGCACTGTGCGTACGGCTGTGAACACTTGTTAACATAGGTGATGTGGCCACGATAGAGGCCAGGTGTGTAACAAACAATTGGGGGCAGAAGAGTCATCATTTGAGGATACTTGACTAGCCTTAAGCATCGCTCATTGATAGAGTAATATCTGGCCTTGAACATTCCACAACGGCTATGGAATAGGAGCCATCTCCGAGACGAGAAAATAAAAGCCGGGTAGCACCTTAAGTTTTCCGTTTTGTGGAGAGGAGTTTTAAGAAGAACCTGGATTTTTTTTTTTTTCCCTTCTTGTTGTATTTAAGCTTATATTTTGACTTTTCTTCTTTCACCATCTACGCCTGTTTACCTAGCGCATTGTAGTATCACATGGAATGGTGCCGTTCGTGGTGAGCTTTCCAGTTCTATCTCAACGTAGAAGTTAGCTGCTGTGTTGTGTATAAAGCTAGGTTATTATTTCTTCGGGATTTTTGGCGAAAAGTGTTATAGTCTTCAACTTTCCATGTCGGGTTTACCTAGCAGCCTCGATGGGAGGTGCTAACCTTTTACTTCGCGTCCTTTCACAGTTTTAGTTGCAGTTGAAAAGGTGGGGGAAACAGTAAGGTTGAAGCCGTAGTGGTCGTAATCTCTAACACAAATAGCGTAGGCCGAATTAATTTAAGTACCATATTCTAAAAGTGCCGTTACAAGAAGATGTGATATTTAAATCATATTGCACCTGAATTTTCCGGTCAACGAAAAATTCAGGCCCACTCTGCTGACCCAATTCTTTTCACAAGCCCATGAGCGAACAATTTCATCCCCCCCATGCATGCTTTATTGTTAAACAGACAGTTGGGGATCTGGAGCGAGCTGGACTGGTGACAGTCCTGTTTTTAATTTTTGAGAAAAAAAAATCTCCAAGAGAGAGCATATGAGAACTCTATCTTCATTCAAGATTCTTTCATATATCGGTTTAATAAGCACATGCATTTGCGAAGTACATCCATGATGGGTGGGCTCGGCAAGATCAATAAACATATATAGAGCACCAAAGCATTGTCATGTTGGACGGTCGACCTATTTGTGGCGCGAAATGGGGATAACATGGGGTTCAAAAAAGTATGCGTGCCGTAATTCTTACATTAGTCGCTCTGTTGGTGCGTTGAGCAACATGAGCTATGTGCCTAGCCATGTTACAGACTCTGTATCACTTATGGCGATATAACCGTCCATTATTATACCCCAGCATGCGGAAGAAACTGGGCAAAAGATCATGACCCCTCTCTGTCTTTAGCCTAGGTACTCCATACATAATATAGATTTTGCGGATACTATTTGTTGGCGTGACGCAGGAAAACGAAAGCGGAACGCTGTCGTCATAGGTGGCCGGGTGCGGAAATGCTCCTCCTCGGAACTCAAGTGCCGGCTTTAACTGCTGAAGCCTCTATAATGGGCATCACCGGCTGTAGGTCGCAGGGATCGGCACTCACATCCCGGAGTTAGAATGGAGTCACCAGTTCAAGACAAGAAAGTCAATGTGGTCCCCTAGTCATGTCCTAGACGTAACCCCGCAAAAGAATATTTCCCATAAATCTGGGGTTCCGTGAAGCTCTTGGCGACGCGTTGTCCCATTCAACACTGTTCGGAAACAAGAGGCAATGCAGTATTTCCAGTCGAAGACAACGGCGGCCCAGCAGCCAAACATGGATTTGGCCATGCAAACAGCGAATATTGAAAAGGAGCCTGTGCCTGTTCAGAACGAAAATGCCGTCGTGCAGCAGCCCTCTATCGATGCTGAACTGGAGAAGCGAGTCGTCAGAAAAACGGATATGAATCTCGTCCCGTTAGTTATGGCTCTATGTACGTTGAATCATGCCTGTTCCACAACCTGCAACTAATGATTTTGTAGACCTTCTTGCTTTCCTTGATCGGTCAAATGTTGGGTATGTATGCATCCTGTCGCAAGAACTGCGACGCTATTTCCTAACATAAAAACCAATTGCAGGAATGCGCGTATTGCCGGCATGAGCAATGATCTCAATCTTATTGGAGATCGTTACGATTGGCTGCTCACAATATTTTATATTCCTTACATCGTATTTGAGTTCCTCGGTATTATGTGGAAGGTCGTGCCACCACACATCTGGGCAACAATCGTCGTCTTCATCTGGTATGGCCCTTACCCAAACACGTTTAAGTTCTGAGAACTAACAGAAAGCATTACAGGGGACTGGTATCAACGCTCCAAGCAGTCACCCATTCTTGGGGAGCCGAAATGGCCCTTAGATTCCTCATGGGAGCCGCCGAAGCGGGCTACGGACCTGGAATTCCATTCCTACTCTCTTTTTTCTATCTCCGGCACGAAGTAGGGTTCCGTTGTGGAGTCTTTTTGTCTGCTGCTCCGCTAGCGAACACGTTTGCAGGAGCCCTTGCATATGGTATCACATCAGGTCATCCATCCATTGCGAAGTGGAGAGTATTGTTTCTCGTGGAAGGATTGCCTACGATTGTTATGGCGGCTGTTGCCTATTTCTATCTCCCAGACTCTCCCGAAAAGGCCAAGTTCTTCGATGAAGACGAGAGAAGAGTAGCCATTGCAAGAAGTGTCCGCCAAGCAGGTTCCTCCACTAGAGTTGGCAACGTTGACTGGGTGGATTTTTGGAGAGGCCTAACCGACATCAAAGCTTGGTTCACAGGCGTAAGAGGATACATTTTCATTCCATCGAGACTGATGCTGACAGTTCTTACAGCTCATGTATTTCAGCTGCAATGTCAGCTTCGCTTCCCTCCCAGTTTTTCTGCCCACGATTCTTTCAGAGATGGGATTTTCTAATGTAACAGCTCAAGGCTTGACCGCCCCTCCATTCTTCCTATCTTTTCTCATTACTCTGATCACGCCTTACATTGCAGATCGAACTCAGCAACGTGCTTTCATGCTCATTATTCTAACCATCATCGGCGGTGTGGGCTATGTTATCCTAGCATCTGCCAAGTCTGTTGGAGCCCGCTATTTTGGTGTTTTCATGGCAGCGGGAGGAATTTTCCCTTCTATTGCCAATATTCTGCCTTGGGTACTGAGTAAGTGTCATATAAGATATCATAGTATACGCACATCTAACCCGCTCATCTTGTTAGATAACCAAGGAAGCGATACTCGCCGAGGAGCTGGAATTGTCCTCCTTAACGTCATCGGACAATGTGGCCCTTTGTTGGGCACCCGACTATATCCCTCAAAGGAAGGTCCCTTCTATGTAAAGGGTCAGTCGGTTTGCGCGGCTTTTATGTTCTTTACCACGCTACTGGTGATTGGTTTGCGGATCCTGCTGGCTTGGGAAAATAAGAAGTTGGATGAAAAATACGGGACTGTTGAGGAACAGAAGGCGAGGCTCGCCGAGGGGCAGGAGCGAGGCGAAGAAACCATCCAGGCTGTGGCGGTAGAGAATTATGGGCCAATGTTTAGATATGTGCTCTAGATGTTCTTGCATATCTAGCATATTCCAACCGCAATTCTATGGATATTGCTACCTATCTACTACTCGAAGTACCTTTCTGGTATCTTGTATTGACTGCGTAATTAAAGCGACACATCTTGTTGCACATTGAAAGCACAGATCACAGCATTCCATAGGCTTATCTAAACTTCCTAAGAAAAGCGCGGCATTACGCCTCAGTATTTTCGAAGCAATAAAATACTCATCAGCCTTCTTTTTTTTAATAGTATTCTATTTCAGCATATGTATTCTTTAAAAACTAATTGGTAGAACTATTTATCTACCCATTCATTCTAGTGACTCTTTGTCACGCGTAGCAGTTGTGAAGCACCCTCCGTGAGAGAAACAGAGTAAGATCCGGTAACTCTAGTCGACTTGCCCGTCCAAATGTCAGTAAAGGTCCATGTTGAGCCTGAGATACCAAGATCCTTCAACGACACGGTCACCTTCTGTGAGCCGTACAGCTTCGTTCCAAAGCCTCCGTTTCCTAGGTCCGGTCCATAATTGACGAGAAGAACGTAAGCCTCGTGGTTGTTTGAAGGGCCGCCAATCCATGCCTGCAGCTGCTTGGCAGCGTTGCTTCCAGTTCCAGGGTTGCGGGGTTGCATGGGATACTGTGCAAAGAAGTCTGCGGCAGCAATAGATTGCTTGCTGGTGGTCAGCTTAAGACCCAGTGCGTCAATCTGCTGCATGTCACCACCAATAACTAAGTTGGCCGCAGCTCCAAGCCAGTGGTTCTGCACAGTAGTTCTAATAGAGTCGTTGACGCCAGCAAGGTGCTCTGGGTTGACAGTGAATAGAGCATCCATATCAGGGTAAATCGTAATGGGGACATTGCGCTGCGCCTGTAGACCGATGTACTGGCGGTAGTTCTCAATCGCACGCTGGCCGACCTGCCAAGCCATCAATGTGTTGGTGCCATAATTATCCAAGTCTTGGTCAGTTCTCATCGATTCAGCAAGGTCGCTCCAAACAGGCAACCAGGTCTCATTGCGGCAAAGCTTCCATGAAATATCAAGTCGAATCTTCCTACCCGACTTCTCAATGGCCTTCTGGTAGGCCTTTACAGCAGCTGAGCTGTCACACGCGAGATTGGCACCGTTTGAGGGGCTGCCGGGAGTCACAAAGTCCAGCTTAAGCATATCCACGCCCCAAGAAGCCCACTGCGCGACAACCGAATCATGCCACTGTTGAACACCATCCTTGCTGAAGTCAAAGTCGCAGTTGATCTGATCGTTGTTGCCGTTCAGGATATCACCAACTTTAATCTTGGTACCAACAATGGTCTGGTTGTGCGCGACACAGGGAACACCGGGTGTGATGTAGACTCCCAGCTTCAGGTCTCTGCTGTGCAACCAAGAAGCAAGTTGGGGGAGGTTAAAGCGCGTGGTGTTGTAGATGATACGGCCGTGCTCATCAACTTCGCTAAAAGCTTGCCAGCCAGAATCAAGACTGCAGAGATCATAGCCAGCAGCCTTAAACTCGGGTCGCGCAAGCACACCACACTGAGTCTCAACAAACTTTTGGGTATAGTACAGACCGGATTGTCCAGCGAAGGATGGAACGACTTGGGAACCGTTCTGTAAAGCCTGAACACCGTAGGTATTCCAACCTCGAGCAGAGGACTTGAATCCATTTCGCGTCTTGGCGGTCTTAAGAACCTTCAGAGGGCCGCCAGGAGTGGCATCTGGCTGTGGATAACATTCAGGGAGTCCTGAATCGCGATTCTGGATGCAGTATGGTGCTGGGTGAGTTTTGACGACGTCCGTTCTAGTGGGATCGTTGGTGTAGCACGCATCCTCAGCAGCTGCCCAGTACCACTGGTTGTCGCTGTAGCCCCAGGTTGCAGTTGTAGAACCGCTGAGGAGGCAGAGATCGCGAATATCTTGGAAGGCAATGACGGCGTCGTTGTTTTGACTTCCTGGCGAAGCTCCCAAGTTGGCTTGTTGTTGCATGAACAAATTTCCATTGCCATCGTTGCAGTCGACCAGGCTTGCATTGGCTTCAAAGCGGGCAGCACAGTCCATAAATGCATTATAGCACTCCGTAGTGAAGTTGAGAGTTCCAGGAGTATAGAGATTGCCGCCGCACTGAGTTTGCGCAGCGACGGGGCGGAGCAGGAATATCCCTGCGAGGGAGACGAGAACTGCAGCAGTCGGCGGCGCCATTGTGCTAAGATGAAGACTGAACACTTTGAGCTGTTGCTTTTCTGCTACTCAAAAGAAGCCTTCTTGCCATCATGGCGGCGCCAAGGGCCTATTTATATGCATTCATTTTCGCTCTTTGAGCTAGCTTCTGCCGATATTCGAGATTCACGTTCGGCAGCTCGGCAGAACTTGCCGGTCTTGCGGTGAAATTTCCGGAGTCTAGATCTTAGAGTTGTTCTGTCGTCAGCTGTCCTTAAACACTGGTTTTTATCCGAGGGTTAATTACCTCTTCAATAGTCAATTTCCTAACCCGATGGATGTATAGAGTATCTGAGTCCAGCATATTTCGTCACGGGTCTCAAGTCGTTTCCGGGGTTTGATGTGATGTGGAGTTTCTCCGCAAAAATCATCAATATGCCTTGAACGGAATCTGGGGAAATGTTGAAGTTGTGGAGAGACGCCGCGGACGATTGCTCGGCGTATACCTCGGCGCGCCAATTGCCAATGGATTGAAATCACCCCACAAACTTCAATAGGCTGAACGTGCTTGAGAAATAGGCCTACAACGAATGATGTGGTTCTCCAGGTGGCCCAAAGGGTGAAAGCTTCATGAGCATTGATCCGTTTAAGGCAGTTGGTTGATGTGTGCATAGACCCAATATTACGATACACGAATGGCAAGTATTCAAGTATATATCTATGCAATTAACGCAGCTATCTATTTGATCAGAGTTCCAACACACAATGGTTCAAATGGCTTAGAAGTGCAAAAGTCTAAACTATCTGAAAGGCACTTGTAATGAGATGGCTACAGCGCATTTTTGAGCTCGCGCAGTAAAATAGTGCCAAAGCGATGGTAAGACCTAGTGACATACTGTTTGGCGCGTGAAAATGAATGAAGTAAAGGCTGTGCTCTATCTAGAGTTAATAAAAGCATAGCCTCTCCATTGGACGTCTCAGGTCTTCCTCCTAATGGACACTAAAATGGCCGTTTCCACTATTACAAGGAGACATACGAGTACAGCATGCGCTTCAATTTGGATAAAAGAAGCAATGAATATCGGTTCTTGCTTATCTTAGCTTGAGGCAGAGTCTCGTATTTTCTATTGAGGAGAAGTCAACGAACTTCATACAACTCAGTCGCCGTGCATCTGCCATGAAAAGTATACGATAATCTTCGTGCGATTCATGGGTGCTAAGTATTAATTCGTCCGCTCCATGTGATTACGACTGTGTGGCATAGCACTTGTGCTTCCGGTATTTTTCACCCATCTTGTAGTGTTCGTCAGCCGAAGTGCTCACGGGGATTGAGTCGTCGGAGAATATATACCCTAGATCTCGATAGGTGACCACATAAAGAGTTTTCTTTTTTTTAAGAAAAAAATAAGCCCTTTGTTAACTCTAATACGTCGCACGTCAAGCTTGCAGTAATTTTACGCAAAATCAGGTGACTCTATTTCATTATCATCATTAATATTGTTATTCCCTCTTGTGTGTATCGTATGTTTATCCGTTCTATTTAAAAAAAAAAGTGCCTTTCAAGACTTATCCCAACAAATAAGCTAATCTCATCAAAAGGGGATAAAAAGGTCTCAATGAGCATGGGAAAATTAAATTGGTTTTCTTTAAAATTGAATAATTTTATCACTTTTGGTGTTATGGCGTAGAATTGGGACTTGGTAAGGTTCTAATTTTCTGTTCAGATGCTGCCATGCTCCAGCAGTAATCTTTATACATAAGGTGGGTAACCATGTTGTGCAGCAACACGGATCAACAGTGCAAATGGAACAAATAACTACTAATTATACAAATTACAGCAACAAACATGCATAGAATGATTATATGGATAGAAAGCGCTGGAATACGCACACAATTACGAGAATGTTTGTAATACAAAATGAGACAGGCAAACATCAGAAATGGTATAGAATGGCAGGAAGACGAAAAGAAGCCTATGCACTCATCGTATTGATGAAACAGTCAAAGGAGTGAAATATCAAAAGTCTACGTCATCCTTGAAGCAATTAACATAACGATGATGAGGGCGGTTTCACTAGCAAGACCAACATGTAGAATCAACAGTCAAAAAAAAAAAAAAAAAAAAAAAATCAGTCATCGGGTCCTTAATACGGCAGTGTTTATCAGGACCCCATTGATAGATAGCTCGGAAAAAATAGGCAAAGAAGACATGCTTGATTTCCTATTCAGGCGCATCCTGATATGTGATGAAAGATTTTCACTGGCTGGCTGACTTACATGACTCAAAGCCCAGCCGACGCTACGGCCAAGTATGAGGTCCGAAGTGCGAACTCAAAAACTCAAAATGCGACAAGCTACATACTAAAAGCAGCTATGATGCGCTCGCTCCGGAGTGCTCAGGATTCCGATAGTCCATAAAATAGGATCCCTGATTTAAGAACTGCTTACGGTATAACATCTCATCTACCTCGCTTGTCATTCTGAAGCCGTATGACTGCGTTGATCAGGAAATTATTGCGACTCTGGATGATAGTTACATTTCTATACGAAGTGCTGATGCTCTGTCGAGATTTTGTTGGCTTCGAATGAAATTATATCGTGGTTTCAAATGCTACGTCTTGTATGCTATGCATTTCATGAGCAATTCTAAAATGAAGCGAATCAATCGGCGATAACGCGAGTGTACGCCTTGAATATTTCCATTTATACTAACAGCAATGCGGTATTATCTCCTCGGGAATATCTTAAAATATGGATCAAGTAAAGCCGTGACAAATTTATCAGATTGGATCCAGTTTAGGAGGTGGTATGTTGAAAGTCATCACCAATACGAAAAAAATTCGGACTTTAAACTTAGACGAGTATTACTCGGCACTAGACTATGTTATAAAGAGCGAGTCACGGTGCTTGTAGAAAGACTCAGAAGTCCACTGGATCATTGAACAGTATTTGTTTCCCATGCTCAACTTTGAAAACAGAAACTTGGAAACAGAAAATACTACATTGATTTCGACTTTTGGCACCAACCATGACTACCAGGCCTACTCTTGTTTTTGTGCCTGGGGCCTGGCACAGCGCTGATACATGGAACAAAGTTACTGCTGAGTTGGAGCCTCAGGACTATAAAACAATTTGTACCACTCATCCTTCAACTTTGTCTGATCCGACGAAGGGTATATCCGATGATATTGAAGAGGTTAGAAAGGCCATTTTCGCCGAAGTTATCCAAGGCCGAGATGTTGTGGTCGTGGTTCACTCATATGGTGGGATGGTGGGCCCGAGTGCTATCAAAGGCCTGACCGAAGCTACAATCGAGCGACCTGGATGTGTCATCGGCATCGCCATGATGGCGACCGGCTATTGTGTTACGGGCGTTGGTTTCCTTGAAGGAATTGGCGGTAATCCGCCCCCGTTTTGGAAGGCGGATACCGAAAAGGGATATGCCAGGCTTATTGTTGATACGAGAGAGTTGTTCTACCATGACCTCCCAGAAGAAGAAGGCAACTACTGGGTTAGCCGACTGCTGAATCATTCATTAAAGTCCCTTACAGACAGCGGGGATCAAGTCTATTCAGGCTGGAAAGATGTGCCAACTCGATACTTGATCACGACTGACGATAGAACTTTCCCAACAGAGGTTCAGTTGGGCATTGCCGAGGGTGCCAAGAAACAGGGAGGTGATGTTGTTGTCGAGCAGATCCATACGAGCCACTCGCCGATGCTCAGTAAGCCAAAGGAAACTGCCGAGTTTATTGTGAGGGCAGTGGAGAACTTTACAAAATGAAACAGCATGTAAGGAAGGACGGACATCGACCAGGACTATATTGTGTATTTACACCCATTCAACTTATGAATTAAGAGACATAACCATTCTTCTGTGAAATACAAGGGGCTTGATCACTACCATTTAAATGCAAATTGTAGTGCCATTGTTCCATCTCAAGGTATCGGAGTGCTGAAGCTTATATGAATGTGAGATCATTATTCAGTTGGGTAGTGTTGTATGACTTCTACTATTTTAATGGTAGCTAATCATATCGTCTTTTATGACAACGAGTACTGCGTTGGTGTGGCGATCTATTGTGTATAAAACGAGCGGAATTGGCAGAGCACTCTATTGGCATTCTCCAAAAAACATCTACTTAATAGTCCAAAAGGTCTAATATATAAATTATTATCAACATATACTTCTGATGAGTATGGAGCAACTAAGTGAACCTTATTGCGTTTTATAACACATATCGACTAAATCAAGTTAGCTTCTAATATGGCCAAAATACGAAGGGCGGTTAATTATTCACTCACAATTTCAGATTTTCTCTGTCAGTCAAGTCAAGCTGATTAGTGTCCACTACACGGACCTCTTTAGTTCCATCGGCGTTTGTCGTTTCCACAAGGCCATTGCTGGTTACAATATTATCCGCCTCGAGTTTATCGCGCCGCTTATTCTCGCGGCTTAGATAAATTCGAAGGATAATGATGATAATGGAAGGGAGGATAGCAGCGACCTACGGCTTGTTAGCCACTCTAAATTAAAGAAATTGACATTCCTACTTACAATCAACAAAATGATCCATGTTGGCTTGTATCGAGGCTTCCATCGAGGCTCAAAAAGTTGGGGGGAAATAATATTTCCCAGTCCATATCCGATATGGTAGAGAGCAATAACTGTCGTCTTTTTGGTGTGCCCAGCAGAGGCATTAGCTGCCCATATCATTACAATAGCGTACGGCACACCCGTGGTGTATCGTAGCCAAACACCCACGATGAGGCCCCACCGATTAGACCAGGGGAGAGCTATTTATCATGAGAGTTAGATGCACATAGACCATTAATAGAAGAAGCCTCGGAAAATACCTAATAATAATATACTAGATATAACAGCAGGGACATATGCAATGAGGGATATCCATGCTCGAGAGTTCTGGAGATCTGATTAAGATGGGTAGGCAGGAAATTAATGTCAAGGACTTACTCGGGTCTTGTGCAGCGCAATTGCGGCTGCGGAGAGCGTAAAGAACGCTATGACTCCGCTCACAGTACTAAGCAATGTAGTTTGGAAAACTGTGAAGCCAAATGAATTGATGATTAACGAAGTCTGATTGTTAATTCCATTGCCCATCTCTTGAGACCAAGCATGTAGGGCAAACAACCATGTTTTCGGATCTTTCATGGCTTCAACAAATCTGTAGCATCAATATTAGATATCGTGAAGTTTTAATGCAAGATTGTATTTCTCATACTGATGTTTCTTGAACTGCTTCTGCTCGATGCCAGAATTGTTGTCTTTTATCCTCAAGATTGCTTGCGCTCGTTCCTCGTAGGTCAAAAAATTGGCGTGCAGTGGGCTGTCAGGATAAAACAAGTATACTAAACCACCGAATATGATGGTGATTACACCGGTGATGACTATGAAGGACAGATTAGCGGCTGGAACATTTTTCGTCGAGACGAGAAATGTACATGCCCATCAACCATTTCCAAGGGTGAAATGACCCTGTCTTAATCCACAGAACACCGTATGATAGGAAACCAGAAGTAATGGGACTTGAGTTGCCAATTGACCACATGACTGACATCATTACAGCTTGCTCCTGATATGTGAAGAACATAGACATGGAAAGAAGAAATGCGGGTACAATACAGGCTTCGCTTAGCCCGAGGAGGAATCGGACAACAAACAGAGACGCGAAAATGTTGCACGGAATGTGTAGTAGCGTTATACCACCCCTGTGAATACCGCAGATAATTAGCCAATCGGGTCAACACCAATGACTATGGGTGTTTAATAACGTTAATCTAAAAATACGCACCAAACGATCAGATTGCCGGCTAGCCATTTCCCAACGGGAAATCGTTGTAATGCCCAGTTTTGCGGCCACTCGGCTACCATGTAACCGAAGTAAAATATAGAGGAAAGCCAGTTGTATTGGTTTGAATTCAATTTTGCATCTTCCAGGATCCCAAGGATTGCTGAGCTCCCGAGCTATACTCAAAACAACAGACTACTGGTTAACAGCAGCAACACAAAACCTGAATTCACCGAGCGATGACTAAAGGCATCCAACGTACTGTCTGCTTATCCACATACATCAGATGATATCCGATACATAGGAAAGGAAGGATTCTCCAGAGACATTTGTTGCGGATTCTTCGAGCTTCTTCTGGTGTCGGGTCAGATACCTGCACCTTAGAGAAGAGTTTGTAGCTCTCGTCGGCCGAGCGGTCGGATAATCTGAGTGTGGTCCTCGCAGAATCATTCTCCTCTTGGGAATCTGGTTGCGAGTGTGTCGTTTCCTCGTACGCAATCTTTGTCGACATGGCCTGACGAATTATTGATCAAAAATAAAGGACGATCTGTATCAGTCTTCTCCATGATACATATTTTGTTCTATGTCTGCTCATTTATCCAAATATGAAGCTCTACAAATATTCAATATGGCGCCATTAATCTTCTATTAATCGTCATCGGTAAATACCATCTTGTTACGTTTCCTCAATGAGCATAGATAGGCAATAGTGCAGAACGTGCGGAGCCAATGTGCTAGGGAGCAAATTTATAAGTCTTTGTTATCAAGTAAGAGACAAAATAAGAGAGATTTCCGCGGGAATGAAGCCGATGTTGGGTGAATATTCCCGGTTTTGAGTTATCCGGCGTAGTGATCTTGCGTCATGGTCGTGGAGTTGACGTGCTTTTTTATAGGCCTATCATATGTCTCAGTATCAGCATATCAGCCCGCATCCGGTTAAATTCTTACATATCTTTCTGCCATTACACCCATAGTTCACTTCAAAATCCAACCTATCTGAACGTTTCTTAATCCCAAGATTAGAAATTCCCATCAACTAGCGCCATGGGAGTTTAGATTCGGCGAACTTTCAAGCGGATATAAAAGAATGTTGCAGTTTGCACCTCGCTGACTGTGACACCGCCAATCAGGAATCTTCACCGTTCAGAAAAGACAACGCACATCTGCAAGGATGGCTGGCAGCTCAAAGCCACTTCGAGTTATCATTGCTGGCGCGGGAATTGCAGGCTTGGCAACTGCAATCTCACTTACACGAATCTCTGGCATAGCAGATCTAGATATTCAGCTGTATGAGCAGGCCCCGGAGCTCCGAGAGATCGGAGCTAGTATTGCACTCAGCCCCAATGTAAGATCTGCAAAAAAGGCTTACCAAGTTTGATGAGTCTTTCATACGTTGCCAACTGCTAACCGGCAAATTGCAGGGTTTACGAACACTCGAAAAGCTGGGAGTAGATTCTGCTCTGAGTGACGAAATTGGTTTCCGCGGCCCGAGCGGGATACCACACATCTATAGGTATAATTTTTTTTCACGTAGCTGTATAATTTTGGCAAGGTTCTCTAATCATGTGATTATTAAAGGCATTGGAAAACAAATGAAGTGGTATCAGTTGATACATTCGCCAATGTCTCTGATCGACGCCATCAAACGACACGATTCCACAGAGGACATATTCATGCTGCCCTGCTGGAGCACGTACCAAAGGAATGGATTCATCTGAATAAGAAGATAACTCGCGCTGAAGCTAATGATGACGGCGTCGTTCTTTTTTTCGACGACGGCACCAATGCCCACGGTGACATTTTGATAGGAGCGGATGGAATCCGATCTGTGAGCTCTAATTTAATCATGTGTATTCGTTTCTTTATGCCGATGATTCCAACAGAATGTTAGAGCGTCGTTCTATCCTGATTACAAATTAAGGTTCAGCGGGAAAGTATTCATGAGATCTACGTTTGACGTAGCTCTGGTCGAGGGCAAGGTGCCTGATTTGCCGGCTGACGCTGCTCATTGGGTGGGCTATGATATTTCCCTATTGACTATGGAAAATTTCGCTGACTATCAACCAGTGGGGAACCAAAGATACATTCTTTTCTTCAAGGCTTGGTAATCATATTGACTCAACTCTTTTCATCTAATAGAGGTGATGACTAACTCTTTGCAAGGCAAGGGTTTATACACCGTCGTCGGTGCTTACGATGATGGGCGAAGTGCCGAAGAATTGGAAAAGTCTATTACGTGGGACCAAGCCGGTAATGTCCAATTTTTGAGAGAGAAATACAAGGTTCGAGTTTGGAAGAAGTCGCACAGTTTGTGTTGTGGAAAGCTAACGCCTTCAACAGGATTGGCACCCCGTCATTAAAGCTCTGACTGAGCTGACGCCACATGCTCGTCTTTATCCCAACTACGCGGGCGATGCGCTTCCCTCCTGGATACCATTTTCACGCGTTACACTCGTGGGTGATGCGGCTCACACTCATGGAGGTTCATTCGCCGCGGGTGGTTCGCTAGCTCTTGACGATTCCCTCGCACTTGGATTGGCTTTCAAGCACATCTTTTCATCCCATTCATCAAATCTTCCATTTTCTCAAGAAAACATTCGCCGAGCTTTCAGCTTATATGATCAAACAAGAAGACCTCATACAGCTCGCCTGCTGAGCATCGTCCACGGCTTGATAAGTCGTAAAGCGCCATCATATGCAACACCCGAGGAAGAAGATGAGGCTCTTCGAGCCAGAATGAAAAGCCGACCAGATCTTCAATGGCTATCTGAACATGATGTAGAAAAGGCCTTCGCACAAGTGGTTAAGAGCTCTGAGAAAGATACTGCAACCGCAGAAGAACCGCCGGAGACTTCAAGATCAGACAGTCTGTTAGAGAATGCAATGGCATTGCGTGCTAGCAAGTTGTAATAGCAATTACAATCGAAGACATTAGCTCAATAGAATAGACGAAAGTTTTTTTCCCCATAGATTCAAGATATGGCCAAGCATAGTTATGTCGTTCATCCAATACAAAATATTAGTATGACGACAATACTTGATTGTATTCTTTGCCAGCACTACACGTTTTGATGATCTCCTTCTAGACATGCAAATTCCAACATATTAACTCCAACTGTAGGGAAAAGCGTGCCATTGTCATACGCATCAAACCAAAGCGTTCTTGGGGATAAGAAGTTTCCGATATCGTTGACCATGCTCTGACTTTGAAGTGACGAATTGTCACAGCCATCTTCTTGCATCATCGCGCTTTTACTCTGAACAACTTCATATCCCAATTGTCCCATATCCTCATTTTCCGCGTTGCTATTGACCATGGTGCTGCTTCCCCTTGTCAGTGGATCTGGTTGATTGAGTGTCACAGGATCTGATTCCCAGATTCTCTGCCACTGGGCCACATCTCCAGAGTTTGCGTTGGTGTCCCTTGCTTCTTTTATGGACGCCTCTCCATCTAAGCGGCCAAAGAGCCTTCCGATTAGATCATTATTGTACTCCATCCTTTTCTGTTGCTGTAGTTCCAGGAACGTATCACAGGCACCAATCAATTTTTCCACAATCCCAAGATAGCGTTTCGTCACAGGGTCATGTGTGCTGAATTTTTCCAACACCTTACAACCATCTCCCAATCGTTTCCTTCTTAACGGCATGGATCCATCCAGGTCGCTGAAGAGAGCAACCCCAATGATCAGCGATGCCGCAAACGCTGAATTCACGACAAACGGCAGCCTCTTCGGTGTTAACTTGTTGGTCAATAGCGGCTGAAAAAGATCGATAGTGCGAACGGCTGAGTCGACGCATGCTTGAGCGAGAATGTTGCGTGAGGGAGATGAGGCAGGTGTGGGTTGTGTTGAGTCGGATGGTGAATTCCTCTCCTCTGGTGGCGATGAAGAAATATAGTCGATTAAAAATGGTCGGGACAATAACATGATAGTCCAATAATATGCCTCTTTCAAATGAATTAGGCCGATATTTGGCCCAGGTCCTGCCTCTGTTTGTACCTCTTCAATGGGTGGTATGTTGTCCACTCCCAAGCCTCCGCCGAATCTGGTCGCCCACCCACGATGAAGCTCGCTAATTTTCTTCAGACATTCTGTTGTGATCATCCGTTTTGCATACACTTCAGTTAATATGTTCTCGAATATGTAGGATAAGTCATTCATGGCCGAATAGTGCTCCTTCGATGCAGTATCGCGAGTTTCCAGGGTGGCTGGAGGTCTACCCAGTGATGCACTCATAAACAGATCCAGAGTCCTGATACCTTTCCATAGACGTTCTCTCGTCATGTACTCGGTTGAATCGTATAATGCAGAAACATCCTCTCTGTGAAGTCCCAGTGCATAAGCTCCTCGTACGGCTATACCCAAGTACATGAAGGCGGCGTTCCTGCGTGATTGGGCCAGAAGATACATGGCTATGAGAACATGGCATTGGGTAGTGGCAATGCTAGGATCATCCATTAGAGTAGCCAACGTCACATATCTTCCATAATTAAAATGTCTCTCGGCTCTCTCGTCATAGCCCTCTGGACACGCCTGGGCGCCAATGGCCAGTATCAATGAATATGTGGCACTGATAGCATCAAGGGGCTCTTGAGGTAGACGTAGCCAGTCTAGGATGTCGTCGCATATCTTGTTTTCGTCAAAAAGTTGGAGAATGGAGTGCGTAGCTTGCCGATACCAGTATACAAACGATCTCGCCTCGTCCACAGTCGGCTTGGGGGGTGGCTCCGTCCCATGATGGAGAATCGAATTGTGACCTTTGCTTGGACAGGCCTCAACCATATAATGGCGCAGTGGATCGTCAACAAAGATGCAATCCCCTACACGCTCGCGAACAATGCGCCGGATATTCTGGAGAAAGCTATGGTTGGCAGAGTCGCCGATGAACATGAAGGTGCCTCTATCATCTTTAATCAATCTTGAAAGATGAGGGAACCGCAGTGCCATCTCATGCTGAAGCCCGTGGGGCTGCACATTGCTATAGTCTGGCGGTGCACTGCTCCTAGTTTCTATAGTTGTACATCGCGGATCCGATAACTCAGACAGGGGACTTGGCAGCGTTGAAGCCATGAAAGGAGATTGGCGTGGAAGACAAAGGCTACACTCTGAGAGCACTCCCCTCTCTACACAGCGTCGGCATGGTTGTCGTCCATCACAGCGCTCTTTGCGCCGCTTGCAGTTTGTGCATGCTCTAGCACATCGCCTCCGGTCACCATCTTTGACCTTTTTCGTGGGCATAACGTCGCGTGTATATGAAGGACCTGTCGGGTATGTACAGTGATGAAGCCGACAATGGGTGATAAGCGACGGTCGATTACCGACGCCAAATCAAGCTGCAGGTGGAAGGGTCGGAAAGATACCCGGTTTGGCGCGTAATCCAAGATTACATCTGTATCTCCCTCGCTGACAGAACTATTATTATTTAGAAGATGAATGTTACATAGAAAGAGCTTACTCTTAGGCAATGACCCACGCGATTGTCTAATTTCTCGCCTGGTGACGATACAGAACCATGAAAAATAGGAGGCTCAACCCGGCATTTTCTTCCGCTGGGATACCGCGCGGGTAATGATCACACAGCAATTACCAACTGCTTGGGCTGTTGGCCACAGAGGGGCTTACACTAAGCTGACAAGGCCACAAGCCACCGAATTAGGAGTACGCCAAGGGCGACGAGTACACACAGGTGTCCGAGCATCGGATACCGGGTCTCACAGCCGAGCCCTTAGCCGGTAACACGATTCTGTTATTGGTTTGAGGAGTGAGCGAGAGGAGACGCGGGGGAAGCCACTGCGGGGAAATAACGCGGGGGGCCTCACGGCAATCCAACGCGGGTATCCAATTTGACACTAAGTTGGGTGAGTATATTGCGAATCCTGTCATGAAGCAGAAGACTGACAGACGGAGTGGCCGAAATCAAGCCATTCACTTTAGAGTCTATAGCGGCTATCGGCGATTGTTGCTCTCCTTCTTTATGGCAATAGATTCCTCGAGCCTGTATTATTAATGATAGACTTACGATACGAAATTGACACCAATAGAGATTATTTCGGGTTTGTTTTGCAGAAAGGCCTATCAATACTTGATGTAAGCATTACGCATTGCTGAATTGTACAAGTCTTCCATTCGGTTTGTAATTTGACGATACTAACTATAGACTAATTGTAACTAAGCAGCATATATACCAGCTACATGTATTCATCAAGCACATTACAATCATTAGGGGTTTTCAGAACCTGAACCATTCGCCTATCCCTCATCCGATGCATTTTGTTCCTTCATAAACCCTGCAAAAAAGCTATTGACTGCGGCTGGCTCCTCCATTGGCCCAACGTACGACACGTACTGGTCCGGTCGAATTATCACAATGCATCCACTCTGTGAGATATTCAAGGCCCCATAAATGTTTCCAAACCCTTCGTGGTAAGAAACATCATCCACAAATATTTTGTTGTAGTCCCAGCCATCAACTTCGTCATAGGGGCGGAACACTTCAGGGAAGTCGAGGACATTGACGCTCGTACGTGGAGCATTGTGGATAAGAAGAACTTCAAATACTTCGTCGTATCTGGCTCCCTTAGGATTGTAGAGGCTCAAGAAAGAATTGCGGGCACTGAAAGCCTCCGAAAGCTTCCAAAGTTTGTCCCGCTGACGGTTATCGTTGGTATTTCCAGGAAAAACCACTACTCGCCAGCGCCCATTGCTAGGAAGCACTTCATGGAGATGCCAGGGCCGGGCATCGGCTTGGTTGAGAACTTTGTGACTTGGAATACGCATTCCCACTGTTATCCCGCTGCACAGAGACTGGTCAGAAATGACCTGATGCTTTGCATTCGCGACAGATACATCTGTACCATCACCTTGCTCCGTGCTACTGCCTTCTTTTGCAACAATAGTGCTCGCACCATAGTTTACAGCTATAATAGGGAGCAGGTTAGCACAGCTCCGAGCATCAAAGCAATGGAGATTACCTACCAGTACCACTAGCAAACATGTTGCCCTTCTCAAATGCCGCTTTGAACTCCTCCATACTGATACCCTCCGCATCCATGACATCTTTGGCAGGCCGACCGGAAAAGAGTCTGGAGAACTTGTGGTCGAACGCGATGAGATCTTGCGCAATGCGACGTCTTTCTGACTGGTATGTTTTTAAAATTGATCGGTGGGCGTGACCTTTGACAACGCTGGCAATCTTCCAACCGAGATTGAAACCTAGGTAGGTGATGTCAGTACTTCATTCTCCAGCCGGTGTCTCCCATTTCCCCCTCTGAGCCACATACTGTCTTGCATGCTAACATTCATTCCCTGTCCTGCTTTGGGGCTGTGAGTGGGTTGTCAGTTCGTTGAGCTTTCGTCTAGCTACAATGCTTGTTTCATCAATCATACCTGTGAGTGTGCACTGCATCACCGGCCAAAAAGACGCGTTCATGCACGGAAAACGATGTTCCAACCCGCTGACCAATTTGATATGCGGTCCACCAATCAAGCTTACGGTAGGTAATCTTGTAAGGTGCCAGAATCTTTTGCGCAGATTCTAGAATCACCTGAGGATTGATCTTAGATCGATCTGCTCTACTCGAGTTGTCTCCAGTCTTTTCGGTGGTGGTTAGCTGGATATAAAGCCGAACAAGCTTATTTTCTCTTGGTATAACCATAATGCTCCCGCAGTTCGCGGAATGAATTGCGCATCTCATTCTGATATCCGGAAAGTCCGTAATTGGTACAATGTCCAAAACTCCCCAGATATAGTCGGTCGAATCACCCTCAAGTTTGAGGCCAATCTGGTTGCGCGTCCACGAGTGTGCACCATCAGCACCAACCATGTACTTTGCGTGAACTACTTCCTCGCTATTTGCCTTTGCATTAATTTTTGATGTATCAAGCAGATCCTGAGTGTCGTCTTTGGCAAGGTTACTGCGAAAAATTCCGTCTTGTACACCTTGGCCATTGGCGGATGTTGAAGATTGCTTCGGGGTGGCTTCTTCCTCCGTAAGATGCCTCAAAGTCACAGTAATAGGATAGGCGGCGTCGTCTTCTACCACAGATTCGTCGATTTTGAGACTGGACGGCATCACCCCTCGCTCAACGCGAATGTCGCTTGCCTCTGCGATTGCATCGAGGAAAAACCTCTCGATCCGGCCTTGGTGTAAGACAACTTGCTGGAAGCGACTGATGCCAGGTATCGTGTCTGGAATGCGATCACTTCGTCTGATAACTCCATTCTCATCCGGGTTCCAAAGACAGATCTCGAGCATATGGTTTGCTTCGCGCCATGCCCTATGCCCAAATCCTAGCGAATCAAGAATCTCAAGAGTGCGGCATTGGAGGCCATCTGCCTGTCCGTTGAAGATTTTTGTTCCTCTTTTGTCGATTATGCGCGCGTTGATGCCGCATTTGGCCATCCATGTCGCCATCATCAGGCCCGCAGGCCCAGCTCCAACAATGAGAACATCCACGTTGCTTTCTGGAATAGCGCCCATTGTGTTTACTTTGAGGTGAGGATATTAATTAAACTTTGTTATGATGGTGAGAAATGATTTGTGAACAGGGAAAGTCGAGGCTATTAATAAAGGTTGATCGGCATCAATAACACCACCTCTTGTGTCTCCCTCCCGTGTCATCGCCGTTTACTGGCCCGACCCGAAAGCCAAACTCAGCCGTCGCAACCCGTCTCGTAGCTCAGCATTCATTTCTTTTGATACTATCCATCGTAAACCAAATCCTAACTTGGAAATTTGGATACCCGAGCTTCAATATGAAACGATATAGCCTGTACTTGGGCATCTAAATGCTTCGGAATCTGGCTCAGAGCCATCGGATACCATTCCGATGGCCCAGGTCTGCCCCGCATCATTAACCCGCATCCGATGGGCAAGATATTCCGACACCCGAAATAGTAGTGTTCATCCAAGATGAGATATGTGAACAGCCAATGAGTCTCAACTTGAATCATATAGAAAACTTAGAAGAGCTTCGTAAATCTCCAAGAACCCGAAGAGGTAGCATAAAGCATATACGAATTAGACTGGGGGATTCTGTTCCGTTTTAAAAATGCCCCGTTGCCGACCCGATGTCAGGCTACCATCCTCGCTATCCTGCAGAGAGATATGGGCCATACACTGCTCGCTTCAATTTAACTGGCTTTCCAAATTTACCATACGTATGTATCTGTAGATCTTTCGGGTGGGCCTGGGGTTAGGTTGCGCTGTCGCAAGGTTATAGTTGCTGCACCAGAGGACTACTCACAACCGACTGGGTAACATGTTATTAAAATATGACAATGCGACCCGTTAACCGACGCTTGGTCATTCATTGTTTGACTCACTTACTACGCTCTTTGTTCGCCCAGTTAGTCAAACATTATTTTATCAGTAGCCAATAAAGATGTTGACACCCCGGAATTTGCTAACGAAGAATGTCATTATTTAGTGGCGGCAGAAATTCCGGCAGATGGATCCTATAATGCGGGGAGAAGGCCTTACAACAAGATTTGTCACACAGCGACCGTAGACATGAAGACTCCATCAAGCAAAGAGACCAGCAACAATCCGCGCTAATTATTAGAAAGTCTGGGGGCGGATCAAGAACGGGCCTGAAGTGACGCGTAACCGATGGTGCATGGGACTATCTGGACTATCTGCGGAGCAAGTTCGAAACGTTCCTTATGGAGCTAAGATATGATGCCTTGTTGCCGATTGACGAGTAGTAATTTCGGGGAAGTAGGTGGGAGATGGCGTCCTACCTCAGATAGCCATGCCGCTGTGCCGTTATCCATGGATAGATGCAACCCCCCTACCAGTGTCCCGGATGTCTGATTGGACCAATAGTACTTGCAAATCTACGAAGTTGATAATCATAATTTGCTACGGAGTATTCTTACTTCCATTGGCTAGCTCACTATTGGACCATGGCACTTTCTAGCAAAAGACGTGCGTTATTACTATATGTCTCCGTTTTAATTATATAAGGAAAGGGTCCGGTCCCTTGCAGTCTCTTTTGATGCGACGCCCAACTTTTTGTTTTCTCACCATAGGTTTTAATTATCACTTGAGGTCGCCATCATGAACCAGCTGTCGCAAAGGCGCACTCTCCAGGACATCGAGAATGAGCTCGATATCACGATATACCCTGGGACAGAGGTGATGGTGGATGTCGGGTCACATCACTTTATCAAGTCCGGAAATGGTAGCGAAGGGGCGCGTGTCCTTGTTCCTCAGCCTTCTAATGATCCTCTTGATCCCTTGAACTGGACTTACACGTGGAAGCTCATTACGATCATTTGCGCCAGCTTTGTCTCCATAAGTCAAAATCTTGGCCCTCTCGCAAACGCACCTCTATTCGGTTTGACTCCCAAAAGGGGCGATCACATGTAGTTTCTCTAGAATCTAATGTTGCTTTAAATAGGCTTATACATGGAAGAATGGAACATTAGCCTAGCAGACGCCGTTCAAACGACAGGTAAGTATCAATCATGGGTCATACTAATTACGAAATTCTTGGTGCTAAGTACAGACCTTAGCCGTAGCAATCCTTGTTCTCGGTTTTAGCAATTTGATATGGATCCCAATTTCAACATGTTTCGGTCGACGGCCAGCCCTCATCTTCAGCACTTTGATATGCACAGTTTCTTCGATCTGGAGAGTTCGATCAACAAGCTACAAGTCCTTTCTTGGAGCATCTGCGTAAGAGATACCCTTATTATTATTCCTACTATATCTACCAACTCAACGATAGAGCCAAAACTAACTCTATCAAGTCTTAATGGTTTCGGCGCCGGTCCTTGCGAGAGTTTAATGCCACAAATAATTGCCGACATTATTTTCCTTCACGATCGCGGCAAATACCAGACATTATATTTTGCAATTTACTTTGGGTCTCTCTCAGTGGGTAACCATGAAAAGGTACAACTTGCTTCCGCTAATGCGTTCCTTCAGATTGGTCCCATCATTGCTGGCAGCATGGCCGAGCGGTTCGGATGGAGGTCATTCTGGTGGATGAATTCTGGACTCCTTATCTTCACTCTGATTCTCAACATTGCGCTACTTCCCGAAACGCGTTTTGCGCGGAAAACAGAAGAGACTGTGTCAGAACCCATTTCTCCCGTTGATGAACCCGAAATTAAGGGTGGGTCCATTGTTGATCACTCGGAGGATGCCTCCGGGCAACAGCCTCAAGATCAATGGCTATCACGCGGACATCCATCTCTAAAGCAGTTCAGTCTCTGGGGAGCATATCAGGGGAGTATTTTGCAAGAATTGTGGCTTCCATGGTATCTCCATGCCTTTCCAATCGTTGAATTCGCTGCCTTTGTAGTTTCCTTCTCGGCATCCGGTTTCCTGGTGGCAAATTTGACTCAACAGCAGTTTTTCGGAGCACCGCCTTACAACTTTTCGACACAGGCAGTGGGCTTTACCAATTTTGCCATATTTGCGGGTAGCATGATTGGGTTGCTAACATCAGGTCCATTATCAGACTGGGTTGCAAATTACTTCACCAGGCGCAACAGGGGTATCCGAGAGCCGGAAATGCGGTTGATTGCAATGTTGCCTTACACTTTAATCATGATCGTCGGACTTGTTGTGGTTGGTGTGGGCTACAGTCAGCTGTGGTCGTGGAAAGTAATTGTCATTATCGGCTACACTTTACTCGGAATGCAAGTGACAAGTCTGCCGAGTATTGCATCAACTTACGCTATTGACAGCTATAAGCCAGTCACAGGCGCCATTTTTGTTGCAATTACCATGTGAGTATTACTTCTCATCTCGTACCCATGAACTCATAGCTAACTATCAACACAGCAATAAGAATTTGTGGGGTTATGGTTTTGGCAAGTTCATCACGCCCTGGACACTCGAGATTGGGTATCTTACACCGCTCATGACACTCATGGCCTTGATCACGTTCTTTTGCAGTTTCAGTATTTTATTCTGGTACTGTGGTAAATACTTCCGGGGCCGGTCAAAGAACTCGTTCCTACACAAGCTAGAGAGTTAGGATGTCGTTTATATAGCAGATCGATAGCATCACTAAATGTCTAATACTTTTATTACTACACACCATCGCATTTTTGAGAGCAGCCTTAAGGGATAAGTGTAGATTTTTACTTATATTGAAGGAAAGGGCCATTCAGCACCCCAAGCTGGCTATCCAGCACCCCAGCAACTAAGAAGAGTTCTAAACACCATAATAACATATATTGAAGATCATTTATTATTATTACTTAAGTATATATACAGTTCCTGGAGTATCTGCTAATATCATTATTTTCTGCTACTCTCTGCTACTCTCTGCTACTCTCTGCTACTCTCTGCTACTCTCTGCTACTATTTATATATTCCTATAGTATCTGCTACAGTTATTACTTAGGCTGTCTTAAATTTCAGAATGGGATGCTTAATGCGAACGTGGGGTGCTGAATAGTCACTATATATTTAAGGGTAAGACATTTATAATAGTCTTATCTTAAAGATTCGGTTTCATTTCCTAAAGCCAATCAGATCTGACCTAATGCCCCATTTAGAGAAGATTAGGAGATTATCAATAATATCCGAGTTGTATTTCCTCACACATGTACAGTATGGTAGGAGCTCAGACATATCAAATAGCTTATCCAAGGCTTATACCAGCATTTTACTCCCAATGAATCTGTCGTTCGAGGAAAACATCCGTCCTGGTCGAGTGTATCTCGTCAAATAGCGATGCTTTAACGAAATATTTACCTGGCATACGTGAGGGCTGGCTAAACAGAGGACTGTGAAAGAGTATGTGAGCCTGTGTTGTCTCATTAATGGTATCATGGTCAGGGAAGGGGCTTAGCAGACCTTCCACATGTTTGACAAAATGTGCGCTGGGTAACGAATAATTAGGTTAGCATTAGCCATCGTGATATTGATGCTTCTGGGACACACCGTTACTAAAGCTTGCGATTTAGTGTTGGAATCGAGGTATTGTTTGGCTGAGTTCTTGGGATCATTAACTATGAACTCTTTATCCTCGAGTAAATAATTGATCGAGAAAGCTGTTCCATTTTCAGAGAAGTGGTATAAAGTTTAGTGTAAGCTTGAACATACGTCCACCTGCGCGACGGCAGTTCAAGCTAACAGACTCATCATATCAGCATGCCTCATGGTATTCATCAATTAACCACTTACCAATGGCATGCCCAAGTTACAGAGGGGGCTGCATTAAGCGTGACGGTGACAGAGCCACAATTGCAAGTGCCGCTATAAGATTGCATGTTTAAGATCGTGCTGTTCGGACTAGACATCGAGAATCTCAAAGAAAACTTTTATATTTCACGCGCGCATTCTTAGTTCAATTTCAGCCATTATTACTAACTTATACTTCGTCACGTCGTGGGTCACAGAATACGGAATCCGTATATGCCGAGGGATCGGTACTTCAGAGAGTAGCGTTCCGGGGTAGTTCGGTTGCTAGGGATAATTCGGCTAATCGAATCGTCAAGAAGAATAAACCCTCCCGAGGTGAAGCGGTGGATAAGCGCAGGTTTATCTCCGAACAGTTGTCCAATAATATGGCTACAATGGGTTATTATTTACCTAGCACTTTTTATCTCGGGCGAAAAAATATCGGCGATAACACCTAGTGACTTTTGTCGACGCTCTCATCGCATTCTTTTAAAAGTAGTCACAACTAACTAGATGTTAAAAAGGACATTCCCTTCGTGTCAAAGCCATAGGCTGATAAGAAGACCACTATATCCATGAGTTGCGAATGACAAATCTCCCGATCTGTCTTTCCAAACTGTTAATGGCACTCACAAGTTCCGGATTACCCACCGGCAACATAATAGCTCGTATATTCTTTATAGCGCAAGCAATGACTCAGGAGTTCCTTGCTGTCCAAACACACCTAGCGATGTGAGCAAGAATTCGAAATGTGAATCTCCTGTCTTGGGATCTGTGAGTTGTATCTCAAGATGGAGACAATAAAATTAAATTGTTGCCTACATATGTGCTTTCAAACTATTCTTACAAGACCAGCATCCCTCTTGTTGACTGAAAATTGAACTCGAAACTCGTTGTCCCTGTAACGATGCCCATGCTGTTATGGATTTTAGGGTGATGATAAGTCTCCAGGCTTTGTATGTTTTCCCGACCAGAAATTTTCAGCTGCTCTAAGATTTCGGCCACAGCAGCATAAAGTATATCTAAATTACCATCTTCAACCTTCACCGCGATGCCAATTGCACCAACTGCCCCAAGGCTCTTGGTCCGCTCGGACTCACGCAATCCGACCCCATAACAACCATCCGCACCGACCTTTCCGATGATAGCGCCACTAAAAGCACGCATAAGGAGAGTGTCAAATCGGCCCTCGCCACCAACCATCTCGGGCACACGAGACATTGCATTAAATATCCGCCCCATATGCCGCACTCTTGGGGTGGTTGAATCGCCACTTGCCAATGCATCTGATGCTTGAGCAAACGAAGCATAAACCTTGGCGAGATGAAAGAGGGGAAGTGCAGGAGCTGGCATATTACAACCGTCAAGGCCCCACAGAACATCTTGTTCATTCAAGCCAGCCAATTCCTCTACCACCCGCTTGACTCTGGTTTGAATCGGATGTGTCAGAAGATGATAATCTTCTGAGGAGGAGGCAATGGCTTTAGCTCCGGCTAGCATACCCGCGTGTTTTCCAGAGCAGTTATTATAAATCCCGGTCGGCTCAAAACCACGCTTTATCCATTCTCGGTTGATGGTTGAGTTGATTGAAGGATGGCCACCACACCGCAGCTGGTCTTCAGTGTGTTGTGATTTTTCGAGCATTTGTTGAGCCCGTGCAACATGCCGTTCTTCGCTGCTATGGGACGCACACATAAGTGCCAAATCAACTTCATCAAAGCCAAACTGTTCAAGGGCGCCAGTTTCCACAACTGCCAACGCTTGAGCGGGCTTGGCTGCCGAGCGAATCAAGGTTATACGCGAGGGGTTGCCAAGGGAAAGCAGAAGCTGCCCGGTAGAATCCACAACGGCAGCATGGACCAAGTGCCTGTTTTCGACAATACCGTTCCTGTCGATGATGACATAACTATTATTATGAGTGGGTATTGTCATTCTGTGGAACTAATGCAAGAGGAAGGGACGTGATGTTGTTGATGCCTTGCTGCGAGTAAGTCAATGCAACGTCAAGGAGCAGCTGGATGAAAAGTTTTGACAGAGGCTAGTTATTATCTTGAGTAAATAGACCCACATGTCTGGAGGGCGTAGTACTTCTAGCCAATGGAATGATCAAGTCGCAAAACCACAACTAGGCCAGCGTAATGCTGAATGATATTCCGAAGTATCATATACTAGTATCCTTCACTAATAAGTCTATGCCCTCTCAGATACTGTTCCATCCAAATATTGGGGCCTTTTTTTTTCCTACTACGCCATGTATGGCACAGGAGGAAATGAGCTCATGCCTCTTGTTCTGGCACGATAACCAGTCTTGTGCCGTGATTTTCCCCATGCTTCAGGATCCTCCACGCCTCCTCTGCTTTGTCAAGTCCCCCTAGAGTAGTGAGAGGGAGTGACGTGAGCTGCTTCTTGGCTAAAGCATTCTCTAAATAGTTCCACCAGAACCACTCTGTAAACTCGCTATTTTTCTCATCCAGGTAATCATCGATATACTGGGCAAAGTGCCCGGTTACATTCGCCGGCAGTTTCACTCCAGCTCGAACGCCCATTGTGGATAAAAATGAGCCACCGCCTAGAGCTGCCAATATGGCTCCAATTTTGACTTGATCCTCTGCAGAATCTGCAGCAGCCAAAACAGCCTTGAATGGGCCCAGTGCGGACGCCGCGGAGACAATATCTTCCGAAGTGCGGTCCACGAAATGTGTAACACCAAATCGTGCTGCAAGCTGTTCGTGGCGACCAGACGCGATGCCGACAACTTCGTACCCAGCTTGTCTGGCCAGTTGAGTTGCGAAGACGCCAAGTGATGATGATACGCCCCAGATGAGAATCCTTTCGCCAGTGGCAGGTGCACTAGGTATCTGTGGCCTGTTCAAACCAAGATGGAGGACTAGAGCACTCATTGCCGTGTAGGATGTAGCAATATTGGCTGCTTCATCAAATGGTACATCGCTTATCTATATGTCATGGCAATGAGAAACTGTTGCAGCCTTGGTATATAAAGAAACGCTTACCTTTGAAACCAGTCGCTCAGGTACAAGGCAATATCTCTGATAGGCGCCAAAGCGAGAGTCATTTCGAAGAACCCCGGTGGTATTGGTCAAAATGTGGTCTCCTGGCTGGAAACGAGTCACGCCAGGGCCAATCTTTTCAACAATGCCAGAGGCAGAAACTATTATCCTTGTTAGGAACGACACAATAGTGGAGGTTCAGATAGACACCTACGACCAATAACAGTTGGATATTTAAGCCGAATAGGAATGAGGCCCTCTTGCATTTTCCATTCTCCTGGTTGAGTCGCTATAGCTTTAACCTTTTCATTTGAATTAGTATACTTGTGTAGGTCTATTTGGTGAAAGATGTCGTAGATCAAACGAACCTTTATCAACATTTCACCTTCACCAGGCTCATACATGTCTGCCGGTCCAAGATTTGGCTGTTCGCCAACCCCAGTTAACCATAACGCCTCATTCGCCATACTGTATAATATTTCTTTGCTAGAAGAATGGGTTCAAAGAGTTGAAAGAGGTTGGAGATTCTGAAAGACAATGAACTATATTTGATGCGCAGTGAAACTTGACTATTATATCTTTCAACTCATACTCATACATCATCATGCCTATGCATCCCAATCTGCTTAATTTTATTTGTCATTTATTACTCAAGTATATTAGAAGCCGGAGATGTACAGCTGGCGTTCAATAATAAACTTGAAGTCGCTGTGTTTAGCAACGTCTCAGTTTGTGTAATTCCGACCATGGCGTTATTTTCGGATTTGTAATCGACACGGGCAGCACTATACATTCAGCCTCGTGAAATCGGAATTTGATTGGAGCAATTATTAGATGGTTTCCACCGAGACTATGGAATCAATTCAAAACTCCTGATCTGCTAATGATGAGAAAGCATATTAGTTAACAAGCGCTCGCTTGTATTGTCGCGTGGGCAGCTGCACGTACCCCAAAGCAGCTATTCAGCGTGTCAACAACCCAGAGTTACAATTCCCGGTATCTTTTTTATAATTCATAGGCAGCGGCGAATAGAGAAATTGCATGCATCCATAGTAGTGGACTTAAGAGTTCCAAATATCCATTCATTACCCACCAACGCATCGCGAGGTAGCTACCATATAATTGGCAAGATTAGGATGGTGAAATGAGCTTTTTCTGACACCTTTTGAGTTGGTGAAAGTGGGCGCACTGCAGAGAGTACTTTGACATTACATGACTCCAAGGTTCATGTTTTAATGGTCTAATTATAAGGATAAAGGGGCCAAGTGATTACTGACTGCCGCATGGTAGTTGTGTACGAGAATCACCTCCAACGAAAACCTCAGGTCCAGCGAATGACCAGGGGGGATTGGGAAGGTCAACGGAGCGATGTATCTATTGTCTCTCTATCAGATTATTGTCTCCGGCCGCCTCTGATTTCTGCTATGCTCTTCTTCTTGTATCTTATCTTGAGCGGTACAAGAGCGGATGCACGTATTTAATATGCAACCGTCACTAAATTTGATATTCTACTATCAAGGTACCTGCTTCTACTATAGCTAAGGTACCTGTCCAAGGTATTCATGTCCTAGGCCGACTAACGGCGCCACCACGCCTGAGGCATTGGTAACATGCTTGCATCTGTATCCTCAGGACGAATTTTGATACACATACTCTGGAATGTCTCAACAGCTCATGACAATAAGTCATATTGTTTAAAAAAAAAAATTGGTATACATTTCTTGATATTTGGCACTGCATTCATCACTTCCAAGCAAGTAATAGTTCATCATCATCATCAATATGATATTTCTTCGTAACGCGAGACGCGCCGACTATTTTTTTTGAAAGTAGGTATTGTCTCCTTCATCGCTGAAATTAAACTAAGTACAGAGCAGCCATAAATATGTATGCAGGATATCAATCATTTTGTAGTAAATGCAATTCTATCAACAACCTCAACCACATCTCCGGAGATTTTTTTCGTATGCTCAGATTAGCTGCTTAAGCAGAAGCAGTGAGGAAGTGGGGAGCGTTGAGGATAATACCCATCAGGACACCACCGAGGGTACCGGCGATGGGGATGGTCATGATCCAGGAGAACAACAGAAGTCCAACTCGCTGGAAGTTGACAGCCTTGAGGGTTCCGTTGCAGAGACCAACACCAACAGTAGCACCAGTGATGCACATGGAGGTGGAGACGGGCAGAGAGTACTGAGAGAAGACGAGAACGGTGATGGCAGCACCCATCTCCATGGAGCATCCACGAGAAGGAGAGTGGTAGGTGATCTTGTTACCCATGACTATACATGGAGTTAGTAATCAAAATTAAAATAGGACATAGAGTTTAGAATTGAAGCTCACCCTTCATGATGTTGTAACCGTAGGTGCAGAGACCGATGGAGATCATGGCAGACAGAACAGCCAACTGCCAAACCTTGACGGGGGCCTTGGCGGCGGCGGCGCTTTCAGTGCTCCAAGCAGTGTAGATGACAGCCCAGGGACCGACAGAGTTACCGATATCGTTGGCGCCGTGAGCGAAAGAGGCAGTGCAGGCAGTCAAGACTTGGATGAAAGAGTAGGTGTGCTCGACTTCGTTGGGGAACTTCTCGGCGGCGGCGTAGACACGCTTCATACGCTCACCATCGGGGGTACCCTCAGTACCGGTCTGGGCAGCGTGGATATCGTAGTAGAGACCATACATAAGACCGGCGGTGATCATGGCGGGGATGCGAATAGCAAGGATCTTAATGTTCTTCCATTCATAGATTTCACCAGGGCCCATGGGGTTATCACGGAGAGTGCGCATGGCCCATCCGATAGGTCCGCGCTTCTTGTCTAGTTCTGAGTTAGTACGCTTTCATCTCAGGCGCATCTTCCAAGGTTTAAGTTTCTCCCCTTCAGTAGAGACAACATCATGAAATGGAGGTAAGGCACTGAAAAAGAATAGAACACTTACACAATCTTGCGTTGAGGCGTCTCTGGCTCTCAGCCTGGAGCTCAGCGTAGGTGGGCTTGTTGGCTTCAACAACGGAGAGGTTCTTCTCGGCATCGGTAGGGGTAGTTGTTGCGTCAACATCGGATTTCTTGACACCCTCACCGTCGAGGGACTCATCAACAGAGTTGCCGGAAGAGTGTTCCTCCTCTTTGTCGTGCTGGACGACGGCGTAGTCGGGGACGGCAGCAGTCTCAGCATCAGCGGGAGCAGGACGGTTCCACAGAAGAGGGCCGAGGATGAACATCCACCACTTGACGGTGTAGTCCTTCTTCAGGATCTTGGCGCGAGCGAAGGGAACAAAGAAGATGACAGACAGAAGAGCAACACCACCGCCAGTGCCCATGGTGACAGCGGCAATGTACCACGCAGGCTTCTTGCCGAGACCCAGACTGGGAGAGCCCTTGTAGACAATGGACAGAGTGCAAATAGTGGCGGCAACCAGGAAGAAGAAGGGAGAAGAGTAGACGGCCCAGGGGGCAGGGTTCTTCCTGACGTGAACGACGAAGCGGATCAGGAGGAAGATGGCAGCAGCGAAGCCACCAGAGATGGCGGGAGCCATGCCCAGACCAGCGAAGATGGCACCAAGACCCTTGCCATCATTCCATCCCCATTGAACCTTGGAAGCACCGACAGTGGCAACACCAACACCAGCGACAGCAGAGATGAGAGAGTAGGTGGATGAGACGTGAGCGGAGTGACGAGTGCACCACATGACCCAAGAGGAAGCGGCGGCGAGGGCACAGGTAAAGGCGAGCATCTGGACACCAGCGTTGCCCTGGAAGGCAGAGTTGGGGATGATGCCGTTCTTGATGGTATCGGCCGTTCGAGCACCGACAGTGATGGCACCGAGCATTTCGAAGACGGTACCGAAGATCATGGCCTGTCGGTAGGAGATGGACCTTGATGAGACACTGGTGGCCCAAGAGTTGGCAACATCGTCTGTAAGGAGAGCAGATGCGTTAGCCATCTTTGCGATTGATTGAAGTCGTAGACAGAAACTTACTGGCGCCGTTGTTGTAAGCATCCAGCATGGCAAACAAAGTGCCAATGGCAAAGATGTAGTCATATTGATGGAGCACCATTTTGACGGATGTGCGTTTCAGCAACCCCAAGCTGTAGGAAGGGTGATCCTGCAAAGATTGGAATGGGGATGGTAAAGAGACAGCCGGAACAGAATCCCAAGGGCAGTCGCACAGGACGCTTCTTAAATATTATATTCCCAGGTCTACTCGTACGTGTACTACGTTGTAACCAGTCCAGCACCAACACCAGGTCCCCTGCTTCCAACCACGGTGCATATTCTCCTCGGCCCAGGTTCCATCGTTATCCGCATGCTCCATAGCCACTCTACCCATCGTATTGTGAGTCCCACGCACGACAAGAAGGAAGGAAAAGGGCAGGATGGAGTAGAACATGGTTGTCCTTTCCCCCTTGGGACACCGAAGTTGTCAATGCACACTTTTGGGCAAAGAATAGATCAACGTGTGGCAACGGAAATCGCCTAGGCCTGAAGCAACAGCCGTCTGATGGAAAGTGTCGTGGAACCTTGCAAAGTTCCAAGCTCTTACGCAGACAGCATCAGGCACGACGTCGTTGGTGGCAGCATAAGCCTCGCGCGGCCCGTCTCCCTATCACGTCTCCAGGAAAATACACGTGGGTTCGTCGACGGCTCTCAGCGGTAGATCGATACGGCCCCCAGACTTTGTTTCGTCGAGATGGATCCACTGGCTGAGGATGCTGCTGCGGCCAAGAGATTCCCGAACCGGCCAGTAGCCCGCCATTTTCTCAAAGCTGGACCGAGTGTCGCGTGAACGCCCTGAAAATGCAAATAATACGGCCGGGGAGCGGACAAACAGATGAACAACCATTATGCTGCCGGATTCCAGCGATGGTCGAGACTCTTTGTCTTTCTCTCAGCCTGCCTGTCTCTATCTGCCTCTCTACCTGCTCTTCGGAAAGAAGGAGGCCACGAAACACCAACCAGGGTCAAAACCAGGCAGGCTATCCCAAAACCAGCGCAGTCCCTCGATCACGACAGAGCACGTGCCTCGGGCTCGAAGGAACAAGCCTTCGTCTGCGGCCTTGCCAAGACTGGCAACGACCCAAGTTAAACCGCAATAAGGTTGACCACTTGCATTCACTGTGGATAGAGTTATCACTTAAGCTTGGCATCAAATCCAACGCTAGCTCTTTGGGGGCCCGTACAGGGGTGTGTCACTTCCCACGGGGTGACAATGGTGGTGCCAAGAAGACATGGACTTTCAGCAGACGATTCAAGCCCGCCCATGCCGTCAAATTAGGCTCGGCATAACATCTGCTCCCATCCAATACTATGTACATCTCAGACTCATGGCCAGTCATGGCCAGTCATGGCCAGATTTCCTCACCACCCTGGCACACGTGCGGCGCTTCGGTGTCCGGAAAGCGATCAACGGCGCAGCCAAGCTCGATTCATTGCTCCATAGTGGCTGTGGCCAAGACGGCCAGTTCCAAATTTTACACATTTCACGCCTCATTCGCCCGCTGCCTCGGTGTCCCTGACCTGACTTCGGTTGATGTGCTGGCTTGGCAACTCATAGCTGAGAGTAAGAGGCAAAAAAGAATTGGGGACAAAGAAAAAAAAAGTTGCAAGAAAAAGAGGCATCCAACTCAATTAGCCACCATCACTAGACGGATACGCTCTTGACGCTCAAGCCAATGATCGACCCACTCCATGTATTGTAACCATTCCTACTAGTGACCATGCATTTTGTTCATGTAAGCTTATCGCAGTGCTCCCCTCTTGCACGTGTCTCATAACGAAGTTGTGGATCTGCAATTTGTGGTGGTAGCCGAAAGGCTATCTCTTCACTTTATTGCGCACATGGCCGCAAATCTTCAATTGCATGCCTCACATACTGATTTGCCACCGCATCGCCTGGCCAGATTATTGCGTCTAGATCTACGTTCGACGGTCTAGTTGTGTGCTGACACAACTTGATACGATGAGCTTGTAAAACACGAATCATGATGGCCCTAGTAAAACATTTTTCAATTAGCTCGTGTCGTCAGATTGCCGCAATCTCCCAAAGCCAGCGCGATGGGCAAAAGAATAATTACAAAAAAAAAAAAAAAATAAAAATAAAAAAAAATAGAGAAACCCCTACGAGAAGTAACAGAATAATATCAGTGTCACATTTCGATAATCGGCTGTTTATTATGCCGTTGAAGAGATCGGCCAGTACCTAGGTATTGACTGACCGCTTCATCGAAAGTTTACTTTACCTACCCTATACTACTCGAAATATGTAGGTAAGTACCGATGAGATTCAGCTATCTCACATCTATATCTCTACACAAATCACGATACATACTTCTCAAATGACTAAGGCGATATATTTACACAAGTTGGATAAATAAATAGATAGATAAATAAATAGATAAAGACCTGAGCGTTTGTGATTTAATCATCCCGTGACCAAGCGGCACTATACAGCCTGAACTATCAAAACTTGCGTGAGATGCTTCACCTATTACACGACATATCATTTTCGACGGGCATAAATGAGATCCTTCCGCTTAGCGCTCATCAGCCTTCAAGGGTAAAAATACCACATCTGTTACCGCTCCTGAGCTAAGCCTTTTTTATTGCCATCACAGGTGGAAAGGACAGCCTAGCTTGATAGCCTGCGGAGATGTGCTGTACCTGCAGCGCATGCGTTACAAGGATGGAACCGGTGGGGTTTTGATGCTCTCAAAGCGTTTAATCGTCAATACCTACATCTTCACTCTCTGGCAGTATTACCCACCAGGCATTGGTGCAACCGAGCACCTGTAGTACAATGAGATCTGTAATAGTTGATGGAAATGGGACTCGTGTTTGTTCAGAGCAAAGGGCATGTGTGTCGGAAGGACACATCTCTCGTGAGCTGTCAACTAAGGGCTGGGACAAGGCTGCCGTGGGCCTGAGGAAAGAAGAGTGCCGCAGACTTGAGACAAGTGGTCACTTTCTTTGCTCTTACTCAGTAACTGCAAGCGTAAATTGTTTTGATCCTTAATATTATGCTAGTTGTTCGATGTCTTTGGTGATGGAGCAAGACTGGTTACTACATCCTCTTGTTGTCTCTCCGTTCAAGCATCCACTACTGTAATATGGGGATTGCTCCGTACCCTGGAGCCTCTTGCTCATGGAAAGGTACATCTACTTATAGTGTATTAATGCATTCAACTTACCTACATTGCGTTTATTTGGTATGCAGGCTTGAAAAAGGTGCGGCGTCTCATGTGAGTAGTATTCTGATCTTAGTTATCTGATCAGCTGATTCGTATTGCTCTCCACTCGGCCTACAGCGTCGTGCCCACTTGACTATGCAGGGATTCCAAGGCTAGATTCCAACGGGTTCGGATATCTATACCGACAACTGATTTCTTGAAGGCGTCTTCGGATGACCGGAATTCTGATGAAGATCGACGACCTACTTGCAGACGTGGGATATGGGGGAGGAGGCTCGTTGGAGCCACTCTGAGTCTGTCCCTACCTGTGTGTTGACTAAGGTGTGATCATTTGCGAACGAGATCTTGATAGTACATTTATTTATCTCATCTCTTGTAGCAACTATTCGCCTCCAATCAGGTATAGTTTAATCAGCAAATGGATCCTTTATTCTACATTGTCCATATGTTGATCCGACGCAAGTGCAGAGGTAAAGGTGGTCAGCTTGACACGAGTTTTTTGCTTGTATCAATAATTCCCTCTCATTTGCAATATTAATCATTATAGCTTTGTATGTGATGATCATATCACACTTTCGGTTTACTCTTGGTTACACCATTTGAAGCCTCATATAAGGAAAATTCTCCAAGGTGCTCGGTTAGGTGATGCAGTGTCCTATGATCTTCGATGTCGTTCTATAGTTGTCCTGCTACCATCGGCCAACGTAGTAGGCCTTTACAAGAGAAGCAAAATCTATGAATATCTAGTTGATGTGAGTCAGTTGGCTTGACATATTAACAATATTGAACATTGGGATTGGCTCAGTTGCTCGATCCGTCATCTGTGAAGGCGTAGAGATTTTCAAGAAAATGCTTGATTTCAGCGTTGAAATCCAAGAAATTGAGTGACCAAGATATGTATACACACGCCATCATAAGAGCGGCAGAGACGGATGAATCGTAATTCTCGCTACGCATATCTGATGGCGAAGCAGCTCTTATATAAAGCCTCCGACTAATGATGGGAGAGGCGCCAAAAATCTCCGAGGCGAGGACCGGTTTCTGACCCAAGGAAAGCCGCAAACTTCAGTTGATTGGCCATCAATGCGAGGAGTCTCCGCTCTGCGCATTAGTAAGATGACTAAATGAGGCTTTTCCAGAAATGGTAGTACGTACCCTGGTTTTAAATTGGGGCGCCTCCGATAGTGTAAGTAGAGATACCTGCATATTCGCGGTCTCTATCGTGGCCAATAGGTAGCTCTACTCTGAAGTTCATTCTAGAACCCCACATTTGTAATCTAATCGGTTACCCATCACAGCCAGCGACGCGTTTCTGACGGCTAAAGCTTCAAAGTCCTATAATAGAGATTTTGCTTACATATCTGAAGCGCTACATAGGTGATGATTCAATGCTGCATGCGTCTTGTTGCGTTACATTTCTGACCAAGAGCATATTCCGTCTTTTGATTCGCCAGCTGGATGAATCCGATTCTTGGTAATTACATGCATGTGGCATCATCTCCTTGCCGCCGAAAACTTACAAAGTCCGCGGGCTTCACTATTCCCCAAGCAGGATGACAGGCAGCCTAGAGGCGTCCAATTGCATCGCTCGCCTTTGGGCTGGCCTTACAAATTCAGTATCTGCTTTGCTCAAACTATTTTGATATCAGTAATCACGGTTACAGAACATCATTGCGCTGGCAACATGGTCTGCCTGTCGGACTTCTGACCTCATGAGAAGCCATATAGGACACATGATTAGTGAACAGGGTTAAGGAGATCGAGAGAATATGCAATACAACAGAATATATAAGGAGTGGATCAAGTCTCTCTTTTGAATTATTCCATCATTCCAAAGCAATTCATTCAATCAATCAGTCACTTGGTTTAACACACATCTCACAACAAATACAACATCAAGATAATTCACCATGGCCAAAGTCATCCTCATCTTGGGCGGAGCAGGTGCTCAGAACTCTGCCGTGGCCCGCGAGCTCGCCAAAAACGAGTCCTTTTCGGTCAAGATTTTGTCTCGAAATGCCAAGTCGGAGGAAAGTGTGTCTCTTGCGGCTACCCCTCGCATAACGGTGGTTGAAGGAGACTGTTATGACGAAGACACTCTCGTTTCCGCCTTTGAGGGAGTTGACGCTGTTTTCGTCAATACCAATGGTTTCGCCGTCGGCGAGAAGGCTGAAATCTTCTGGGGCATTCGCATGTATGAGATTGCCTACTGGTCTGGTGTCAAGCACTTCATCTACAGCTCTCTGCCGTTTGTGTCCAAAAAGTCTGGGTTCAACCCCAAGTATCGTGTCCCTTTCGCCGATGGCAAGGCAAAGGTTGTCGGTAAGAAACCCATCATTTGAACATTCCAAGGAGAACTACTAACATTTCCCGCCATTCCAGATTTCCTCAAGGCTCAGCCAACTGACAAGATGATCTGGAGCGCCATAGAAAGCGGTCCCTATCCCGAGTCCCATCTGGCTACATGGTCTCCCTCCAAGGGTGACGATGGGGTCTATGTCTTCCGCATGCCCATCGAGGCTGACGGTGCCATGGCAATGGTGGGATTGACCGACTTTGCTTGGTTTACTCGCTACATGTTTGAGCACCCCAAGGAATTCGTAGCAGACTTGCTCAGCGTTGGTATTGACCACGTAGACGGCAATACCATTGCCGCAGCCTTTACCGCTGTGACTGGAGAGCCTGCTCGGTTCGAGCCTCTGCCGCTCTCCGAGGTGGCCAAGACGTGGCCAGATACCAAGATTGGTCTTGCTGGATCTCCTGGTTATGAAGACCCCACTCTCAAGACAATGGCTGGCATGTTTGTCCCTTGGTTCACAATCTGGCAGGAGAGCGGCGGCAACAAAGGTCTTTGGACCAAGGATTATGCTCGCTTGGACAGGATTCATCCCAACCGCATCAAGACCATTGAGCAGTGGATGCGTTCCGTCGGCTACTCAACCGAAAAATATCCCTCTGCATTAAAAACGGGGATTTTCGGCGAGCCAACAGCTGAGGTAAAATTGGTCCATGACGATGAGAAGAAAAATTAGACAAATCACCGTATAGACAAATAGCGAAAGTAGTTACTTGTTTTAGCATAGAAATTCATCATTTATACTGCAACCCTCAGTATTATCTTTTCCTTTAGTGCGTTAGTCGCTCCCAGAATCTCTTACTATGCATCCTGTACCGTACGAGAGAGGTTAACGTGATAATTCACCGTCATCCGCTATATTCAACATGTAATAGATCTACCATGAAGTTGTTACTATTAATGTACAATATTATGACCGTCAATCCTAAAGACACCCCCCCTCCTTTCACGATAGTGCAATCTGTTGATCAACAAATGCACTGATGGTATCCTCCATTGGAGTCCAATCCACCTTGAGATATTTATCCGTAATATCCCTATCCATAATCATTGTTGGTTCCTCCTGAGGAGCAAATTTGATAGCCAAAGTACGATACTTTGACTTGATAAAGCTCGCATACTGCTTCCAAGTGTAAAGAGGACCAGTAATCGGCAGCTCTGTTCCAGAAGGAACGTCAGCATCAATAATTCGTGCCAGAGCCAGTGAAACATCGCGAACATCGACCATCAGGTAAGGCGTCATCGGAGGCCCGTCCGATTGGAGAGTCATCCACATAAGGAAATTCACTCCACTGAGCTCACTCGCTGACTTTTGGACCAGGCTAGGTCCAAAGACCTGTGAGGGATGAACGCTGACAACGGTAAACTTGGGGTTCTCCTTCTTAATCCAGTCGCGATAAGCTTGGTGGCCAACAATTTTGCCTGTTTGATACTTGAGAAGTTGGCCAGGTAAGCCTTCAGGGAAAGCAATTTTGAAGTCGACAGGGAATTTTTTGCCAGTATTTGCTACCATGAAGTCAGCTTCTTTGGCAATTCACAATCTGGATCTCGGAGAAACATACCCTTGATATGGAAAGGATTCTGCATAACACCATCCATAGGCATTAGAGACAAAAAGGACGAGACAATGGAAACTTTTCGAATGCTGGGTTCCCTCTTGGCAGACTCAAGAATTGACAAACTTCCATTGACCGCAGGATCGACAAAGTCTCTTTCAAGCTCTGTTCCTTTGTCAACCATTGCTCCAGCAAGGTGGAAAACATAGTTGACGTCCTTAAGGGCGTCTTGGTAAGCTGATGGTTGTGACATATCCGGCACAACAGCAAATCCTATCTTGTCCGCAGCGGAAGGATACAACTCCTTGATCGATTGGAACTTCTCCTGGCTTCTCACAGCCACGCGAACACGGTGGCCGGCTTTAAGGACATCACCAATAAGGTGAGTTCCAATGTATCCAGTGGCTCCGGTAATAAAAACCAGGCTCTCAGACATTTTGAAGTGCGATTAAGTCGTTGAGGTTGTATACTGACAATGCTAGATGTGCGTGAAGAAGATGCGGTTTAATCGCGGGTCCAGCAACAAGAATAGATGATGCTTTTATATTCGACGCTTTTATTGACTCTATGGAGTGCAAAAGCCTTATATAACTCGATATCATCATTTCCCACTTATTTCTCGCAAATCCCGGATGACAATCGTCCTTGAACTGGCAAGAAAGTCCGGATTCTGCGTCAATGGCTGTACGGGCCACATCATACGTTCACTGATTCACTCAAAGATTATTATTCACAACTTTTGGTTGTCGCTCATCGCAACACTGCCGCACCGCACATTTCAACGTATGGACGGATTAGTGAACATGTTGATAGTTTCGGCGATACTGATCTGTGAAATGTCCGGTTGGAGGCAACTCCTTCCGGAAACACCGTTTAGAGAAAAGAATGAGAATATGATTGGTTCTCTAATATGAAATAGCGGGGTTTCTTATTTACGCATTATTTGACTGAGCAGTTCTATACAAGCAACTCTCTCCGTGGCAATTCGGTCCGTGGAAATGGGTCACGGTTACAGAGGCCTTTGTATGTTAATTTATTTGTAAAGTAATCATTTTGAAAGTTCATTTAAACTTGCAATGGTCTGTTAATATAACTATGAACCGAATTCTAACGATCCACCCATCTTGCGTTCCAGTACTTATTCTGAAATATGGAAGTTGGATGAGTTTTGCCGCCATGTAAAGCTCGCCAAGCATTTGCGCAGCAACATTCCGTCCAAGCTTGCGATAATTATCCATTCTATAATCCATTCTATAATATTATCTACCATGTAAAACTCTCCTCATAATAATCTATATGATGATTTCCATTTCTTAATGCATCAACCACTGCCAGCCGTGAGTCATCTGCCATTCTAGCAGGTCCACATGCGACGACGGCCAATTCACTGCCTTGAGCACTATGCGCTGCCGACATGACGACTGAATGAATATTCGGCCGGCCAACATGTTGCTCAATCTGGCTTGGTAGGTCTTCCGCAGCGAAGTCATTCGTCTGTGAGGACACATAGAGATGCAGGGTTAATTTGCCCGTGTCAAGAGCCCTTTTGGCCTCATTGGATAAAACATCTCGTACAAATGCAGGTTCTCGGACAGCCCAGTGTAACTCTATTGTGGTGAGCGCCTTCATCTCATCGCATAGAGAGCTCAAGTACGAGAGGGCAACGACAACTCCAGATCCACCAGCGATGAAGACGACTTGTCGGTACTGATGCAATCGTTGCGTGTGGCCGTAGGGTCCGTCAACAAGAACCCTAAGAGGCTTCGGAATCGATTGTTCGTCAACCAACATATCTCTAAGGCGTTTGGTGAAGCCATCGTATGGCCTGATGAGGAATGTCATGTATCGTTTCTTTGGTAAGGTGGTTATGCACTCCAGTTCAATCTCTGTAGTAATCGTCGTTGAAGTCAAAAGTGGCTCTTCTTCTCCATCCCAGAATTCTGCCTTTTGTGGAAGCTCCCCCGACGTCGATGCAACAGTAAACGGATGGCTTTCCCAAAAACGCGTGTCATTCAAGACAGTCAAGTAGAAGTAACTACCCGATCGAATCTTGTAGAGCGCATTATCGATAGGGATAGTTAAACGTATGATGTTGGCTGAATCGCTGTAGCTTCCCAATGCAGTAGTTGACCAATGCCCGGGGTTGTAGATGATGATTCGCAGTAGTCTCATTAGTCGATCAAAGACCCAAATAAATGCAGGTATCCAAAACAAGGCGTCATATTCTCCATTAAATACTGAAACGTGTCTGTGATTGTGTTAGATTTAATGAGAACATTTTCTGATAATGAAGATGGTAGCCTTACCCAAGCATTGTTAGGAGGATAAGAATGGACAGCCCGATATGTATGACGAGGAATGCCTCGTAAAAACGACGCCGTATCCAGTAGACAGAAAGTATTAGCAGTGAGCACATGAAAATAGTCGCCTGTTTATAGATTCAGTGAGTCATCCTCCAAACATGAGCAGCTGGCGCTTCATACCATTTGACCAGCGTTCCAAAACCACATGGTGAACCATGATGAATAATAATTCCAGCCCCCATCTAGGTAGGGTGATGTTAGTAACGCGATAATCCATAGTGGATTTTTTTTCTCATTGGCTCATGAATATCTCAAGGACTTACTCATAAAGATAAGAATAGTATAAAGAACGGAATGAACAACGGCTTCAAGGGTCGAGATTCGGGCGCACCATCGGTGGAAGTTGTTGTACGTTCCAAAGTCCCAGCCAGTAAGCCACATGGCTACATTATTTCTCATTCCGAATAGCCAAATGAGAGGGAAATTAGCAAATGATATTATTCCTGTACGGTCTGACACGTAACGCAGCACTTGTCTAGGCGGTGTGGAAAAGCTAACATGCACCGGTCAGTATGGACGCGTAGAGACGTTGATGAGGGGGAATCAGCATACTAGAGATTTTCATCGATAATTCTATAACCGTGTATATTGAATACAATGTTCATTAAAAGGAACAGTGCGATCGTTAGTGTCTGGATGCGTGGCGGAATGGTGGCCCACCAAACATTTTGGGCACATCTGTATCCAAATGTCGCGGGAATTGCGACATTGCGCTTGAACCATGATCCAGTTTCTGTCCATATACCGACAGAGTCAAAGCTGGACCGGCTGAGGAGTAACTGAGAGATGGCTAGATAGATCTTATACGCCACGCCAATAAATACCACCGCACCCCAGAAGATCATCACACTAATGCTAGGATGGTGTCAGCCGGATTTCATTGGTATCAAGTTGTAATAATAATTACCCATAGAGATAATGATGTCTACTAGCATATTCAACAGCGTCCTAAAAGAGTTAACATCAATTTAAAGCACGAGTACTGAAAGGGAAGGTTTATATACCAAGGTATCGAACCAAGCACTGAACCACTCAAGTGACGGGATAACAGCCTCGCTCGATTCGTTTCCTGCGTCAAACGAATCATCCTTACCGACTTTCCTTAATCCAGTCATTTCCTCCTCGGTGTAGTCCGTTTTGAACGCGGGAAGAGGGCTCCCAAACGCGTCATAACAGGTAGCATTGTGATGTTGCAGCGCCCAGTTGCGCGTCTCCGCTCCACAGTTCAGATCAAGGCAGAGATACTTGGATGATAAAGCGAGGCGGCTTTGACACGCCCGTCGAAGAGCTGATGCAGCTGGATCGACATCGCTATACCTCACCGACTTAAGAGAATTTTCACAGCTCTTCACACACAATTCAGGGGAGTTCTTCGGATCGGCAGGTTGAGCCTTGGAGATATGAGGAAGCAGTGATAGATATAAGGTTGCTTGTGCGAATAGTCTCATCGCGTGGCTTTCGATGCGGCATATCGGTGCCAGTCGGCGATACTGTTGTAATCTGAAATGTGTCTCCAAACTGGTCGTGAGGCTGCGATATTTTAGTTCGTAGATCACGAGCCGAAATTTCCAAACATCAGCTGATTCGACACCGCTGCGCTCCCTACGGAACATATTAATTCGCTCCGACCCATGATCAACTGATTCCTTATCTGATTGATAAGATCCACCGACAGCCGGAGTTTGCTCGACAAATCATATGCCTGTTCTTGGTTGACAAAGACTAGCGCTTATAAAAGTCTAGCGTTCTTAGTAAAGTATGTAAGAACTGTATCAGCCGATGTCGGCTGTTCTTGTAGAGGCCGGGAGTCTCCGAGTTGATTGAATCCGAGGTACAGATTGAAACTCTTCTCCTATTATAAGGGCCAACTATTTGGATATACCGTATTCAAAATGATAGAACGAATGTATCTACCCTATTTAAGTAAAATATCTATAGCACATCAATCTACATTAAAAACATATGTAAACTTAAGTACTCCATATATAATTATGGGAGTGAATATTCAGCACCCCACGTTCGCTATTCAGCAGCCCATTCTTAAATCTAAAGCAGCCAGGGTAGTAGCAGAGAGTAGCGATAGTAGCAGAGAGTAGCAATAGTAGCTGAAAGTAGCGATAGCAGCAGAAAGTAGCGAAAATAGTAAATTTTGCAGGAACCGAGTAATAAAGATCTTAAATGGTATTCAGAACTTTTTTAATCGCTGAGTTACTGGATAGCCAAGTTGGAGCGCTAAATAGCCCTTCCATCCTATCATAACTATAGACGGGCTATAATTTTACAGCGCTGGAGAGCTTTTTACAGCCGAGGCACTTTTTGCAGCACTCTTTATAGCGCTTTTTGCAGCTAGACGCTTTTTACAGCGCCTTTTATAAGGTGTAGGTAGCATTATGGAGGTTTTTATAGCGTAGTTCACAGCCCGTATATTTTATTAAACATGCATCCATACCTAATCACTGACTGTAATCCATTGTTAAGAATACTAAAATACTATGCCAATATGCATATATAATTATATAATTTACACTGGTCTTAAAAACAATATTCTTCCGTATCAGAGTATCTTAGCGGTATACCTTACCTAAAAAAATCCAATTGCAATTGCTCTATCATTTTAGATACAGTCTCTAAATAGTTAGCCATTATAAGGCAGTTCTTTGTTACATGATAGACTGACCCTTTCACATCCCCCTTTTCTATTACACAGCAGAAGCATCGTAAAGCTAATTTTGTTTACCGGCAAAGCGGTGTGTGCCAAGATACCGCTTCACAGGTTATTCACTGTGTCGCTAAAACTGGATAGGTATTCCAACCCTAACCGACGGGAGTTGAGCAGTTTCGCTGTTCAACTGTGAAAATAATAATTCTTATGGGCAAAATCATCTATCGGATGATTGAAGGCCATGAAAAAGAGAATGCAAGAGTAAATAAATATTTATCCGCACCGTATCCGCACCGTATCCCGCTTCGCATCTCTTGCAATTTGGAGAAACAATAATTAGGCGTAATTGCTGTATCCGATAGCGTTGAAGACGATCTTTTGTTTAGAGTACTGTCTATGAAAAGAGATGTTCACGCTTGGTCAGCATTGCATGCCCTTTATCCAGAAAAGGTTACTGCATTGTAATGAATCTTCGAAACGAATCGTTTCGCACAATTACGGTCATATGCCACTAAAGTCACACTGGAGTTACTTAAATGCTACAAAACAACTGCTACGAATATATATGTAGGGAGGCAATGCGACTGTAGTTATCACAATGGAGTAGCCACCAAAAGAAACGGGTTCTCCTAATGGACTTGCCATGGTACTCAGCTAACAGCTCTCCCGTTCAATTACGAACCTGAAGCCAAATTTATTATCCGCAATATGACGGTTTCTCCGTTTCTCATAAACAGAGTCTAACTACTCCGTAATTCTACCAACAGTCCGAGACTAGCACTACTGCCGTCGGTAAGTAGCATTTCTCCACGATCAACCCCTGTCGATGACCGGCGCGCCGAGATCAGTGCAACCTGACCTACTTTCTGCATTTCAATTAGCATATGGTTTGCAAGACTCCTAAAGCCGTACAATCGATGCCATGAATGGCATGGTGTTTCCATCACTCGTACCCGTCGGGTCTAATAAGACATCACCCTACGGGACGGTTAATTCCCCTCCACGATACGACAGATGAAGAGTTCAACTTCTCCAGTGTCATCGTGTTCATCTAGTAAACTATTCTACTATGGGGATCGCTGGTAGACGTTTAGGCTTCCAACCCCGCATTATCTTGGAATTGTTATGGATCACAGCGATTGACGATGATGATGGGGTTACTCATTCACAACTATTTAAGAAGGCGAGATGACCCAACGAGTTATTCTACGACCCAATAGTTGCTTCAATCTCAACACCTTTGCATGCAAAGTAACATTGGCCGACAATGTTGCTCACCGGGCTCATTGCTCTCGCTACTTGCGCCCAACGGGCATCAGCAAGGAAGCTATGGGCCACCGAACCAGCGGATCCAGCCAACATTATTATGACTGCGTATCCATTGGGGAATGGAAAGCTTGGAGGTTGGTGATCAAGGACTTTCGCTAGAAGACAAGACGACTGATACTGAACAAATTTAGCAATGCCCCTTGGATTAGTTGGAGAGGACATCGTGGTTCTAAACGAACATAGTCTTTGGTCTGGAGGGCCATTTGAAAGCCCCGTAAGCGATTCAACATTTGTTTCTTCCATCACCTTTGACTCGTATATCCCGACTGACTTCGACGCAGGATTACATTGGTGGCAACCCGCCAGCTCCAGTCTACACTGCCCTTCCAGGGATTAGGGAGACGATTTGGAACACTCAAATCAACAATGGTTTGTGGCTATTGAACGAATTGTTGGTGTCATTATTCACTGACGGATTTACCTCCTAAATAGATATTAGTGCCTTGTATGGCGACCCAACATACTACCATTATGGCAACTACGAGACTCTGGGAAATCTCACTGTCAAGATTGCGGGAGTTAGCAGATACAGCTCTTACAATCGCGCTCTGGATCTCGAAACTGGTATTCATCAAACCGCCTTTACATCGAACGGTGCCAAGTTTACCATGTAAGCATTTCTCGACACAGTACTACCCGAGCCCGAAGCCGCAGCATCTTTTTGTCAAGAAGCAATTGTTATAGAAACTGACAAACCATGTAGAACTACTTTCTGCACCTTTCCTGACCAAGTTTGCGCTTACAACGTCCAGTCCAACAAACCGCTGCCAGCCGTGACCATTGGATTGCAGGACAACCAACGAAGTAGCCCATCGTCCAACTCTTCATGCGACGCCAATGGAGTTCGCCTGAGAGGACAGACTCAACAGGACATTGGCATGATATTTGACGCTCGTGCCCAAGTGCTTAATCGGCCTAGGAAAGCTACATGCACATCGTCCCACGAACTCCTTGTTCCTTCAGATGGCAAAACCGCCTCTGTAACGGTGGTATACGCAGCCGGAACAAATTATGACCAAAAGAAGGGAACCAAGGCCAGTAACTACTCCTTCAAGGGCGTCGATCCGGCACCGGCTGTGGTCTCCACCATTCAGGCCGTTGAGAAGAAAAGCTTCAGCAGCATGTACAACGCCCATGTCAAGGATCACAACACGTTGTTCAGCCAGTTCACACTGAATCTGCCAGATTCTGAGCACTCAGTTTCTGTGCCCACAGCGACACTAATGGAGAACTACGACTATAACGTTGGTGATCCATTCGTGGAGAACCTACTCTTTGATTACGGCAGATACCTTTTCATTGGTTCATGCAGGGATGGATCTTTACCACCCAATTTGCAGGGCATCTGGACAGAAAATCAATTCCCAGCTTGGAGTTCAGATTATCACGTTGACGTCAATGTGCAGATGTAAGTTGAACTCGTCCGTAGACCGACGTTAATTAACCAAAATGCCATAGGAATCACTGGCACACTGAACAAACCGGTCTCGGTGATATCCAGGGGCCTTTGTGGGATTTTATCATCGATACGTGGGTGCCGCGTGGAACAGAGACAGCAGAATTGCTATATGATGCTCCTGGATTTGTAGGATTCAGCAACCTGAACACATTTGGGTTTACGGGGTAAGGCTCCAATAAACCAAATTCTGACCATACCTATTGATGAACTTACTGACCGCTCTGAAGGCAAATGAACTCTGCTGTGTGGTCCAACTACCCAGCATCCGCCGCCTGGCTTAGTGAGTACACCCAGGTGATGTTTATTTACTATTCGCTTACCCTTTGATAGTGCAAAACGTTTGGAACCGATATGACTACGGCCGCGACACGCACTGGTGGAAGACTGTTGGGTATCCGCTTATGAAGTCGGTTGCCGAATACTGGATCCATGAGATGGTACCTGATCTCTATTCGAACGATGGAACCCTCGTTGCCGCTCCTTGCAACTCGCCTGAGCATGGTTGGACGGTATGAATAATGATAACCTGGACAGTCCATGCCATTTTACTAACTTGATTAGACGTTTGGCTGCACACACTACCAGCAGCTCGTTTGGGAAGTGTTTGACCATATCATCGACAGTTGGGAAGATTCCGGTGATACCAACACCACCTTCCTCGAGACCGTAAAGGAGACCCAGTCAAAGCTGTCTCCGGGTATCATTATTGGCTGGTTCGGTCAAATCCAAGGTATGCATATCCCCAATAGCGATACAACTTTATCACAATCTGTTGCTAAGACCAAGCAGAATGGAAGATCGGGTGGGATCAGCCCAACGATGAGCATCGCCACCTTTCTCACCTCGTGGGCTGGTATCCTGGCTACAGCATCGGCACGCACATGTGGAACAAGACCGTCACCGATGCCGTCAATGTCAGTCTGACGGCCAGAGGCAACGGCACAGCTGATTCGAATACTGGCTGGGAGAAGGTCTGGCGAGTCGCATGCTGGGCCCAGCTCAACAATACCGATATTGCGTAAGTTGCCACCCCTTTTATCGTTGCTCTTCCGCTTCGATTCAACATTCTTACTTGTATTTCGCTGCAGATACACCTACTTGAAATATGCCATCGATATGAACTACGCGAACAACGGCTTTTCCGTATACACCTCTGGTAGTTGGCCGTACGAGCTGGCAGCGCCGTTCCAGATCGACGCCAATTTCGGATACAGCGCCGCTGTGTTGGCCATGTTGATCACCGATCTTCCAGTGCCATCTGCGTCCAATGCCATCCACACGGTCATCTTGGGCCCGGCTATCCCATCGGCATGGAAGGGCGGTTCTGTTCAAGGCATGCGTATTAGAGGCGGTGGATCGGTGGACTTTTCATGGGATAATAACGGCTTGGTGAATAAGGTGGCGCTGCATAACCACAAGGAGTCTGTTAAAATTGTTGATGTGAACGGCAAGGTCTTGCTTCACAAGTAGAGGGGAGGGAAGAACAATCAGGTGCCTTAGTTTTGTATGTATTAGTTTGTGAGTAGCATAGTATAAATATGGTTAATGAGATTCCTTTGAGATTGTCTCATGCCAATTCTTCAAGTCCTGAGCGAGACTGAGGTGTGCTGATGCCATCCCCTTTGAAAACAATTCGGAGTAACGGTGAGATGAACGGCCGGTTGAGGGGCCTATGTGATTAGCGAACTGTTGAATAACTCAATAAAAATCATGCAAATGACTGAAAAAAATGAACAGCTACCCCGCCTTCATATGCATCACACGCTAATCTGACACACACTGCGCACTGCCAATGATTCTAACGATTGGCTCTGGGCTGTCTAGCTGAAAGGACCATTCATCCAGCCTCGGTCGCGATATCTCATGTGCTTCACTACAGCGTCCACACCAAAGTAATGAATAAAGAGTCGGCAGGACAGGAGCCCAGCTGATCTTTCTACAAGCTATAGCGGCCACGTAATATGGTGAGCATCCACATTACACAGCTTTGACGTAGCGGGGGGATCATGATGTGGCTTGTGTGCTCCATAGGTGCCGAATTTAGCAGAGTACATGTTCTCTTACGAGTATGTCGGTGTCATCTTGATAGCTTCCAGCAAAAGAGTCAACGCTCTGGCCAGCTACGCATGCTTAATCATATCGCTCATTTTGACTATCACCGTAGTTTCCAATCCGAAATATCCAAGATGCACAAAACAGACCTCTCCTGTGCTGACGATCTCACTCGTTGTGGCATACTTTGGTAACGTGTGGAGTAGCTAGCTATAAGACAGGCTGTCACTTATTTATTTCCCCTGTTACTTTACCCCTAAGCTAAGCGTGAATCAGTCCTTCAGCACCGGCACCTAGAGCCGAGAGCCAAGCTGTGCAGCCAATGAATTATCTAGATTATGGCTGATTCCTTGCTGCCTTACCCACTGTACACATGTCCCGCGGCCAAAGCTCTTTGCATCTTTGGGATGGGAGCTTCTTCTCTCTTTGTGTCCTTTGTGTTTGTTTCTATCTCTAGTGTGACTGCTTTGTCCGTCGGTTAGTTTTCCTGGAGAGAAACGTCGCCTCGCACTGCTCAAACTAGGGCTCCTATTGTCCTTCTACCGCCCTCTCGAATAGCCTTCGGCTTTATCCCAACCCCCCGGAGCTTCGGCCCCTCCCACCATCGCGTCCACGGACAGATTTTCGGACATCGTCTTGCCTTCAATAACAGGTGCACCAGAGCTATCGCCGAGAGTGGTCCGAGGCCCCTCCATCTCACGCAGGTAGAGGAATAGACCGACAATTGGCAGATGCCTGCACCGCCCTTCTGAGATGCCTCTTCATTTGGAAGTACCTCCGGTTAAGGATCCGGAGCTTCGCCGGTCACCTTCACCACCTCCGTCGCCGTCACGGGCTGCTTCTGTGACGTATAACGACAAATATGTTGTAGTTTATGACTTTAGTGACATAGGTATTTCTCAAACCATGAGATCCGTCATCTAAAAACGGGCAGCAATTAACTGTGACATTAGACTACGAGACAGCCACAAAGGAATTCACTGCCCTGCTCCAGAACCTAGAGGCTACTGGTCTCCACGTGGAAGTAAGACCGGGATATGAACAAACAATTCTACTGTTTGTTAAGGCGCCAAGTGCGCTTCTCGGAAACAGAGTTTACAAATTGAGGTGCGTCTTTACTCGTGTATTATCTTTGAGCTTCCTTTCTTTTAAAAACCTTTTTTATAAGGCATTGTTTCGTTAAGGGAAGGCGTCTAATACGGCGTGAGGCAGAGTGAGAGATTGGCTCTATGGCATCACTCAAACGCGGCCGCCGGGAAATAAGTATACCATCGTGCCTGCATGGTATGAGGCTGAAGACATCTTATCCATGGACCATTTGGTCAACTGGCCACAGTCCATGGGAGGAGCGGGCATCACCCCAGGCATCGGTCAATGGAAGAATGTGAAGGCTATTTTTCCTATGCACAATGATAAAGTCAACCAGGCACTGCTACGGAGTCTTAGCAAGAAGCTGCTCCTCAGCATCGACGACCTCGACAAGATTCGGGACCTTTTCGGTTCAAAAGTATGTAACTCTATTACAGCAGATGAAACAATTTCTAGAACATGTTGGCTAATTATATGTCGCCATGTCACAGGTTGCATTCTACTTTGCATTTGGCCAGTCATATTCGGCTTTTCTCATCTTCCCAGCCGTCACGGGCCTAGTCTCCTGGCTATGGCTACCCAAATACTCCATCGTCTATACAATTCTAACTGTTATCTGGTGCACCGTATTTCTAGAGTACTGGAAGGTACGAGAAGTCGACCTGAGTATTCGTTGGCGAGTTCGGGGTGTAAATAAAACGAAAAACAACCGGCCGCAATACAAATATGAGCAAGTCATTGTGGACCAATACGGCCGCACTATTCACTATAGCCCAAAGTGGAAGCAGATTTCACGACAGCTTCTCCAGTTGCCATTCATGGCCATTGCAACTGTAGCGCTTGGCCTGATGATTAGTGCCGTCTTTGCAGTCGAGATTCTGATATCTGATTCATATGATGGGCCAAGTAATTTATATCTTGTGAGACAACTTCTCCAAAACAGAAAAGGCACTTGACTAACACGAGATCGCAGGACTATCTGCCCACCGTGTTGCTGGCAGTGCTGATTCCCTACATCAGTTCCTATCTTGAAACAGTGGCCAAGTGGTTAACAAACTTCGAGAACCACAGAACAGCAGATAATCACGAAATGTCTCTCACGCAAAAGATTTTCGTGCTTAGCATCATTACAAACTACTTACCCATCCTGCTAACAGCCTTCGTCTATGTTCCCTTTGGCGATCAAATATTTCCCTGGCTCGAAGGCCACATTGTCCAATTCGCGCCCAGCATTGGCAACCGTCTTACCGAAATGCCCTTCCGGCTGGACTCTGACCGTCTGCGCCACGAAGTCATTGCGCTTACTGTTACAGGACAGCTGTCAAGTTTTTTTGAGGAGAATATCTTGCCCTTGATCAAGCACAAGATGAGCGGTTGGTATCGAGAGTATCGCCGCGCTTATACAAAGGACACGGTTCTAATCTCCATGGTTACCGACGATGCGGACGAGGCCGAATTCTTGGCGCAGCGCCGCAATGAGGCCACGCTAGACCACTATAATGTCCAGGATGACATTGCAGAACTGGTTCTTCAGTTTGGGTATCTGGCTCTATTTTCATCTGCATGGCCGCTTATTCCTCTGGGCTTTCTCATCAACAATTGGGTCGAACTTCGGTCCGATTTCGCCAAGATTTGCATCGAGCACCAGCGGCCTGCGCCATACCGGGCAGAAGGCATTGGGCCTTGGATCGTCTCTCTGGAAATTCTCGTATGGCTGGGAAGTATTTCTTCCGCTGCGATTGTTCATTTGTTTAGCACTGATGGAGTGTTGAGTGGGGGCTGGTCGACTTTGCCGTTGACCATCTTCATCAGCGAGCATATCCTTCTCGCTTTAACGGCAGTAGCTCGCGTCATTTTTCAGCGTTTTGGCTCTGAGGAGCTGCGCAGAGAGAGAAGCGAGCAGTATGCAAGAAGACTGTCTATTCTAGACGAGATTGAGGAACACAGGCGTGATGGAGAGCATATTGGAGTGAGAGAGCGGGAGCGCAGGAAATCGCTGCTGATCGCTGGTAATGAAAGCTTCTGGACAAAGCAGTTGGAAGATGGGGCGAGCGCAGCAGCGGGAATGAAGCTGATTATGCTGGCAAGGAAGTGGGAACAATCCAATGGAGAGCTCAAGAAAAAACAGTAGAGCTGTCTCCTGTAGTTAAGGACTTGGTATGCAGACTTGAAGGTGATTTGTTTTCTGATCGCTCATTCATATTAACTCCCATGTATCCATTCAATTATTGATCAACGCTATTTCTTTCTCTTCATGTCTACTAGTTTTTGCCGATTTAAGCATACTTCTACCACATCAATCTGTAGTTTTAGGTCGCAAGTCTTTTACACTGGATAAAAGGCAAACATCTAGTATATGTTTCTTTCTATCCAAGCGCGGCGAATCATCCCCCACAGACTTTGTGAAATGACTCTCTTAATCCCCACCCACACAATCCATCACAAATGGAGTCGATTGCTGGGCGCCAATAGTATTCTTGTTTCACCTGTATCTCTTATAACGAGCATTTTGGCCCCAAGACTCCGCAATGGTCTATCGGCTCTCATCGGCGAATGCGGCGGCCGCCGTGCTCCGCGAAAATCTCCATCATTAGCGTCCGCTTTTAAGCTTGAAAATTGGCATCAATGGGCGGCTCGCTATTCCTGACCGTTAAAAATTGTATATTCTTTCCACATCATTTGATCTCTCCTCTCCCCAACTCACCTCTTTGTACCTAATAAAAAGAATCAGGAATAATACGAAGCTCAAAATGTTGCGCTGGGGAATTCTTGGTACTAGCTTCATCTCCGACACGGTGGTCAAGTCGATTCTCGCTAGCCCCGGTTCACGCATAACTGCCGTCTTCGGACGCAATGAAGCCCGTCTCGAGGCTTTTGCCGCAAAGTACAACATCGCCGCCAAATATCAGGACCTGGAAGCTCTGATTGACGATGCCGAGGTCGATGTCGTCTATGTCGGCTTGCCTAGCCATATGCACTCTTCCGCGGTGATTGCTGCCGCCAAGAGGGGTAAGGCCATTCTCTCGGAGAAGTCTCTCGCAACAACCATGGAGGACTCCCATGCGATGATTGCAGCTGTGAAGGAGGCGAACGTTTTCTTTCTTGAGGGACTCATGTACCTCAGTCACCCTCTGATGGAGAAGGTTGCCTCCATTGTTCAGTCCGGTGTTCTCGGCTCAATCAAGGGCATGTCGGGTTACTACGCCGCCAACATCTGGAAGAAGGCCAATCCTTTGGGTATGGGTACCATTTACAACCTGGGATGCTACCCAGTTTCCCTTGTGCACTTCATCATGGAGACTGCGTTTGGACCTGAGGCGTTTGAAAAGAGACAGGTTACTGGTATGGGCAATTTGTCCAACGAGGGCAGTCTGCATGCCCGTGACGCTTCCCTCAATGTCCGGTTCGGCAATGGCGTCTTGGCTACAGTCCAGTCAACCGATAGCTTTGGTAACGACTTTTCCTTTTCTATTCAAGGCGACAAGGGTGTTCTGCGATTTAGGACAAATCCCTGGCTGCCACTGGCAGGCGACAACATTATCGAGATTAAGACCTATGGTGGTGCTACGGAGGAGATCATTGTTCCAGCCCAGATGGATGCTTTCGGACATCAGGTGAAGCGTGTAGAAGATTGCATCGCCCAGGGTCTCAAGGAGGCTCCGAGGCCATCGCCAAGCTGGTCCAATTCAGTTTCAATTATGGGCTTACTCACGGAGTGGGAGAAAGACATTTTGGATCGAAAGGTTTAGAAATTCTTTCATAGTAGGGTAATTGAAAATGTGGTGAAGCTATATTCCTTTGAGTGCGTAACAGCTGTCAACAGACCGCACATCTTTCACATCGGCCAACAAATAAAAAAAACTTTATCTCGTGGCATATTACTTGGAACTACAAAAACGAAAGCGAAAAAGTGCTATAATTCTTTTCCATCTTGGGTCCTCTTACTTGTTCTATCACGCCAATTTCACTGGCATAGATTTGAGAGGCGAGCGCCGATGAAGCCGCGCCAACTTCAAATGACAGATTCGGAACTGTTGCTACACAGTTCTCAATACGAAGATGACACGATTTCTATCCCGTCCCCAGAAGCGACTCCTAAAGCCGAAGCATTTATCGAAACATCCTATAACTACAGGCGATTCTGACGCTGTGCTTATTATCGTCGACAACTTTGCCAGATTCGTTCCTTACATTATCCGATAAATGAGATAGACTAAAGACCACTGGACTAGAGAACGCTGATAAGTATGTTCAGATACGAATTCCACCTTTTTTATGTTGATGGAACAAGTCACTGCGAAGCTTGCGCAAAAGACAAGATAGTCGTTCAACCATTGAAAGCTCTCCGATTGGTGTAGTGCTAAATACCTAGTAGAGAGTGAAGTCGGCATGCTGGAGGCATCTTTGAAAGCCAGGTTATTATGCTACAACGCATTGTTCCATGTTTTTGACCGCCAGTAAATGTTTACAAAGCCTAAATAGATATTGTCAGCTTTTATTTTAGTATAAAACGTCTTGTCGTATCTAAAAAAGGTACTGAACTTCTTTGCCATTTAACACCAGATGCATTTGTCTCTGTGGACAATTTAGCTTTTTGCATATACTCAGGCCACTTAATACAGATACCAGAAGAAGAAGATAGTGGCAGCTCAGTAATAGATCAGAGTAGCGATAGTAACCATAGCAGAGGAGAGGAGCGACAGTAGCCATACTGGGGAAAAGTGTCAATGGTGGAAGAAAAGCAGCGACTGTAACAGATACATGGGAACTAGATAAACACAAGGTGTTTTCTCCACATCTCATTGCCAACGACACTAGAATACACTCAAAATAAGGTCACCGAAGTGATGGATAGCTAATATGGGGCCAGGGACGTCTACAGACACTTCGCCAATACCGCAAAACTTATCACCCACTGCATAGCCCAGCACCATAAGGGAAAGGAGCCACCATGAGGGGCACATGTATATTAATTATACGCGCTTTGCCGTGGATTCTTTCGCTATATGCAGTATAACATGAAATATTTTCCTGAGAGATCTCGAATGTAGTGAGTCTATGAGTGTTTAATCGAAGAGTCCACAAGGAGTTTTTGTTGAAAAGGCTTGTAGGAATCATTCCCAACAAAGAAATAATCGGCAATCGTAAATCTTTCTTAATAAAATGTTTATATAAAATATATTCTATTACGTATTCAGAGAGCTAACTGTGGTTCCGCCAGGGCCCCCTCTCTACTAGAGAATTAGAGCATGATGCACCGCTCAACCAACCTAGCGATTATACATGGTTTATTGCTTTGCATTTAAATGGCAAAACCACCAGATGTTTTCTGTCTAGGTTCTCCAGCTGCCTCAAAAGTTCCATTCGGCAGCATTCTTACGGCTTGCGCGGCGCTTTGTCCCGGTGCAACCCAAGTGACATTGTGACCAAGTGATTTCATGAACGCTACCGTTCGGTTATCATATGTATACTCAAAGGTCGTCATCAATGGTACTAGTTGATCATGGAGTCTTGGTTGAGCCAATGCTTCAGAAGTAGTCATATTGAAGTCAAGAACGTGAATCGTGTTCTGGATGTTGGCGGTGATAATTCGGCTGCCGCCGGCGGCGCCGAGCGCGAAATACAACTTTTTTTCTGCTGTCTCCGCAATAATAGGGGAAATAGAAGATAATGGGCGCTTGCCAGGTCGAATGTAGTTTGCCGGGCTGGGAATGTAACCAAAACTGTTGCTAACTCCTGGAATACTAAAGTCGTTCATTTCGTTGTTCATGATGACACCAGTCTCCGGAATAATCAGTGTGGATCCAAAGAGCAAGTTGATTGTTGTGGTCATGGAAACAGCCATTCCACTGGCATCTGCAGCAACAATGTGAGATGTGCCAGGAGTTTCAAGGGATTCCAAGCCCTTGGGGTCATAGTAGGAGAGATTTTGCGCCTTGAAGTCTGAGATCTTGGAGCGAATCTCGGCTCCAGTTGCGGGGGCAATCATTTCTTTTGTGTACTTGTCAATGCCGTCAACAAAAGACGGATCTCCAAGTTCGGTGCGCTGGCCGTATGCGAACCGAATAGCTTCATCTAGTCGATGTGTGGTCAAATTCACTTGAGCAGGATCGTTAAATCCCGAATATCCACTGACGGTATTGAGAGCGCTGAGTGCCACGGCACCACTTGACGGGGCACTTGTGCTTGTGAGCTTGTAACCACGATAATTGATATGTAAGGGTTCTCTGATGGCAACGGTGTAGTTCTTCAGATCTTCCAGAGTCATGATTCCTCCAGCTGCTTTTAAAGCGCGGATAGTAGCATTAGCGATAGGACCAGTGTAAAATGCATCAGCGCCGTGGTTGGCAATCGCCTCTAGTGTATCAGCATATCGTTTCCGAGTCATGGTCTCGCCCAGCCTGACAAGGCGTCCCTTGGGAGCAAAGTCAATGGCCCATGCTGGATCTTCCGTGAGGAAGTTGTTGGGTGTTGTCTGCTTAAAGGTATTGATCAAGTCTTCCGTCACCTTGAACCCATTTCTAGCAACATCGATTGAAGGCTTGATGACATGGGCCCATGGCAGTGCGCCATACTTATTGTGGACATATTCGGTGCCTCGAAGCTCACCAGGAACACCGCTACAAAATTGTCAGCCGGTGATTCCTATCATGTTACGATAACTCAGTGCTTTGTTGCGAGCATACCTTGCAAGGCCGCCGTAAATGCTCAGGTCCTCGTTATCTTTGTACATGTCTTGAAACGCAGCAGCCGGAGCTGTCTCACGCATATCGACAAACTCGTATGTACCATCACTCGTCCTCAGCAACAAGAAGCCACCACCACCAATGCCACTGTGATACATTCCAATGACGCCGACGCAAAAGACCGTGCCCACTAGGGCGTCGACGGCATTTCCTCCATCTTTGAGTAGCTGAATGCCGATATCACTGCAAACAGTGCTTTGAGAAGCTACAGCTCCTTGTTTAGGAATGTGAACACCGGGCGGTGCACTGCATGGAGGTGTTGGAGACGCTTTCCCATACGGTAATACAGACAGAAGGAGGGTGAGCGGCTTAACTACCGATCTTAGACGGAGTTGGGTCATTTTGCGTTAAAGTTCGTGTTTTTCTAGGACCTGGAGATTCGACTTCTCAAATAATACTCTCTCTAATCTCTCAAAAGAGACCATCAAGCCAGCTTATATACTTTGATACGTCTCACCCCCTCCTTTCTTTCTCCCCTCCAGTACGACACTCCGCATCCTTTAGATTCCATGCCGAGTCGCTGTTGGCCGACTCACCGATTCACTTGGGATAGTAGTGGAGGCGTTACTAAAGTTGCCTATCAATTCTGGCAAGGGCACCGAGAAACGGCGCTCAAAGAATGCTGACTTTGTGGGGGAATTGAAGCAAGGATGCTAGCGAGATTAGAAAATGCAATCTCTAGCACTTCAAAAGGAGGAGAAGTAAAGGCCCATGAAGGCTATAGTCCATGGAGGCTGCGAGTCGAGAGGAGTTGCGGATCATGACGTCTGGATCATCCGTATGCATTCTTATCTTGGCCTTCCTGTCTGAGCTAGGGCAGATAATGCCCGCTTAGACAGGGTTACAATCCAATTGCTAACAAAAATGCATCGAGGGGATTGCCAAACTCTTCTTCTTAAAAGCTCAAGTCGCCAGCTAGACTGCCTATATACATCACCTGTTTGACGTCCGTAGGATGCTCCCTGCAACCCAAGAGCGAAGCTAAGAATCAGTCAGTATCGCCATATACGCAGCCTCCTACTACAAGTCTTCATCTGCCGTAAGCCACACCTTAACTAACAAACACCCTTGTCTCTCTTTCCCACATCTGAGAGCTCAGAGAGGGCGCGTGTTACGGGGTTTTGATATGACATCCCCACTTTCCCCTCACATTGAAGTTAACAGGTCGCTTGCAAATCCGCTATACCGAAACAGCCTGGTCTGTATCATTACCTGCATTCATAAGAGAAAGGATACCAAATGTTACCAAGCTCAGACTAAAATGACCAGAGTCGGCCGACAATGGGGCACAATTACTCTTCCTGTAGCATAATCAAAAGTCAGAATTCGAATCCTACATCGTACTGCCTTATTAGCTAGGTAGTTCACGATGCCGAGATCGGTGATTCCGTAGATAAAAGAAATTGCATACACTATTCTATTCATAAAAATTCTTCCGCCGCTTGCAAGTCTCGTTAAGCCTATCTCCATCACTGATACCAATCACAGCTGGGCCAACGCAGTGAGCACTCTCTTTAGGCCCTCTTGCAGATAGTCTTCAGGGTGTGAAAATACAATTCGGAACCAGCCGGGTTCCTCTGAGCCAAACGCTGTCCCAGACGCCAGGAATATCTTGTGCTTAAGCAGTGCTGTGGCTATTGTCTTGTTCAAATCGCCCGTCTCAGCGTTGGGATGTAGTGATTTATAAACACTTCCCAAGTCCACCCACAGGAAGAAAGCGGCGTTCACACCGGGTCGATAGGTGATGTTGTTCTCCTTAGCCCACAAGGTAACTGTTCTATACTGCTGAGCCAGCCTTCTCCTGTTCTCAGTGATGTAATCCTCCACCCAAGCATCGTCCTCAAGGATGTTAGCTGTAACATGATCCGAGATGGATGATGCTGAGCTATAGAGGTTAACGGGAATCAGTGCAGCGTGCAACGACGGGTTAGCCTGCGATATGAGGGCGCCCACTCTAATGCCGTTGGCTCCGAAATCCTTTGACATGCCCCAAATGACATGGACCCGAGATGGATCGATAATACCAGCGGTATCGATGCTGAGGCAAGAGGTAAACGGCTCAAGCGCAATGTCGGTATCAACTGTGTTGTCCCAAACAGACAAGGCATAAATCTCATCGCTGATGAAATGGATCTGGTACTTTTCGCAGAGTTTCAAAAGCCCAACGATAGCATCTCGACTGTAGCAGCGCCCAAGGGGGTTGTGGGGGTTGCAAAGAACTAATCCAGCCACTTTTGTCCCTTTGGCCTCTGCTTCTTTCAGCGCCTCTTCGTACTTGGCGACTGCGTTCTCAGTCAAAGGATCAACGCCGTGAAAGGGAACTGGGACAACTTTTGCGCCAGTTCGTGCCGTCAAATCCTCAATAAATGTCCCGTAGTATGGTTGCCCCAGCAAGAATGCTTCACCGGGGTTGGCAAATGCCCACGAAAGATGCTCAATCACCGAGCTGCAGCCATTGGTGATGGAGATGTGAGCGGGAGCAATAGGCGTGATAGGCTTGAGGTGCTTATTGAGAAAACTAGACATGGCCTTCTTTATATGGTTCGACCCTGACGCACCATCGCCATAAGTAAATGCATGGTTGGACAGCGTCAAATTGTCATGGATGTGCTTTGAGAGAGTGTCATGCATCAGCCTGTTTTCAGCGACGCCCAGACTGACAATTCCAGAGGGATTGGTTTCTTGGTCCCACAAGTCCAGCAAAACTTTCCATATCACCAGTTCTTGGCCAGCCTTTTCAGAGCTTGTGGCTCGATCAGAGAGAGACATGGTGGTGTTGAGCAGTGAAAGTGGAGATGTTCTTCAATTGCTGCCGACTTGAGATGGCGTTTCGAACGCAAGAGAAGACTGATTGCAGAAAGTCAGAGAGAAATGAAAAATAATATTGATAAAGAAGCAGTTTAAATACCTTTTATTTCTTCAGAGTCCTCAATGATCTAGATCGCAGAGTTGTCAGAGGGCGCATTTGCTCACGCCCTTGCTGGCGACTCAAGAGACGTCATTGGGCCAAAACAGAGCTTCCCTAACAGACCAGCCAAGCGACCGGAATTCTAGGCCATGACTCAGAAATTTCACCTTTGTGGTCACGTGCAATTCTCTGCGCGCAATGCTTCATTGTCTGGTTCTTTCTCGAGTTTCTCGTCAATTGTTGTCGTTTGGCTGTAACCAACCTCAATCACACATTGCGTCTTATATACAGGTCAATCAATGAGCAAGGGTCTCAGAGGGCACGCCGAGGCATAGCCAAAAGCTGACAGCATAAAGAATAAGCACCCGAGTCTCGTCAAAAGCAGCTGAAGACGGTCTGCAATGATACATACCTAACACTCTATACTCCACGGCTTGGAGAATTAATTTGTCAACCCAACTTCAGATCGACCAAGCGCCCTATCATGACATGTCATAATTGAGTTGTAAACCGCATCATGAAAGCTGTCATGAGTGGCAAAACTCTCTTTGACTGGATGCAGGGTAGCTCCAGCTCCAGTCCAGCTCCAGCTTCAGCCTGGAGACTTGGGATGCGCAAAAGCAGTGTCGATTCTTGCTCGGTTTTGTACGAGTACGGCCTTCGAGCTGTCGACCAGCTCATATAGCGGAATTAATGAGCGAGTTCTGCAGCCAATATCCGTTCTGTGTGTGTCTCTTCGGAATCTCGGCGAAGACGGACCAGCTAATCCGAGAACGGCAACGCGAGTCTCCGGAGCCTCTCTCACCACTTCCTACTTAATCGATGGGTGGTTCCGGAGAAAGCGGACAGACGGTTACTGAATTGGGCAATCTGGGAATGCATTGCTTCGGCCTCATGAAGTCTTGTCTCCGAAAAGCGCCAAACTGCGGCCATAGAGAGGCGAGTTCACAAATGTCATCATAAAATAGAGATATATGCGCAGACATGAATATATATATCGTCGTTGATTCCACCTCTCTAAAATGGTTTCAACCACCCACATCTCAACAAGCAAGCAAAAGCAAAAAACATCAGCTCACAACCAAAAATAGGGTCATCGATAATAGCCTTCACCTCACTTATAAACCTATAAAAGTAACTTACAACCACAATGACCAAAGTCCTTCTTCTTGGCGCTACTGGTTACATCGGTAAGCGACTAGCCGAGACTCTGGTTCGAAGCGGCCAGCACAATGTATTCGGCATTGCTCGATCCGAGGCCAAGGCCAAAACATTGGCTCTCGCAGAAATCACGCCCATCATCTGCGCTGATCCAGTAAATGAGCCCGCGCCCTATATCAAAGCCGTTCGCGATTACCACATTGACGTTATCGTTGATGTCGCCGGCGCCAATCAAGAGTCGGCCAAGTTCCTCAGCCATGCAAAGGAGATTGGCCAAGAGCGACTGAACAGCTATGCCGCCGCCGGCATCAGGGGTCCTAAGCTTGGCTTCATATATTGTTCAGGCACTTGGGTCCATGGATCCAGCAACCAGGCAGTGAACGATCTCAACATTGCCGGCCCCAATGGTGTCACTCCTCCAAGAGCTCTTGTCGCGTGGAGAGTCGGCCTTGAGAACTCTATTCTGGCTTCTTCCGACGTCTTGGATGTTGCTGTTCTGAGACCTGCATTGATCTATGGCTATGAAAATACTATTTGGACTCCGTTTGTCCTTCCGCTCCTTCAAGCAGCTCGAAGTAGCTCCTCGGAGCCTGTGAACATTCCTCTGCAAGCCGACGCTAGGCCGGCTCTAATTCATGTTGACGATGTATCTACCGGCTTCCAAAAGGCGATTGAGAATCTGTCTTTGATCAATAGCGGCTCTGTCTACCCGGTATTTGATCTGCTCACTAGCCAGGAGAGCATGTCTGAGATCTTCAAGGCCATGGCCTCTGCCTGGGGGTACAAGGGGGAATACAAGCTGGTTGGGTCTGGCGACAATTTGTTTGCTGAAGCCATGAGCACGACTCTGCGCGGATCTTCATCGCGGGCCAAACAACTACTTGGATGGGAACCGACACGCACCAATGGATATGTTGCCGACATGGATCTACATGCGGCAGCTTTTGCCTCTCAGCATTGATGATTTAAGTAGAAGTCGTTGCGGATACTAGATACATGTATACTGTACTTAGGACTGTCAAGATATCATGATTATCGTGTGCTTGAGAAGAGCAACTTTACAATTAGACTGAATGAGATTTAAGATAATATAGGTAGTGACTAAAATAAGAGATCAGCGTCTCAAATCATCTTGTGCAGTGTATGAATTAGTTTACATATGATGCTGTGCCCATGTCCAAGGAAGACAAACGCAGAATTGCCTCCTAGAGCAGAGCGCTAATCTTTGTAGTTAGTGCTGAGGTTCCCCTGGCGCGTAAAAACGGCAAAAAAGTACCTGCTGACTTAACGTTCTCAGGGCCCCGCAACCAATTGCTGCGCTTACCAGCTCTTATCGGAAATTTCTTATCGCCCTGAAAAACTTCTGGACCCAAATATTTTGTTCCTGGATCCCATCATCAAATCTTTGACCAGCACTCACATTTGTCGAATCGCCCGTACTTTTCTCCCACACACCAAAGAAGAAAAGAAAAGAAAAAGAACAGAAAAATACGATGCGCCCTCTCACCGAAGAAGAGACGCAGGCCGTCTTCAAAAAGCTCGCAGAGTACACCGGCGCATCGCTCAAGAACATCATCGCGCCTCAAGAGGATGGCGATCGAAACGTTTTCCGTCTGTCGCAGAACCGAGTCTACCTTGTCCGCCTCTCCATGGCCAATCTGGCGACTTCAATTGCTCGTGACAACCTCCTCTCTCTAGGAACTTGCTTGGGTATGCACCGGTCTCCCTACAATCTGCGCCCCGGCAGATGCTAATGTAGAATTTCACGAGTAGGCAAATTCACAAAGTCTGGCAAATTCCGAATTCACATCACGGCCCTCCCTATTCTCGCCGAGCACGCACGACACAAGCTCTGGATCCGCCCCAACGGAGTCATGCCCTTCCTCTACGGTGGAAACGTTGTAAAGGCTCATGTTGGCCGTTACTCAGAGGACTGCCCGGAGCACCAGGGCTTGGTTGTCTACACCATGGACGATGTTCCTCTGGGATTCGGAGTTAGCGCTCGCAGCACTGCGGAGAGCAGAAGACTCGATCCTACTGGAGTTGTTTGCTTCCGACAAGCTGACTGCGGCGAGTACCTGCGTGACGAAGATACCCTGTTCCAGTCTGGTTAAAGGGGAGCCGGGTTGGTTGAGAGTTGGGAAAAGCTGGGTCAATAATACGACCCTTTTCTGGGCGTCGATCACAATACATCTCGGAGTTTAACGGCGTTGGTGGCAGTGATACTTTACGACTTGGCATGGCGTTACAAAGAACGGGGAATGTTTGAAGAAGGATACTTCAAGAGGGGGGGGGAAGTAGGCGAGGTATATGCACAGAGTTGGACATTGATCACATAAAGCTGTGCATTTTCTCAAGACGCTTCGCCCCGTGGATAGGCACGCATTAGTTATTTGGTTCAGTATTAGATACGAAGCCGGCTAGCCTAGCTCATGGAGGATCAAGGCATTTATCATTCAATGAAATAATATCACCATTTCTTCCCCAGATCCCACCACTAAACCCCCGTGACTGTATGAACAACCCAGCACACCTGCACCATCAAAGTGAGGAACAGGGTCACTCGGTCTTGGCTCTGTTCTTATTCATCCACGATGTCGCATACGCAACCGCCTCTCGCAAAGGAAATAACCGGCATTCAGCGGCCCCAACAGTTCCGCGGACGACCTTGCAATCTCTCTCGAAATCAGCCCCGAGTCGCTCAAAGTCTTCATCAGTAATAGCCACGTCTTTCACCGTGATCCACTGTCGCTGATCGTCTATGTTTATGGCAAACGAGTTGTCCTCCAAGCGAGGACTCTGGAATCGATATTCGGCGAGATGGAAAGCTGTGCATTTGTCCCACCCAACCCCTAGAAGCAATACCCAGGCATCCACAGCTTCAAGTTTGGCTAGTGGACTTGATTCACCCAAGCGACAATCTGATGCATGCCCCTCTGTTATGTGCTTTGCTTGCGGACCCAATGCCGCAAAGGATGTCTGTGGATGGGCTGAACGCAGGGCACCGGGCCATGTTCGCAGCGTCTCAGGAACTATACCCACGACTCTAGTGATAGTAGTAGCTGGGTCGAAAGCTGGTATAGAGTCTCTAATTGGTTGCCACCATGATTCAGGTACTGGGGGAGCCTGCCATGCGGCTGGATCCGAGTTGTCGCCTGTGTGAGTTGGGACAACTATGGTGCCAGAGGGACCAAGGGCAGAGAGAAGAGACTGGATGAATGAGGGAGCAAATCCAGGAATGAAGCCGACGGACCGAAGGGATGAGTGTACGAGAATCGTTGGATCTGTTGAGGAAATGCTAGAAAAGAGATGCTTGAATGAAGTGGTAAGTTGAGACGGGGTGACGATGGTGGCGAAGTTGGAGTCGACAGACATTGTGAAATACCGAAGAACAGGTAGGGTTTTACAAGTTTTCGAGGAAGTATGAGGGAGAGTTGCAACTCATGCTTGATGTTTATCGCAGCTGAAATGCTACCTCTAGTATGGTAAAATACTTACCGAATGACTCATTTACTCCAACTTTCTCCGCGTCGCAATAATCTCGCATCAACAGAATAATATGTTACGAACGAAATGTTACATGAATGTAGTATAGTATAGCATCTGAATCAATTTTCGAGCATCTTCGCTGGCTTTCATAACTCGATAGATTAATCATTTTTGCATTGTTTGAATCATCAAATTCTATTTCTATGGTTCGAAACCAATGGATCCTTTGTATTTGAACTCTGTAGTTCAGGGTCTTTGCGCAAGTGGGCTCTATTGGTCTTCAGCCCTCACCCGCAACTCTTTATGTGCCTCTACCATTGGTATTGCCTTTCATTGAGCTACCTGTGACACCGTATACCTTCGAGCATCTTACTAGGTACATGTAGTATCCTACTTCTAGTTAATACATTAATGTCGCTTCAGAGCCATTCCCACCTTCTCAACTCTGAAACGCAGCCTTCATTGCCACCTTGTCTTGGTCGACATTTCCAATTGTACTCGCGAACCCCTTCCACCGAACTTCAGCCAATACTCGCTCCTTGTTCTCAATACCAGCTTCCGTATTTGACACCTGTCCAACCGCAATCTTCAAGATTTTTTCTACATCTCCATCAAATGTCTCCTCAACTAGGGGCAACCTCCATGCGACATGGTCATCAGGTCGGACGAGAACCGCATTCCGCTCCCAAATTTTCTGCACATGCTTTTCTTGCGGTAAATGAACGCCCTTAATGGGAATCCCAAGGCGTTTCGCAGCCTTTGTAAAAGAATCTGCCCATTTACCGTCTTCGGAAAAGTCGACAATCGTGTAGTCCTCCCCAAACAAGTCAAAGATGCTTGTCTCTCCGTCCAAAAGGAAGACGTGTGGTGCTCGAGCTCCTGGCCAAGTTGACGGGACGTAGTGACGGAAATTCCATTCAGGCTCTGCAGCATCAGCGTCTGGGACGATAATCGGGGATTCGTTGTAACGGTAACCCAACTCGATGCCATGGTCCTGATTCTCGCCATCGTTGGCTACAAAGGACTCTGCTATCTCGGCTTTGATGGCTTTTCCCTCTCCGGGTTTTGATAGAAGATTTCCCGCCCTTGCTTCGGCAACACGGCTCCAGATGTTGGCCCATCGTTGCCAAAGAGTGCCTGAGTGGTTAATATTCCGCACCGCAACGGGTAGCCGCTCCAGCTCATACGATTTCAAGAGATCTTTACCACCATATTGTCTCAAAGTGGCTGCAAGTTTCCAGCCGAGATCGAAGCTATCACCAACAGCTGTGTTCATTCCGTAGCCTCCCGTGGGTATGTTCTGATGAGCCGAATCGCCTGCGAGTAGGACGCGTCCGCCTGGAGTCATGTAGTTTTCTGCGACGCATATATTGGGCCGCCAGCTGCTTTTAACAAGAATTTCGTCTATTTTAATCGGGTATGGCCCTGATGGACCTCCGAGCGCATTATAGACAGTTTCTTCTGGATCGATTTTCTGCCAATCGGCATCGATTGGAATCATGGTGTGCAGCGTCCAAGTGTCGACCTCATCTTGAGCAATGATGAAAGAACCAGATATGAATCCAATATGCCAAAATTGCCCTTGCTTGTGCAAACTTGCGAGGTCTCGTGATTTGAAGTGAATTAAAAGCACAGCGCCAGGTCTGAGTGCATTTGTAGAAGACATCAGTAATGTGAACAAGGGGATGAGAGATGGTGACTTTTATAACTTACACAGGCCCACCGAGAAGATTAATTCCAACTGTTCTCCGGACACGACTACCAGCTCCATCGCAGCCCACAACATACTTGCTCTGAACAATGTGTTGCTCGCCAGTGACTACATCAGTGAGTTTAGATTCCACTCCATCCTCGGTCTCTATCAGAGATTCAAACTTGAGGCCAAAATGGCCATCAATGAGTTTCTCAGCTTGAAGTCGGGGCTTGAGCCATGCCTCTAGGACAGCTTGAGAACAGCGCTGGTAGGGTTCTCGAGGAAGGGAGCCATCATTTTGCGTATTAATACGTTGCCACCAAGCATTGACAGAGTCGAGCTTCTATACAATTGGCCAAAATTAGCCCAGATCTCATCTATTAAATGACAACAATCCTTCAGTATGACTCACCCATCTAGATATTTCTTCTCCGCCGTCTGAAAACCCAGTACTAACAAGAACATCAAAGGAGTACTGTGGCGGGACACCTAGGTTCGGAGTAAGGATTTGCAATAGTATAGATTTATAAATTAAAATGCTCACCAATTTCTCGCAAGCCCTCAGATATTCCAAGTCGGCTAAATAGTTCCATGCTACGACAATTTGTGAGATCCATTTTAGGCCATTTTGTGGTATCCAAGTTGCGCTCAACCAGCATGCAGTGAATCCCATAACGCGCGAGTTGGAGGGCCAGAATTAAACCAGCAGGACCGCCACCAACTACCAAGACTGGCGTTTCGTGATAAATAACCTGGTGATTCTGTATGTTAGTACAGATTTGTTTCTTAATGCTTGGTAGAACCTTGCCGTTTTGCTAATCATATTTAACACTGAAGAATAACTCCACGAAAGTGATTTGAGGGGCGTAATGATATAGATCAATTCTGATATGAGCAAAGTCTGTGAGTTGCAATCCCTAATTTTGAAAGACCTATTCACGAGTTTATATATATACTGTCTAGCTCATATGATACGAAGTGGCTATAGAATTTCATGTAACTATCGCTTCTCTCGCTCCACAGATGTTGCCGCCACAAAGGGCATACTCGTTTCGAAAGGCCGTTCTAAGCCAATAGTCAATACCCCGTACATCCGATGGGGTACACACAATCCCAGTCACCTCCATTCACAAGGTAACCACGCTTGGATCTGTATCACATCGCATCAGTCATCATATGTTAATCATCGCGTAAGAACCCTTTCACACCCGAGAACTACGGCAATCACAAGGCTTTACAGGCTTGTGGTTGCATCCAATACTCTTGAAAGTAGATTGATAATACCGAGAAATGGAAGTATAGCCGGTTTGAATGGCATTCAGCAGCTGAGCTCACGGAGAAATATAGTTGACCGTCTCCGATGTCCGATATCTACCTCGGAATGTCGGGTGTTCCCTTATTGACCGGTTTGAGTGGACTAGAAATCGAAAATCATCCCATCGTGCCAAGATATGTACATTAGCCATTCGTTTAAAACAGCATCAAGTGATAGCATGATAAACATTATGGCCGGCTAAGATCTAAAAGAGAGATTCATGAACACTATTGGTAAACTTTTTACCTCGGATTCTCGCACGTGGAACCAATGTCAGCTGCGGTGGTGCAGACAAGCTCTCGGACTTTGAAGGTGCCCGATCGTTTGGATGGCATGACAAGCCCAGATGTATGTGCGCTTGGAAGCGGTTGGTTATGGAAATATCGCCATCGGAATTACATAAATACTTGACAGGTTATCCAAGACTCGTAAACACACAAGGCAAAAGTTGCTAAGCCACTGAGGAGGTCAGCTCGCTATAAACTCGCTAATAAACTCGCTCTTCATGCAAGGCCCGCGCAAATGTAACACTGTTTTCATGCAATTGAAAGGAGAGTCTCTCAGCCGATCACAAAGATGGAGGTCTAATTTCAGACGGAAATAAGACGCCAAGGATATGGCGGAAATATCTGGTCTTCGTTTCCTTCTTGGTGTGATAACTCGACTCATTTCTACGTCTCCTCGGGCCCTCCTGAATCGGTTGTTGATCCTTATTCGGCCCTTGGCCGAGAATGTAGTTTCCCGGTTACATTGGCCATCAAACTAAAATTGTGCGAGATCCAGCTACTGCAAGTCAAAGCACCCGATCACCTCGAAGAAACCTCCGCTTACCAATGTGTAAGCCGCTTGGGTCCGCTCAGCATCCGGTGTATGCATGATCAACATAAATATTATCTCCCGGAAAGTAAAATCCCGGCTTTAACTGTAGATCATTGAGAACCTCTGAATTACTATAAGAGGAGCTAGTTGCCTTTTTTTGCCCTTCACTTGTTGAGACCTGACTGCGTCTATCAAGAGAATCTAACTCATGCATTCTACTTGTGCCTTACCCGCAGGTTGTCTTATTCTCACGGTATCATGACCTGCTACATTTATTTGTATCCATGTCAAAACGCGAGGCCAGATTGTTCATATGAATATGTTCAAATATTAACGATGTCTAAAAATGTATCTATGTCAAGGTTAGTGCAATGCTCATCGTTGTAAGATTCGTCATGGCGAAGAGCGTACCACTTCTCCAGGGTTTTGTTGTAGGCACAATAGGTTCGTGTTCAGCGTGGTCGTACCCGCAAAGCCAAGGATGCTTTGCGGCGGAGCGCGAACCGTTGAAGTCGTTTGCCTCGAACATCTGGCTTGTGCAGGCACGTTTCGAAATAGTTTGACTTCCTTCGTGAGAAATACTAGGCATAATCCATAGGTAGCTTGGAATATTTGGTACCGTACTTGCGGCCACTATGTGTATCCGTATTGTAAGGCCAAGGTCAAATTAACGCGCGGGAAAACACCCGAGAGGTGTCCGTTATCGTAGTTGCCAACCCTTTTAGAGGAACTTTGGCAATATATGATTTGGCTTAAATACATATACATCGCATATAAGATGAAAATGACTGGCCAAGCGTTTGCCTTTATACATGCCATACCGTCGGAGAAGTACATGTCGGCTTTGGCAAGATTCAGCTCTGCGAGCCGCAATTCGCGCGACAGTGGCTTTTCTGCCATGGTTGTTTATTGTCATACGCGGTATGGAGGCTGCGCATTGCCGCGAAGCTACCACCTACTGGGTAATGGCTGAGCACCTCTAAGATGAAGCCAGAATCCATGCCACAACGTGGTGAGGGTACCTGCACGTATAGACAGCGTGGTGTCTCAATAGGCGATTCTCCCGTGGTCCTCAAAACGGGTTGTATCTTGAGACGTCTGGGTGAGAAATTTGGCGAATTATTGAGCGTGTAAAGTGGGAAAATATTGGAAAGGGAAAATTTCTGATTCTCGCAATTCACATTGGGGCTAAAGTTTCTACAAGGTTCGTGCCAGTCCAAGGTTGACATCTATCTAGACAACTGCGTCTGAAACGACGTGATTCTGGCACCTGGCTTGCGTTGCGGTAAGGTAAATATTTATCCAACGACACAATCTGCCAGGCGTAGATCATCAAATTCCATGGTCCTGTAATTCCCGGGTATGTTCGAAATATCTCAACCACTTAACGTCAAATTTCTCCCATTTGTCAGTCATGATCCCATCTCAATCTGATCATTGGTGGTCGTACTATGACAAGCGTCAAATATTTGCCGCCAGATCAAATGCAAATAAAGCGAAGAAAGCAAAACATAGATAACTACGAGGACGTGGCGCAGTCGTTCATATTGCGGCATAAATTGTCTTTTTGTGTGCGTGTATGTAAGTAGTCGGGTGAATACGCACCCTTTTGGCAAGATAATCCACCCGGAAAGAGAGAATAGAAGTCATCTGGCCAGGGTGCCAGTTTTCGTGTCCTCAGTGTTAGTTGTGAAAAGCAATCAACAATGGGGGGGGATCCCGCTATAGCGTTACAGGCAGCTGATATAACTCTTGCGCCAAGATACGAGCCAAAAGAGAAAATGCCCCAGCAATGGCGTCATCTTGATGAAGCAGTGACTGAAAAGAGAAATCCATGCATCAGACTATACGATGGAATTCTCTTTGTATCATCACATTTCTCCGTTTCTGCAACATAGAGTTCTCCGCATTGACATGGGCCGTATTCAGAGCTAGGCTGAGATGCGCAAAGCGCCATTGACAAGACGCCCACGAGGTGAAGAGCCGCCCCGTTGCCAGGATATTGGTATTGCCGCAACTGGAAGAACTATGTCGATCCGTCTATTTAGATTGGACCGGGAACACTCTCGGGGGTTGTTTGCGGGGAGGAGGCCTGAATTCGTGTTGTAACAGTGCTTATAAAAGCTGGGCAACATTGCGTGGACCGCACAAGCATACAGCTGGCCATTGACCAGCAAGAAATTCGACCTGTGTAGCATCTCATATGATCGCCAGGAGGAGATGAACGCCTTGGCAATGTGCCGGAACAATTTTCCCTAACCACAAGCCCCACGGAAGAACATCAGGGAGGGCGTATACGGCCGTAGATGTAAACATATATATTCGCTTCCAGCACTGTCACAATGCTCGTGGTTTTCCCGTCGTTCTTCCCTCATCTGATCAACCATGCCTCGTCTTGAGCTCCTTTGTCTTGGAATCGGCATCGCCGGTGTCACAGCGGCTCCAACCGCTTCCGCTTCAACGCCCCTCAAAGTCATTAGCTATGCCCAAACACCCAACGGTTTCCGGAGCCCAGCAAGAGGCTGGAACACCTTCGCTCTGCAGGCAAATCCCAACACGGCCCCTGGCTTCCAGTTTGATCAAGCACATGTTTTGACTCAATGCAGCGTGCTGGCGTCGGGTTCTTTCAAAGGCCACTACGAAACCTGTAGCTTGGACTCTGGCTGGTCAGTGGGTGATCACGGCGATGACAACGGTCGACTGATATATGATGACACTCTTTTCGATATCCCTTCACTCGCCAGCTCTCTTCATGCGCTAGGTTTGGATATGGGTGTTTATGTTGTTCCAGGTGCCTTCCTCAGTGACGTGAATAAGACTATCCTCGGAACCGAAACCACCATAGGCGAAGTTTGCACGGGAAATGAAGGCTTGCTTCGCTGCATCTTCGACTATACGAGACCGGAGACACAAGAGTGGCACAACTCTGTTGTTGACCAGTTTGCCTCGTGGTATGTTCGCCCCGACATAAAGAAGACGTCATGAACACGAACGGCCACTAATTATATCACAAAGGGGAGTTGACTTTGTCAAGCTCGATTTTGTCACGCCAGGATCTCCCGATAACGGCCAGAGCCTGCCTGCAGACCAGAGCGGTTCAGTTATTGCCTGGCATAATGCCATCAAGAACAGCGGCAGGCAGATGCGCTTGGATATCTCTTGGAAGCTGGACCGCACTCAAAAGTACTTTGACATCTGGAACAGCAACGCCGATTCTATGCGAACTGACCAGGATCTCAACAACTCTGGATCAAGTACTTTGGTAAGCTGGGGTACTGTACAGCGCGCGATTGACAACTACCGCCAGTGGATTGTCGCCGGTCTACAGTTCTTTGACGAGTTGAATATCTACCCAGATATGGATAACTTGGTCGTGGGTAACCCGGAGAGCATCTCCGGACTTAGCGATGGGCAGCGTACTACTGTCATGACTCACTGGATTGGAGCTGGTGCCAACCTCATCATCGGCAATGACATGACCACGCTGGATGATCTTGGAACAAACCTTCTTACAAATTCCCAAGCACTGCAAGTCGCTGCTTTTACGGCTCAGTACCCGATGCAACCTCGCAATCCCGGCTCAGGAGGCCAAGATGCGACACAATTCCAGGCTTGGATTGCAGGCCCATCTCCCTCTGGCGAAGCCGTCGTTATTCTCGTGAATCTCGGTCCCGATAATGGCCAAGGCGGATTCGGAACGCAAACCAGAGGAGTTCAGACGGTAACCGCAACGTGGCAAGACTTGGGAATCTCCGGGCAGTTCAACGTGCAGGATATCTGGAACAATAAGAGCTTGGGTGTTATTGGCGATCAAGTCTCTGCGCAGCTCAATGAGGGTGATAGTGTGTTGTTACATCTAACATCGGCATAACAATGTGAGAGGTATCAATGCTACACACTGCAATATTACATTTGTGTTTCGAGGAAAGTTATTCGGTCTGATTTGAAGTATCTCTATGGTCATGAGAGCCACAGCCACACAGACAATTGCATCTCCGTATCGTGCGCTTGAGTGTTTTAATACTATAGCTTTTCGAATCGCCGTGAGCCCCACTCCGTACGATACACCATCTCAAACCCACGTGTGATGAGGAAATGGCGAAGTTTCAGGTACTCTTCTAGTGGGGGGTTGCGGAGCAGGTATCACCAAACCTACAGATCAATGAAACGTGATGATCACAGTCTTTGTCAGATCAAGTGAATTTGTTACACAGTTTTAAATGGTACACCATGCTTCATAGGCAACGAGGCGCAACTTGTCTGATCAATCAGTGTTTATCCGTGGGTCATGCGTATCCTGCAAGGCTATGTGCGACAGCGATTAAAAGTGTCAATTTGTATTGAAGTTTTTACCACGAAACCAAAGATTCTTGGTGAACCATAATTTGTAAGCTCTTCACTCCTCCAATCAAGGCACCGGCGGTTAATGCGTGTAGATAGCGTTACAAAGGAGATTTTCATCTCACCTCTTCTGGCGCTCATCCATCTATCTTTGCCAATGTCTGTCGCCAAAAATATCCCTCTTTGAAGATTGAAAGACGTGGGAAAGGCTATTCATTGTGTAGACAAACGGAGGAGCGTCCTCGAAAAAATACGTGAAAGGGGAGTGGATCTTAACTCCACGAGCAAGCCGCTTTCTCGCCTGACTGGCCAGTTGGTCTGCCTGAACATGTATGCATACGTGATACAATCCGTATTCTATAAATGGTATTTCGATACACAAGAGTGAACAGAGTAATACCACGTCCTTGATGTCTTTTCTGTACCTAAGTGTCTGTATCCATCAAACGGCATTGTCAAGCCGGAATTGGTGAAATTAATCAAAATCTTAATGAGGTTAGCGTTCCGGACTGCATCGAATAATCAAGGATTTGGAGGCAAATACCGAGCAAATCAGCCAACAAAGCCCGCCATCTGAAACATTCCATGGCCCTGTAACGGAGTTTTGCATTCCAGCTCCGAGTCGACGGCCTGAAAAGTACACCCAAGTACATGATTGTCGTAGCCTATGTTGATGAACATGCCGTGGATGGTGGGGAAAATGCGGGCGGGGTTAACGAGGCGATAGCAGATTTCGTAGCAAAAGGAGCTGCCAAAACATCGTATACTAGCAAAACTCCTCCTTGCCTAGCCATCTCTCGAAGCTTCATTGAGTAATCTCACGGACCTCGGGGTTAGCTAGCGTACCGGTATAAGGTAAACTCCGGAAGTCGTCTCCGATAAGAGACAATTAGGAGAGAGAAGTATAATAACAGCAGACAGGCGGCCAATCAAAGATATAAGAGTCACAGAGATTCCGTTGCAAATTCGCTTTGGATTCACTGCGGTTCGGAACTCACAACAACAACAATAGCAATTAACTTCCATCGAATCAACCCAAAATCCATCACCATGGTTCAGTATCTCGGCAAGGAAATAGGTCCTATTGGATTTGGCCTCATGGGTAGGTATATGGATCAAATGGCCGCTACCATCATATTCTCCAGTAGCTGACCAGAAATTCAAGGCCTGACATGGCGCAAAGACCCTCCTGCTTTGGAAGATGCGATCGCCGTCATGAAGGCTGCCGTCGACAATGGCCTCACCATGTGGAATGGCGGCGAGTTCTATGGAACTCCCGAGTACAACTCCATGACGATCATCAAGGCCTACTTCACAAAGTATCCCGAAGACGCTGAAAAAGTTGTATTAGTGATGAAGGGCGGCATTGATATGAAGCTCTTCAAGCCTGACGGATCACCCGAAGGTATCCGCCGGTCGCTCGACAATATTCTGGAGCAGCTCGGAGGCACCAAGAAAGTGGACGCCTTCAACTGTGCCAGGCGAGACCCGGCGTATCCTCTATCTGTTACTTTTGGAGTCATTCAGAAGGAGTACATCGACACCGGCAAGATTGGTGCCATCGCGCTCTCCGAGTGTGGAGTCGATACCATTAATGAAGCCGCCGCGGTAGCCAAGATTGCTGGCGCCGAAGTCGAGATCAGTATGTTTTCGCCAGATGTTCTTAACAACGGAATTGCCGCTGCTTGTAAGAAGCATGATATTCCCATCATTGCGTATTCGCCGATTGGAAAGGGTGTAAGTAGCATCACTCAGATGAGGGCTCTTCATACGCAGGTTCGAGGCTGACAACGTCTTACAGCTGCTCTCTGGCGAATACAAAAGCTTGGAAGACGTCAAGAAGCTTGGATCAGTCTCCTCATTCCCGCGCTTCCAGCAGGAGCAGCTCGAGCACAACCTCAAGCTGGTCCAACAAGTGGAGCAATTCGCCAGCCAAAAGTCGTGTACTCCTGCGCAGGTAGCCATCAACTGGGTGAGGAGCCTGACCAACGACCCGGAGCTACCTCTTGTGGTCCCAATTCCTGGGTCCTCGACAGTCGCACGTGTGGAAGAGAACGCAAAGGTGGTTGAGTTAACCAAAGAGGAATTGGACACTCTCACCAATCTTGTCACGGGCTTTGAGACTGCTGGCAGCAGATACCCGCCTCATGCACCGGTCAACACTTAAAACTGCTTGCAAGAGATTTGAGTTTTCCTATAGGAGCTTCATAGGAGATGCGTTTCTGTAATAATCGCAGCTTTGCTATAAAAAGATGAAAATGCTATTACGAAACTGTTCCGATCGTGACCATGGCCAAGACATTATTACTTGATCAGGAAATTCGCAGGAATCCTTCGCTCAAAATCAAGCTGCTTACTAGGCGCTAAATGTCAAATCCCGAGCATATCGGCGTTGAGAGAGCAATTTTGCCGCTCCTACTCGGATCCTCCCGAAGCTATCTGCAAAGAGGAGCCAAGTCCTGCTTACACTGCCTCCCGGATATATAATCCATCACATGCAAACCATACAGATGCAGATACAGAGTATGCCCGCATATGTGGGATACCTTTTGCTTACTTGATGCAAGCCTATAAGAGTCCAGATCTTCAAACCCGTGCTGTTCGTTGTAATCGTAACCTGCTTAGCAATCCAAAATATCTCCGTATAACTCCACACTCCACGAGGCCAATTTTGACCCTGATAGGGTGACACTTTACCGTGAAGATGCTAGCACATGCAATTCTTTCATGGATATGGTTTCATTCATTTACGAAGCTCAGATATGATCAACTATTCATTCATCGAGGCCTGATCAACTTTAACCTCCATCGTCTTCTCGTGCGATGCAAGATATCGACGTCAAGCTGGGTCCAACGGGTCTGCTTACCTCTTTCACATCCGTAACAGCAGAGGAACGTGAAGTATTTTGTTGCCTTTCTCATGACAGGCCACTCGCATTTATCTACTCAAGAATACGACGTGATTGCTTCTGCCAAAGCCAGAAGTCGCTGATAAACCGGTTGATCCGCACCCCCGCATCTCGTCGATGTCGTGATTCCAAGCGCCAAGCACACTCACCTGCTTACACACAAATCCTATCGGATCATCGATAGTAATCATATGTCCCTCATATATAGCCGTAATCTCCAGTAGAGAGGTAGAAAAAAAAAAAATCTTGGGATAGTAGCGATCAACCGTAAAATCTGCCCATAGCTCAGTAACTCACAATGTCGAATCCTAGACAACTCCATCTTACCGCGTTTATGCGGCCCGTCAGTCTTCATACTGGCGCCTGGCGTTACCCTGGATCATACGCCGATGCTAACTTCAATCTAGCTCATCTCAAGTCCTTTATCCAAAAGCTCGAGGCTGCCAAGTTCGATGCCTTCTTCATGGCCGACCACCTGGCTGTCCTCAACATGCCTATAGAAGCCCTCAGACGCAGTCAGACTGTCACATCATTCGAGCCCTTCACACTACTCTCGGCTCTGTCCCAGGTAACAGAGAAGATTGGCCTGGCCGCTACTGCTTCTACAACTTACGATGAGCCCTATCACATTGCCCGCCGCTTTGCTTCGCTGGACCATCTCAGCGGTGGTCGTGCAGCTTGGAACATTGTGACCACGGGAAACCCGGATAGCGCAAAGAACTTTGGCCGGGACGAGCACATGGATCACTCAGATCGGTATAAGCGTGCCCGAGAGTTTTACGATGTCGTGACGGGATTGTGGGATAGTTTTGCAGATGATGCCTTTATCCGGAACCAGGAGACTGGCATCTTCCTGGACCCTGAGAAAATTCACACGCTCAACCACGTGGGAGACGAGCTCAAGGTCAAGGGTCCCTTGAATATTGCCCGACCCGTCCAGGGCTGGCCCGTCATTGTGCAGGCCGGACAATCAGATCCAGGACGACAGCTGGCCGGAGAAACAGCCGAAGTAGTCTTTTGTTCTCCAGGAAACATCGACAGTGCCAAGGCGCTGTACGCCGACATCAAGGGACGAGCTGTTGCCGCTGGCAGGAAGAAGGAGCACATCAACATCCTCCCAGCAGCTCTGGTGATTGTTGGCGACACCATCCAGGAGGCCAAGGAGAAGCGGCTCAAGCTCGACAGCCTCGTCAACTACGAGAGCTCCATTGCGAGCTTGTCGATTAGTCTTGGAACAGACGCTTCGCAGTTTGATCCAGATGGCCCTCTGCCCACCGATTTACCAGAGACGAATGCCAGCAAGACCAGCAGAGAGGGCGTCTTGAGGCTCGCAAAAGAAGAAGGGTTGACCGTGAGACAGCTTGCACAGCGTTTCGGAGGATACTCCGGCTTTGGCTTCGTAGGAACAGTACAGAGCATTGCAGATGAGTGGGAGAAGTGGCTCACGGAGGAAGCTTGCGATGGTTTCACCGTCTGCTTCCCCTTCTTGCCCCAGGGACTCGATGATGTCGTGGAGAAGTTGATTCCGGAGCTGCAACGTCGGGGCATCTTCAGGACGGATTACACGGGAAGCACTCTGCGTGAACACTTTGGCCTGCCGAGGCCAGAGAATCAGTTCTTTCCAAAGGCCTAGATACATGTATGATAGAACTGGTTCGTGATTAGAGGTAAATAGAATACTCGACAACAAATAAGACATAGTTCATGTATCATGGCTCAGAAGAGACGTCCAGATTTATGTCCACCGTGCAAGACGTAGCGAGTGGCTTACACTAGGTACAGGTATTTACATGTAAGGTAGATAGAGATACATTCGCATAGAGACGACAGCTTCCTTTCGTTTGCTTACAAGATATAAGTATTCAATCAGGTAGTTACCTGCACTATTTGGACTTTCAGGGTGTACCATATATATATGTGTATTCATTTGGGCAGTTACATGTACTCAAGTTGTCTATATACAGACGAAGCTAGATATATACAGTGCTTCCACACTCTCATCTCTTCTTCATTTCACATCAATCATTTCATCACATGCTATTTTCTCAACCCTCCCCACGCTTAAGCCTTGGGCAGCAGCCAGGTAGTCACGGAGTGACCGGGAACACGAGCGTTCCAGGTCTGGCTCTCAGACTCGGTGGCAAGGCGGACCCAGACATCGTCGCCATATCGGTTCTGGATGACGACCGTGCGGGTGCCATCGGGGTTGATGGTGGCAACAGACTCGACTCCGGTGTTGGGGTCGAACAGCCAGCTGCCAGAGCCGTCGACAACAACGGCGCCCTTGGGGATGTACCTACTGAACTGACCGAGCATGTAGTAGTCAATCTCCTTCTTGTAGCTGCTACCATCGGCGCTGACGGTGACGAGACCGGTGCACTGGTGGCAGTTGCCGCCGCCGGACAGGGCAGGGCCACCGCCGGTGAAGGAACCAAGGGTCCAGGCGATGATACCGTTGGCCCAGTTCTGGAGAGGGAACAGGGCGAAGCTGGAGCTGTGGATCCAGTCGGTGGTGCCAACGGCAGTCCAGCACTCGGTCATGTACTGTTCCTTGTTGGGGAACTCGTTGTGGAATTGAGTGAGAGGAGTCCAGTTATCAGGGGAGTTACCGGCATAGCAGTGCCAAGCAGCAGCCTGGACGTACTGGCTAGCCATGTTCATAACAGTCTGGGGGTAAGAGTAGACGTCTAGATTAATACATGTTAGTCAGGCTTAAAACAGTGAGTAAATGGAATGAATGGATCACAAACTCACCCTGGTTGTGGTCCCAAGCCCAGATCTGGGTGTTGAGGCCGGCAGCACGCAGAGCAGGGCCAACCTTGTCGCGGATCAGAGCACCAGACTCATCCTGCTGGATAAGCATGGTGGGCATGTCGTCCTTGTTGTTCAGGGGCTCGTTCTGGAGGGTGATGGCGTCAATGTGGGCACCGCCAGCCTCATAAGCCTGGATGTACTTGACAAAGTACTGGGCATAGGCGTTCTCGTAGGCGTGGTTGAGCTTGTTGTTGGCAGTACCGCCACCAATCAGAGAGTTCTTGACCTTCATCCACCCAGGAGGTGACCAGGGAGAACCAAGAATAGTCAAGTTGGGCTGCAGTTTACGGAAGTTGGCCAGCATGCTGATCATGGCCTTACCACGATCACCCGGGTTGAAGTTGACCATGCCGGTGTCAACCTTGCCACCAGCATCATCATAAGTGTAAGCGGGATCAGCAGAAAGATCCGAGCTAGCAACGGTGTGACGCAGCAAGTTAAAGTTGAGACCCGAAGAGGTCATCAGGTCGTTGAACAGCTGAGTGCGAGAGTTGGCATTGAGCTTGTTGAAGGCAGCAACGGTAGCATCGGTGACAGCAGCACCAAAGCCCTTGACGGTTTGCTTGCGACCGGACTTCTCCTTGATGAACAACTGCCAGTCTCGAATACCGGGGTTGCCAGCGCCTAGGACAGGAGCCTGGACCGAGGTGAACTGGTAGCGGCCGTCCTGGGATGAAGAAAAGGACGAGGCGGCATTGACGCCGCTAACGGCCGCAATGGTGGTGAGAACGGAGACCAGCAACATGTTGATGAGAGGGAGTTGTCAAACACTGAGGAGAGAGCTGGGAAAGAAAGTCTAATTGCAACGGGAATCGTCGTCTCCTTATATTCACCCGGGTTGAGACTCTCTCTCTCTCTCAACCGGTTTCCGGAAGTTCGTCGCCGGAACCCGCTCAATGGAACACGAATATCCGTCACATTATTCCCAATTCATCCATTCAATCACTTGATACCTCCCCCCTTGGGCGGCAAGCCACAGTAACAAGACAAGAATCACACCTTGCTTAACATTCTCAATAAGCTTAGATGCATTAGCCTTAGTCCTGCTCAGCTGTGGCCGTGCCAGGAGGAGCCTGACATGAGGCCTCGAACCGCAGCCAGGCACAAGCACGAGTTACCAGGACAGGCCAAGCAGTCAATCGGCCCTATCTCAACGCTCCGGCTCCCGTTGCCGCTCTGGAGGCCGGCCTGACCATACCGTAACCGGGTAGCCCGTGACGATCGCCAGAAGCCATTAGGCGGAGCAAAGCGTCAAGCTTTCAACACCGCCAATTCTTAGAGTCTCTGCCGCGTCAACTGTTTACATGTAGTCATCGTCTCTTTTCCTTTTTTTCCTCAAATCAAATCATAGGAAAAAAAATACACTAAAACTCGACCAATTACTTCCGTTATTCCCACAAACAAGGAAAACCACTCTTGCCTAAAGAAGCCGTAGCAACTTGTAAGACAACACCAATCAAGCTCCTCCTCTCATGGCATCACGTGTATCCTCAACAACGCCCATAAGCGACCCCCAAAGCCGGTCGAAAGACACGAATCAAACCCCCCGGGGGCGGCTTTGCCAAGAGTCCATGAAGTCTTCAGAGCTGCCGTTTCAAACAACTTGCCTATTTGGGCCGTGGAGAGAGTGCGCCAAAGCGGAGACCATTCGAGGGCCTGGATGGCACCATGTGGTGCTGACAGGCATCTTTGGGGCAGTTTCTACTCCGTACAGAGTACGCATTGATTTTGGGTTTGTTCTGGCATGCTGGAAATGAGATTTGGTATGGTGTGCTGACTTGTATATGCGAGGATGATAGGCTCTCCTTACTGTCTCCCTCGGTCAGTAAGAGTAATCCAAAAACACCACGCTACTCGTCCCAGAGTTACATCCTCGACCCAGATCAAGACTCAAGAAAGTTACTAGTAAAAGAAACAGGCGGGCATGCCCGCTTCAAACATCTCCACCTCCGCTCTCTTCCCCACGTAGCTTCATCATAGTTCGTGTCCTGATGCCTGAGGATGACACGCACATTGCTCAACCACCAGATATCCAACACGGCTGGCATCATCCGACAGTGTCGAACTTCAAAAATGGAGCCATAGAGCCGCGCCCAAACAGGTTCCGGATGAGACAATCCCGTCTAGCGATCCGCCGAGCGGAAGCTCCAAAGCCGTAACACAATGCTACGACTCTCGCCCTCTCGCTCTAACTAAGCTAAAGCTAGCCGTGTCTAGCGCTGAATTAAGCGTCGAAACAAGCATACAACAAGCATACGAGTATAATCATTGTTTATTGCCCCTAGAGCGTTCCGATAATGTAATGCAACCTTTGAACAAGTTTCCCATCCCAGGCACCAATACTTATCCGTATCCTTCCGGGCTCCCTGCAACTCTATCAAATCAAGCATGGAGACTTCGTATAAGTCTCATTCAAATACAGCAGCTCGTCGTCCAAAGCACACTCAAAGCGACAGTCACCGAAACAGCATACAAAGCAACACACAGCCCTGTTCCCCATCAAGACACCTTCTTCTTCACCTTCTTTTTTCGGCGCCTTCCCCACAAATCCACTTTGTCTGAGGGAAACACGCCCTTCTCCAGGCGCGGAATGCCGAGACTCCCCTAGTCCGAGACCTCGGTGATAGCTTGGAGATGCTAGCTGACGACGATCTATTCTTGGCCGGGCCTGTCAACAGTTGTGAAAGACTTCATGTCGAGAGTCAATGCCACTTACAAGACCTGACATGTTGACATACCTACTGTACGGAAACCTGCGAGATTACAACATTACAGCATACTCTCTTCACAAACATCATCACCAAGGGTCAGCGAAATGGCGGACAAAGCTGCTTGCGCAACAATCTATTCGACACTTGCCCTGGCTTCTAGTCTAGTGTCCTTTTTCCCCACGGATTCCTCGGTCAAGCTTACCATTAGCAGCTAGACAGCTAGTGAAAACGCATAGCTCAATGCAAAACCAAACGCCACCTCCCAGGATCACGGCTGGCACCGAAGCTCTGAATTGAGCGTTTCTATAACTGACCGTCTCTTTGTAAGCATCTCTACTTGAAGTATATTATCCTCCTCCATCCACAAAGCGGACAATTAGCAATCCAGGCCGTGCCGCTTTGTCCGCCGAGCGCCCGCCTCGTATAGAATCGCTCCATATGGTCACGACAATATGATCTGATGAAGCGAGAAACCTGCCAAGAACGAAATACCGCTCATACAAGCACGGCATCTGGTGTGTGCCATTAATCTTCCGAATGTGTCGGAATATTACCCTCTGCACCTTGAATGCTCCCGTCGTCTTCCTCACCCACATCACTCGTATAACGGGTCGGGCAGACGGCAGTGATGATTCAAGACGTAACCTAGGCTCCCAGAAATTAAGCTCAGGTTAGATTCAAGCTTGCCAAAGAAAGGCCCGAATCACCGAGTTTGTTGAATACTTGTACGATATTATACCAAGATGTCAGTACCAAGACACGTCATGGTAGACAGCCCTGCGGTGCTGAGACCAGATTCGGGTTGGCTTGCATCGACGGTCCGCAAGGTCGGGCGGGTTGTTGCGCATCTGATAACTCAAGCCACAAGTCAACAAGTCGTGAGTGATAGGCGGTACACCAGTACGCCAATATACAGTATCCGTGTCAAGTCTGCCAGCACTGCGCGGTGCAGCTCAAGCGTTGACAACGCATCTGGGGTGCATCTCAACCCTCCGACAAAGTGGAACGTTGCGCACTAACAAGGGCACCATCCTTATTAGAGCTGCATAATCACAATGTAGGGGGAGATGCTACCCATCACTGCCAAGCGTGACTATGTCCCTGGGCGGCTCTCCACCATTTTCCTTTTCTTCTGTCGAGAGCAACCTCGTTTTGATGCAATGTGCGCTCTTGGCAGTGTCGTAAATATTGCATATCGTAGATATCCAGTCTCTTGCTGCTCATAGAGTCGGGCCAAACAGATCATTCGCCGCCTCCAACTTTCTCCGTTTCGGGTCCCTCGCTTCGACAGCATCTCCAAAGACCGCTCCGTCGCTCTGTGGTGTCGGCTTCTTGACCTTTGTTGTGGCCTGCTCGCGTCTCGCTCGCTGGAGTGCTACTAGATCTGCTCTGTCGGTGTCTCTGCACTTTTGCAGCTTCTTTCGAAGGGGCTTCATGGACTTGACGAGGTCGGGCTGTGTTATTTGTTAGCTTGATGCAATGCGGATAGAAGAAAGGTGACCAGATCAGCACGTACCGTTTCCCAGTGGTCCTTCATCCGCTGCGGAGGTTCCTTTTCCAGCATGGAGCGACAGCTCTCAATCGTCTTCATAATCTTTTCTCTCATTTCCGCATGTGACGCCTCATGCTGGCCATCGTCTCCAGGGGGAGATACGGGAATCAGCATATCAACCAATTCCTTGTCCACCATCAGCAGAGCAGCCATCATGATTTGACTTGGCGTGTAGTGGAAGTAGGCGTCGGTCAGCAGAGGGCTGAACTTGAGAATGTCTCGAGCCAGCGCGTGAGCTTTGGCTACCCTGCCCTCTTCCTCCGGTAGACGTTTCCTCAGCTCCAATACGGCTCCCTCCAACGCCCTGAACGGATGTCGCACGTCAAACGCGAAGCGAATGCCCTGGCAGAGCAAGAACTCGCCCGCCAGGATCTGCTCGCTCGTCGTGTTGGGAAACATCTCGGCCAGCTTGGCCAGCCTGATGTAGTATCCTTCTGCCTTGCACCCGAAAAACAGTGACGTCTTCAACAGCTCAGTGGGCGGATACGTCATGACTGAGTTTGTAATGTAGAATCTGCGAAAGAAGACGGCGGCCGTGGATCGAATCTCGGTCGGGAGCTCGCAGAACTGGGCGGCGCGGATCAGCTCTGTTGTGAAGAATTGCACCAGCATTGTCTCCTCGGCGGGCGTCAGGAACTCGGGCTGGGCATCTGGCGCAAAACGCGGCGAGATCTGCTGCTTGGCGAGGTCGTTTGTCTTGACGCGAAGCTCTCGCAGGCTGGTTGGCGAAAAAGACCAGAGGCGGAACTGGCTCGACTGCCGATATCTCTCGTCTTCGGTGGCCATTTTGTAGGAGATGAGACGAATAGATAGAGAATGCGCAAGAGTATCAAAGAGAATGGAGAAGAAGGAATTCCTATCTGGACGTGCGATATCCAAACGGGGATGTAAATTGTAAATCGCAAAAAGTTTACTATCATGAAGCTGCAGAGTAGATGCTAAAGCTTAGGCTACAGCACGTGCGAAATACCGTGTCTAAATTTCATTCATACTGTATGTCCAGACATCTGCTTCAGCTTCAGCTTCAGCCTCATGCACCACCACTCTTCACAAAAATCTCACGACAGCACGCAATTTCATTGCAACGATAGACGGACGCCATTGATGTCAATTTCTGCATATTCAACAAAACACCTTGGACTGTGCATCGCTCCCTGGCTATGAATGCATGTATATATACCAAACGCAATGCATCACCGCCCACTCTAGGTAACTTTTTTTTCATCCTACTTTCCAAGCTCATCTGAGAGCATGTCCAAACAATGACGCTGCCAATAAAACCTATCCGTATACAGCAAAGAAAATATAAGAGATTCTCCCTCGCGTCATTTCATTTCGTTACAGGGATTGCTTCGAGAGCAAGAACAACAACGCCGCGTATACCAAACCCAGAATAAAACAAAAAAAAAAAATCGCTAATGTCCTGATCCCGCTTCAATATCCCGGGGTGGACATCTTCCGGGGGATAGGAGGAGGCGGAGGCTTCTTGGCCCGGTTAACAGGAGGCGGTGCTTTCTTGGACTCTGGCGCAACCTGGTTCACGTGGAAACTGCCATAGCTCGTTGCCGGGCTGACGCTGCCGTCTCCCCAGCTGGGGGTGTTATCCCCGCTGTAGACGGAGTTGTCGTCAAAGATGTCTTCTCCTCTGCTCTCGGGAACGCTGGTGGTCTGCATTCTGGAAAACGAAGTCGAGGCGGCTCTGGCGCGGATCACGGGCGGGTGTCTGGAATCAAAAGTTGCCGATCTCAACATGGGAGGTCTGCTTGACGCTGGGGGAGGCGGAGGTGGCGGAGGCTCTCTCGTCGTCATGGTGCGAGTGAGTCGGGCAACAGGTTGTGGGGGAGCGCCCTCGTATGCCTCGTTGATGACACTATGTCGGACGGACTGTGAGCGGACCGGCATGTTGGAGTACATGCGCTCCGGATCCGGTCCTCTCTGCGAAGGCGAATAGCTGGGCTCGGAAATGCCCGCTGCCCAGGACTTTCGAATTCGGCGCAGCTCATTGGCAGCTCGCTCATGATATTCCAGTTCGGCATCGAGAAACGACGTCAGAGCACTAATCGTGTCTTGCTCCGCCTCTCTGATGTCCTGCATGCGCTGGAAAACGTCTTCGGTGCTATCGTCAAACTTGGTTTTGTTGACGCGCAGCTCTTCTTCAAGGCGAATGTCATCCTTCTTGGCCTTTTGCATCTTGCCCATTGTGGCATCGTAGGCGAGTCGGCGGCTTTCGAGCTTCTTGCGAGCAGTCTGTTGGAGAGCTAGTGTGAGCAATTGGCCCCAAGGCATTACCAGTTACTTGTGTGAACGCTTACCTGATATTCCTTCATCATGCTCAGGTTCTGCTCGACATGCGTCTGCCAGGTGGCATTGGCACAGTCCAGATATGTGGTCTGAAGCTCGGCGAGCTGCTCGTTGGCATTTCCCATGGATGCGAGACGGCGACTGTACTCGGTATCCGGCAATTCTGCCGCATGAGCAGACATGGTACGGCCAAGGTGAGCGAGCGGCATGCTGCGGCTTCTGTCCTCGAGGGCGTCGCAATGGCGCGACAGCCACCTGGTGTAGATGTTCATGGACTTGAGGAGGCGCTCCATGCCTGCGATTTGGTTAGGGGAGTCAATTGAGGCCTTGGGACGAGCCAGAACGAACCTTCATGTCTGATGTCCATTTCAGACTCGAGTTCTTTGAACTCTTCGGTGTGAGTCGCCTTTGCCTCGGCGCCCATCTTCTCGCCAGCCCACTGCATGGCGCGGTCGATTTTGCGCGTAAAGTTCATGGTGTCGGATCTGGCAACTTGTCTGTGCGTCCAAAGATGAGGATATTCGCAGTGACAATGTTCAATGCTCAGTCACAAGAGAGAGCAACGGCGAAATGAGTGAAATAGGTAATGAAAAGACAAGAATACAGCACGTGAGCTTGAATCCGCTGCTTATACTGGACTTGTGCCAACCACAACGGGATCGATTGGACCGGCCCCTGGCTAAATGCTAGCACCTATTCCGAAGGTAGATGGTCGAAGCTGCTAGGTCCTGGTCCTAGTCCTAGTCCTAGTTGCAGTAGTTGCGAAAACGGAGCGCGTTGAATGTGGAGGAATATTGATGGATTGGATGTTGAGAGTAACTAGAACTCGACGGATCGGATCTGTAAGTCGACGCAAAAAAAACGAGAGACTGTTGGAGCGGGCCAGCCCAGTTGAAGAGCACACAAAACGAGCGATGAGCGATGAGCAATACAGCAGACAAGATGCTGAGCAATGGGAAACGACAGAAGCTGGTCGGGGGGTGGGAGAGAGAATGTTAAGCCTTTTGAGAAGGATGAACAAAAAATTGGACCTTTGTTGAGGTGGCGGGAAAAGCACTTTTGCATTTGGCAGTGACCTCCCGAAGGCGTGATGCCGCCCGTTTTGGCGCGAAACTCGCCAGGGGTCGCCAGTTCTCTGGCGTCGCACCGCCCCTTGCGCCGCTGCCAATTGGCCGGGTTCGGTGGAGAGGCTGCCCCGGAGCGTCGCCTGTTCAGGGGCTTCTTGGGGCTGTTGGGGCTATTGGGGCTGCTGGGGCTTCTGGGCCGCCTGGGGCTGCCCTACCTGGGCCGCTACTATAGTAGTATAAGAGCGCGAGACAGACCTATAAAAAGCCACGAGGGAGAGGGTGGCGACGGAATGGACCAAATGGGGGGGGGCCAGAGTGTTGCGCGTCCAGCAATGGGTGGTCCATGCCATTGATTGAAATTGAAACCAGCGTTTGCCTTGTTTGCTTGTGTTGCAGGCGGGATACGAGTCGCGGAAAAAGAATACGAGGCGTGGATGGATGAAACCGGGCATCGTGACGTCTGGCTTCTAATCAGGGATTTCGATTTGTCCGTGAGGTTGGCTTTGAAACCAATGAGAGCGTGCAATTGCGAGGACGATGGTTCTCTGGATGGAAGCTGGACACATGATTGGCGAGATTGATTTTATCCATACTTTTTTCATTGTTCATGTTCGATGCTTGCAGAGCCAATCCAATCATACAATACATGTACCTACTCCATACAGTACTATCCCAACAGACAAGAACCCATTAGTATTGCTATTAATACCTGTACTATTATTACTACTACTACAAGATGAGATGCAAAGAATCAGCTGCTGTCAAAAACCCTCGTATTGCAGATCGTCAGCGATCATCCCCTCCTCCTCCACCTTCCCCTCTTGTCTTCCTTGCTTGCCTCCATTCCTCGTGGCATTGCTGGGGCTCTCCTTTTCGTCCTCAATTGCCAATCCGTCTCGTCGTCTTGGCGATCTCGGCTTGATCTGCAGACGAAATACCTAGTCTACTACTTGTCTATGTACATGCTCACTACTGCTGGCACTAGCACATGCATATCTGTCCTGTGTTCTGGCGCGGCGCAATCTCGCTGCCGGCGTAAAGGGCAGATACCAAGTGCTTCAGGTGTGGCGGGCAAAATGACTGCAACCCCGTATGAGTCTGTGAGGCTGCCGCAGAACCGTGCCGGGCCGGTAAGCTTGTCATGGATAGAGTGTGTATTGTATCTTTGAGTAATATTTCACAGGCGAGTATTGCGTGTCTTCACCAAGCATTGAAGTCTGTATGTATGCACTTCGAGCATTGAACTGTGCAGGTCTCGATGCAGGAACACACACCAACCAACGCCCAAATGCGCATGTACATGCACAGATACAGCTCTCCCCCATCACGAGTCAATCGTCGTCAGCTTCTAGAATTCTTGTCACTTTTTTCCCTCCATTGAACCCTTATTTTTCTTACCATCTGTTGGCGCCAGACTGGGGCGGTGCCCCCCATATGCGGGTACAAGGAGAACAAGAGCGTGTTTCAAGTTTCTCCAGAAACGGGCCCCAGACCGGCCGAAAAGCCATCAGTCAAAGGACGGCCCAGCAATCAGAGATTGATAAGGGTTTCGGCCTCCTTGTGACAGATGGCATTACTCAGTCAATCAATGACAAAGATGGTCGGTTGGAAACGCCACTGCGGTTCTAATTCGGATTGGATGCTGTGGATGATCCATCACGCCAATTCCAATTCTCTTGTCGTGGCACAAATGGCTGTGGGTACATGTATGTACAAAGCGCATGTACCTCTGTCCATTCATGTACACGCACATTGACGCTTTCACAACACCGTGATTAAAGCCAAGCGATAATACAGGCGGTCCTGTGATGAATCAACCTTTTTGTTTGTGTGTCCACACATCATCTGGAATGCCTCATTTCACTAGCTGGTTCCCGTAGTCAAAGCCGTGGTGCTGCAAGATTGCCAGCATCCTTGCACCCTAATATGCACCTAGATGAATCTTTTGTTGGTTCTGCTCGCCAGATTTCTCTCGACAAAGCCAGCAATAAATGCATGTAATATAGATAAACATCAGCTGACTAGCACTTAATAACACATCTCTAAATGCAGTGGTATTATTGGACGTCACGGGAACGGCCTGATCTCTTTGTTTAGATCTTTGTTCAGATCTCCAAGACTGCACGTCACAGTCTTAGTTCGCGGCATCATTTAGACTGTACTGCAGAACGATGACTCCATGGCTGACACTGTCTGCTCTTTGTCAGTTAAGGTATATATATAACGGCCAGATGTGGCCCTACAATGTCAAGCGTAATGCAAGAACCATAGCATGTACAAGGCCCTTTTCCTCCACTGCATAGCGCAACCACATCTCCATCAGCAATCAATATCATTCAACACTCAGCAATGAGTTTTCGTTTCCGGAGAGCCGGCCGCTCAACCGGCCGGCAAGGCCGGCAATCACGACAGGATCTCCTCGACGACAACGTCGGGTCACCTCCGCCTTCAGGCCCGCCTCAGTTTCCTCGCCCTCAGCCAAACCAACATCAGGAACGTAGGAATAATAAGATACACCTTCGAAACAATCTCCGATCAACTGCTACGACGCAACCCAACGAGCAATATGCACCACAAAATTCGCAGCAAGACGACCTGCAATGTGATGAGCCGGTAAGATAGGTCATGTTCTCCCAAATATCGCCAGTTTATGGTTCTACACGTATATGTACTGACCCATGCAATCTGACCGCAGCAATGGCAGTTGCAGCCACAACTGCCGGGCCAAGAAGGATATATAGTCTATGCAAAGATAACATCGGCTTCTCTAGGATATGATGAAAGTCCAAACGACTCCATGTGTGATTTCGATGTCACGAATGACATCAAAACTCTACAAGACGCATTGGGAAGCGGTAATCGCGACAATAGTGGCCTTATCAGCGTCTTAACCAATCCCAAATATCGGGATCCGCGAGCTCTTCGTCAGCTGAAAATCGACTACGAGTTTCAAACCGAGAGAAGCTTATTTGATGATGTCGAGAGTATTGTCGAAGGCGATGTTAAACCCATCTTATTAGCCCTCATTAGGGGCCCACTCGATCATGATATATATTATCTAGAGAAAGCCCTCTCTAGCGAAAGCGCTCGGGAAAAGATAGAAGATGTGCTACTTTGCCGCTCCAACGCCGACATCTGCGCCATCGTCAACAGGTTCAACAGCGCTCCAGGCAAAGACCTACTTCAGCTCATCAAAAATAAGGTCGACAAAAATCTCTTCCATCTCTACAGTATTATCCTCTCCGATACTCGGGCCGAAGATGCATCACCTGGTATATTCTCTGAGTTGAAACACAATGTTAGAATAATCCGAAACTTCGTTGAACTTCACCATCCTACTAGTGCCGACACCGATCTCATAATCGACATATTGGCGAGTGCCAATGTCCTCCAGCTGGAAGCCATGAGCGAGATTTACCATGTGAATCACGGAACAGAAATGAGAGACATTTATAGAAAGCTCAACGGCGGTATTCGAGATGCCCTATCAACAATCCTCTCTTCCGAGAATGAGAGTGTGCTTTCGGACGTGGAGGATGTGCGGACGTGGCAGAGGGCGTCGAAGGAATATCAAGAGTCTCATCTATACCGAGCTCTTCGATTGTACTGGGGCGACAGTACGAAACTAGAGAAATTTCAGAAAGCGTTTAATAAGTTCCGCGGGAGACCCGTGAAGGATCACTTGGGTAAGTGGCCAGCGGGAGACAAAAGGGACTTGATAATTGCTTTGATTGGAGAAAAAGAAAAGCCAAAGCCAAAGTACACGTGCGGTTAGTCAAAGTCCTGATTCGGGTAAAAACGGTGTTTCGGAATGGATCGCTGCTATTAGTTATGCTATTATACAGATCTGTTTTCTACATGGAATTTCGCTACCAAATTTTGGCCGTATGTCGCTGTTTGGGCATAATCTAAACATCGATAGGTATCAAGCAGTTAAAGCTACGACCTTATCTGGGATTTCAAGTACTCGAGAAATGAGTTGAGTGAAACCACGCGCGTGTTCAAGCTCTCGGCACAGATGCCCTTTTCAGCGTGTTTGAAAAGGTCGCTCACAAGGAAAGCCTTGTCTCCGCAAGTTGGGCACGCATACTTGTTGTCCGCGGTACGATAGATACCCAATCCAGAGTTTATACCGGTCCATTGCTTTGCAAAGTACTCGACAACTCGTTTGCGGACCCCAGATCGACATCTCCCGACTTCTAGGTGTATCATCATCTTGGAGAATTTGGTGAATGATTGAGAGCATCCAAAGCAGTCGACAGGTTTATCTGCGTAAATCTCTGAGCACCAATGCTAAGTCATGATATGATCAAGTCAGCCATGTCTGTCGAAACGTTTGCTGCTCGCGCAACTACAATCATGGAATGAAACGCACATTGTTCAAACGCTCAGCACTTGGGAGACACTCCCCACAATCAAAACACTTATTGTGCTTATTGACTTTATGTTTTTTCAAGGCGCCCTCATCAGGGAAAAACGCCCTGCAATGAAAACAGCAGTTATGCTCGTCCCCCTAAGACATAAGTTTGTTGCAGGTGAAGCAAAAGTTGTGTGCGTCCGATAAATGACGATCATACACATCGGGTGACCGCAAATCGACAAAACGTCCGAGTTCTAAACAGCGCCTGCACACAAAGTGCACACCCGACTCCATAAGATGCCGCTCCAGTGTTGCTTCGGAAAGGAACTGTTTTTGGCAGCGGGCGCAATAAGTATTGGCCTGGCTTAACGGCTGTGTTTGTGTCATGTTTGGTGGCTGACTTTGTCCCGTGCTGTTGAGGACCATCTCGAAGCAAAGTTGTATATTATTCAGACCAAGGAGATATGACGCTGGTGGATTTGTAGAGCCTCGAACAGTTAGGTGCATGTAACGAGTGGTAAAGAGATAAATATGATGCCTGCAAATATCAAAATGTCGGTATATAGACACAAATATGAACACAAAGCCATATATACAGGTACCTACCGCACTTGCATGAACTGCATGTCTACGGTAAACTCTGGGAGGAGGCATGCACTACCTTTATGCTATCACGGATGAAGAAAGTATGGCTGTAGAGTATGATGACTTGGGTAGGCACGCAAGATGTATGTCAACTGACCTGAAAGACAAAGTTTAGATTCCAAGTTTAATATTTAGTGGAAATCAAACAGGAGTCTTCTCATAATCTTCGCAGTTTTGCTTCTCGCGTCTCTCTCCATTTGCTCAAATCTCCGCCACTAATGATAAGTAGGTACATTGCAATGGAACATTTGGTACCTTCACAATGCCAAATAATATTGGTTCATTCTCTTCGTAAGTTCATGTTAGCTCCCAGTGCCAATTTAGCAACTAAACTCAGTACATTCACAGCAGTTGGCAGCCGTTGACAGCCGCTCAACTAACACCAGTGAGATCGTAGGAATCGAAGAAACACTGCCAGCGGACTCCACCAGCTCTCCAAGTCCTCATCACAGCAGTCGCTTTCTACGTGTTGCAAAAGACCGCTCATATGATGAAACCACTTTCCGCAAGTCGGGCACTTATAGTCGTCATCATGATCAATATATTGGGGCCATTGCCTGCACTGCCTTGCGTAATCGTCGATGTCTGAACGGTCAACGCCGGATGGGCAGTTGCCCACCTCTAAATGCAGCATCATAGCGGACTTTGAGACGAATTTTCGATAGCACGCGAAGCATTCAACGTTCTTCTCGGCGTGGGTGAGCTTATGCTATTTGAGATCAATACGTGTATCCATGTTTGAGTCACTGCGTCTCTTGGGGAAACAAACGTTTTTCAGGTTCGACGGAGAGGAGAAATAATTTCCACATTCCAAACACTTGTTGTGTTCGTCCACATCGTGCTCTTCGAGGTCGTCCCAGTACTCGAAAACCAGGTCGCATGATGAACACCAGTTGTGCACTTGCTCTAAATGATTGTCCAGCTGTTGCTCCGTGACAAAGTCGACCAGAGTCTGGCAATGGATGCAGACATGGTGGTTGGGGGAGTCCGAAATGTGCTGCATTTTGGCTTTGCCAGAACTGAAGCCTTTGTTGCAACGTGTACATTCATGTGACATATAATAAGACATTTTGCTGAGTGGCTTGTTGTGGTCTGTTCTGGCTTGCGTCTGGGCGTTTGAGAGCGAAGGTGACTTCACAAGCAGATCTGAAGGAATCGCGGAGTTGCGCCTTCATGTACGTCCAATTAGGCGGTGCACGCGTGGTTGCATGCACGTGTTCGTTTTATCAATACATGTACATGTATGTACATGGGAGTATGCATGTACTCCTCAAATGCCGTCAAAACGAGGCTCTGTCGTCGAAGGGCATGGATTGGCCAATGGCCGTAATAAGGCAACAAGAAAATAATGCAAAAACAACGTGAAAATCATTGGTATCAACCTCCTTTGTATCTACACATACATGCGCTCAAACCTCAACCTTGTTAATCTTGCCCGTCTTGACATCAAAAATGTAGCCCGAAATGGGCACGTCCAAAATCGCGGCATTCTTCCTCAGAAACTGGACGTCGTTCTTGACGCTCTCCTGCAGATCCTTGATGGGCAAAAACGAAACGTGGCTGACATCTTCGCCTGTGTTCGTCTTGACGGCGTCGCGGAATTCTTCCTCCTTGATGAGAAGCATACCGCAATCGGTCTATGTTGAACATGTTAGCTGGAGGGGTCCATCACGAGAGAAGCTTGGAAAGAGGGCAATTCATACGTGGTGGATAACGACGACTTCCCGGGTTCCCAGGGCTTGCTGTGAAATAATCAAGGAGCGCAGGGCCTCGGCAGCTCGACCTCCGGCATTGCGGTAGACGTGGGCGTGGCCCTCTTCCAGGCCGAGGAACTTGGCTGGGTCCAGACGAGCATCCATACAAGTCAGAACAAAGACTTTTCTGCGTGCGTAATCTCATGTTAGCGATGCATGGAGATTACGAAAATTGATGCCTCGAAAATATGGACAGCTGAAAAGTAAAGTGAATGCTAGATGTAGATAGGACATACCGCCCAGGAGGCATAGGCAGGTCGGCCTTGTCGAAGCCAGCAACATACTGCTGGTTGGCAACTTCAAACTCGCTGGCGACGGTCATTTTCGGTAGCTTGCTTTAATAAAGTATGAGAAGAAAAAGAATTGCAATGTCTTGAAAACTGTCTTGGTATGGCTTATAGATCAACAGAACTTTACTCGGAGCAAGCGGTTGCCTCTTTATACATGTATTCTCCCAACACAGACTCAGGCCGCAGCCCCCATGACGGGCTCCAAACAAGCGCATCTTCAGCATCATCTCAGCTGTGCCCCACGCGTCATATACGCCTCACGACTTTGACAAGGGCACTGTTATCTTCATCGAGCAAAAAAGTCGCCATCCATCCACGAGGTGTCGCCATGCAGCCTCAATGCGGGGAAGCTCGTCCGTCGAGAGCCACTGACACGGAGCACTACTGTCCAAAATAGTGCAGTAGTGCGCGATCGAGCGGGACGATTAGAAACCCGAACAGTGTCAAGAAAACGCCGCGATTCTCAGCCGTGACGGTTGCGACAGCCCGGGAGACTCACCACGGTGCCCGTTTCGAGAGCCGAGGGCCCGGCATTGACTTTGACAAGGGGCAACTGGGGGTTTGATATGGAGCAACTGAGAGAAGCATCCGATGGCAGTGTTTCGGAAGAGTCGCAAAGTGTTGCTAGCCGGGAGAGTTTGGCGGTAGTGATGGCTTCACGAGGAACTGCTTTCTAAGCATATGTGTTGAAGAGCAGACGTCAATTGGCTACTCGGGAAAGAAAACAAGAATCATCAAGTCGTATCATGTTAATGGTGTGCGCAAAGTAATGCTGTCAGAAGAATCAGTTGGCTTAACAGACTGGGTCAAGACCAGGGTTCGATAGATTCGGCAAGTCATTGCTGGTTGAGCAAAGGTTGAAAAGCCTAGTTGGTTGAGGCTCTAAGCTCTAAACCAGGTTCGCAGAGTCTTTCCGCAGCTGTAACGCTCGGTGTTGTGAGATTCAGGGTAAATCAATGCGAGGCAAGATGTGATTAGAAATAGGGAGTTGTAGATTAAGCATTTGCGAGTGTGCGGTATGTGCAATATTTATGACAATTTGTTTTCATGGTTTTCTGCGTTGGTCAGCAGATGCCAGGTGATATACAAGTAAACTCTAAGTGAGCTCACTCCCTCGTTATGAGTCTTGTCATTCGTTTCTTCATCCCACAAGATTTCGGTAGCTAATTGCGAGAAAGCTTGATGACATAATGGATAGATGCCATTAGATGTGGCTGTGCAATGGGCCTCTTGTACGGAGTAGTCGACACACGCAGCACCAGCCACATGAAACCAGCCACATGACGTCGCCAGTGGATTCCAAATCAGCCAAAAAGAATCCTGATGTTTCCAGCGGCTTCCGGGAGGCATTTACAGGCGGTAATACAGTGGTTGCAGGGATCTGATGTACTCTCCCATAGTAAAAGACTATCAGAGATACATGCTTACGGCACGGGGACGCCGATTCCATCGCTGTAAAATCCAGTCAACCAGTATTCCACACCTGTTCGCACATACTCGCACGTATTCGCACGGAATTGTCATCCATTGGAGGGTCGCATTACAAGATGATTATTATCACAAGATGCAATTTTTAGCTCCAGCAGCATCAATCCATCCATCTATATATTTGCATCGATTCGTCTGTTTCTAGTTTTTTTTTCTCTCATATTCAGTTAATCCAAACAAACAAACAGCACAACACATCACATCACAACAACAACAATTGTAACCAAGCAAACAAACAACACAAAATCATCACTACCAAATATCACAGACCATTTGTGGCATCCTGCGGATAATTGCGGCCCGCATTCTGAACCCCGCCATACCATTTAATTGCGCCCCCTCATCAGCGTTGCACCATCCGGGTAACAGCTGACAAACCCAACTCTTACCTACTTTTAAACTCGCCTCGTCCCTTTTCTTGCTCTCTGTCGTCTCCATTCAATCTTTGAAGAATCAACCTATTCAATAATCTTTGAATAATCCTCTCGGGGCGTCACAACAACCTCAACAACACTCACAACACAACATCAAAATGGGCGCCGACAACATCCACCACATCGAGTCCTCCGAGCAGCTCGAGGCTCTCCTCGCCTCAAACACCTACGTCGCCCTCGACTTCTACGCCGACTGGTGTCCTCCTTGCAAGGTCATCGCCCCCGTCTACCAGTCTCTCGCCGACAAGCATAGCGCCGACAAGTATCTCGCCTTTGGAAAGGTCAACGTCGATCACGTCCAGTCCGTCGCTGAAAAGTATGGAATCACCGCCATGCCTACGTTCATGTTCTTCAAGGAGGGCCAGCAGGTTGCTGTCAATGGCAAGGCCATGATCCAGGGCGCCGATCCCAGGAGCCTGGGTGCTGCGGTCGAGAAGCTTGGAGGATTGGCCCAGAAGCGAATCGAGGAGGCCGCTGCTTCTGCTTAAAGAAATCAACCATCGACCTCAGGGTTAGAAGAGATCTGAAGAGAAGTTGCCGCATTTGGTTGGCAAAATAGAGATGGGGATACAAGGGGAAGCATACATGGCACTCTAGGCGCACAGCAGGGATTATATCATGGGAAAAGGCACAGAGCGTGTTGGATAGCATTTTAGAGCCATATGGTACATATTGATTTACAAGATTTTATTCATCACCAATCTCTCGCGTGAATATTTATATGAAGTAATATCTTGATCACAAAATTGCGACCTAAGCAAAACACAAACCATCAAGTACATTACTGTGGTATTGCACTATAAGGGATAAAAAAGAAGCGTTTATTAGCATTGTAGACATTCAGTGTAATTATATGTATAAGCCCAAAGTATTTACTCGTATAGTCTTCGTAGAATTGTGCTTTCTCCCAAAATGATCCCATCGTTCGCTTCCATGTTCCATCTTACCAATCATTTTCTTCATGAGGAATCCCAATTATTCCATCTCATTTACAACACCCTCTTCCCAAACTTCCATTAAAGTTGCCCGCTTTCCAACGCAGTCAGCCACGACCGCAGCTCCCGGTTCACCTTTGTCGCATCTTCTCTCCAAGGCCAATGTCCAGCTTGAGGCAGCGTCACCACGCGGACCGACTGATCAAACCACTTGTAGAATCCATCCAACATCCTATCCGAGAAATACGGCTCCTGCATTCCCCAGATAACGACGCAGGGCATCTTGTAGTGCATGCCCGAGGTGTCGATGTTTTGGCCATATGGCGGCGCGGGAAAGTTTTTGCGGAAAAAGTAGAACATGCCGCCCTCTGGAGAGTTCTTGAGATACTCTTTGATCTCGGCGCGATACTCGGGATCTGTAATGGTGTGGACGACGTGGTCCAAGTCGTACTCGTCGCCGGGGTTGTGCTTGATGTATTTAAGTGAATACTTGGACAGCTCTTGCTGTTCCTTGTCGTGGTGAATGAGGTGCATCATGGTGCCGAGAATTGGTGTGTTAAAGATAACCAACCCCAAGAGTCTCTCAGGGTGAAGGAAAGCGAGCTTTTGTACAGTAATGCCGCCAACGTCTCCTCCAGCAAAGATGGCCTTTTCAATCTTCAAGTGATCCAGAAGGGCTACCAAGTCACCGGCCATAACATTGCCGTCATAGGCATCTGGGTCCAGCGGTACATCGCTTGGGGGATATCCTCGAAGGGTAGGAAGAATGACAGTGTGATCTTTTGAGAACTCGTCGATTTGCTTGGAAAAGGTCATTTCGTTGTCTGGATGGCCGTGGACGAACACCAAGGCTGGGCCTTGCCCGTAAAGGTGGTAATGGATCTTGACATCTCCATTGGAAAAGAAGTGAGAATATTCGTCAATGGGCATTTTGAATAAGTGTCTTAGTTGATAGGTTGATGTGGAAGATGCAATGGGATGTTCCCGCTTGTTCCGATGAGATGTGTTCAACGTCGATGAGGATGCAGAGAATTCACTTTGGAGGATATTTATTCGATTCAAACGATAGGAGTATAATCATAGACCTTCATATCAGCTTGAACTTGTTCAAGTGAGAACCGGAGATGCTTCAATCAACACAATTACCAACCCATGACAAATGCGAAAAGAAGCCATGTAGAAGCACAGATCTCTGTGGGGGATCACCTACGACGGGACGGCAATTATAACGGGAGCTTCATTCTGTAGCTCTCGTCAGGTGATAACCCGCGAGTTATCGCTAGCGCATCTGTTAGAAAAAGTTTAATTCAGAAATAGCATCTCGAAGTTGACTCTTTCGAGTATTGTCTTCCGAATGTAGCAATCTCATGCATCTCGGTAGTCCAATGCCGTATACTAGACCATATTGAGTAAAACAGTCCATTGCCACACTAGATTATGACGTAGTTTTACATGACTGACTTGGAGTAATTTTCAGTTGCTCTTGTTCGAGAGGCATCATGAGGTTTTCTCCAGTTTCGATCTTTTCTATAGTGTTAAGGTATGACAGTAACTAAAATGGACCGCTCAATATCTAAACTCATTTACTTTCGTCTCATCGCGAAATTATGGTATTAGCTCTATAGAGTAGAGTAAAGGAAGATGTCTAGTCCATTCGTTGGCGCGTTTTACTTCTTACGGGTCTCGCCCGGCCCTCGCTCGCGTATATCGCTTGGCTCGCATAGCCCTGAGTCAAGTTCTCCTCGCTTCTGTGCTCTTGGAGGCTTGATCGACACTTTTAGCAACCTACAACTTCCTATTCCCCGTATTTATTGCCGGTGGTGTCAAAAACCAATACTGATTGAGATGGCATCGTCGCCGAGTTCGTACGAACGATGTATCTCCGCGGCTGAGCGCCCTCTGTTTCAGGAACCACCATCAGAGCTTCTCCATGGGAGGCTTACAAATGGTCTGATCATTGATAATCCTCTCTTTTCTTCTCTCTTTTCCTATTCTTCTCTTTCAATGCTCAGATGGATAGTCTGAATGGCATCATTTGACCCCCATCGATGAGATGGCCAGATTTATCAGCCACGGCCATGAACCCTCCGAGATTACATGATACACCAGTTAGGGAAGATCTGATTTTTCATCGTGATGCAAAAAAATCTTCAACACTAAGAGATTGCGAATTAGTATGGGAGTGCACGATGGCATCGTGAAGCGTTGGGAGTGGTATAAAGGGAGCATCATCGACAGAGGAAGATGTTTCATCCACACAAGCAACACAAGTCAAAAGACATCTAAACGACACACATCACAAAACAATCACCTCTTCATTATAAAACCCACCCTACTCCTCCAAGACTTCAAAGGTTAAATCACAAAACTCCTACAACAAAAACACAAAAACATCACATAAATTATAATGGCCGCCCAAACTGTCCTCGTCACCGGTGCTTCAGGCTACATTGCAGCCCACGTTGTGAAAGCTTTCCTCAAGAAGGGCTACAACGTTCGAGGAACCGTGCGCTCAGAAAAGACTGCGGAGGAAGTGCATAAGACGCACTCAAAGTATGCTGAGCAACTCAGCGTTGCCATTGTTCCCGATATGGCTGCTGCCAATGCGTTTGACGAGGCCGTCAAGGGAGTCGATGGTGTAAGTGGACACTCAAATTATTACCACCAAAGGATTCATACGCTAATATCAACCCATAGATCATCCACACTGCCTCGCCTTTTATCCTCAATGCTACCGACTTCGAAAAGGAGCTCATGCAGCCTGCTATCAGGGGCACCACTTCCATCCTGGAGGCTGCCCAGAAATACAACCCTGCCGTCTCTAGAATTGTCGTCACTTCATCATTTGCCTCTGTTCTGGACCCTACTCAAGGCCAGCGCCCTGGATACGTTTACAAGGAGGCCGACTGGAACCCCATCACTGTCGAGCAAGCCAACAGCAACCCCGTCATGGCATATCTCGCCTCAAAGACCTTCGCTGAGCGAGCTGTGTTTGACTATGTCGACGCGAACAAGCCAAACTTCACCGTGGCCACTCTGTGCCCTCCCATGGTCTACGGACCAATTGCTCACAGTGTTGCCGATGTCAAGTCGCTCAACACCTCTTCTGGCGACATCAACCGACTCATCGACGGCTCAGAGAAGTCTGTTCCTGATACTTCCTTCCACGCATTCGCCGATGTCCGCGATCGTAAGCTTTCCCATCATCCGTCTAAAAATCATCCACAGTGCTAACCATGAATCTTACAGTTGCCGAAGCTCACGTCTTGGCCTTCGAAAAGCCAGAGGCCGCTGGACAGCGATACCTGATTGCCAACTCTGCCTACAGCTACCAACAGATTTGCGACATCATCAGGGAAAAGTTCCCCGAGCAGAGCGAGCTGACGCCCAAGGGTGACACTGGCGCACCTCTCCCCCCTGCCTACCGACTTGACACCACCAAGGCTGCTACTGAGCTGGGCCTCAAGTTCAGACCGCTGCAGGAGACTATTGTGGACATGGTCAACAGCTTGTTGAAGCTGCACCACTAGAGGAAAAGTCGTGTACTCTGAAGTCTTGTGGTTTGCTTTGCGATGCACAATTGGCATTCTTAGTCCTATAATTATAGAATAGAGTATATAATAGAGAAAATGAGAAGAGGGTTATACTTCTAAGACTTGTTCCGCCTGTCTCGTGCTATCTCTCGTACAGTTCCCTTTCTGTCGAGTTGCAAAACGCCGTTCCTATAATGCCAATCGCCGAGTTCAAAAAGCCGAATATAAACGAGAACGGTTCTTCGTAGCCTTCAAGCGGCATAACCAACATACCTCTCAACAATCTAGATTCTGATCAGCTCACAAATCCACACAATAGTGCCCCTCCACCTTGCATACGGCAAGCACAGCGCCAACGCCCTTGCATAACTAGGCCTCACCCGCTGCAGGCCAAGATCCTCGTAACATCGCTTCCCTCCAATGGCATGATATCCGAAAAGCCCCATTCCATGACGCTATGCAGGTCTAAACCATAGTTCCCACTCTACCAAATAAGCTTAACCAACGGTAGATATATTACGTAGTCTGTATAACCATTCATGTTGGGATATGTCCATGACCCTGCCTATCAGACAGCAAGGAGGCCCAAGCAGCAGAGACATTCGGCGTGGCTACGCAAGGAGGACGTTATGTTTCACAATTGGGATTCTTTTACGAGCTGCCTATTCATGCGGGGGGATGTCGATGACAGAGTGTAGCCGCTGTGTTAGGATTCAGCTCCGCTGAGCTGACGGAGTCTGTGTGACCCTTTTGAGGCGGTGTCGTGGAATGATGTCTCGGCTTGTCGCGGACAACTTGACGTGGGTTTCTTTCCGGACATTGAAGCGTACGATCGGCTCCGACAACAGCATTATCGAATTAAGATATAAGACTGTGAAATAACCTTTGCTCTCTTCTTCTCCACAAGTCCAAACTCAAATAAACACCACTGACTCTTTCTACTCTACTCTACTACAAACACCAATTCGCAAACATTCACGATGCTTCTCAAATCTGTCCTCCTCTCCCTCGCCATCTCCCTCGCCACGGCGCAAAGCGAAGTCGGCCGCCCCTGTGGCTTCAAGATTGCCCCCTGCCCCTTCGACATGAAGTGCATCGCCGACAACCCGTACTGCCCTGAGCTCAACAAATGCCCCGGCCACTGCGAGTTCAAGAACAAGTATGCTTCTTGCGGAGGCTTCACGCCAAGGCCGCACAACTGCGATAAAAAACACGAGTGCCAGGATGATCCTCGGCTGCCGCCGAACTGCGGCATGGCATGTGATATTCCGGGAATATGCGTTCCCAAGGATGCTCATTTCTGTGGGGGATTTCTAGGATTGGCTTGTCCTGACGGCTTGTATTGCTACGATGCATTGGATGGGTGTGATCCTGAAAATGGTGGTGCAGACTGCGGTGGTATTTGTTTGTAGAGCAGCAGTCAGTCAACTCTTCGAAGGAAATTTGGTGACCATTTTCCGCAGATATCTTGAGACGAACAAGATTTGAAGGAATCCTAATATACAATATTGCAATGTATCTCATACCTCTAACCTTGATGCTCCTATAATAGGCTGTCTCTTCAAACACCGTGGCCAAATTGTAAACATATCATTCAAGTAAACCCGATCTTCTTCAGCACCAATGGCTTCGCAGAGCCTTACATAGTTGCATCCAAATACGCCTTTCTCCCCTGGATAGATATCGACCCAATTCTGGTTGTAACAACTGTGCCCAGGCGCGGCGCTCCTCCTCCTCTTCTTCTTTTAGCGGAGTTTGGAGAATTTGTTGGAACGAAGGTATCCAGGTCGTCAACTCTTTGCGTGCAATATAATTTTTTAAAAGTTGTGGCAACAGGGACTTCCAGATTTTTTGTTCCTCGTCCGTCATAGGCTGCTCTAAGAATCGTGGTAATAAAGGCCTCCAGATGCTTAGATCCTCATCTGTCATCTGCTTCCTTAAGAATTGTGGCAACAAAGGCCTCCAGGTGCTTAACTCTTTCTCCTCTATAGGCTGCTTTAAGAATAGTGGTAAGAAATACCTCCAGGTTGTTAACGACTCGTCCGTCATAGGTGGCTCTAAGAATTTTTGTAATAAAGGCCTCCAGGTGCTCCTCTCGCTATACATCATAGGTCTACTTAGTGTTTGCAGTAGTAGTGGCATCCAGATGCGTCGCTTCTCCTTCCTTGAACGCTGACCTTCATCTGATCGTATCCATGGAGCCCAATATCGTTCCTCTTCTTCAGATTTAAATCGGCTTGCGTTTGTTCGGCTCGCACATTTTCGATCCATATCGCGCCATTCTACTTCTTCTACCTTGATTTCTTCTAGAAAAACAAGCACACATGTGTGACTGGTCATCGCCTGATTGCGCCGCAATTTAAACAGGTCTTCAACCACCCTTGTTCCATAGCGCTTTAAAATGGGCGACACTGTGTCTTCATCAAATAAACCTTCTTTTCCTTCAAGAAGTAATTCAAGCGTTAGTTCTCTGCGGTAGGCTGAAGATTCATCGACAATTTTTTGTGCCAAAGTTTTCCAGGGATTGGGGCGTTGGACTGAAGCCAGGTTGTTGATCCGAGCCAATGCAGCAGCTCGCTGGTCTGGAGACAGCCGGCAATGCACAGCCGGGTTTCCGAGCAACAATTTAATTGCATTCAAGCCATGATCGGGGGAATCGCATGCGGCTTGAATTATGCCCTCGGTGATTGTAATATAAGATGGACAGTAACGAAGAAGTAGTTTGAGACAATCCACGCCACCCCGCCAACTCTTCATGGCAGCTGTAATAGCATGTTCGGCAATCTCAAAATCAGTGTGCTTTTGAACAAAATGCATCAATATGTAGGAACCGTAATATTGGATCTCAGCCGCAGCAACGAGAAGTTCTGATATAGTAGCGGTGTTGTTGTCTTTCTTCCCTAGCAGAATCCTGATTATCTCAGCTTTCAAATACTCGGATCTATTCCTAGCCACCGCCTCCAAAACTGGAGTGATGTCGTAGTCTTGGGTCCAGTTTAGGGGTAAAAGAAAGCGCATCGCCGAATCGCCAGATGTTAAATTCTCCGCGGCGGCAATGAGTATCCGTTCAGTGACGACGAGTTGATTTTGGTAGCGCCAAAAAGCCTCCAACACATTTTTGGCGCCAATTGAGTTTGTGGCTGCACATATCAAAACCTCCTCGTCTATTTTGAATTCTCCTCCACGACACCGAAGCAATACCTCAACTACCTCGCCGGTTTTGTCGTACTGTGCTGCAGCCTTGATTACTTCCTGACTGACCAAGATTTCGGGATTTTGGAGAAGCATCTCCATATCGGATGGCAGTGACTTTTTTACTATTTCCATGCAGAAATTCGTTCCGAGCGCGGGTAAGTCCCTCAATAGCTCTCGTATCGAAGATGGTCGCGGCCACCACGTCAAGTTTTTCAAATCAATATGGTAGATATATCGAATAACATCATTAATTAGGTCTTCTTCTTTCTTCCAGTAATCTGGAAAAAGGACATCGTTGAGTTTGCCCGCTAAATCAGAAGACATGCCTCGTAAAGCGTAAACGAGATCTCGCGGTTCGGTAGCTTCACTTCTCCCAAAATTTAATAGGAGCCTGTAAAGGCTTCGGCTCTCGCTCGACCGTGTGAATTTCCTCCAGAGAGATGGCATGATGTCGAGAACAGATTGACAGTGAGAGTCTGGGGTAACTCTCAAGAGCAGAGGAGTAAGACTGAAAAGGCGGGCCGACACAGATTTTGTACCACAAGATATAATGCCGGCCTTTGCAAATGCCACCTCTTGTAAAATCCAGACCCTTCGAAACCAAGGTTGCTCCAGAATTTCTTGCAGACCTTGTCGTTGTAAGTCCTCGAGTTTAGCATTAACTTCCTCCCAAACCGTCTGGAAAGAAGTCCAAAGATCCTTCCAACGGCCATCTTGAGGTGACCAGGCTTTACAAGCTTGTTTGAGGCTCTCTCTCTGCAGCCACTGCAGGCTTTCCATAAAGACATTTGTCACATTTGACCCCGGACCTAAACGGAAAATCACACGATCGGCTTCCTTGTAGATGTTCCCCATTTGTGCAACTTGATGTCCCCTCTCTTTCTTGTTTTTTTGGTCAATGCACACGGCGTCAATCCACAAGAAGCGCTCCTGTTCCTGGTAGCGAAGGTCAAGCAGTGCTTGGTAGAGATTATAGGTAACCCTCAGACAGCAACCATCAACATAAATGATTGCGGTAGGATTGGGGGAGCCCCAGGTGTAGGAGAGAGCTTCATAAGAAACCATAGTATCTCGCTGATGCAACTCTGCCAAGATAAGGCGGCAAGATATGACGCCGCTATTTCCTGGATGCAGGCAGAGTAGCCGAATCGCAGGCTTATCCAGATTGAGAGGAGGATATTTGAATTCTTCCATGAGGGCATATAATAGCTCGTTGAGACGAAGTAGAAAAGTCGGCATGTAAACGATGGAGCCTGAGCTCGAAAAAGATATTTGGAAGACTCATAGTTCGTTGCTTAGAAGAATTTCTACCTCTATATATATACTATATACTCCGTACTGTAGTTCGGCAAACGGTTCAAGATGAAATATTCAGCCTTGGGCAGAAATACCTGTGCAACTGAATCGCCATTCGACTGCGGCCCAGCCACGTTTGCTTGCATGTTAGCCAGCCCTAACCAGCAGAGAACCAATCAAAGTCAGATCACACACCCATCCGGCGGAGATATGGTTTTAATACGTCAGAGAGGCATCAACGTACTGATGCAGTTTAAGATTGCAATGTCTGAGCCACTCTTTAGAATTTTTGCTGCAAAGATGGCAATGCGCATGTAACTTCGTATCATATGGGGATGACCCATGCTCTGTGTAGCAACCATTGGAGGACATGTATAGACTAGACGGTTTTCTAAATTGACGCTCTGTGTGATGTAATGTAAAAATCTGCCTAAATGCACTATTTAATCTATCCAATCTAAACAATGCTCTTTCAGGCGTCAATTAGGCTGCTGCGTAGGCAGTGCCATAAGGCTGAAGATCAAGGCCCTCAATGAAAGGTGGGCCTGGTAGCTCGCCCTTCTGTCTGTTCTCCAGGTGCTTTTCAACCGCGACGTGTAAGACCTTGTCGTGATCCGGTCTTCTCAAGTCGAGCGGTTCATAACCAAGAGCAGCTATCATCATCCTACATCGCAATGACAAGTCAGTATACTGTATATTCAAATAGAATGTAAACGACTCACTGGATCGTAGCAGCGACGTTGGTCAACATAAAGTTGTCCTCGCCAATCAACTGCTTAATGGCTCCATCTACAGCGCTGTCAAGAATCTTCTGCGGCAGGTCGTATTCATGAGCAGCTGGACGGCCAATTCCAACTCCATGCATCTTATCCAAGGCCTTGACCATGCCGGCCGTCGTGCGCAGGCCACCAGTGATGTACGCCTTGGTCTTCTTCAGCTTTGGGATGACCATTTCAGCAAACTCGATGAAGTAAGCTTCTCTCTTCTTGGTGGATTCTCTTCTGTGCTCAAACGCCAAAACCTCATATGTGCCACCCGAAAGCTCAACCCAGTCGAAGTTGTTCTTCTCGAGCTCCGCGCAAAGGACTTTGCAGTCTTCAACTGTGAAACCACCCTTCTGGAACTCGGCGCTGTTGAGCTTGATACCGATGCTGAAAGATTTGTCGGGAACGCGAGCACGAATGGCATCTGTGATTTCAAAGATGATTCTTGCGCGGTTGGCCAGTGAGCCGCCGTATTCGTCTGTCCTCAGGTTGGTTGATGGTGCCAGGAATTGAGCCAAGAGATATCCACTGCAAGCCGTATGTCTTAGTATCACTCTATTGTTCGCTTTTCTCCAATTGCCAGCATAATCTTTAGGTGAGAAATTGAATTGAAGATATCTCCGTCTTTAGACTTACTGTGCGGCGTGAAGCTCAACACCATCAAAGCCAGCCTTGTAGCAATACTCGGCCGCGTGAGCAAAGGAGTTGATAATATGATCGAAATCCGCCTTTTCCATCGGCCTTGGCTTTGCGAATGTTCCGAAACCAGCAACCTCCAACTGCACATCACTAGGGGAGACGGGGTGTGGCTGAATCATTTCCTGAACTTGTCGGCCTGGATGGCTTAGCTGCGTGTAAACGAGGCTGCCGTGCGCCTTGGCCGCCGAGGCAATTTCCTTGAATCTCTCAAACCGCTCGCCGGAAAATGGTGCACCTGAAGGAATGATGTGGTTTCCGATGCCCTCTAATTGGTCATACTCGATCATGGTGTTGCCGAGAAGAATGACTCCGTATCCCCCGGCACCCCATAGCCGGTAAAGGTTGACGAGCTCTTTTGGTGGGATGCCTCGCTTGGTCAAGTCCTTGTCGTCCCAACTTGACTGCAGCTCAGACATGGCAGCCTTCATGAAGCGGTTCTTGGCCGTCTTGCCACTGAACTCGAAGGCAAGGGGTTGGCCAAGAGGCGCAGGGTCAATCTTTTCAGGAGCTTCTGCCATGATGGTCACTTATTTAGTGTCTTCTGTTCGGAGTGTATATACGAAATGCTTTGGATTGAAGACTCTGTTTTTATGTGCTTCTCATTCGCATTCTGCGGTGGGAAACGCTATGCTTTTATACTCGGCAGGCAACGACTCAAAACGCGGGATGCGAAGACAAATATTAGTGGATATAACCATCAACGCAACCCCCTAGTCAACCCCCTAGTTCTCGCGGGTATGTGAAAGCCGACGACAGACTCCTCGTGACGATCGCCCATCCTCTGCCAATACGAATCGTACAAAAAATAGCTTCATTACTCCTCAGCGTCGATGGTGGGTGGAGCATGACTGTCGGAATTACTCGCGCCAAGGTTGTAAGGAAGGGTCCATTTCGAAGTTATCAATCGCTTAGCAACTGAAAGTCCGCTAGGGCTCGGCATATGGAGAAGGCTTTAGCTTGAGGAGGATGTCAATGCATACTCCGTATTACCGAAACTACGCAATATTTGATCTGATCTATCAACACATATCGGTTATTGTTACGGCCATTGTCCGTTTAAATACACCCATGAACCTTACAATCCCACACAGGCTGCATAGTTGCTGCCCGGTTAGGCTACTCATATGCTTAAAGAGCTCCAGATATTATGTCATGATATCCGGAAGGAATGCTGCGGCGGGTTTTCGCTATTGTGGATAACAGACGTAAACGAATGCGAGAAGTTATGGCCCGCTTCAATTCTCTGCTCTCCAGTGAGCATGGAAATGCTAATTGGGTCCTTGAGTCTGTAAAGTTGTATGGCGTATGCAAGCCAACACTCTCATAGTTGTTAGCCCACAACTCGTGAGCGATGGGCAATCCTATTGGGGCTTGAATACGATTACGATTTTGCGATGATAGGTCAAAGCTATAGGTCAAATTCAACTTAGCGGCGCAACAACCTACCTAAACAAACTGCGAGTCATTCTAGGGATCAAATGAAGACGGCTATACAATCACCAGTTATTAATTATGCAGCAGTTTCACACCCTCGGTCTCAGGAGAAAAGTATCATCCGTTGCCGTTGACGCTGCTCATCTCCAGGTGGCCTCCAGGAGCGACATGTCTGAGACGACTTACACGGAATATGCCGATAAAGCAGACGGAAGCAGAGTCGCTCTAACCACTTCAGCGAGGCGCAGACTCGGCAGGGGACCAGGATGGGCTTGGGTGTAGCAATTGTATCATCGGCATTTTGTCTCTGCGCGTCTCTATCCAATACGCCGTTCCTGTACTGGCATCGCAGGCTTGTGCTTGTAGTTACCGCGAATTCTACAGCGTCACACTGCCTGTGCCTTGATCAAATTTGTTTCGGTGAAACGTCTATGTACTATAACCGGTTGCTTCAATATTAACAGACATAAGGACATACACAGCTGTATCGTCCGATCTACAACTCACCCCACGAGAACCACCGCAATAACTTGCCCACTAACGGGCGCCGGGCTGAACTAACATGTAGGGCTAGGATTGACGCTTGTATTATAAATACACGTACAATGGAAATTTATCCAGACATCGTCGGAGAAAAATACCCGCCGAGGCAAAGTGTCGATTAGGTCAGCGGCTCAAACAGTGGAGTTTGCTTTCAAATCCAAAGCTCTGAGGACTTAATATTGGCTTTGTTCCGTGGAAAAACTAGCATCGGTCGAACAATCAGACCGTGGGGATAGTTGTGCCCAGGAGATTGGCAGCGTTAGTATAAATGGCAAGTTTCTGCGATGGATAGAGAATCAAGTCCCATCGATTTTGACTAGCACAAATCACAACCCTCAAATCCCTGCAACAAACTTACATACTTTGGCCTCTAGTAAGCCCCTGATAACCAATTACACGGATAGTCCAAAGCCACACGAACCATGACGCACTTCCGCATCGACGTCGTCTCAGACACCGTCTGCCCCTGGTGCTACGTTGGCCGCAAGCAAGTCCAGCGAGCCCAGCAAATCTGGCAGCAGCGCTATCCTTCCTCCACCGACACCTTTTCGGTCAAATATGCCCCCTTCCAGCTTAACCCGGATTCTCCTCGGGGCCCTGGCAAGAGCATCGACAAGCAGGGCTACTACGTGCAACGCTTCGGCACTGAGCGAACGGCCATGATTCAAGAGCGTCTTCGCGGCGTGGGCGAAGCCATTGGCATCAACTTTCGCTTTGGCGGCAGAGTCGGCAACTCGCGAGACTCGCACCGCCTAATCCACCTGGGCAAGAAGCACGGCGATGAGACGGAGCTCAAGGTGGTTGACGGGCTCTTCGCCGCGTACTTTGAGAATGAAAAGGACATTACCGATTACGATGTGCTCAAGGAGGTTGCTACGGGAGCGGGTATCACTGAGGCCGAGTTCAAGAAGGCCATTGTGGACAGCGATGAGGGAGGTGAGGAGGTTGACATGTCTGCTGGAACTGCGCGGTTCAGGGGCATCAGCGGTGTGCCGGATTATACCATCCAGGGCAAGTTCAAGTTGAGCGGTGCTCAGGACGCCATGGAGTTTGTCAACGTATTTGAGAGAGTCAAGGCTCAAAACTTTGCATAAGCGTATTGTTGAATAATAGAAGAATATAATAGAATAAAAATAGAGGAGACACATGATTCTCTGCTATTAAGATAAAAAACCAGGGTATTCCCAAAACTCATTATCTCTTTATATCAACCCAAAACTCCAACTGTAGCAAACCATCAGCCTCTACTGCGGAACACCACCTCCGCTCTTCTCTCAAGCACACTCTCCCACACCCTCCTTTCCCTAAATCCCGGCATGTAAAACAGCACGCCAATCTCCTGGCTCGTCCACCAACTGGCTCTGTCCATGTTTCCCGAGCCCAGCACCAAGTACTCGCCGTCTACCATTGTCATCTTAAAGTGGCTAAAGACGGGTTCGTCTTCAAGGCTCGCTCTATCACTCAGCTGCTTATAGTACAATATCTCCAGCTGTCCTGGCGACGCTGACTGGGCTTCCAAGTCACTCCCCCGAGATTGCTTACACAGAGCCCGGTACTTTTTGACGAACCGCCGGATGCACCACGATGTCGTTGTCCCAGCGGTGATGAGCTGCTCAATGACCATCATATTGCGGCCGGTACGCACTTGTACGTTTACTCCGCGAGAAAGTGCTTCTAGCAGAGCCTCTATCACGGGCCACGATGTGAGATTTGGTGTGACGAGATGGATATCGTGACGAGCATTTGCAAACAGAGTAAGCAGCGCGGCGTTGAGAGGCGTCATGGGCGGATTGGACTGAGAGAAGAAGGGAAAGAATCTGAATCGAGGATTTCGATGATGTGGCGATGGGAGAAAGATAGCCGGCGTTGGCGCAACAGCGGTGAAATGAATACACTGCGTCGCTGAGCTGTCGTTGTCCTCCTCGTTGAGCGGCGAGGCGCTTGAAGTTTCATCGTCCTCGTCAACGCCGTCATCGATATCCCTGCTCTGGGACTCAATCGCCGCCGTCCTCTGTCTCCCTGTAAGCTCGATATTATCGTTGCTTACTGACCTCGCCTTATCAACTCTCGCGCCCCAGACTCGAGCGTGGAAAGTCAACAGCTTGTCCACAACTTCGCCCTCCAGCTCGACGCATCCCTCAAACCATCTTTCCCAGCTCACGTTGCAGCTCGGAACCCACGCTTTAGCTTCATCAATAATAACATATTTCGGATGCATCACACTCAATGGTGTAAAGAAGAGGCTCTTGACCGTCATCTCAATACCCCCTTTTCTCAGCGTCTTCTCGCTCGGCAAGCCCAGCTTCGCCCATTTTGACGGCGGATAGATGCATCCCTCCGGCGCAGACGTGTGAAACAGTTTCTGGAACAATCCCCAAGAAGAGAATCCAATGCTTACATGCAACGTAGGCAGTGGCTCTCCTGACCTTGAGCGTGCCTCAGCTAGTTGGATGAGGGTCTGGCGGATGCCGTCGAGAGAGGGAGAGGCGGCCCAGTAACATGTGACGAAATGAACTGAATGCTTGGCGGATGCAATGGCAGGCAGAATTGCGCGAGTGAATATGGAATGTCCTGTGCCAACATAGAGCAGCTTTGGCGTGGTGGTCGTCAGCAGAGAGTCGATGGCTTCAGGGTCGTGGTAGTTGGGAGAGTCTCTAGAGCGCTCATGTTGATGGGAGAGGAGCAGGTCTCTCCATGGCGTAACGAATGAAGACGGGAATTCCAATGGCTGCGACATAACAAACACAAGCAAGAGAAAGATAGATTGATAAGCCTGTTCAGCAATTGAGAGTGTGTGAAGTAGGAAGCAGACGGATGAGATCGGATATCCAAGATTAAATGACGGTGTCTCACAGCTCACGACAGCACAGCCACGCGCAAAACAGCGTCTGGAGCAAACACGCCGTGTGTCTCAGTTACACGTGGAAACACGAGCAAAAGGATGGATCAGAAATTACACGTATGCTGTTTAATAGCCAAAAAGAAGATGCAACACCTTGGGGCGATAAAATGGGTGAAAAGGCAAAAAATAACTGTCCTCGGTGAGGCTCGAACTCACGACCTTCAGATGGCCCAAACTGATGTTTGGATCATATTAGATTCAATATGAGACTGACGCGCTAGCCAACTGCGCCACGAAGACCTGTTATTGAAATACAAGGGGTAAAGAAGCGACTATCAATGTAGCTTGCACTGGTGGTTGTCGCAAATAACCAATACACGTGGTCAATTATATCGAATATTAATTGGGAGATCCTTTTCATTTGTCATCAGAGATATCAGAGCCTACCACCACGTAAATTCTAGTGTCCTGTCAGTGTAATTCTAGGTATCTTGCCGCCTACCATCGCCAGGCCTTGTAACAACTTGGAAGGAGGACCAATTGCCAATTCATCAAAGGCATAATAGCATCAATGGTTCACGATAGCCTACATGTATCCGATGTAACGGGCAATGCAGCTGCCAGTAGGCGACCTGCATCAAATCGGCCCTGAAATTACGTACTACCTAAGCTGCTCTGCATTCGCTACGGAGTACATATGTACATTAAAGCGCTAGGCTGTTCAGGTACAAGAAAGCTCCGAATCCTACCTGTAATTACAAGGCCGGGCTCACAGTATAACCGCCAGTAGACTTGCATCCATACAATTTGAAGGTTTGTGTTGATCATATAGTACCTATGAGATTAAGTCGTCACAACTCCAACGCAGACCATGGACTGGACATGGAGGTGTTATTGATCAACCAGAACATACATGTATATGGACCTACTTCAGCACTACCTAGGTAGGTATGGTTCTACACAACCAGATGACTACAGCGGTACAGTGCTATCATTTCAGGAGACTACAGTAGCAAACCCCCTGTAGCTGCTCCTCCTTGGCGCCATAGTCACGCGCCTCGGCGGGGCTCCAGCACGCTTCCGCACCTGCAGCTTGATTTCATCAATCGAGCTGGTAGCCGAACCGCGAATCGCAGCCTCATCTCGACAAACTCCAGCACGTCAAGCCCTCTGCTCGAGTCACAGCCTCTCCTTTTGCGCCTCGTTTTCTTTCCTTTTCCTTTCCCTTGTCCTCCGACAAACGCCACGATGCTCTCCGGCGTGCTAATCTTCAACCAAAAGGGCGAGAACCTCATCTTCCGCGCCTTTCGCAACGACTGTCGCCCTCGTCTTGCCGACGTCTTCCGTATCCAGGTCATCTCCAACGCCCAAGTCCGATCGCCCATCTTGACGTTGGGCAGCACGACCTTTAGCCATGTCAAGCACGAGAACATTTACCTGGTGGCCATCACCAAGAGCAATGCCAATGCCGCGCTGGTCTTTGAGTTCCTCTACCGGCTGATTCAGCTGGGAAAGGGGTACTTTGGCAAGTTTGACGAGGAGGCCGTCAAGAACAACTTTGTGCTGGTCTACGAGCTGCTGGATGGTAATTGCTCCAACATTACCCATGCCCTCAGCTGCTCCAATTACTAACAATGTAACTTCCACTGCAGAAATCATCGACTTTGGCTATCCCCAAAACACCGAGACCGACACGCTCAAGATGTACATCACCACCGAAGGCGTCAAGTCCGAGTCGCGACCCGAAGACACGTCCAAAATCACCATGCAGGCCACCGGCGCGCTGTCATGGCGAAAGGCAGACGTCAAGTACCGCAAGAACGAGGCGTTCGTCGATGTCATCGAGGACGTCAACCTGCTCATGTCTGCCACCGGCGCAGTTCTGCGAGCGGATGTCACGGGCCAAATCGTTATGCGCGCCTATCTCTCCGGCACCCCCGAGTGCAAGTTTGGGCTCAACGATCGACTGCTGCTAGACAATGACGGCCTGCTTAGCCTTCCCAGCGGCAACAAAATGGGCACCAAGGCCACCAAGGCAGCGGCGGGAAGCGTCACGCTGGAGGACTGCCAGTTCCACCAGTGCGTCAAGCTGGGCAAGTTCGACTCGGACAGAATCATTAGCTTCGTCCCGCCCGACGGCGAGTTCGAGCTCATGCGCTACCGTGCCACCGAAAATGTCAACCTGCCCTTCAAGGTGCACGCCATCGTCAACGAAGTCAGCCGCACAAAGGTCGAGTACAGCATCGGCGTCAAGGCCAACTTCGGATCCAAGCTCTTCGCCACCAATGTCATCATCAAGATCCCGACCCCCCTCAACACCGCCAAGATCACCGAGCGGTGCACACAGGGCAAGGCCAAGTACGAGCCCAGCGAGAACGTCATTGTCTGGAAGATTGGCAGGTTCACCGGCCAGAGCGAATACGTCCTCACTGCCGAGGCTGCCCTGACCAGTATGACAAACCAGAAAGCATGGAGTCGACCTCCCCTGAGCATGAACTTTAGCCTGCTCATGTTTACCAGCTCTGGCCTATTGGTACGATACCTAAAGGTCTTTGAGAAGAGCAATTACTCCAGTGTCAAGTGGGTGCGGTACATGACAAGAGCAGGTTCATACGAGATAAGGTACGTCGTCTTGAATCCAAAGATCCGTCTATGGCGCTAACTCTATCTTTTTTTTTCTCTAGATTTTGAGGTGATTTGACTGTATGATGATGGATTTATGGCATGTATGGCGTTGAAGGATACTCGGGCAAAAAGCTTTAATATCATTGCATCTTCTTAATCTCCTTTCTCATCATCCTCGGCATGGCTTCGCCTCCCCCCTCTTACAACCGAGGCTGCAATCCATCCTACGAGAATGTGATGGTCTCAAGGGCGGAAAGCTTGTGACATATTCACTTTGACAGCCCCCCTTTTGTGTTGCATACCCCTCGGATCCGTCCGCGGATAGCTGCAGAAAGTGTCAGATCCCCCCTATCCATCTACGGTCCAGAATATGGGTTCGGCAAGCTTGCTCGTTCATGTCTGCTCTGCTTTCACATCAAGAACCCAAAACATCCAAATTAAAGAACCTTCGGGTAGGCACCGTTCTACTGACAGCGTCTGAGGATGATTCAGATAATCTTATTCGGTCCGAACTAGCGCATCCCGGCGAAGAACTTGCATCAGTTATGCTCTTCTCCAGCCACCAATATCATACCGGAGATGCTGCTCGAATACAACCGCTAGCTCCGGGTCCACCGAAGGAATATTGTTCGCCACAGCAGGGTCAGCTCACAGCGTGTTCTGGATATTTTCTGAAGGAAATGGATATAGAATGAGAGAATACGAGGCTTCATCAATGGAGCCTCTCACCAACAGAGTCGAGTCCTCTCGTGTACCCTCAGATGACGCCACAAATGTGCCTTTACCATGGGTATGACGGGTATGTCCTGGATCGGCCACCCGCGTGCTGTCTTATGCTCCAAACGTTGTTGTGTGACTGTTTCCTGGCCCTTCGCGTTTACTTTGAATGATGTGATAAGTTCTAAACATAACCAAGGTTTGTGAATGGAGATCGCCAGAGTGCCATCGTCTTGTTCAGGCGAAAACAATTCTGAATATTGTGCGCACAAGCAAGGAACACCTTTCGGAGTGGCAAATTATATCGAAAGATTAGAGCTTGGGCCAGCTCTCGTTATTAGACACAGCTCAGGCAATCCGCACCCTGCGTTACACCAATTCATTCCCGTGGCATGTGCTTCCTCCGAGACCGAGCTGCGGAAGTATCAGACCCCGGATTAACTAACGTGGAAACCACGATATCCTACTAGGTTATTGCTGTTTATGCTCCTGCGAAGGCTCACCTCTCTATCCAACTTTTTTCCAATTCTCTGTCACAAGGCGTTGAAGCACCCATGGAGCAATCCATGGAGCACTGGATTCAACCAGCAATACAACCGGAGCAATCGATAGAGCAGTGAACCTCAATGTCTCATTCATTCATGCGAGTTCTATATCTATGGTGGTTTTATCCATTGCACATGGAACCTTATTAACCCAGACAGTATCACGATGATTCACAAGTCCCTCTTGTATGTGGTCCGACGGCGTCGAATTTACCCCCTCCAAGAGCACACAACTTTGGTAGCACCTGCAACTTCCCACGAGACTTCAGGCGTCACCGATCATTTGTACCCTGATAAAGAGCGCCAGAGCGCCTTGAGCGACCTTCTAGAAAGATTTTTATCATATTTCACCCAAACACATGTTTGCCTCTCCGACGGAACTCTCTTGTGCTCGAAACATCCCAGGGCATATCTAAACATGTCTGATATGGATCAAAGCAAGCCACACGGCATCCCGCCGCTCAGCAACGCCCTCGACGACGCTCACACAAGTTTCCAGCTCATGAAAGCTCTTCTCAGGCCATCATTCCTTCTTCCATCAGCTACTGCTACGGTTGATGTCTTCCCTTGTTTTAAGAGCAATATGTCTTATTCTCTGTGCTCCCTCTTTTACGCCGAGGCAAAGTGGTCCTATTTTTGCGTCAGCATTGCTCCCATCACCAACCATTTCGGAGACATGGCTCCATGAGGACGGCGGTAAGCACATGGAAGAATCTCCCCCGCCTCTGAGGGAAGCAGTCCCACAATGGCTTCATTATTGCGGTGTTATTGAAACGGACAAATGTCCCAGCTGGTAAGCGACGTCCGAAGGCAAGTCGTTGACAGTTGATCGAGCAGCAAAGGCACTGGCATACCGAGGATGCTGGCGAGAGTTATAAATGGGGTCCTATTTCTCTCTTCAACGTGAGCTCAGTCAATATCAGCCAAACACAAGGACACTCATTATACCTCCTGCCTGATATTAGCTTCAGCAGTATCAACTTGGCTCTGCACAATTCCCAGTTTTCTGTTACCGTCCTCGGCACAGCACTGCTACCACTGGACCTGAACCGTTCAACAGTGAGACGGAGTTTCGATATTGGTTCAGGATTCCATAGCCTTGGGTACCGTCACTATATACCACAAGGTGCTCTTTGGCCACCTCCAGACAGGTTTCAGCTTTTCGTGGGAGATACAGATTCTGGTCTTGGCTATCTTGCCGTACGCTTCAATAATTTCGGTGTGGAATATTCAATATTTCATGAGGGTGAGTTTTACGATTGCGGATAAACAACAAGGCGCGTTTGTCGTTGGGAGAAACCCACTGAGGACATCAGGATAAAATCCCATACTCGGCATAGCAGGGACAGGACAAGTCAGAAAATCGTGAGCGACGTCGTCAACGACGTCGTCATCTTCTTCTAAACATTCAACTCTAACGTCTGTGCCAATTTGGCATCTCCGTACGGAGACATCTGACAAACACTCAAAGCAAGCGCCTCTTCGGCCGCCGAACGGCTCATATTCTCCCTCTTCCCCCTCAAACTACTTTCCGGAGACACAAAACAGACTCAGCAAGCCACATCTCCTTGTGTCGTGCAAGGCCGCCAATCATCTCGGGCCGCGTCACCGTATCATCGTCTGCTAAAAGGGTCATCCGGGTTGCGGAGTAGAAATAGGCATTCTGCCGAGACGGCCACCGCACCTTGTGTAACCTCGATTCCGAGCCAACTTCGGGCTCAACTGTCTCAGTTGGTCTCGGCCCCCCTCCTTTCCGACCTGAGATCTTTGTTGTACTCGTACTAGACGAGGCCAAAAATAAAACAGATAAAGGCAAAAAGGACACAGCATGTGCCAGTACTCGTTCATACACTACCACCATCAACACCCGTGCACACACCCGTCCAGCCTTGTCCCCCGATACTCGTATTGCCCTGCCGCTGCCATCAACCCGGCCACCAACCAATATTCGCCCTGTCCTGCCACCACCGTCTTTGCATCTCCTGAGGCTACAGGCGAAAATCCCTGCGCGCGGGGAAACTGCCTCATCTCGCCGGCCTGCAGCTCGGGGACGTGCCGGCTGCAGGATCTCAATGGGAGATGGGTCTGTTGCAAGTGTAAGCGCGGGGGCAATGTCTATCGGTCTTGTCATCACCGGAAGAAAGGGTGTCCTGATACATTTTGTTATCATGACATTTGCGAGAATTGCACTCCTGATATATAGAGGGAACACCTCGTTGCTTCTTTATTGTATCCTTTTGTTCCTGTCTTTGATCCTCTCTTCCTTCTCTGGCCTGTACAAACTTTAGTCCCAGACGACGAAGAGGAGAAATGAAATCATGTGGAAATCAAGGGGGCGCTTTTACAGGGTGTGCGTGCAACCACCGCAGCAAAAGCTCACGAAGAATCTAAAACCTCGGGGGCGATACCCCTGGTTCGGCAATGTCTCGGCCAGACGTACCACATGATTTCACAGGGTAAGGGCCAGCCAGTCAGCCGGCTAGCCAAGGCAGCTTTGTGAACATTTTTAGGGAAAGTCTCAGGCCGCGGATCTGCAACTTCGGGGGTGTCTGCTTTTGTTTCTTGAGATTACTGGAAAGGATTTTGTATGAGTAAGAGTTGATGGACTGGGGTTCGTTTGTGCTCAGGTGTGGCGGGCACTTGTCCTTTTCAACCCGTCTATTGGATTTGTCTCAGATCATCTTTTGCTTTCCCGTTCTTGGTCACGTTCGTCATTATACTAATTTACACCACAACAAGAGCCAATGGCATTGCACAGATGGTTTGTGATACATCCATGACAAAGCAGATCAAATCAGCCAGGTACTCGTCATATCCGAGAGAAAAGAAGCCTCGGCTGAGCATACCCACCCATCCATCCACGTCTACGCCTCACTATTCTCAACTCTCCCGTTCACTATGTCTGCCCGTGTCAAAAACGATCACCAATAAAGCAATCCATACTCCCCCTCCATGAATCCACCAACCGGGAACCGGGCCCTTGCCGGCCCTCGTCCAAACTGACAGCTCCACAATGCCGTACGCCACAATCCCAGCCTTTTTAATAGAGGATCATGTAAGTGAAAATAAGTGTAATGTTCCACACCAGAAAACACAAGCAGCCAAACGGAAAGCCTTTCTTAATGATCGAGTCCTCACATGACGCAGAGAACCAAAAAGGGGGGGTGAGAAGCACATCCAGTCACATCTCCCTGATCATCAATCTTGATGTCATCACGGGGGAGCATATTCAGCCCATCTCACATGCCCCCGTTCATGAGGCGGAATCTGAGACTTTTTTCGGTGTACTTTTCCGTAAGGCCATTGGTCGCCCACATGCTTTTTTTTTCCCCTTTTTTTTCCTTCCCTCTCTCTCTCTCTCTTTACTTTTTCTCCCTTGCCTTCTCCTTCCTTGATCCGGTTATCGGATGTATAGGCCTCTTCATATGCCAACTCCAGTCTCTCCTAAGCGAGACCCAAAGCCCCTAATGCCTCCCATTCACCTACGTCCTCGCCACGGCACGCGACGGTGAAGCACCAATTCTCCAAAAATAAAGCAGTCAAACTCTTAGTGTATCCGTACCCCCAAAGGGCTGTTCATTTCCCAGCTTGGCTCGGCTAAACCTCACTTTCTAGTATCCCAACAATTTATTAAAAAGTAAAAAATAAAAAATAAATGACCGGTGAGAAGAACATAGATGAAAGTGATATTCAATATTTACGAGCAGGGGTGCCTCTATATCTTGGATTATTTGACGGGATAGCGGGTCGCGGCCTTGTAGTATTATTGGGGGAAAAGAATTAGAGATGTGATATTTTGGGGTTAGGCGAGGCGGCGTCGGTGAACTCGTGGGAACGTCATGGCGAGGCGGATGCATGATTGAACTTCTATAAATTGAAGGAGAAGAGAGCTGCGAATCATGAAGCAAAGGCTCATTGTTCTCATCTTTTGCCTTCTTACTTTCTTCGCCAAGTTGCTTCCATATGTCATTATAGATCCAATCTTCAAATTTCCTCTCATCAGCAACTTCAACCATTTCCTCGATATAGCCAAAACACCATCAAACAACCAACTCCTTCACCCTTCTCCCGCTCAGAGCCACCATCCAACATGTGCCAACTCCTAATATACGACCTCATCTGCTGCCACTCATCCCAAAAATGGGACTACTGCGCCGAATCCCAAACCAGCGGCCGCATCCCCTGCAAGCACCAAACCTTCAAAGTCGTCTCCTATCCCACCCCGGCAGAGTTCGAGCCGGCCCCCATCTGCCACCGCTCCGAGTGCCACTTCAACCGGCTCGACGGCGTCTGGAACTGCTGCTGGTGCGGCAAAACGCACAACACGACTGGCCGGTGCAGCGGCGGGATGATGTATTATGAGTACACCACGTGTGATCATATATGCTGTCCGTTCTGCAAGAGGGGGGATCAGGGGTTCTAGGTGGACGTCCGTATGGATGGAATATTCTGTCAAAAAGTTCTGTCTTTGGATGGACATAGTTTTTTGGAACCAGAAATGCGGGTAGACTAGACCATGATCCAGATCAAATTAATAAAGCATTAATATTGGAGGAATCAAGATCAAAAGCTGACATCTCTCTGTCTGCTGCGAACTGAAGCTGTCAATTTTGGGCATAGTAAGCTATAATTAGGAATGTTAACTCGCCTACCCATACATAATAGCAAACTCTCTTCCTATACGGCTTTCGAATTCTCTCCTTGATGATTTACCGAGTAAAGTCGAATCGAATCTTGCATTAGTCATGAAGCATTCGTATAGGTAGTTTGCACAATGACTCGCCACAGCATATTTGCTAGTATCCAAGTAAGCAGTAGTCTCTGCATGGATAGCACTCCAATATTGGGCTGTGCTGTTCTTTGCTATTTGCTTGTTTCATAGCCACAGCCACTTTACATCCATGCTCAGCCGGAAATTTGCAACGCCTTGCTTTTTTCGTAAGCAATTCCTGCTGCCTAGATAATCTAATGCAGTGAGACTCAGATTTCAAGATCGGCCGGCTGCCGACCTGTCAAAAATGTTATGCGAAGCGTCTGGGGCAAATATTTCGGAAGTGTGCATCACTTGTGAACCCCCAACGCGGCGTCCAAAGCAATAGTCGCAACTCTGTTTTTGTCCATCTTGTTCAACTCTGCTCATAAGCATCGTATCCACTTGGACACCCTCATTTATGGTGCCGTAACGAAAGAGGTGGTGTCGTGTCCCAAGATCCAGGACTTCGGGACGGGAATCTCCTCCCTGAGGCGCACGACGCCGGAACAATCTCTCCAGAGTAGTACAGAGGCATACATGCCCCGAGCAGTCAAACAGAGCCTCGCTGTTCTTCGTTTCCCTCTTTATTCACTTATGCCACATGTGCGAGTCAGAAGGGTCGCACACGAATCCAGTCTGCAACTACTTGCATCTGATAAAAACATCAGCAAGCTTATACCATCGGACTGTCCGAATGCGCAAACCAAACGAATTCGCCACTTGGTGCATTGTCAAGCCCATGCATCTTTGCCATGTCACACACAACTCCCCACAACGGCCGAAACATTGGATCTCAAAATTAGCCCACGCCGATCCGGAATACCGGGATCCAGGGTTCAGAGCCAGATCTCGACGCCCTCATCTTGCATATGTCTGCGAACGCTGGTATGACAGCATGGTTCGTGTCACCGGTTGTGGAGTGTAAATTTGCTGCATCACTCGCAGATTCTGAGGCTCGTAACTCAAAGCGGTGAGATTGCATTGGTCGTGAAATGAATAGTTCCAATCTCGCAAGGCAGGATGAATGAAGGATGGCACAGCAGGTGAGTGAGAGGACAGTCAGATCGAATCCGGGACCGACATGATTGCAACTTGGCACTTGCGCTTCCCATGGAAAATTATCGATCCCGAGACGTCGATCATGGGGCGAAAGTCTGATCGATGGAGACAAGCAGTCGAGATGTTCTATATAAAGAGGCAGTTCTGCCTCAGCAAGGGATTGTAAACACTAGCATCAGATCTGCCTCGCTGTTTCATCATACAATCCTCATCAGTCATCTTACCTGCTCCTTTCTCATCAACTACAAACTGCCATCCCTTCAAGATGTGTCACGGACATCCCCGATATCACTCGTGTGCTCACACATCACTCGTCTGGTATTATTGCCCTTCGGCACATATTGACTTGGAAACGGGCTTTGAAACGCCTTGCCGCAATGTCTCGTTTGCGCCAGCCCAGTCCAGCCCGTTGTCATGTCCTCTAAAGAACTGTCAGTTTGTAGACAAGGGTGGCAGCTGGATATGCTGCAAGTGCAATCAAGGGCCCAACACTCAAGGCTGGTGCTCTACTCCCATGGCCAACATCCATGATGGCTTGAATTCGTTACAACCGGAAGACGACCAAAGAACCTGTGACCATGGATGTTGTGATGACTGCAAGAGATTCGGTACGTTGACCACGCTTGTTCCCTCTGATGTAGATGAGAGCTAACTAACTGTTGTTTGTATCATAGGGCCGAGCCGCAGTCCTTCCCCAGAAAAGCGGGTTGTTGAGTCTCGCAAGGGACGATCACGCAAGTATGGGTATGCAGCATCATCCAGATCCCATCGATGCGAGTCACCATATGCCATGATGAAAGGACTATCACTCGACAAGGGGTCCGAGTCTGGGAGCACAGCTGCCTCTTCGTCATCCAGCAGTTCATATGACTATCGTTCCAAGAAATCCAAGCCATCCAAGAAGAGTCACAAGTCCAAGTCTCGGAGCTGAGAGAGCCAGGGAAATACAGTATTGCCTGTATTAATGATTCACAACATTTGTAACCAGTGTACTTTTATATATCAATGAAGAATTAGTAGTTCATGTTATGATTTGAGCGCAGGCGAGACTGTCTCATCAAATGATGCGGTGCTCATCAAAACCTGCCACCCGGCATATGTGTGAAGAATTACAAGAGAATATGGAGACTGTGAGAAGAAACAAGCGGTTGGATAGTGTGGATATGCTCCTTGTTAGCTGCAAAATGTGTGGCACAAGTGAGTGTAAGCTGCGTACGAAAACTGGGCCTGCAAATAGAGTCAGTAGACGCGCGGCTGTGGTCAGTCAGACTACAAAGTCAGTATAGCAAGATTCGAGTCTCACAGCTTCAACCCAGCAAGATTGTCCTCTCTAGCATGAAGAAGCTGCTTTAGACGCGGTGTAGAAGAAGCAAAAGAAACCCCAAACGCGATGCAGGCCCAACTGAAGTAGAAGCAATCCGCGTCGCAAGGCCGTCGTGGTGAATAAGAGCTAATAGCTTCCTAGCCGGTTGGTTTGGAAACGGCTAGTTCTGGCTAGTGATGACGCCGGTGTGCTTCATGCGTGCTAGCAGTAGCGTCGAGAGGATCTCAACGAGAGCTTCCTCGACCACGGCAGGGACAAAACAAGCCAGCAGAGATGCCCACGCGACAGCAGCTGTTGCCCGGCAGTGGTTGTGTGGGCCAGACATGTCACCATCGTCATGGCCACGGCCACGCTCATGTCCGGGCTGCAAACAAGCAAGAGAAAGCGTCGACAGGGCCGCGAGCCAAGCTTCAAGGCTCCCCTGGCGAGCCACGTGCAATGGCGCAGGGATCGTTTCCCTTTTGGCCGCTGGTGTGGAATGCAAAAATGCCCTGCGTGAGAAGGGGTTTGTCAGGCCGTGTCGGCCATGGCCTGATTGGCTCGGCGGTGCGCTTCGGCTCAAGAGTGAGGCCCGACACAGGGCAGGGAAAACGGGGCCGGGGGGGATGGGAAAAGGTAGTTTGCGACTCTTGTTTGCTGTGCTGTGCTGTGTTGCGCTGGGCTGGGCTGGGCGTTTGCAAGGAGCATGAAGTGAAGCAGCCATGCGACGGTTGCTGGGATATCGGCGGGCGGACCGCTGGGAATGTATGCGCGGCAATGGGTTTTGCGTGCGTATGCGAGTATTGCAGCTGGAGCTGGAGCTGTAGCTGTCATCAGCAGAATGTTATTAGTAGTAGCATCGTTGCGCCATGGATCCAGAAAAAAAAAATAGATACTGTACTCGTATCTACCAGACTTTGGAGGGGCCAAGGCAGTGATTCGTGGCAAAAGGTGGAGGAGGTTGGTTCTAGAGCAACAAAAGAAATCGAGGTGGTGGTCTGACCATGCGGCTGGCACATGGCATTCTCGTTGCGTCGTTGGGGGGGGGTTCGTTTAGGGGACCTGGCGGGCATGTACCCGCTAACCAGGGCCTGGAAGAGCGCCAGAAGCCAGTTGACTTGAATACATGCAATAGAGGCGCATGGAACAAATGGGAAGACGCAGATCAAACGATTTGGCCTGGATCTGTGGTTTGTTTTGCGCGATTGCAGACTGAAGATCAGGCCATGGAAGGATGAGTTTTGACAGATTATGGTTAGCAGCGACGGGGAGAGGAGAGAGAAGTCGTACTAGCGGATATGATGAATTCAGCTTATGGACAGACGGCACATGGTTTGTTTTTGCAAGGTTACATACCTGTAGACGTTGCATTGGGCAGCAATATAATAGTACTTGGGCGAGTACTATCATACCTGTATGTACAGTAGCTACCTAGGAGCATCAGCAATCAATCCATCAGCATCAGGGCTGGCATTGATGTATGTAGATGCCCATCCATGCTTCGTATAGCAATACTAAGGTAGCTCTGAATCAAGGGAACCATGGAAGCTGTCCATGTTTGTGCCTAGGTATCTATCTAGGTACACAGCAAGGGACCTCCAGCATCATGATGCAATGACATGTATACTATGTACAGACAATCACAGCCCCCATGGCATCATCATCATCATCAACAACAACAACAACAAGCATCAAGGTACTTTTACACGTGTATAATCCAGGCTCCCACATCTTAAACCCCCGTAGCAGCAAGCATCATCCATGGTTTGCGCGGTACTTGGCCCTCGTGTACCCCGCCGTCCAAGTCACCCCCTAGCCGCCCTACTACGGCATGTATAGTGCTGTGCCTTTCCTACTCCGTGCTACTAACGAACCTGGTACTACTGCATCTCCATCCGGCTCCACCATCTTCTTGCCCATCATCTCCCATCCCCATCCCTCGCCTCTTTTTCCTCTCTCCTCCCGCCGCCTCGTTTTCTCTCTGCCTTTTCCAAATACTACTACTGTAGACAAATCCCACTTGTTTGTTTCATCCTCTTAAGCCGTCAAATCCCATCCACGGCAAATCGCAATCTGTCGCTATCCGCAAAAACCCCCCTGAACCCGGACCTCAAATCTGCCACCCCCCAGTCGACTCTCCGACGGCATCGCCAGCAGGAACCAAGAAAAAAAAAGCTCTCGTCTCCATTATTTGTTTCTCCCCTCCTCTCTCCAATCATCGCCAGCTCCTGATCGGCCCCAACCAAGCCAAACCCGGTCAAACCTGACACCAGACGTGCGACAAAACGCCCAGCCCAGGCATTAGCATCGCATAGCATAGCATCTCGCCTTGCCCCCTTGCCAATCACACTCGACTTACTCGCTCCCTCTTGTTCTTGCTCTCTCTCCCCAGCTTCACTTTCTCGCTGGATTGGACCGCCTCGTGCTAGTAGCCGCCAGTTGATTCACCAATCCCTGCGGCAAACAACCGTCTCACTCCCACCAGCGGGTCGCTCTCAACTTGTTAAAAAGCCATCAGCCCTCCAGCAAACACAAACACCACCACTATGCCTGTTTCCATGGAATCCTCCCGCCCAATTATGGCTCCCTCAGTAAGTATATCTTGTGACGTCTCTTTCACTCTAACCACGTCCCATAATGCCTGCTTTCCTTCTTCATTCTATGCTTTGTGGACAAAAGTAGCTTCCGTTTGCGGCACACACAACGCGCCTCCCTTCACTGCATCCGCTGTTCGCAATATGCCACCTTTTCCTCCTCTTGCCACTGTCCCTTACCCTTGTGACCTCCCAACTAATCATATGTCCAAACATCTGCAGGCTCGCGCTTCTCTCCGCTTCAGCACCTACAGCATGGCTGCTCCCTCGGTCGCCATGTCTGTCCAGACCACAGACTCTCAGCACGCCGAAATCCGCGAGATTGCCACCGGGCTTGATCGCATGGAGAACAAGGCCCTCACCTCGCAGCGCGTCACCCTGTCCGAGGAAAAGTACGAGAAGATGAGCAAGCTCGCCCTCGGCGCAAAGCTGGAGCGCGCGCTTGACAGGCGCATGAGCAGCCAGGATGCCGTCATGCGACCCCGAAGGAAGACGACGTCTGCCATCGAGAAGACCTTCAACGAAAAGTCCGCCCAGTAAACCAACTGGCCAGTTAACACATGGCTAGCTTGTCCATGCTTTACCTGTCGGCGCTGTGCTGTGCTACTGCCTCGGTGTCTCAGAGGAGGGAGAGGTTCTAGTTGTCCATCATTTTCGCGGCTGCGATTCGGACTCGGAAACAGCAGCGCTGGCTGTTGTATCGACTCGCCTCCAATTTGCATCATCGGGGAGAGAAGGGGCATTTCGGCTGGACGCTTTTTTTACACGTTTGCGGAATTATTAGACAAGAAAGAGTCCAGTCCAACACCGGCATTCACTCACGATACGCTCAGATGATGAGACAATCTGATTTCACATATACCCCCCTGCGTCACACGATAAACTCGCCCCATTGCTACATGAATTTTCCCATTTTGGTCTCATCTCATAGCTCCCTTTTTTTTCCCCTGGTCACATTACGCGGAAAAGAGCGGGACATTTGTTTTTGTTTTTTCTCGGAAAGGATAACAGCAGTTAAAGAGAAGGACGGCGCGCGCACCGAGTAACGGGAACCCATCAATATATACAGTTGCGGAAGTCTGGGAGGAAGAGCTATACTATATTGATTTCTTTTAACTGCCGTCCGACATTTTTGGTCTCTCTGCTAGGAAGAAACGTCAAAATTATTGGGTTTTGCTTTTGTTTTTGTTTGTTTTAACATGGCGCTAGAAGAAGACTGGTTCATTGTGCCTCTTTTTTGATTGCCAATTTGCCGTGTGTTTCCCAGAATGTGACGTGTTTGTTTCCGTAATGCAAGGGGGAATGTGATGGACAGATTTCCCTCGATCCGTGTTGTGTGACTGGACTCGGGGATCGCCATGGGAGAACTAACAGGACGCTCGGTCGGCGCTTTTTGCACGCTTGGTTGGACCATGTCTCACTTTTTTTTTTTCTTCCTTCTTTGGAGTTGTTGCTCAATATGTGGCCGATAGCGGCAACGTGAGGTCTCGTGTCGAGGACAAGGGCTTCATGGATAGAACAACCTATTCTTGGTTGAAGGTGCATGTGCCCAATAAGCCAAACACCACTCATCTACCAGCAAACAAACCAGACAAACAGCAACAGCAACAGCAACAGCAACAATGTGTAAAACAAATTCCAAATACTGGATACCTAAAATCACTGCAGTGCCAAATCATGTACTACATACAATATGCTCCCAACGCCATCCACTCCCATCCCTTGCTTCCAAGCCTCACATCTAACGTACTGTACAACAAACCCAATTTCTCAACAATGACCCAGAAACAAATCACTTCATTTTACTTGGCCCCCCGTCCCCGTTGAGCGCGCGCCCTCTTCGCCCGCGCCTTCTTGCCCCGAGGCTTCAAAGCCGGGACACTCTACGCCCGCGACTTCTCAATCCTCTCCTCAATGTCCTTGAGCAGCGTCACCAGGTCGGCCTCCTCGCCCTCCATCTCCAGCGCCCTCTTCACCCACTCGCGCGCCTCGTCCAGCCTGCCCATCTCCGTCAGGCACCGGCCCCTACGCCACCAGCCCTTGGCATTGCCGACCCTCCGCGCCTCGACGCTGGCCTCGGCATCGACCGCCCCCTCGGGCCAGTTACCCATGGCCATGTGCGACTGCGCGCGGTTGGCATACAGCATGGACACCTCCTCCCTGACGAGCGCCGCGGGCTCCCACAGCGGCCGCTGCAGCGCCATCTCGATGCCCTGCGAGTAAAACTTGACCGCCTCGGCGTACTTCTGCTTGCGATACTCCGTGTTTCCGTTGTCGCGCAGCTTGGAGACGTTTGCGGTGCGCTTCGGGTTGACGGGGATGGGAGGCGGGGGCACGAGCGGGATTGCGCCTGGCGGCACCTCGATGTTGAGGATGGCGCGGTGCAGCGTGTTGAGCTTCTCCAGCTCGGCGGCGAGGGCGCGGGACGGTCTGCTGCCGGAGGGGAGGATGGCCTTGGACTGGGGGTCCATGTGGATGGGGAGCATGCTGAAGTGGTCGAGGTCCGACATGGTTGCGACTGTTTGGCTGTGGAAGATGGTTCGAGATGGTTTCGATGCGATGCCGCTTCTTCCTGTTGTACAATGCTCGGATTATCTGTAATGCGTAGTGATTGACTGTATCGCGAGATACTAGAATTCAAATCTGTGAACAACTTGCGCCAATTAGAGGCGAAATGGTGCTTGCGTCAAAGAGAGAAGAAAGAGAGAGAGAGAGAGAGACAAGTTGCTTCACTAACACAGATGTCCAAGCCCATGTCAATGTCAGTGAGGACACCTCTCGCTGTGCCAAAAAGGTGCTTATCTTATCAACACATGACTGTGGGGGGCGGGCGCTAATCATGTAGCCATGAACTTTACAGCTACTTACCCTAAACCGAATTGCCAAAACCGGAATTCCACGAGCTTTTAGAGTTTGACGGAACACGAGGAAGAACACGTCCAAATGAAGTGTACCCTACTGTAAGGTTAGTACATGTACATATGGATCAGTCTCGGCGTGGGGTGATTACTGGGGAGGGAATGGAGTGGTGGAGGACAAGAATTGTGAATGCACAGTTGGCGAATAGATATATTTACACGAATACAACTTGGCTGAAATACATACTCGTAGACAATGGAAATATACATGTGATGTACGAAAGATGCAACTAGCAACAGGTATGGTATCAAATGGAAACTCGAAAAGAGCACAGCATCATCAACAAAATACACACAAACACACAACAACGCTAAAGTGGGAAATGGAGCCAGAAATCACATTATATAAATCATTAATTGTTCAAAGCATTTATCATTCCGTCTACTCCTAGTATTTGTGCAATGCTAGACACCTCTTTTGCTCAGAGGAAGGGTATGATCATCACTTGCCCATCCTCTCCCACGTCCCCCAATTCCTGTCGCCGACTCACTTTTGCTCTGCAATAAGCCGGGAATAGCGTCCTTGAGCAGTGTGAAGCCATTGCGAGGCCAGAAATAAGAGACATCCCTTCCCCAAACGCATTCCCGACCGTCCAATCCCAATTGTGTGCAACAGACCAGAAACGCAAAAGAACCACATTACAACGTCCGCAGCTAGTCCATCCGCTGTCACCCTCACGAAGAAGAAAATTCGATACCAAGACTTTTGTTTTCTTTCGTGCTGATTGTTGGGGTTTCCTTGTGCTTTATTTTTTCTGTGGGATGGATTCTGGGTTCCGATTGACAAAGAGAATTTTCATGAAGGAAATAATTGGAGAAACGAGTTTCCATCCGCCCCCCAAAAAAGCCGCCGCCCTCGCCATCACTCAGCAAATCAAGTATAATTCCTTTGTGAACCGCCGCGCCAATCTAATGAAACGCACGAGAAAAAGACAATGCGAAGTACCAAGGCCCCCCCGCGGGGAGCCGAGGAATGGCCAGCTTAGTAGCCATAAGCCGCAAGGGCCTTCGCCGTCTCCTCCTTGACAGAGGCGTTCTTCTTCGCGTCGGTCAGTTGTCGTGCAGCAACCTTCTTGCGCTCGTAGTAGGCAGCGCCCTTGGCCTTCCGCCTCTCCTCCAATCTGTCATTGAATGTTAGCATTTTCCATTTCCGCTATCTGGAGAAAAAAAAAAGAGACGAGTGTGGCAATGACATACCGGGCAACAACATCCTGGTACTTCCAGCCGACCTCGTGGCTCAGACGGCCAACGGTGCAGTACTTGCGACCGGGCTGCAGTCTCAGGACACGGAGAGCCTGGGGAACGACCATCTTCTTCTTCTTATCGTAGGGGGGAGGGACACCCTCGAAGACCTTGAGGCGCTCCAGAGCGGCGGCACCGCGGGCGGTCTTGTGAGGGATCATACCACGGACGGCCTTGTAGAAGATTCTGGAGGGAGCGCGGAAGTGGAAGGGACCTGGAGAAAGCCGTCGTTAATATCCCTAGATCACGACAATCAGGAGGCGTTGGAATCGCGTAAACTCACCACCGCGAGTGGGGTTGTATCGGGTCATCTTGCGCAGGTAGGCATGGTACTTGACTGTTCCAAGTGTCAGTATTCTCAATTCTCACTTGTTCGTTAAACTGTGGCGATTGCTGTCTCAAGCTCGGCAAGAGATGGCTCGCGACAGATCGGCGGATGGCAATGGATATGACGTACGCTTAGCGCGGAAGAACTCGCCAGAGATGTTGAGGGCCTCGCAGCGGACGACAACGATCTTCTGACCGTTGAGGAGCTGCTTGGCGACAATGGAGGCGAGACGACCAAGAAGGTGGCCCTTGCCGTCAATGACAACCTAGAAAAGGGCCACGGTTAGCATCCATCGTGCACAATGTGTTCCCAGCCCGTGTCTCCCCCCCATCACCAATGTTCTGTGTCGGATGTGTGCCAGCGAAAGAAGAGAAGAGGCTCAAGAGCAGCAGTAGCATCGATTGCCGCCAGCGCATATAACAGAAACAGCAACATTGTCCATATCCCAGCACTCAATCCCAAGCTCGCCTCAACTGCTTTTGCCATATGCGCTGGCGTCCATGTGCTCTCCCTCTATCCATCGCCTCTCTTCTCGACTCCCTTGTCTGGCACTCCACAAACATTCGGATCCAGGCGAAAGACATGTGCATGTGTGATTCTGTGGTGAATACTCACAACCGACTCGAACGACGACATCGTACCGGTTCTTTCGGGGGGGTGGAAAGAAAAAGTTGAAGAAGAAAGACGACGAAGACACACAAATCCTCCGACCTCAGGAGAATTTGCTGCTGTGCTGCTGTGGGTAGTCGTCCCTGGTTGTTGATGAAGTGGTCGCGATACAGATTGGAACGGCGAGAAAATCGCAGTGCCGCTTGGGGCTGGTTGTGCCTTTGGAACAGCAGGGCTAGCCTGATTGGGCAAGGGTGGGTTCCGGGGCAGGCGAAGAAGGGCTCACAGGTTGGTGGTGCTTAGGGCTGCGAGACCTAGACTCTGGGCCGACAATCTGCCGGGCTTATCGGCGGGCGCTTTTTTTCTGTCTTGATTTTTTGGTCAGCGATAATGTCATAGGTGGGCGACGGAGGATGCACGTGATTTAATAGGTGGGAGAGAGCAGAATGATGAACGACAATAAGGTACGTACCATTTGGGCAATAAAACTGGAAACTGGGTGTAATCTTGGTGCACCATGTGAAGATCGCGAGATGGTATAAGTGAGGTGAGTGCTGGGCCTGCTTTGCCCTAAGACAGTGGACCAAGAGAACTACCTAGATAGTAGGTCAGGGATATTCAGACTCAGATATTCAAAAACACGGTACTTGGCTTTCAGCTCGTATTAACAGACAGCAACGTTGTATATCGCCACGCATCATCAATCTATCTATCAAAAACACCCTTCTACTCTGTGTAGGTGTTGTGCCATCCCAACGGCCATCTCCCAGCTCCGTTCCATGCCATGCGATGGGAGTTGTATCTCTTTTCTAGTAGTATTGTAGTAAGTGCGCAAATGCGAAAAAAGGTCTATATCGCTCATGGATCAAGCTGCTTCTGCTTCGCCATTGCCAACTCAGCCCTCCTTCTGCCACCCGTCTCTTCTTTTGTAAAACCATATAAACCCCGTAAGTCTCAATGCCCAATATTTTTTATAAGTGTGTGTTTAAGAGAAACGTGCAAGGAGGGGAGTGATATGCAGCGTCAATGACAAGAGTCGTCCCAAGTAAGATGAAAGAAAAGGAACCCCCATTAAAAGCAACAAGTTGAAAAAAAAAAAAGGAAAAACAATGTGCAGTGCGCTCAATTATGATGCTTTGGCAGTATCCAGCTGCTTCAGAACCTCCTGGACTCGTCGGACAAGGTCCTTTCGTCTCTGGCGAATCTCATCAACGCCCTCGGTCTCAACGCCATCTAGCTTCAAAATGATTTGCTGCATGACGGATTCGGACAGCTTCCTGTGCTCCTCGTCTCGCTTCTTGGCATCCTTGGGGGGCGACTCGATATAGGCCCGGCACAGCGGCAGCCAGTTGGAATGGAAGTCGTCGGAGATGTCGTCCAGCTTCTTCATCGCGGCGCTGATGGCCGTGGGCGAGACTGCGTTTGCCGCATCGCCGTTTGAGCCGCTGTCGATGGGGCTGGTTGGAGAACTGGCCTCGTTCTTGTCCTTTCTCTTGCTCTTCTTCTTCTTGCTCTTGGACTTGGAGGACTTGCTATCGTTTCGCGAGGGCTCATCCACAATAATCATGTCGTCATCCGATCGGCCGCCGTTGTCGTCCTCGGCGTCGGGGATGACAGCCATGAGTTCGCTCTTGTTCTTGACTCCATATTCTCGGACGGGGTACATGGACTCCTTGAGCTGCTTGCCCTTGTAGAGCAGTTTGATTCGGCGTGTTGTGTGCGACGACAGATCCATCAGGAGGCCAATGCGATCCCGCACGTCCTTGACATACAGCTTGCCATCACCGATCGAGTAAGCAGGAAAGTGAGCTGGATAAGTCACGCCCCTGTGCTTGATCAGCAAAATGTCGTCTTCAGGCTCCGAAGGTCCTCGGGAGCGCGGCCGAGGAGGATAGAAGCGGGTGTCGGTATATTCGACTCGAGGATCGTCCAAGTCCTGGGCGGTGATGTAGCTAAAGTCTTCGTTTGTGACATCTGGAACACCGCCCGACATGGCGCCGAAGCTCTGCTCGCGGCTGAGCGACCATCCGTATCGCGACATGGTGATGGGTAGGGCCACAAGGGCAGCGAGACCGCTGTAGACAAACGTGGGCGGGACGCCCAGGGTCCCCGAGATGTACTCGCTCGACTCTTGGAAGGCGGCCGAGAGATTGGTGAGGGTCCCGTTGAGGTAGGTCGTGATGATCTGTTGTAGGGCACCGGACGATGCCACGATGGGCTGGTTGGAATCCACCTTGGCGTCTTGGGTATCAAGGTGGCCCTGGCTGAGGACACCTTACCAGGAGAAGAGGAGAAGGGAGAAGGAGGAAAAAGAAGACGGGGTCGGCTGCCTGTCCGAGATTCTCTCTCTCCTTGGCGGTTCAATCTTTGTTCTGCGGAAAAAGATCGCGGGGTCGTGGGGGGTGACCAGCAAGGCTGAGCAAAAACCGCTTGGACTGGGGCTGGCGAATTGTCTCGGGCGAGGCTTAGCGTGTTGGATCGATGGAGAAACAAAGAAATTGCCCACAGGAAACGACGATCACGGAGGCGGCCGAAGGAGCGCGAGCCGGGCGGTTCTCTTCTCTGGATGGCTGTGGCGACGGAAACGAGCGAGGCTCAGCTGATTGATTGCTGGCTGCTGGCTGCTGGCTGTTGGCTGTTCGCGGTGAGTGAGCGTGGTTTGGTTGGCTGTATTCGAGCAGCACAGCGCAGCAACGGGCTTCGCGAGGTGGCTGGTGATGCGGCTGGATTCGGACAAGGCCAGGCTGTTGTGTCGAGCCAGCGATGCGGACGAGATGGATGGGCTGCAGAAGGATGGACGAGAATTATGGGGATTGAGGCTCTCTGGGATTGGTGACAATGTGTCAAGTTTTTCTTTGCAGGCTTGCCAGGTTTTCGCTTTAGCGGCGACTGGGGAACTGGCGGGGCCTTGGGGGGACCCTCTGTAGCGGCCGTTTAGTGGGCTCAAATTAACTGGAGGCGCTATGAGCGCTGTAACTCTCCATTTGACATTTTCCGTGGATCTGAATGAAGTCTGCCCGGTGTTACAATTTTAGGTATCTCTTTGATATTGGCATCCATCCATTTAGGAAATTGGAATGGATCAGTGTTGAAGAATCGAATCTGTGGCGAATGGCCGACAGACAGACTGGATGTGAGCATGTTCAGACCACTAATCACCCGTTGCTGACATGTTCAGTCCTGCTGATGCTCTTTTACGGTGGTATTGGCTGGAGAATCAAAAGCATGGAAGGCGATGCGTCAAGCGTCCTCGATGCAAGACATCAAACTGATGACACAAAAGTGCTTGCATTGCCCAAGAAACAGCCATGAGTGGACGTACTTGGTCCAAGTCCCATCATTAATCTCTTCATTGTGCAGTTTGAAGCCTCTACTACTGTCTGAATAATACATGTAGACTGAGGGACGGAAAATGCATTCATCCATCCAAACCCCATCCCAGTGGCTGCGCTCGTGATACTAAATATAGGTGCATGTGGCCAAGTTGTACCGTGTCCGATTCCTCCCAGATGCTCTTCCGACTTCAAATGGCATCTTGCTTCAGCCATCGACGGACACATACATACGAGTACATGAGCACTGCTTATCGCCGCGGGCCTCGGATTTGTCAACCAGAGCAACAATCTCCAGCAGCCGAAAATCACATCCGACACTGATGGCGGACCGCCAATAGCATGGACTAAGCCCTTTGTCTTGTGTCGGGTTCCTGTCATCAAATCAAACTCGGTTGCATCGCCTATCTAACGGTGGCATCTAGACTCAAAAGAGACAAAACGCCCAGGTTCCCCGCGAAATAGCTGGCAACTAGCCTGTTGCCCCCAAAGTCTTGACAAGCCTCCCGTGCGCATAATTCCAGTTCTTTTGCGGGAGATGCCGCTACATCTGCCGTCGATTGTCTCCGTGACCCTTGATTCAGTGCTGCGCTTGTCTCTATATGGTCCTGATTGGCTCGTAGGCTCACTGATAATTCCAGTAGTACCTGCTAGGGATATACCAGTAGCTGCTTCGACGGACAATCATGTCGGCAATGAGACGGTAGCCGATTGTTGGACACTGTGTCGATCAGATACCTGTACTTTCATGGGTTGTACGAAGCGATACTGCGTGTGCCTGCATACACCCAGCAGAGAATGCATGGTTGGGGGTCATATCCGACTCTAGATGAAACTTGTCAAGCATGAAGGATTATACGCCATAGCGGGCCGCGCAGATGCTCCAGAACGTTTACTTCCGTCAGGATGCAAAGGCTGAGGCTCGACGAGATATCGGCTTGATCCATCTTTACGATTTCCACTAAAAGTAGTGCTGGGGCTGAAAACAAGCACTGTACTAGAACTTATAGCACGAAATAGATGTGGTGCTAGCAACTTGCACTAGGTGATGCTACCTGCAGACAGGGATGATTGGATAGGAAGGGAGGAGTAGGACAAGATTCGCGCGCAAGCGGACCTCAGGCAGGCAAAGGGTCCATTATTGTTAAGTTGGGGGTATTCGGTAGCATTCCGCCAAGAGAATGGCTATATAAACAGCTCGTATCGTGACTGTTGAGCAAGACTTGAGTGCTTCAGCCATCACTTACCTATCTTGCAATTGGCTATTTTGCCCAACACTCTCCAAGATGGCAGTCATCTCAAGACCAGTAATTGACATCAAGGTCTGTGTGGAACAATATATCTCGCATCTAAAGCCTCACCAGCTAACTGGTTGACAACTCCCATACATGTAGTCATACAAAGGCAACATTATCAATGGCAAATTTGTGCCAACAGCAAAGACACGACACTCAATAGACCCTGCTACCGAACAGCCATTGTTCCCCGCCCCTCTTGCAACCAGAGAGGATCTCGATGCTGCGGTCAAGCACGCCAGCGATGCCTTCAAAACTTGGTCACAGACAACCTTTGAAGAGAGAGCAAAGCTTATGCTCGAGTATGCAGACGCCATAGAGGAGAACCGTGAAGAGCTCGAGAAGCTGGACACGATGGAGTCGGGAAAGCCCGCCATCGTCTCCAAGAACGAATTTAACTTGACGATACAATGGCTCCGGACATTTGCCACCATGGAGCTCAAGGACGAGATCCTGGACGAAAACGACGAGCGCACAGTCTACAGCACGCACCGTCCGCTGGGCGTGTGCGGCGCCATCGTGCCCTGGAACTGGCCGGCTCTCCTCGGCCTGGGCAAAGTCGGACCTGCGCTGATGACTGGAAACACCATCATCATGAAGCCGTCGCCGTACACTCCGTACACGGACCTGAAGCTATGTGAAATCGCCATGTCCATCTTCCCGCCGGGCGTCTTCCAAGCTCTTAGCGGCGACGATTCCCTCGGCCCTTGGATGACGGAGCATCCTGACATTAAGCTCATCACATTCACCGGCTCTGTTCGCACCGGCAAGCTTGTTGCCGCAAGCTGCTCCAAGACGCTGAAGCGATGCGTTCTTGAGCTCGGCGGCAACGATGCCCTCATTGTGTGCGAAGATGTCGATATCCCTAAATGCCTGCCCAAGATTGCCACCATGTCGTTTATCAACTCGGGACAGATCTGCATGTTGGCGAAGCGAATCTATGTGCACGAAGGCATATACGACAAGTTCAGAGACGCAATGGTCGAGTTTACGAAGGAGAACATTAAGACGGGAGGCGGATTTGAGCCGGGTGTTTTGGTTGGACCTATCCAGAACAAGATGCAGTAAGTGCCCACATGCAGTCTGCAAATACTTTCCCCCATTCAAAATTTCCAACTGCTCACCTTTTTTTCCGTTTTGAAGATATGACTTGGTCAAGGACATGTACCAAGACGTCAAGAAGTCGGGATACCAGGTAGCTCTCGACGGAAAAGTCCTCGAATCAACCACAGGCTACTTCGCCGAGCCCGCCATCGTCGACAACCCTCCCGACGACTCCCGCATCGTCGTCGAGGAGCCGTTTGGCCCCATTGTGCCGCTCCTCAAGTGGTCTTCAGACGACGAAGTCATTGACCGAGCAAACTCGCTGAATCTCGGCCTCGGCGCATCGGTCTGGAGCAAAGACCTGTCGCGTGCCGAGAAGATGGCGAGGAAACTTAGTGCCGGCAGCGTCTGGGTCAACTCGCATTTTGACGTGGCCCCGAATGTTCCGTTTGGAGGAACCAAAGAGAGCGGGTTGGGGAGGGAATGGGGAATTGAAGGTTTCAAGCAGTTTACGGATCACACGAGCTTGTGGGTGTGGAAGAAGATTTTCGAGTAGGGGAGATGATGGTTTGAATTTTTTGATGAAGCAATGACAAATATCAGGATCTCTTATATGAGTAATCATGGTTTACGAATTTGGCAGCGGTTTAATGTCTGGTGAATACTGTTGATGCTATCGAGGACTGGCGGATGGTCTTTGGTCAGCATCCAGGAGATGCAGTGACTATGAAACAAAACGATATGGAATATTGAATTGATTTCAGTTGAAGTAATCGATGATGGCATCATGCCGCTGTTGTCCTATGACAGGTCGACCGAATTGGACCGAGGTTTGGATCAGGGTGCAGGGGGGAAAAAACATGAAACTAATGTAATCTGGAAGCCCACCAATTGCCACAGCTGGCAATATCCTATCTGGGTAACTGCATCGAGTACTCCGAAAAGTAGAGAAAAAAAAGGGGGATCCATCACGCCCTCCTCCAATCACACGCCCGCCCTGGCAACGAGTTGCTTTGGAAACAGGCTTGTCTAGCCGATTCTTGATTAGTATTTTGACAAATACTACTGTACGGAGTACTTGATACGACATTCGGCTGACTGATACAGTGGCTGCTTATGGCGCTTCGTCATTTTGCCCGGTTCTAGTAAATCTCACAAAGTGCCCGCATAATCAATCCATCTCACTGCATTACATCGTGTATATAGACACAACAGACCTCCCCCGATTTTAGTCCAGCATTCCAACTCTCCACATCCATGAACTTTATCCGATCCTTCTTCACATCTGCAGCCAAGCTGAGTCCCGAAGCCAGAATGGCCAAAGTCAAGGAAGTCCAGAGAATCATTGACCAGAACAGCGTTGGTGAGTTTGTCTGACAAAACCTGCTCAACTTTAGAGTTGCGAGCCTAACCGATCGGATCTATAGTGATCTTCTCCAAGACCTGGTGCCCCTACTCCAGTGCTGCCAAGCAGACCCTGAACCGCCTCAAGGTCCAGTACGAAGTCGTCGAGCTTGACAACCGACGTAAGTCTCTTCTACTCTTTTCCACTCTCTTTCTCCAAACAACGCCATGCTAACAACGGGCTTCACAGACGACGGCGACGACCTCCAGGACGCCCTCCTCGAAATCAGCGGCCAGCGCTCCGTCCCCAACATCTTCTTCGGCAAGCAGCACGTCGGCGGAAACTCTGACCTGCAGGAGCTCGCCAGGAGCGGCGTGCTCAAGGGCCGACTCGAGGAGGCCGGCGCATTTGCGTAAGCGCTCCGGCAAGTTTCTTTATGGCGATGCGAACTTCCTATAAAAAGAGGCAAGAAGATGAGGCGAAAATAAAAACAAGAACGACTTTGGCTGATGGGCTGTTTGCGCTTGCTTTTTGGGGGATGAATAGAAAGGACGGCAGGAGTTATAATAGACGCGCGGGCCCTGCGGCATGAAGATGCGCATGACCATGGTTTGGCGCGACGGTTCCGCGATGTTTTCTAGACTAGAATAGAGCTGCCAATTGTTACCATTTTCAAGAAATTCAAGAATCAAGAATAAAATAAAAATCCTTCCATAATAGATGTGGCATTGTTGAGTTGTTTTCTTTTGCTAGATCAGGATGCGGCGGACATTTGTCTTTCGCCGCTTAATGTTATACAAGATATAAATGCTTTTACAATGGCGGTATTGGCAATTACCGACTGTCTATACTATACGACTTGCGTCGCAACGGTTCCCACCGGCCTCTCCACAAACTCCATGACGCCCTCGATGATGCTCTCCCGCGCCGGCTCCGAGGCGACCTTGCTACCGGCAAGATAGTTGAGCCAGAGCAGCCGTGAGAGCCTCTCGTCCTCGACCGTGCCCAGCACCTCACTCTTGAGATCCTTGCCTCGGCTCGAGTTGAACATGACAGACAGCACGCCCTTTTCGTCTCGGCACAGCAGCAGCTCCTGCTTCTTGGGCACCGATCCTCGGTTGAAGAGCGCCTTGAAATCCTTCATGGCGACACCAAAAGACTCATCGTTGTATGCCTTGTTACGCTGGGATCGCGCCGCAATGGACCGGACGAATCCGTCACGAAGGTGATGGAAATCGGTATCGCGTACTGGGATAATGCGCATTACGCTGCGGCAGTCGGATTCCCTCAGAAGAGTGTCCCATGTCTCCTCGCCCTCGACCACATCCTTCAGGGCCTTGCGCAAGGCATCCTTTTCAGCGGGTATCAGTGTCGTAGCGCTCGGATTGATCTTCTTGATCAGGTACTGCTGCAGCTTCGCAATGTCCTGCGTGGCCACGTAGAATCCCACCATGTAGACCTGGATGCCGATAAACGTCACCGTGCGCACGCCCAAGCCCACAAGGGTGTATTCGCTTCCGTGCTTGTCCGAGATGCTCGCCGCAATCGAGTTTTCCTCCTTGGTAGATGGCAGCTTGACGTCGATTGTCCTGGGAAACGCAGGGACAACGCTATTGCCTGTGGGAACAATGACTCTTCCATCTTCGTCGTGCACCACAATTTTCCTCTTCTCTCCAGCCTCGGTCTTGAAGGTTTCTGTGGGAATCGGCGGGGCGTCGCATTTCACTGCCATCTTTTCCTTTTGCTTGTCTTTCTGTTCCGCAAGGGCCTTTTTCAGCTTCCACGCAGTATAGACAAACGATATGATACCGGCAGTGGCACCGGCAGCGAGGAAGACGGTTCGATGGCGCTCGTAGTCGCGACGCTGCGAATTGAGCTTGTTGAGATCCAAGTCCTGGGAGACCCGCGAGGAGCCTTTGCCGGAGAAGAGGCTTCGGCGGAGGCACTGCTGGCACCTGGGCGAGGACCGGAGCACCGGCCGGATGGTCGTTGGACGGAGCATGGCGGGATTGGGTTGCGATGTCGATTGATTGAGGGGGATCCAACCAATTCAACTCATCGAGACTGCAGCGAATGAGGCCGTACAGCTCCTCGGAGATGGGCTGCAAGTGGCATGATGCTGGTGTTGAGAAGAAACAAGCGTTGCCCCACGTGATGTGACATCCTTCGGGTCACAGTCACGTCCGAGGCTACCCTAGAGCGCGATTACGAATCTGACATTTTGGTACTTTTTCCACTTGGATGGGAGTTTTGTATCTAGATGAGGGAGTAAAATGGGTTGAATGATTTTGGAGAAAGCAAGGATTTGTTTTGGTAATGGCAATGGGTGAGAAGATGAGTGCAATGCACAAACTGACTGAAAGATACTCTCCTTCTACATAGCTGAAGTACATAGACTACTCTCTCTCCAGAGCAAAGCAACTCAAATATTATGGCACTAATATCAGCCACAGTGAAAACGACATATATAAGACATTAAATGTCCAAAGGGTACCGTTTCATCTAGGTCATTTAGTAGCATGGCGATCCAACTGGTTACGCTGGCTGGGCTGTTCTCTTCTGTAGGTAAATTACTAGGTAGTTTGGGATCAGCCTTTGGTCAGATAAACTCTGTCAATCCAAGTGCTTATTTCAGCTCAGAAACATAGTGCCTATCATAGACCTACTCGATAGGTAGTATTGGTAATAATAAAAATCACTCTCATTTCTATGCTCTTCGTTAATCCACTCCTTTGCGCGTGTCGCATTTTGAGTTATACCAATAGCTAATCATATACCAGCCTTGATGCATGCATGCTTTACACTTATAACGAGCATCCCTTCCCTTTGCACCACCACCCGAAAAGAAAGAAACAAAATCCTTTCAATTCCTTTGACGACACAAACAACATCATATCCAACCGCCTCCAAGCAAAATTTCTACACTATTCATTCCAGTTGTTGCTGGTTTTGACGGCCCGGGCCGCATCTCTTATCGATAACGCGGACACTTAATTGGCTAGGTCATCTTTGCCCGCTGATTGGCCAGCGGCTCTACCGCCAATTGCCTCCGCCAAAATTATCCCAAGATGCAGGCCATAGCACCATTTCCAATGCACTCACTTTCTCTCACTTTCTTCATCCCCCCCCTCTGGCCTGCAACTCCAGCCTTGATCTCTGTGCCGCTCCTTCAACCTTTGCAAGGCAGAGATCTTTCCCCCGTCTGATCTTCTCCCTGGGCCATCGCTCGGTCGCTGGGCATCCGTTCCTTTTCTTTCTTGTTGCTTTCTTTCTCCGCAGCTGTCAATCGTTCATTTTGCAATGTCCACTTTGCTCCCCGGCCTTCATATCAGCAGAAAAATCCCCTGGAATGCGCCGATAGAAACAGTCGTGAGTTCTGTTCCTCTTCCTCTTCCCCTCCTCTCTATATATACCCGCTGGAACTACCTGGCTAACTTCTTCCTTTCTTGTTCTCTTCGTCAACAGCATTTTCGATTTCGTACTCGCCACATCACAGCCATTGGCCAAGCAGCCGACAACTACCATCCAAATGTCCGCCGCTTAAAAATCCAGCCGACCCTCTTCGACCAAGTCATCAAAACCATTCTCTATCTATTCCCCAAATTTGCGCAAGCCTACATGCGAAGATGGTTTCCCGAGTGGTACCTCCCGTCGGCCATCGTCCTCAAGTCCCAGAAACCCGACTGGGAGGAAGAATTTGACAACGAGCTGGCCTCGTACCGCAGCCTGCAATCGCTCCAAGGAACCGTCATCCCGCGGCATTTCGGAGTCGTGCAATTTGCCGGGGTGCGAAGCCACCTCATGGCAGATGTTGGCGGAGTGTGCATCCCCTACACGACCGAGACGGCAGAGGAAGCATATACCCTTATTCGCAAGCTTCTGTACGAGTCCCTCACCGCGCTTGCGTCGAGAGGCTTTGTACAAGACGACGTGAAGCTTGACAACTTCCACGTTGTTGGGAGTAGAGTCGTGGTGGTGGATTTGGAGCGAGTCGAGAGGGGCAGAAGCCCCGACGAGCTGTCCAAGTTTGTTGACTCCAGCATCCAGACTCTTATGCAACAATACCGAAACTACCTGGAAAACCTGAGAGCTAGATACCCCTGATGCCTGTTATACGTCGAAAATGCATATATAGAGTGGCGTTTTTTTCTTTCTTTCTTTCTACAAGGCATGCTGATGACATATCATGACATATTGACCATCATTTATATACACACATACAATACATATACCCGCAGAGTAACGACTATCTCGCGGCCGCATTCTCTTTACTTCTTACTTTGCTTTCAAGATTGCATTGTGATATTCTTTGCATATGTTTGTTCTTTTGAGGTACATTCTCTTTAATGCTACATACCACTATTTCTCATCGTAACTGCTCTCTTGGCCTGCCGGGAATGTTAAGATAGGTAGGCTCTTCAAGGTACTCAGCGTCAATGAATTCCCAAGCCTCTCCCCCTTCCTTCTTCTCAACCAAAGATTTCCCGTCGTCCGAGATAGCCACTTGCAAAAGCTCTTTTTCATGGCAAGTTAGTAAGATATACCCACCACCCTTTTCCCTCCTTGGAACAAAGCATTCGTCAATCTCAAGGCTATTCTTCGTGGCTAGAACTTTGCCTCCTTCATTGTGACTAAGGTATGTACCAGAGACTGAATTGCAAAAGCCGTACCAGTTGTTCTTGTCGTGACAATGCCACAAGTTCCCGCCGCCAGGGATGGGTTTCTCTAAGACTTCTGTCTGTCCGTTTTTTAAACCGAGGATGCGATGTGGCTTTTTTGTGGTTCGAATTATATATGAGCTTCCCGAAACAGGACAACATTCTGTGTGAATGGTAGGATTGTACTGAGATGTTTCATTCTTTTCTTTTTCAGCACAATCATTGGAGATTTCGTCCTTGCCTTTATCTTTGGCGGGGTCCTTGGGAGTCTCTTTTTTGTCTTTTTCTTTGGCATGATCCTCGGAGGTTTCTTTCTTGTCTTTTTCTTTGGTTGTGTCCCCAGAGGTTTCTTTCTTGTCTTTTTCTTTGGTTGTGTCCCCAGAGGTTTCTTTCTTATCTTTTTCTTTGGTTGTGTCCTCGGGGGTTGCTTTGCTATCTTTATTTTTGGCAGGCTCCTCAGGGGTTTCTTTTTTGGCTTTATCTTCGGCAGGCTTCTTGCAGGGTTCTTCACCCTTTTGATCTTTGGTGTCGTCGTCCCCAGACATGGTTGAAGGCGTTGCGAAGTCTTCTGTGGAACTGTCAGTATCCTCACAACGGTCCCAGTCTCTGAATTCGTCACTCATCAGGGTATCTGATGAAAAGCAATAGAAAATGCTCCTAAAAATTGCTCAGGATCTTTCTGCTATTTATGGTTATACTTGATCACTTGGTTATACTTTTACAGCTGCAGGATGGCTGAAAGCGGGGAAGGTTTTTTGTTGCATTCCAAACAGAATATATATCTTTGATAGGCTGATTTTTAGTGACAGTCGATACGTTGCGCATACTTGATTGGTACTCGAACCAAATACATCTTACAAGTACTGTGAAAAGTGATAGATAATTGACGTTGAGTGGCGGTAGCCTCAGCTGAGGTCTTCAGATGGTAAGAATTGGAGGATTGGATTGGAAGGACAAAGCGGTTAGCAATTTTCACATGTGAATGATTGCTACTTCTTGTATATGGGAAGCAGTGATTCGTGACATCATGGGGCCGGTGCTCCCGGTTGCTTCTCATTCCATCGTAGTGTTCATTTCTTGGATTAGATCTTCATGGGTCAAGCATGGGCATCTTGATTTATGGATGAGCTGATTTCGATATTGTCTAATCAAGATGTTTAATAGCCAATGAGATTACAAACAACTCTATTTGAGTAGATCACTACTGCAAACAGCGTAGGTCATCACCGCGAACCTCCAATCTTGTGTCGCATTGCATCTTGTTTGCATGAAGGTCAAGGTACGCGGTCTCGATGATAGGTAGATTGATAATGCAACGACATAAGAATCGGATTGTTATAAAATTGGACCTTATAGAAGATGATGCATTGTTCTACAGAGCGCACAATTTATATCATTTCAACCCAATAGCTTCCCTCAACTACACGATCATGGAGAGCGACAAGCCGACCTTGGGAGTCCGTCAGTCTGCCGACATGTACATCGTCACATATAGTTATTTGAGTTAAAAAAAGGGCAGTTTTGACAGAAATTCCCTGACAATATCATCCCCCCCCCCCTCATTTTTATTATTGTCACAATAAATGTCCAGATGCCTTGCAATTTGGGCCTCGGGTACTAATCGCACGAAGCACCGGCTTTATGGACATGTAATCCCTGCAACTGCATCTCACCAACCTCGCGAACCTTGAACAAACTACAACTCCATTCTCGCAAATCTTTCCTTATTTCAATTCCATAAACAAAATTCAAAATACCAACTGATCTTCATCACACCTTCCCGTCGGGTATTTATTCGGCTTCTCCCATATAATCTTCCAGCATTAGCAATGGCACAACTGTCGATCAACACCCAGATAGAGTCACATCGGCCCTCATTTATGGAGAAGCACAATGCAGTTCTGGGGCTCTGTTCAACACCAATCCCCGCATCTTCTCGGCCGCTCCAATGACCTCATATGCAAGGGATGGATCTTGCGGGTTCCGGAGAAGCTGGAGACGACGGTATTGGTGCGCAAAAAGGGAGCCGCCGCCGTTGGTTGGCTTGTGGAGAGACAAGCATGAAAGTAGGCATTTGAAGAAGCTTGGATGAGGGTCGATGCATGTGGTGGAACCCTGTTGCCGGCACTCCGCTGGCTGCCTGCCTGTGCGGATGAACCGAACCAGTACGACAAGAACCAACACGAGAAGAAAGAGCGGGAGACACGAAGCAGATCCATGGTGCCATTGACTGACCCCAATGGAAGGAGTGTTGCTGATCAGTCACCGGGGGACTGGGTCGGATCTCAGTCAATGGGTCTCACGACAACGGGACGAGTATAAGATGGCCCTGTCTATCCTCTCTCATCCCGTCCCGGATCCAAGGTGGTGACCTTGTTCCAGCATAGTTGGCCTCGAGCTCTGGGATTTGGTTGGACTTTACGATGCTTGGCTCTCCCTCTCCAAGCCGGTTGGCGGCCGTTCTCGCAGTGACTGCGGGATTGGTGGCCTCAGTTGGCGCAACAAGTCGTACGTACACCTACCTTTTACCTGACTTGATTTGCGAATGACTGACATGGGTGGATAGCCATCTCCGTCTCTGGTAAATCGTTTGCTCTCAACGGAGACAACGTCTCTTACCGCTTCCACGTCGATGATGACTCCAGCGACCTCATTGGCGACCACTTTGGTGGCCCTGCTACTGAGGATGGCATCTTCCCTCCCATCATTGGCCCCATCCAAGGCTGGGTCGACCTCATCGGCCGGCAGCGCCGCGAGTTTCCAGATCTAGGCCGCGGCGACTTTCGCACTCCTGCGGTGCACATCAAGCAATCGGCGGGCTACACAGTCAGCGAGTTCAAATATCAGTCACACAACATTGTCAAGGGCAAGCCCGCACTGCACGGCCTGCCGTCGACGTTTGGTGATGCGGGTGATGTGTCGACGCTGGTTGTGCACATGTATGACAACTACAGCTCCGTGGCAGCAGACTTGACGTACTCCATCTTCCCCAAGTACGATGCTGTTGTACGCAGCGTCAACATTACCAACAGGGGCAAGGGCAACATTACCATCGAGAAGCTTGCCAGTTTGAGCGTCGACCTGCCGTACGAAGAATTAGATATGCTGGAACTGAAAGGAGACTGGGCTCGCGAGGGAATGCGGGTGCGTCGTAAGGTTGACTACGGCACTCAGGGGTAAGACTGTATTCTCAATGCTCTTGTTAACAGCATCCCCGTTTTAACTAACATGATGTCTGCTCATGTATAGATTTGGGAGCACAACTGGCTATTCCTCCCATCTACACAACCCATTCTTCTCTCTCATCACGCCTACGACGACTGAATCGCAGGGAGAGGCTTGGGGCTTCTCTCTCGTTTACACGGGATCCTTCTCTGTCGAGGTTGAGAAGGCTTCTCAGGGCCTTACGCGTGCCGCTCTTGGTGTCAACCCCTATCAGCTATCTTGGCCACTTGGACCAGGCGAGACGTTTACCACCCCTGAAGCTGTTGCAGTCTTCTCAAATACGGGAGTTGGTGGAATGTCAAGAAAGTTCCACAGTCTCTACCGCAAGCATCTCATCAAAAGCAAGTTTGCGACTCAAATGCACCCCGTCTTACTCAACAGCTGGGAGGGCCTTGGCTTCGATTACAATGATACCACCATTCTACATCTGGCTCAGGAGTCTGCAGATCTCGGCGTCAAGCTATTCGTCCTAGACGATGGCTGGTTTGGAGTCAAGTATCCTCGCATAACTGACAACGCCGGCCTGGGAGACTGGGTGGCCAACCCTACGAGGTTTCCCCAGGGATTGCCAGAATTCATCGACAATGTGACAAAGCTTAAGGTTGCTAATTCCTCCGATCACCTGCAGTTTGGCCTGTGGTTTGAGCCAGAAATGGTCAACCCCAACTCGACTCTGTATCATCAACATCCCGACTGGGTGATTCACGCCGGGTCGTACCCTCGCACCTTGACGAGAAACCAGCTGGTGCTCAACGTGGCTCTTCCCGAGGTGCAAAACTTTATCATTGAGTCGCTGTCCAACATTCTCGGCAACGCCAGCATTTCCTACGTCAAGTGGGACAACAACCGCGGCATCCACGAGGCCCCTTACCCCGGGCTCGACTACGCTTACATGCTGGGCCTGTACCGTGTCTTTGAGACGCTGTCGACGCGGTTCCCCGACGTGCGGTGGGAAGGATGCGCATCTGGCGGAGGTCGTTTTGATCCCGGTGTGCTGCAGTATTTCCCACACATCTGGACGTCTGACGACACGGACGCCGTCGAGCGCATCAGGATCCAGTTTGGCACGTCGCTGGTGTATCCGCCCTCGGCCATGGGAGCTCACGTCTCCGCCGTGCCCAACGGCCAGACTCAACGCACCACATCAATCACCTTCCGCGCACACGTTGCCATGATGGGAGGGTCGTTTGGCTTCGAGCTCAACCCGGCTAAGATGCCGGACGACGACAAGGCGCAGATCCCCGACATCATTGCGCTGGCAGAAAAGGTGAACCCGATTGTGGTCAAGGGTGACATGTGGCGCCTGAGTCTGCCAGAGGAGTCCAACTGGCCGGCGGCGCTCTTCATCTCCGAGGACGGCAGCCAGGCGGTCTTGTTCTATTTCCAGATCAAGGCCAACATCAACAACGCCTGGCCGGTGCTGCGGCTGCAGGGACTGGATGCGGCTGCCAAGTACAAGATTGACGGCAACCAGACGTTTTCGGGGGCGACGCTGATGAACATTGGGCTGCAGTACCAGTTCAACGGGGATTACGACAGCAAGGTGGTGTTTTTGGAGAAGCAGAGGTGAACGATGAAGCTAGACGTCTTGATACCTGTACAGAGATGATGCAAGACAAGACATGGACCTATGATGATTCTTTTTTTAGCAGCAACTTGCAGTAGCAATAGCATCAAGTAATAAATACTAGTATGCATTATGCATTATGCGGACAATGGACATGGACATGGACATGGAATCAAATCCACGAATGAAGGCTGCTTTCATCACCGAGTACCGATAAGGCGTCGATGTAAGGGGGACTCGACTTGGGCTTTGGGCAGCGACTGAAGCATGTGATGAGGTACCTCCCTTTGTACCAACTGAAGTATTGGTGTGTTGGCACAACCGCAACCGTAAGTAGATTTTCACTGTAACAGCCACGCCCCCGATTTACCCGCTGGAAAAAAAAAGTAAAAAGTAAAAATAGAAGAATAAAAGAAAAAACCCCTCTTCTCTCGATGCTCCCCTTTGCCGCGTACCTATGCAAATCGCGATGGGCAGGCGGAACGCCTTGATGGAGAGCCCATCATGTGTGTTGTGCATGTCCCTCTTTTGTCCAGTCCCAGGCCATGGATCAGCTGCACGGCTGTCACAAATCGGGCATCACGTGCATGCGCGGCAACGGCGAACCAGTGACAGCGAGTTGCGGCGGCGGGTAGCTGGGCAGGCAGGTAGCGGGTACATGGTGCAAGCGCGGGGACGGCCGCTAGCAGTGACATTGGAGCGGGTGATTGATGCGACTGTGCTTGGGAAAGGTATCGGTACCTTGGGGTGACATTTTGGGTGTGTTGTTGGGAGTCGAGGAGGAAAAGGAAGGAAAATGGAAAAAGTCGCCGGGGGACTGGGGGATTGGAGGAGGGTACATGTATTTTTGCTTGGCGGGCAAACCAGATTTTGTGGTTGCTTTTCGTTTCTTTTTTTCGGGGGAAGTTCAATTTAATTTAATATGGATTTGATCCTCCCATGAGGAGTGTACATGTAGTTTTGATTTGCGGGCTGAGCTGAGAGGAACGAAAGTGAAAGGGAGGGGGGAAATGGAAGTGAGGGGGAGTTGTGATTGATTGATTCAAATGTGACGACGACCCTTGAAGCATCGAAGCTACTTGTACTTTGCACTTGTACTCGAGGGGCTTCGGTGTCTCATCCGTCAATCATTTGACGCCCGTCGTCTTGCAGCTCTGCAGCTCACTAATTACGCCTCAATGCGCTGGTGACTGCGAGCTGCACACGCTCTACTCGACCTGGAATCTTACAGGCACAGGCGCTGGAGCTTACGGCCACCATACTAAGGCACCGACCCGACTTAGTAATAGCAGTGGACGGGCTACCACTACTGCACGGTTCGGCACAGCACAGCACAGCACGGCACAGCGCAGCATCCATAGCACAGCGCTTGTAGCACTCAGCGCCTCTGCCCGCTAGCGGCACCGCTACAGCGCTACAGCGCCCTTGGCCCCCCCGATCTCAGGTGCTCATAGCCCCCACGCGGACCGTCCGTCCTGGCTGGTCTCCGCCTTGGGTTTCTGCCGTCTTCTCTGCTGACCAGGCCATCGCCAGCCTCAACCTACGGCAGACCAACCATCTTGGCCAGCAACCACGCACTCCTGCAGCCCCTTTCATTCCAGGCCCTTGCCGTCCGTCTGCTTCTCTCTTCTTCTCTTCTGCTTCAGCCTCAGCCTCTGCTTCGTAGCGGCCCCTTCACCGCCTGCCATCGCCAGCGTCCCGCGACGCTCTCGGCCCTGAGCTGAAAACCAAACCGACGTCATCCAGCTTCGACTGCTGAGCTTTTCGGCACGCCCGCTGAGACATACACACGCAGTCGGTGTGCCTGGTCGTGTCTCTGGTGCCAAACCAGACGCAGCCCGCAAGGCCTGAAGCCTGGGCTTGACGGGACAGGACAGCCTCTGCTCCCCCCCTTTAGAAGGCGTCCCTCTTTTCACCGTCTGCCCTCTGCCTCTTGGACTCTCATCACGGCAGCCCTTTTTCTTCAGTTTCTCGTTTTCTTTTCGTTTTTTGCTTCTCATCGAGAACCGCCCGAATCGACGGCCGATCGATAGCCCCGAGTGCCCAGTAACGCCGTCACCAGCACGACTACGAGAAGGGCTCCCCCCTTGCAGCTGTCCTATCCTTGAGCCCGACAGGTAGCGGCTGTCCGCCCGCTCTGCCCCTACAAAAACCAACACCATGGCTACAATAACGTCTGGTGCTGGAAGCTCTGGGCGAGAGGACTCTCGGTCCTCTTCATCGACAAACTCGCCCGCCCCAGCCGACAACGAAGAGTCCGACTTCTTCCTCGGTGCCAACGACTCTCAGTCCTCCCTCGGCGTCCCAAACTTCCAAGACATGCAAGTCGACGACTCGTGCTGGCCGCCCGTCAACCGGCTGCCCAACGAGATCCTCATCGGCGTCTTCTCCAAGCTGAGCTCGACCTCGGACCTGTACCACTGCATGCTCGTGTCCAAGCGATGGGCTAGAAACGCCGTTGACCTGCTGTGGCATCGGCCCGCATGCTCCAACTGGAAGAATCACCACAGCATTTGTCAGACGCTTGGTCTGGAGCACCCGTATTTCCACTATCGCGACTTCATCAAGCGCCTCAACCTCGCTGCCTTGGCCGACAAGGTCAACGATGGCAGCGTCATGCCCCTCGCCGTCTGCTCCAGGGTGGAGCGCCTGACGCTGACCAACTGTCGAGGTCTGAGCGACACTGGCCTGATTGCCCTCGTCGAGAACAGCTCGTCTCTGCTGGCTCTGGACATTTCCAATGACAAGCACATCACCGAGCGGTCCATCAACGCCATTGCAACGCACTGCAAGCGTCTGCAGGGCCTCAACATCTCGGGCTGCGAGAACATCTCCAACGAAAGCATGCTTACCCTGGCCCAAAACTGCAGATATATCAAGAGAGTGAGTGATTCTGCAAATTTTCTGAGCTTGGCACAATTCTTGATCTTGATGCCCTCCCCACCTTGTTTATATATATAGAGCACATGTCTAACTTGTCCCCTCTCTTGCAGCTGAAACTAAACGAATGCGTCCAACTGCGCGATAACGCCGTGCTTGCCTTTGCCGAGCACTGCCCAAATATCCTGGAGATTGATCTCCATCAGTGCGTCCAGATCGGAAATGGCCCCATCACATCTCTTCTGTCCAAGGGAAACAGTCTCCGCGAGCTCAGATTGGCCAACTGCGAGCTGATTGACGACGACGCCTTCCTCTCCCTGCCGCCGACCCAGGTCTACGAGCACCTACGGATCCTCGACTTGACCTCTTGCAGCCGTCTCACCGACGCAGCCGTTGGCAAGATTATCGATGCTGCGCCTCGCCTGCGAAACCTGCTTTTGTCCAAATGCCGCAACATCACGGATGCCGCCATCCACTCCATTGCCAAGCTCGGCAAGAACCTCCACTATGTGCACCTCGGCCACTGCAGCCAGATCACCGACGAGGGTGTTAGTCGCCTGGTGCGAAGCTGCAACCGCATCCGCTACATTGACCTGGGATGCTGCACGCTTCTCACTGATGCGTCCGTCAGGTGCCTTGCCGGGCTGCCCAAGCTCAAGCGCATTGGCCTGGTTAAATGTAGTAGTATTACGGATGAGTCCGTCTTTGCGCTTGCCGAGGCTGCATATCGTCCGCGGGTTAGGAGAGATGCCAATGGCATGTTTTTGGGCGGCGAGTATTTTGCCCCCAGCTTGGAGCGAGTCCACCTCAGCTACTGCGTCAATCTGACTCTCAAGGTATGGGTTCCCTCTCCCGGAGAGTGTGCGAGCAAGAACTAAACGTGAAGTATAGAGCATCATGAGGCTACTTAACTCGTGCCCCCGTCTCACCCATCTTAGCTTGACTGGCGTGGCAGCATTTCAACGAGACGAATTCCAGCCCTTTTGCAGAACAGCACCACCTGGTTAGTTTTGTCCTTCTTTTCCCCTCGCTTACTTCTCTGTTCTGCCTCTCCCCCATATCACGCCCATACGACTAATCATCACGTACTGACAAAACAACAGAGTTTACGCAACATCAGCGGGACGTCTTCTGCGTCTTTTCTGGAAACATGGTGTCCAAGTTCCGCGAATACTTGAACACTGCACCACAATTTGCAGATCTCCGAGATGGCTTCTTTCAACGACATGCCGGTCGTATGAGAACAGTTCCACACCGACCCAGCGGATTACCCGCGATTCCGCCCACCGAAGGCGAGGGTTTTGATGACGACATGGCCTACGAAGATAATGACTTTGAGGGGTTGGACGCAAGCGAAATGGTTGTAGATGTGCAGGCCCAGAATCTGCCCTTCCACCTGCAGCCTCAGCAAGCCCCTGGTGGTGCCGATCAGGTGCCTCCCATACCTCCTCCGCTCGAGCCGCCGACCATCAACTCGTCGTCTAACTTTCTCACCAACATGCTCACCCAGCAGTACGGGGCGGCTGCAGCAGCAGAGCTCTTTGACGAAGCCACAGGTACTATTAGAACCAGGTCATTCCCAAACTTTGTCGTTCCCTTGAACAGCTCCAACACGCTTTCGAATGCTCAGAGCTTCCATGCTAGCATCGCCGGCTTATCACAGCCCTCCGTCTCTCGGCAGGGAAACTCGGCAACGGCGGGACCCTCTACGGGTGCCAGCACGGTGACTATGCATCAGCCGCCGAGCACGACGCCGGACCAGCAGCAGCAGCAGCAGCAGCAGCAACCGCAGCAGCAGCAAGGTGACGCCAGCTAAAGATTTTGAAATATTGTCTGTACAGGCTTGCAATATGCAATGCCTTGAGAGTCATTGGTTAACAGGCATATCGGATAGATGGGAGATGGAATGGTGTGAAGAAAAGGGCTTCTAATACCAAGACCGTTTTCATCACTCCATCCTCCCCGGGATTGAAAGCATATCTATTCACGGCACCCCTGTTTTCGCGACGCATGGGAATAGGGTTCTATATTTATAGCGCAGCCACGGAGTTTACATGTTTGGCGTGCACGGCAAAGGTTACGTGGTACAAAACTGGTCATGATTCGGATTTTATTTATCAAAGCTACGAGACGCTTCTAGATGGGAGCATGAACTGCACAGGACGAGGACGGATGTTTTCTGTCAGCAGCTGATGCAGTGGTGTTGCAAGACTAGCAAGCTGCATCATCACTCTGGTGGAAGCAACCCGCACTATACGTTCTGAGGAGGGGGAACAACTGGGTGGAATTTTTCTTTATTAAGGGCTATTGTTATTCTGGGATGGTTGGTTGACACTGATACTGAACTCGGCTTTTGCCGCATGAGAGGGAGATTGTGCGATTAGTTTGCGGCAACACAAAAAAAAAAGCTGTGAAGAGTATCAGGAATGAGAAACGCTGTCATCATTGTTTAACTCGCTCCTGCTTTTTGTCTCTCTTTGTTCGGAAGGGAATGAAGGGAACTTTAAAGGGGGGGGGGGGGGGGGGGGGGCTCTCTATGCATGGTATGAAGCTGTGAATACAGGTTCGTTGGGAACGTCTGGGCTAGGAAGCGATGGAAGGGTTTTATTAGACGGGTTTGATATAGTAGGGTTGCATTAATTGATTTGAAGTATTATTTTTCGTATTTGGAGTTTTGAGTTTGTTGTTGTGTGATTTGTGTGTTGTAGGTGAGTTGATGGGAAGAGATGGGAGGTTGTTATTGATGATGTTTTCATGATGGTTGCTGACGGCAAAGGAGATGTCATTAAATGTAGCTGTATATGTTATATGTAGTATTGTGTCAATACTATACTAGAATGCTCTAACAAATGGTATCAATAAACATGCTTCCCCATCCCAACCCTTTTGCGTTAAAAATCAAGACATTATATACTTCATTTAAATACTTATTAGCCGCCTTTACACAATACCACTCCTCAAAACTCAATTCTCTCCCAATTTAAACAGTCTCAACAGGCGTCTTCTCAGCGGAATGCTTCTCCGCCGTAGAACTGCTGCTGCTCAAGACGGCGGGCGTGGAGAGCGCCACGCCGTCGGTGACGTGCCTGGTCAGCTCGACGTAGTCGTACGCGAACTCGCCGAGCTGGCAGTCGTCGATGCCGACCTCTTCGTCCTCGGCGTTGACGCGCAGGGACAGGCCCGGGATGAGGTTCATGACGAAGAGGATGATGCACGAGAGGACAAAGGACCAGCCGAAGGCGGCGCAGATGCCGGCGAGCTGGTAGCCGAGCTGGACCCAGTGGTGCTGGATCCAGCCGATGGGGGGGTAGGAAGAGCCGTCGAGGTCGGCGATGGAGGAGCTGGAGAAATTCACATGTTAGAGAGGTTTTTTTTTGTTTAACAATGGTGAGAGGGGTTGAGATGATGATGAGACTTACGTTCCGAAGATACCAGTCATGATGTTGCCGGCCATACCGCCGATGCCGTGGACGGCGAAAATGTCGAGGGCATCGTCAACGCCAATGAGGAACTTAAGCTTGGTGGCAAAGTTGCAGCAAATGGCGCCCACGACACCGATGATGAAGCCACCCCAGGGAGTAACGAAACCGGAAGCCGGGGTAATGGCAACAAGACCAGCAATAGCACCGGAGCAGAAGCCAATGGTGCTCCATTTCTTCTCCAGACGGTAGTCGAGCAGGACCCAAGTGACACCACCGACCGACGCAGCCAAGTTGGTGACGAAGCAGGCCATGACAGCGCGGATGTTCATGCCAAGAGCCGAGCCACCGTTGAAGCCGAACCAGCCGACCCAGAGGAAGACAGTTCCGAGGACGACGTTGGTGACGCTGTGGGGGCGGTAGGGGAGGCCGTTGTTCTTGTTGTATCCGGTGCGCTTGCCCAGCATGATGCTGTAGGCGAGGGCGCAGGTGCCCGAGGAGATGTGGACGGGGCCACCTCCGGCGAAGTCGTAGGCGGGGAGCTTGAAGAGCCAGCCATTGGCGTTCCAGGTCCAGTAGGCAATGGGGTCGTAGACGACCGTTGACCAGATGAACATGAAGACGATGGCGGGGAGCATGCGGCCACGATCGGCGACGGCACCGATGGCGAGAGCGGGACTGTTATGAGACGGATCATGTTAGTTTGTTTTCAGTTCATGAGTTGCTTTCTCCGCAGGGAGCGCTGAGTGAAGCGAGGAGAATGAGATGAGACTCACGTAATGGCAGCAAACATGCCCTGATAGAGACAGAACAGAATATCGGGAATGTTAGTCGAGCCGTTGGGCTGAGCCAGAGTCTTCATCAAGCCAAACTGAGTCAGGTCGCCGAAGAAAGCATTTCCGGTTCGTGAAAAGGTGAGTGAGTAGCCCCAGAAGAACCACTGGAAGCTGATGACGCCCACCGAGACCATGGACAGGAGGATGAGTGAGAGGGCCGACTTGCGACGGGCGAGACCGCTGTAGAAGAAGCCCACGCCGGGAATCATTAGCAGCACGAGCGCGGAGCTGACGAGGATCCATGCCATTTGGCCGGCCTGGAGATGGCAGAGTGTGTTAGTGACTGGTTCGGTTGCCCTCCTATTCTTGCTCCTCTTCATGGAATCAACAAGTCATCAAACAAGATGGACGTACATCGTAAAAGATGTTGAGGTTGCTGACTCCGGTCGAGTGACCATCGTCCGCTGTCCCCGTGGTGCCATTGTAGGGAACCACCGCTGACATGATGATTCTGTTTCGGCCTCCTTCTTATGTTCCCAAGAGTCGTCTACTATCGCTTCGTTCCTTGGTGTTTTCGTTGTGTAGCCACGCTACTCGAATCGATGATAACCCAGAAGAGTATATCAAGTAAAAACCACCAGACCACAGAGAGAGGAGGGAGAGGGAATGATTCGGCAGGGGACAGGGTATGAGGTGAGATAGGGAGATGGTATGATATATATCACCTCCGAGTCTTACAGGCAGGCCGATCAAGTCAGGGCACTCAATCCATCAGTTCCGCACAAACCTCCTAGACCCCCCCGACTTATTCCGCATAGTTTTTCAGCTCGGATTGATTAAAGTTATATCACTGGATGAATAGTGCCAATGGGGCATGTGAGAACTGCCTCATCCCACGCCCAGTGCTGTAGCATAAAGTGCTGCCAACCACTAGCCCCAATAGTGTCGCATATCCGAACAGGTACGATGTGAAATCGGGCTACAGATGCGCCTCTTGGATGAGCTTATCGCCCTCGAAATGGATGGCAACTTCATTGGTGTGGACACCACTTAGTGCCCAGGGATGAAGCCACAGAGATAAGTAATGCGACTCCCACAGGCTCTCCAGGCCAGCGGTGCCATGTTGGGTCGATGCTTATCTGGGAGGCTTATCTCGTGCATATCAAGAGCATGGCCGAGCCGTGGTAAAGGAAAGCTAGCTGATGACAGGAGCCATTATTCATTTGCTTTTCTGTAATCAACGATTCCGCGGTGAAAGAAAAGTGAACAATGACATTCTGTGAAGAAACACCCTTTTTTGCTGCTGACTGAATCATTCTGTTGAACGGCTTCTCATAAACGAGTATGAGTCTCCAGCAAGGCGGTGCGTCTCCTTGTTATCTCTCAGATATCCCCTCCCTCTGGGGCCGTCGCACCAGCCTCAACATGGTATTTGGAATGCCCTCTCCCTTGAGAAATCTGCCGTGGCATTGCAGATGCGCCACCTGCAGCGCCATGTGGCATCATTTCACAGCTTCTTCAGCTCTGTCTTGATTCCGTCAAGAACATCGCCCCACCCGAGTATCCCTTTGCCAGATCCTAAAGGGAGGGTGCAGAATACAGTAGCATCGTAAGTATGTACTCCATATTATGCACCGGATCTGGAGCGGCACACCAAGCAACGACTTGGACCCTGCGTGTCTGCCCAACCCTGTCCGATAGCGAATGCGTATTGTTTGTCTCCGTAGTAGCAGAGCAGGCAATCTCAAGGCTTTACGCGAAGCCATTTGTGCTTATCCGCCGAGGCTTTACACACCACATGGCTCTTATCAGTGGCATCTGTCTCCAAGCCTCTCATCCTTGGGGCGACGGAACCTATCCCTTGTCTGGTGTAGACCCTCGTTTAGACGCATGGCACCCTGGCGAGATAATGCCCAAGAAGCCATGCCCCGGCGCCGCTGATTGGGCCGCATTCCTTATCTTTTGAAGCGACGCTTGTGGGGGGCTGGCCTTAGCGTCGTGAGGTTGTGCCTGATGGCTTTATTCAGCTTTGATGCCCTCCACGTCTCCCCCGGATATCTCCAGCTCCCCGTACTTTCCGGGAAAGGCGAACGTGGATAAGAGGCGGCGTCTGAGACATCGACCATGAAAGGCAGACGGCTGGTGGCAGCTACGGTTGATGAATAAGACGTTTGAATGACATGATTCGAGTAAATCTCACTTTCACATGCGCATCAAACATCCACAGTATGGACAGTCTCGGACTTTCGACTGAGCAGCGCATACGATCGAGTCCGATGCCGGTGATTCAGAAGGAAAAAAAAAACATGGCAGATTCGCAAAAGTTTGGACTGGCAGGCCGTGTAAGGCCTTGAACTGAGTCTCCGATCGGGCACATTCTCACAACACACGGCTCATGCGGGTTCGTTCAGTGACACGCCTTATTAATCGCCTCCCAGTTGTTGATGTAAGATTGTATCGCTCGAGGCGGCATGTCTTATGAAAATATGGCCTCCGCTGTGTTGTCCTTCTAAGCTGCAGTGCAACGTGAGGCAGATCTCAATAAGATTTGACTCTCTCCCGCACTTGCTGGAGTTGCTGTGGGACAAGGCAAATTAAAGGCAGGGCACTGCCTTTGGCGATTTGTGCCCCATCCCTGTCAAGATCCCATTTCGGAGGTGTATCTATCTTATGAATCGTTCCTCTACTGTGAAATGACATCGAATTCAAGCCGGTAATGAGTGGCCGCCCGGTTCCTAGCGGACGCCCGCATCCTCTAATCGCAACGGCCTGCTTTCAGACGGTACTCAATAGTACCCATTGAAATGACGTGGAATCTATGCGGAGGGGATCAAGGAGAATAAATGGCTGTATCATGGCTCCGTGGTTCCTCCCAAACCGCCCTGGACGTCCATCCTCCACTGGTCTTCCAGAGCCATGAGGCACTTTGCAACGTCCCAGGGAGTCTCTTCCTCCAAAGCCGTTCGGTGTTCGCGAGAGATTTTATTGAGCACATAGCGGCTCACCGTAGCGGCATCTCGTTCCTCAGGACGGCCGATGCCAACGGCGATTCGAGCAAATGGCGATTCTGGATACTTTTTCTGTGACACTGAACCTCTCACGCTTTTGACGCCGTTGTGGCCTCGAGGGCTGCGGTCCCATGGAAGTAGCTTGACCACCCCAAAGTCCTTTTCCAGCTCATCGTGAACAATCACCAGGCTGAGTGATTCGGCGCCGTATTTCCGAACGGTTTCCTGCCATGCACTCGCCACAAAGGGCCCAGAGACGTTCATATAGGTCGGGGACTGCACAAGAATGTATTTCGGACCCTGAGATACTAAGCAAGACTGCCTGCCCAGCGTCACCTCGCGAAAGGCAGGCAAGTGAAGCGTCTTTGTGAGGCCATTGAGGACGAAATGGCCGGCCGAATGTAGGCTCTCGTACTTTGGCAGTGGATTCCCGAGGCTGATGATGAGGAATCGCGGGTTGAACATGCTTTCCGCATCGAGTAAAAACTCAGAGAATCCCCGCCGATTCCGCTCTGGCTTGCGAATCATGAACCGGATCTGGACTGGATGGACAAGCAAGCAAAGAAAGTTGGCAGATTCTCACGTGAGACGCTCTCTGCAAGGCTTGCAAGCTGCAGAGGTGGCGGAAGATGGATTTTCCAGGTGTGGCTGAGCTGCCCATCGCTGACGTCGATGAGCCGATTGGGCGGAGCATCGTGGCTGGGCCCGAGCTCAGTCGTCACTTGTCCAGCTCTTAACTCAGCCTCTGCATTTCAAAACTCCTGACTTTCGTCATCCGTCGCAACCGATCGAACAAGCACTAACCAGCAAAGAAAACACCCGCCATCCTCGATACCCGCGATAGAGCAAATCAATACCAGTCTTCTTTACCAGAGAACAAGTCAATCAAGATGTCGTGGGCGGGTAGGGAGCTTGCGGATGCCCCGCTGAGAGAGGGAGAGGGGCTGACGGGATTCTAGGATTCAAGAAGAATGTGAACCGCGCGACGACGCAGGTGATGATGAAGACGGGTGAGCAGCGCTGGTCGCCGTCCGTATTGGGCGCCGTTCTGATCTTGTGGTGTAGGGCATGTGGAAAAGACAAACGATCGCGATTACGAGGTCGAAGAGAGGTGAGATAAGGGGGAACCAAGCTGCTGGCGAGGGATGGCACGTGCTGACCCAACTGTAGGCGGTTCAGAACGATGGAGACAGCTTCGCTACGGCTGCAGAAGGAATCAAAGGGCTACCTTGACTCTCTGAGAGGTAGGCAGACGCCTGGCCGAACGTTCCGAATGCCAGACTAACATGTCGAGTAAACCAGCCATGACAGCTTCACAGATGAGAATCGCCGAGACGATAGATGCGTTTTACGGTGACTCGGGCGCCAAGGATGGCGTTAGCAGAAGCTACAAGCAGGCCGTTGAAGACCTCGACGCCGAAACCATCAAAGCCCTCGACGGCCCCTACCGAATGACGGTGCTCGACCCAATTGCCCGATTCTGCGCCTACTTCCCCGACGTCAACGAATGTATCAAGAAGCGCTCCCACAAACTTCTCGACTACGATGCTCTCCGCGCCAAGGTGAAGAAGCTGGTCGAGAAGCCCGATAAGGATGCCACAAAGCTGCCACGGACGGAGAAGGAGTTGGAAATGTCCAAGGCTGTGTACGAGCAGCTGAACGAGCAGCTCACCACCGAGTTGCCGCAGCTGATTGACTTGCGTGTCCCCTACCTGGATCCCAGCTTTGAGGCTCTGGTCAAGATTCAGCTGCGATTCTGCGCAGAAGCCTACTCGCGCATGGCACAGGTGCAGCAATACCTGGATGCAGATACTCGAGATTTGTACGCAGAAGGTCACCTGGATGCAAGAGTGGAGCAAGTGCTGCAGGAGATTCGGGAGCTGAGTATCAGCGGAACGGTGTAAGTGGGTATGTACCAATATGTTTTAAAACAAGGATCAGAGAAGAGGCGACTAGGAAGCGAGGAGTTGCAAATTACAAAGCTATCGGCGTATGGGTTGTTTGTTTAATGTATCTAGATATTGGTTGCTCAGGACGAGTCTATGGATAGACTGGCACTTGCGCTCCGGAAGTGTGCCTGTGGTATGGCAATATGTTCCGGGTAATGAGATTATAATTCCTTTCCCAACATGTACAACGCAGGGACTTGGGCAGAATTGTTCTGACGACATCTTTGAGCTGCAGTCCCTTCGAATCAAATGAGCCTTGTAGTCAGGTCCTGCCAATCTCCCTTCTTCGCAGCGAATTCGATATTCGGACGCTATTCAACCCCCCTCACCATTGTAACGACCAAGTTTGTGTCAAGTTGAAGCTGTAGCACCGTACAATCGCTTCATTCAGCTTCCCGTAACCTCCTTCTGTCTTCCAAACAGCTCGTTCAGCGTCAGCGGCCGTCCTATTGCCTGCATCGCTGGCCCAGCTTCTGGGCCCTCGTTTGACACCGTCCCAGCAGCTCGCGCAATCTTCCAGCTCTCCTCAATGATGGCTCCATTGGTTGCCCTTGTACCCTCTTCATCGTTGTGGATCCATACACCAAGCACCTTCTCGTCTGCTTCCCAGTCGCCTTCAACTTTGAGAATGACGAGCTCACCCATGAGCTCCACATGACCGACTCTCGCCAGATCGACAACCACATTATCCAGACCACGGCGGCTCAGCACAAAGACGCATGCTCGAGGCCGATGGTGGGCGTCTTCGGGGAGCGGCGTCTGCGCACAGACAAACATGGTGCCTTCTATGCCGGACTTTTCCCAGCTCTGGGCGGTGCTGTCGAAGGTGTAGACGACGGCGTTGGCGGCGATGCTGAGGATCCTGCTGATGGATGGCAGGTAGCGCTGCAGGACGGAGAGGTTGAGCTCGGTGTTTGTTCGCGGCGGCGGGGGCTCGTAGGCGGAGGTCATGACTGCGGCATCGGATTCGTAGTCGGAGATGGCGGGGATGCGGTTTGAAGGATGGCGGTTGTGCCGCGACTTTCGGGGCGTTGCGCGGCTCATGGCTGAGGCGTTTTGGGGGGAGTTAGAAGAGGTTTGCTATCTATGCAGTGACAAGCTGTAGCTGTAGCAGTAGCAGCTGCAATAACAACACACGAGGCCTCGATCAAGGGTAGAGGGAGAGGATGAAGATGTAGCGTCGTATGATGGAGTTGAGGCTGTGCTGGGGAAAGGATGAGGCGAGAAGAAGGTTCCGTCAGCAGCCGAGTACGGTAACTGCCGATAATATGTGCAAAGGATACGGCGACAGCGATGATGATGGCGAGGATGCGTAGAGTCTTGTCGCAATCTGTTGGATGACAGTCCGAGGTTTGATATCCAGGCCGAAGCTGAGAGCTAGCCCGAGAGCTAAGAGGGGCGGATAGCTGTAGTGCCTCAATAGCGCTCGATATTGCTGGAGCTTATCGATAGGGACCTGAGCAGCGTATTCCCGGCATTGACGCGAGCTCTAATAGCCTGAGTACGGGGAAGCTCGTCGTACCCATATTCCATCTCTACATGTGCCTTGCTCATTGCTGCATTTCTTTGTCCATCTAACAATTCTCTATTGCCACCATTCCATTGGAGCTGCTGCTCCTCTTTCAGCCTTTTCTTTGTATCACATCCACCAATTGTCGCAGCCTTACAAAGAACTACCTACACACACACCTACCTCTATATATATGCGGCCGCCTTACGCCCGTCTGTGTCACAGTCGCAATCGCAGTCGCAGTCGCAATCGCAATCGCAATCGCCGCATCATGATCTAGCAGCCAGGCTGTGGCAAGAAGATCCACGAGCTTGAGAGGTAGCGACGCCGCATTCAACGATCTTCTTCTTCTCTTTCGCCTTCGTCTTCGTCATACTACACAATGGCCGAGTCAATCAGAGACCCGACAAGCCAGTCCATCGCCTCTGATCCGGTCGAAATCGGCGTCCCTCAGTCGCTGGCCAGGGCTGTCCTGTCTCGCCGCTCCGAATACCTCCGCCCAGCTGAGATCCGAGTCAAGGTGGGGACTTGGAACGTGGCGGCGTGCACGGGGACCGACAAAGACCTTGCCGGCTGGTTCACCGAAGATGCGGAAGTTGGCAGAAGCCTCTCGGCCCTCGACATCTCCGATGCTCCTCCACGACGTTCGACTGAGTCGGGCAATGAAGCTCCCGAACCGAGACGAGCGGGGAAGAACGGCGGGTATGATCTCTACGTGCTGGGACTGCAAGAAGTGGTGGACCTCAACCAGACGAGAGAGTACATGAACCGGCTTTACGTCGATAACGGGCCCATGGAGAAGTGGACCGCAGCCCTGGAAGCAGCAATACCCCAAGGGTATCAGCTTGTCGTCTCAGAGCAAATGACGGGACTGTTGCTCCTGGTTTACGCCTCTCCCGCGATTGCCCCCACAATAAGCAATGTTTCCACGCAACAGGTTGGGACAGGACTGCTCGGATATTTTGGAAACAAGGGTGCCGTGGCTACTCGTCTTGTGCTGGGCGAAACTACAAAGCTCCTCTTTGTCAATTGCCATCTCGCTAGCGGCGCAGATTCGGCTTCTCTGAACAGGCGGTGCTGGGATGTAGGGCAGATTGTGTCGAAAACCCAGTTTGACCCAATCGTGATTGGAGGCGTGTCTGACGATGAAGGGGACAGGATTGGAGACGAAGATTTTGCATTTTGGTTTGGAGACATGAATTTCCGCCTCGATGGGCTACCGGGAGATGACATTAGAAGGCTCCTGACGTTGCATGCTCGGGGAGAGTACGATTTGAGCAACGATAAGCCTCCACCTATAGAAGGCGACGATGGCATCATAGTCATGAGGTCGTCAGAAAGCGACGACGATACAACCACAATGTCATCAATGCATTCCAGAGACCATAGCTTTGACCAGAGCTTTGACTCGGAAAGCTCTCTGCCAGACCCAGACGATTTTCCGGAGGACCCCAGCCAGGATCCGGCTTCTCTACAGGCAACTATCGACTCGCTTCTACCGCATGACCAACTGAGACGAGTAATTAAGCAACAGAAACTGTTCCACGACGGCTGGAGAGAAGGGTCCATTTCATTCCTACCAACTTTCAAGTACGATGTCGGTACGTTTGGCTTATTTGATACAAGCGAGAAGCAGAGGGCGCCTAGCTGGTGCGATCGGGTCCTCTACAGGACACGCAAGGACAGGGAGGCGTATGAGAAGAAAGTGGAGGAATTGAAAGAGGCCAAGTTAAAGGATGAAGAGATGAGAGCGAGAGGGATTGAGGAAGATGACGATGTGCTCTTCAGCTATGACCCCGACACCGATGGGGAGGAACAACCGCCAAAGGCAGCATCCAGTGAGGCATACGATGAGTATGAAGAGTATGATATAAATGACACTGGTGCGGAAGCAGACGATGGCGATCAAGATCAAATCTCTCTCGATTTTTACACCTCACATCAGCGAATCACGTCTTCAGACCACAAGCCAGTCATTTCCGTATTCACTCTACGCTATGACGCTGTTGACCCGGAAAAGAAGGCTCAAATCCATTCGGAAATTGCTTTTGAGCTGGATCGAGCTGAGAATGAGGGCCGACCAGGCGTCACCCTCATCGTGGAAGGTGGCCACGGCCAGACGGATGGCGTCGTTGACTTTGGCGAAGTCGGCTTCTTCGAGACACACTCATGCTCGATAACCATTGCCAACACTAGTAGTGCTGCTGCTAGCTTTGAGTTTCTTCACGAGACGCAGACAAGCGAGGACGATTTGGGCTCTTCAAAGTGGTTAAAGACGTCATTCCACCGGCCTGACGATGACGGCAGTAAGAGCCAGCTGGGGTCATCGGTGACGCTCGAACCCGGCGAGACGATACTGGCCATTGTCGAGGCGCGCGTCTCTGAGATTCCACATGTCCGCGCGCTGAACGATGCCAGTTGCAAGTTGGACGATGTTTTGGTATTGCGCGTCGAGGGTGGCAAGGACCATTTTGTTCCCGTACACGGGACCTGGCTCCCGAGCTGCTTCGGCCGGTCGATTGACGAGCTGATTCGAGTGCCGGAATACGGGATCCGAAAGTTTGTCAAGGAGAAGAACATCCAAGGGACCATCACATACGACTGGGATGTGCACTGCTCTGCGCCACGAGAGCTTTTTAAACTTACAGAGGCGATCCAGACCGTGGCCGAGCGATGTATAGCCGACGAGGCGATGTTAGAGGACTTGACTGTGCCACGGGATCCCGGCTGGCCATTTGACTCCTCGACATGGACTGTGGAGGTCGCCAAACAAGACGAACTAAAGGCAGCACTTATCTCTGCACTGGACACAAATTCGCCCCTGGCGGATGCTCTACCAGTGGAACTGCTGTCAACGCAGAAGTTGGAGATTTACTCTTCCATTTTGCTCCTATTCCTTGCATCCCTCATGGATGGACTCGTTCCACCGCATCTTTGGGCCAAGCTTTCGATCGAACTGCCAAACCTAGGTTCACTGCCGGTAGCGTCGTGGCCGGATGTGAAGAATCACATCCTCGATTCACTATCAATGTCTCCAAGCCATAACATTGCATTTGTCTTCTTGACAGCCACACTATCCCGCGTCGTTGGCGAGCTGACTTCCGCCACACAGCCATCGCCTGCGCTCGGCGCATTGACTCGACGACTAAGTTTCCGCCCTGGAGAGACGGAAGCTACTAGGAAGAGGAGGATGAGGGAGAGGAGATACGCCGAGATTGTGAGCCCATTGCTGTTCCGAACGAGCGATGACAAGGACAAGGCGAAGAAGGATAGGGAGCGGATCGTCTTGGAAATGTTCTTGAGGAAGGACGATCGGAGTTAGATGCTCGGCCGAGAGGCGAGGCGTGGTTGGCCCGTTTGGCGGAAGATGCGGTGGCGTCGAGTTGTTGACTGCGAGGGGGTATAGAACGTATGTCTTTATTTGGATGATGGTTTGTGGCGTGATGTGATTGTGATTCATGCGATGGATACCATGCTTGGAGTATATATAGAAAGACGTTACGAGTAGTTGTTACTGTGTGTATTTACTTTTTTCTTCTCTTGAGATTCAGCGACCTTGTTATACTTTGGCATCTCTGTCTCTGTGTTGGGGGTGTGAATTTGAGGCGTGTGGGAGAAGACTTTGTCCAGAGTTTTGATGAGTGCTTGCTTCTCTCGCGTGTTTTGTGAATTGTGCTATAGGGGGGTGGTGAATGCAGCAGCAAGATGACGATTGAATAGCCATTGCCACTGCCAATGCTCCGTCAAATGCGACTCCAATATACAATATACAATATAAAATATACAATATAGATAGATGTATCAGTAGAGATATACATATACAGGTACTACACAATAACTCCATTTCATATGATGTCAAGCCAAGAGAGAAGAGCACGTGCTGCTGCAGATTTCCTGCCGGGCGGTATAGACTACAAACGGGCTCTTGTATAGACTCCTCTATTATTCTCTTCGCCTTTTTCTCTCTGTTTCTTTTCATCTCCTCTCTGTTATATGCACATGACCGAACCAAGGCAGCACTCGGAAATGGCACCGCGAAAATGTCGAGCAGCTGGGAGGCGGTCTGGAGCCTCTTCAACTGGCAGGCACCGCTCGGGGGGAGGCTGATTCTTGATTTTGCGCTCTCCTTCAAACCTTCTCTTCCACCTACGTTGGTCTCTTTGTTTTGGTTTGGTATCTGCTCTCTCTTTTCTTTTTCTCTTGCAGCCACCTCTGAATAACCTCCGAGTTAGTCGCAATCTCTCTCCGGCATCCTTGTACTTTTCGCCGAGAAAGTTGGCTGATGAGACATGGCTTGCAGCTAGACTTCGCATTTGCGCCTTTGGACGATGGGGTTTAGGGATAAGGAGTCTTCCGAAAAGCCTATTTCGTTGTTGTCGAGAGCCAATTCTCCAGACTATAAATCCTCTGTTTCGCCCAGAGATTTGGGCTTTTAATTTTGCTTCTGCATCTTGGACTCGAATCTATGTGCTTGCCTCCGAATCATCAACGATCCGTACTTTTATAACATCTTGCTATGTACAACGGAAGACCGTCCAATACGGCAGACGAAAATATGGAGGCGAATCGGATACCAGAGATTACTATGGAAGATCTACCGGCGGAAGATATACTGATGGCAGGATTTCTATTTGAGGAAACGTACCCAGAGACACCAATGCCAGAAGAACCGATGACGTTCGGGGAGCCAATGACTGAGGTGATGATGGCAGATGCCTTGATGGACTTCCTCATGTCAGAGGGACAGATGAATCAAGTCCCTTTGGAAGAGACACAGACGACAGAAGCCTTTGTGGAAGAGTCGCAGATGGGCGAATTGCCATTTGGGCAAACATTCATGGAGATACCAATTCCAGAAGAACAAATGACTGAGGAACAAACAACAGAGGCAATGATGAGATCGACGTTTCTGCAACCACTCACGCCAGGGCAGCAGATGTATCAAGTTTCTTTGGGACAGGCACAGACGACAGAAGAGCAGATGGTGGACACCCCAATGGAAGAAGTACCAACAGTGACACCCTTTCCACGGAGACAGCCACTGGAACGACCTCCCCGCTGGCAACACGCTACGGCCACTCAGAGCAGGCTACAAAGAGCCCTTCACATCCACAAATTAGAATACCAACTCTATCAGTACAAGTTGAATCGTGAAGAGATTCAGGAGTTTGGACCGCCTGAGACCCGGAGATTTCTGGTAGGCATGAGACCCGCTCCACAAATGGGTGGCACAATGTCGTTGGGGGAGCAAGTGAACAACACAGTACCGTTGGGGGAGTACATGGACATCACAGTACCATTAGAGGAGAGCCCTAATGGCGAAGGGGTAAGCGATCTGAATAGTGGGCGGCTATCGCGTGTTGATTAACTGAATGGCGTTGAGCAGCAACTCGACTCTGAGCAGCTATCAGACTCTGAGCAGCTATCCGACTCTGAGCAGCAAGCCGACTCTGAGCAGCTATTCGATTTGGATCAGCTACTCGACTTGGATCAGCTACTCGAATTGGAGCAGCAATCTGACTCGGAGCAGCAATCTGAATCGGAACAGCAATCTGGTTCGGAACAGCAATCTGGTTCGGAGCAGCAATCTGAATCGGAGCAGCAACTCGACTCCGCCACGATGAATGCCTTACTGGTACCACGCAAGCATCTTCAGATAAACCAGTTCAACGAAGCCATCCAAGCTAGAGACCATACGAGAACCGCGACAAGCGAAAGTTCAATCTTGTCCACCATGCCCACAGCATATGAAACGTGGAAGATGGAGAAAGAGTATTCAGATCTCAAGGATGGCTTGAAGGTTTATCTACGGACCGTTTCAGAAGACGAGATTGAAAGTAATCACCGCTCAAGTTTATGGAGTCAATCTGCTATGGGCAGGCTCAACCTCTTTCGTTCCCGTGGCTATGGAAGCAGCCTTAGAGAAGTCATTTCCGTCGACGAGGAGTGGCCCGAGGACGACTGGGCCAATGCAGGGTTGGAGGAGGCGAATGCGAATGCGCCTTTTATGGTGAAATTTATCGCAAAGATGAGGTTGCGGCCGGTTCTCGTGGTCAACAAGACTACCGCGACACGTTAGTGACTCTCATCGGTGTCTATGGCGAGCCCAGATGAGCAACTGCATGGGATTATGGGAGGAGTTTTGAGCCATGGTGAAGGGGTTTTAGCGAGGGGGGTTTCAGCGAGGAGTTTGGCAGACTGGTCGGACTGGAGTTTGGGTGTCTTGTTCACCTCTTTTGCTTTTCGTGCTGCTTTTTGGGGGGCAATTTCTGCCTTTGGAGTCAATCTTTGTCTTTACCATCTCGATTCCTATTTGGGGCTTTTGCTTTTGTTTTTCAGACACTCGTTTACAAATTTACATTTTAGTACAGGTCAACATGCACTTGAGAAGATTGGACAACCAGCCGCTCCCCTTGGTCACTGGTATAATCTAGACTTTTTCAGTGTTCATTGTCTACTCTCTGCTATTTCTCTCTTGTGAAAGGCCTTATAGACGCGTGTAAGTATCGCATAGGCTTATCGATTCCACCATTGCCAGCTCGTGCGACGCTGAGACGCGCAGCGTCAACAAACCCGCGTCAACACATGCAAACCTTGATTGCCGAGGCTGCTGTCTGGGCAACTGATCCGCCACTTTTACTCGGGATTCCGTTGCGCCGGCGTCCATCTTGTCCATCCATATTCTAGCTTTGCACTACTAAAGCCAGCTTATGTGTTCTCTTACATCAGGCACATTTGGTAGTACCACATCCAATGCTGTCTGTCGTACATTCAACTTTATCTAATATACACCCTACTTGGAGTTTTTCATTTCAAAAGAAAAAAAAAAAGGAAGAAGAAAATAAAAGTAAAAATTCACTCATATCCATATTAGTTTTTTCCCTCACCTCTTCCCATTTCCGTTTTCCGTTTGGTGGCTATCGTACTTAGGTCCTCCCTTATTTCCCAGTAGTTTCACCTGCTAATGCACGATCAAAACGCGCACGGGACGAGCCGTATATAGACTACTAGCTAACGGAGCGGCAAAAGGTGGGAACGACGCTTTCCCCGGGCCCCCTTTGGCTATACTAAAAGGAGATTAACTTGACGTGTCTACGACGATGAAAGCGGAAAAGAGCAATAACATGTCATATATATAAAAAGAAAAAATAGGGGTTCGTTTTGTTGTTGGGTCCCCAACCAACAACCACCTACGGAGTACTAAAATCTTTTATATTCACTACCTAATACTACCTATTTACCTGTACCCTACACTACTACTAAGATAGGCTAATGTCTTAGTAACAGCAGGGCCTCTTGGTTGGGCAGGTTGCATTTGTGGCGGCAAAACGCCTAAGTCGGCACACGTGTAACTGCAATGTACCGATACTTGGTCTGCCTTGTGTTGACATCTGGCAAAAGGATCAGGTACTGCTACTTGGAGGATTCGCTTATAATGTATCAGCCTGGGCTGTGCTGACTTGCATGCAGGGATTCGTGGGTGCACAATGGCCAATGCGAATGCCTCGTTACAATGGGGTGTAAGTTTGGGTGTAAGTTGATATGTGATGAGCCATTGTGACGCACGTGTGTGATTGAGCCGTGGCTGTTTATTGTAGTTTAGTTGCATGTGGTTGTTCATGAGTACGTTAGAAGTTTGCAGGGCAAATCATTCTCGTCAACTTGCTTCAACCTGATCTTGTTCCATCTTGTTCAATCTGAGACTACCTAACCATCATATCCAGCCTGCATACCCAACATAGTAGAATCCCACAACTATTAATTAACCCGTATAGAAAGAGAGTATTATCACTTCATTCAAATGAGTGACCCAAAACGAGCGATGATCCGTAAATAATCCAAACCCAATCCCTGAAACCCTCGTAAAAATACCCAATCATTGCATCCACGATGCGATGCAATCCCAAATCTTTTGCGTCAGCACGCTTCATGGCATAGTTGGCAAGTTCATTAGATCAATCTGTTCCGCCTGGTACGTGGCGTGCGGCTGCCAATTTTCCTCAAATAGCTGTGCAACCCAATACAAAGGGTGATCCCAGTCGTAGAAAACCTGGCGCCCCTCATAGGGCCTCCCTCCAACATTGTTTGGAGCGGGTTGATTCACTGAGGGCAATTGGGTCAGCACTGTCCAGTCTACTGATTCAGAATGGCGTCGACACTCACCATAGCCATTGTCTGCCTTGTAACGCCTCCAGACATCCAGCTGTCCCTGCACTGCAGGATCTGTAAGTGCCTTCATCATGATATTATAATCCACCGCCTCCACCTGGGCCAGTTGAGTGTTGAACCTGTCGGCCGCGGCGCTGGGCTTAGGCCACTGCTTGGCATTATAGTAGTGCCAGTGCTGAAGGAGATTATTGCAGCTGTTATGTAGGCTTTCTACAAATTGGGGGATTGAATAGCGAACCTAGAGGCGAGGAAATCATTTATTAGAATCCCGCATAAACAACCAAAAGTAGCCTGTGGTGGGCTGTTTGTATGTTGCAAATCACTTACACTCTGGCCGTAATTGTTTCGCGCGTGACGGTAGCGGTCTGCGCTCGTCCAGCTCGCCTCTCGTAGCAGGATAAACAGGCAAGCGTAAACCAAAAAGAAGAACTCTGGCTGATTTCGCGACATGAGAGACTCGAGCTCGCCGAGGACAAACTTTCCATACTTGCTGAGGATTCGGGTGTAGTTGATGCTGTCAAACTGCGCAAGGATCATGCGTGGCACCGAAACTCTTTTAAAGAGCGGGTAAGTATCGTCTCTTGTCTCGGGTTTCATTCCCAACGTTTCCTTGCCCTGGATCCATGAAGACCCAGTCGAATGGCCTACAAATATTGTTAGTTCCGTCTCGCTAGTTCCAAAAAAGAGGAGAGATTGGGGAACTAGACAAGTAGGAAGTAGGGAATGGAAAAGACATCATCGTTTTTACTTACGCATAGCGAACCACAAGATAACCAAATTCCCCAACACATTGAGTTCTCTCTCCTCCTTGCCAACAAGTTCAGGTTTTCTCTATCTCGGCCTGTTAGCAATCTTATCCCCAAGTATCAAGGCAAAGACATACCCGAAGATCTTGGAATCGACCAAGCACATGAGCGTACGTCTCCTCGAGAATGCCTTTAGGCCCGTCATTCCCACCTGCCCTCTCATTCCACATGACTTGGAGTGCGTTCCTCTTGATGTAGCCCTCAAAGTCGGCCGCTGTGTCGTAAATGCTGGACAGGCAATAAGTTGCCAGTTCCTTCTTCTTTTTCACTCCCTGCTCACCATCCATCCAGAATCTGGCAGTCACGTCCCCCTCTTGGGGCTTGAATGCGACTACCTTGACCTCGATAGCCTCTTTGCATATGCCCAGAGTGATGGAGATGGTGCGAACTTCCTTGGGATTGACTCGGTCTCCCACATCCTTCATCTCTGCGTCTTTCCAGCGCTTAGTAAGCTCAAGCCCTCCTTTGCGAAACAGGATTGCATCCGTAATCTTTCCACGATAACATGGCATTCGGTGAATGGTCTTCTTCGACGTCTTGGAAAAGCTCTTGCATCCTACACAGGCTCCCGTTGGATCAGTCGGGTCTGTCGCACACTATCGCATCATAGAGTTAGTCGGCCAGCACATCAATTGGCAGGCAGGCAGGTTAGAACTCACCCGCATCTTTTGTATCCGGCATCGTGTACAAGCCTTGTGCCTTCTCGTCGCTGCAGTTTTCTTTCGTCTAGAATGGCTTAGTTGACTTCGCTTCGACCTTCTACCCGAGGAGACTGCAGCATCCTCTTCTTTCACAGAAGAAGATGGCTCCGGCTCCTGGCGTTCGTCGCCTGTTCCTGCCGAGTCATCCTGTGCCTCACTGTCGTCATGTACATCACAGTGGATCTCTATGGTATCAGAAATTCCCGAAGCATCAGACATGGCGTCATCAATTTCAACAACGGTTCCAGGAGCTTCGGCGGTAACATAACCCACTGGCCGTTGCCAATCAGCGCTGCCGCCCATAAGCGTGTGCTGCTCGTACGAGCCGTCATCTTGGGCATGAACAACTCCGCTTGCCGCCGCTTCAGACCCAGTGTAAATGGGTTCGTTCATCGTAGGCTGCTGGGCGAGGTAATGAGTTACACGCGCCTGCTGATGTGTCTCGGGAATATGGCGTCCTCTAGACACGCCAATGCTAGAATGGCTAACTTGTCTGGTATCTGCCGAGACGTGCGGCGGGATTGACGCGTTGTTGTAAATATATACTTGTGGCGTCGGGGTGGGACGTTGTTCAGTTCCTTGGTGCGGTGAAAATTGCTGAAAGTGATGAGAAGGAGGATAAAATTGCTGCTGGATATTATATTGGACAGTCAGGCCAAAGGCTGGTGGCTGAAACGCATGGCCAGGTGGGAAACCCGCGAGGTTGGCACCGGTATCGTGGTGAGGTGAGACTGGGTGCGCCGGATACACTGAACCATTGGCTTGAATCAACGGCAGTGGCACAGACTGGGGACGCGGACGCAATGGTACTTGAGGAATATGAGACTGGCTGTGGCCATCGCCAGGTTGACCTTGGACAGGCCAATGGCTTTGTTGGAAATGTGGGCTGGGAGTCGCAGACTCCGGCTGCATGGTGGAGTAATGAGTGTAGTATGCCGGAGCTTCAGTATAAGCGATCAGCGTGGCGTCGTTGTCATGGCAAAAGATAGTCCCGGCACAGCAATCTTGGGCGACAGAATAGTGGCCTGATGGACTGTCTGTACTATGCAGCTGAGGATCTGGATAGGTCGGGGGTTGTGTTTGCGGGATGGTTACAGACTCCTCAGGTACCGGTACTCGCCTGGGGTTTGCCGCCACCAGAACAGGCTTTGTTTCGGTGGCTGCAGAAGCAGACGAAGACAGCGCATAGGCCACTTCTGTGCGAGCTGAACATGCCCGCTGAACACTTCTTCTTGTCTCATAGCCATTGGTACGGGCTCGGGACCGGGCAGCTGAGGTGGTTCTACCAGACGCAACATCGCCGTCGCCCTCCCACTTTCGCTTTGTTCTGGATGGAGCCTGTGAGAGAAACGGTCAAAAATCAAGTCTCGTCAGGCTGTCTCTATGTCTGGCCTGGCATTGTCCGGTTGAACATCCAACCCTGGCACGGCAGGAAGAGGGGCTGGGCATCTGCAGCGGTGATGAGACGAGATGAGGCGCTGTTCATCCTATTCGCCATAAACTGCACGGAGTACTCCGTACGAGTCGACAGATGATACATACAGCCGGGGGTGCTGGTAGGGTGTGTGTGAGGCAAGAATAAACGAGCATTGAGAAAAACAAAGACAGGAGGCAGCAACGCGAGCAACGCGAGCAACGACTCAGCAACTCCATGCAGCTGGCCCCGTAAGATACACTCACATCGTGTGCCACCCGCGGCTGTAGGCCCGGAGAGGGGGAAATAAGACGTCACTTACCAGTGCGGAAATATCAGGAGAGCGTAAGCTCACAACAGCTGCGTCCATGGCTGCGGCAGCGTACTCGTACATGCAACGCTGTGCTTGCACATGTAACGCAGGAGGGTGTGTTACACACGTCGAGGCTCGAGACCACTCAAGAAGACGCTGGACGAGAGGAGAGACAATGAGATTCCACTCGAGGAGCCCCAGGAGCGCTTCCGATGGGCAGAAGCGAACGAGCGGGCAGTGGGACGGCTGTGCCCACGGGGGTGAGAGTGACGAAGGAGCCTGCAAGCAGACTCGAGGCGCAAGGAGGAGAACCAGTCCAGTCTTTCAGTTGAGTCGAGCCCAAGCAGCAGCAGCAGCAGCAGCAGAAGGGTGGGAAACCGGGATGACCAGGAGCTGTGAACCGCAGGGGGTCCGCCGTACTTGTACAAGTGAGTACGGCAATGACGGTCGATGCCCGTGATGGCCGGCCGTCCAACGTATCGGGACCCAGGCTGCGGCATCAGAGACGCCAGAGACCCGGCATCCCCTGCCACGACATTACAAATAGCGTATCGCCATCGTAGCTAGTCGGCCGAGCTGAGCCCTCTGGCGTTGCTTTGCTTGTCAACTTGCTCCCAGCTCTCGAGGAGCGGCCGGGATTCATAGCTGCTGTGCCCACAAACCGCCGGTCCGCTGCCGATCCAAAAAGGCCTCAGACGCAAGGGGGCCCGACTGAGGCTGCTAGCCCGGCTGTGGTTGCAGTTCCCCTCGGGTTTTGCTGCAGTCTTCCCCATTCTGGGCTTTGGCGGGTTGGTGGAGGATTGAGGATTGACCAGGGCCTGACAAGGTTCCGCACAAGGTCGTGACATGCACGCAGGCACTTGGTGGCCAGCATATCGGAACGAATGCCGGCCCGGCCCAGAGCGGCATCGAGGGCAGGAGCACACGCCTCTCTCCATATGGGAATCCAGAGTAGCTCAGAATAGCTTCAGTCATTGTCTCTCTCTCGACTCCGTAATCTAATTTCTCCTGCAAGCACCTCATCATCGCGATTGGATCAGTCACAAACAACCAGCAAAGCCCGCAGCTTACGAGTGCTGTACTGCCAAGTGCGTGCCCCTCTCGCCGTACCGACAAACGAAACGCGGCTCTGACCATCCACCCATCTACCCACCCAACCACCCATCCATCCATCCTACACTACATTATAGGCTCTCGTTCTCACCGACAGCCTTGGAACCACCCAGCCATGCGGCACACACTCGCTCGCTGCAGCTAGCTACTGTACTGGACCAGTACCTCGTCCAAGCATCTCCCTCTTTTTCACGGCTATCATTCCTCAGATGTGATAGAGCCCACCCCGGCTGGCTGTTCCAGACGGTCTTAATGGCGCCATCATGCAGAAAACACCTTGGCCTAGTCGCTCGTCTTCCAATGGTGGCTGCTGCAAGCTCAACTTTGTTATCCACTTGCCCTCTCGTCACATCCACAGACCCAATCACAGCCCCTAGCGTTCCCGCCCGAGACCAGAGCCTTGCTAATGCTCGATGTGACAGGCCTCACCGGTTGACGTTCAGAACCCCGTCCCTGTCGCCAGATGCAGCTCTGGGTGGCTGGAGCCGGCAGGGGGGGAGGAAACCAAGATACGTAAAAGTGTGTACTCGTATCACTTGTATTTTGCGCTACGCCCGCTACAAGTTGGGGGGCTTTGAAAGCTGAAAACTAGAACGACATGTCGGATATTATTTTTCAACTCTCGGTTTCAGCTCTCCTCCCGCCTGTACCTATACAGCTACGGTATGTCGAGCGCAACCCATGCCTCGCGGCTGTCAACTATGACGCCCCGGTGAAGCATGACATGCTGCTACTAGTAGGGCAACTATCTCTACCAACATGCTTCACTGCACGTGCTACAAATGTCGTCCGTAGTGAATGTCGTACGTCTGTCCAGCAGCAAAACTAGAAGAAGAGCGAGAGAAAAGGGGGGGGGTTGACAAAAGGATATCTCCCTTTTCTTTTTTTCTTCGCCCGAGAGATGTTTGCTTTCATCTACTACAGTTAAGCCATGAGCCGCAGCATATGCCAATTGCTGGATTGCTGGATCCTGAACAACTGAGCCAACTGTCTCATTGAAAAAACTGTCTGCTCTCGCACCCTCTGGCCCTGCGAATTTCACATGGGCCCTCATATATGTGTATAATCCAAGTCAACAGCACATCTACAGAACTGCTCCTACCTGTGTTGCCTGAGAGAGAAGGGATGGTGATGGGGCGAGATATATATTTTTGTGGGCTGTGTATGGATCTTCGCTGTGTGCGTGACAAGGATATCACCAAACGGCTCATTGACATACAGGGGACAAGGACTCGCAGTTCAAGTCTAGAATTGCGGCACTTCGCCCCGACCAAGATGAACTGCGACTCCCAACTTGCTCAACATGACGGCCAAGATACAAAGAGGCACGGAAACAGAGGGAGGAGTGGTGGTGCCCAGAGAGACCGCTGGGGTTCCGTTCTGTTACTTGTGCCAAGTGCTACTCTTGTGGGAAGAGTGGTGCCGCCTCATGTGTGATCATCTGGCTCCGCACCATAACAGTGACGCTGTCAGTATGGCACCCCCATCTTCCTCCACATCCACACTCTCAGTACTTGTAACGTCAAACTCACCAGCATCAGTACTAGCCCGACAGCGCGCGTGGATAGTCCGGGATGTGAGGAAGTCTTTCTCATCCCAATCAAAGGCTACGCGCGGACGGGGTTGATCGGACAGCTCCACCGCTCAAACCGATTCAGTATGGCTCGATTCTTTGCTTCCTTTGCATCCTCCCCCCGTTCATTAGCCCAAGTCATTGAGGGCAGTGAGGGCAGTGAGGGCAGTGAGGGCTGAGGCTAAGCGAGTCACGCTCAAGGCAGGTTTTTTTTTTTTTTGTCCCTACTTGTTTGCATCGTCACAGTAGCTTACGTCTTATATTAGTGCTAGTAGCCGGGAGTTTGATCATAACCGGGAGGAAACTTAGTTCCCTTTTGAAATGGGTCCAGATAGTTCTCTCCTCTCTCCTCTGCCAAACTCCCCTTTGACGGCCGCCCGACCAAAAGCAAAAAAACGGGACATCCTCTGCTGGTGGGAGACGACATCAGCGAGTTCTAGTTTGCCTTTACCCAATCAGATCGCTCTCATTTCGCCCGTCTTTGGTCTGCTACGGAGTATCCTTGGTCCGTCGTCATGCCTAAGCAAAGGTACTACGGCCATATGTGTTGTATAATGCCCGTCGAGCCTTTACCCACTCATGGCTGGTCGGACGTCCAGAGGCGTGTCGTAATTGGGTTGCTATCGCGGGAACTTGGTGTGGTTTGAGAGGCTCTTTTCTCCCACCTCAAACGCAGCGCGACGACCCAGCGGCTCCTCTTTCTACTTCTCTCGAACGGACTGCCAATAGCCCCTTCTGGACCATATTTCTGCTGCCTGCTGCCGTGACGTGTCCCAAAGGGCATTCTTGCAGTTCCAAAGTACCCCCTTTGGCCGAACAGTGCGACTACGGGCCTCGTTGCCAGATTTTCACCACCAGCTCAGCAGGCAGAATGCACTTGCTTCGTGCAGCCCCCTTGGGCACTCTGCATCTACATGGTTGATTCCCATACGCTCTTTCAAAGCCTGATAAGCGACGTGCGTCGTGTCGTGCGCGAACAGATCATCCGTCATGGTGCAAAAACGACGATATACGTTACGGACACTGGTGGCCCACAGCCCACCTCCACTTTCTCGGAAACATCAAAGCATCGCATTGTCCTGACGCCGATACGCTGTCCGCCGTCTTTCTGCACCGGGTGACAAACCTCGAGCTCGCCGTCTGGCCTGCCTTCAACATCGTACCACTCTCGGAACTTTTCTGTTCTCTTTTTGCATATAAGACAGCCCAGAGCCACAGGTTGTATCACATAGCCTGCAGCACAACATCCTCAGCAATAAGAATGATTTCCCCAAGCACGCCTGGACCTATGAGCATCCTTGACGCAGCCACTGCTATACCAAAGGACGTGATGTCGAAACTTCCGGCGGTTATCAATGGCCCTCTAGCCTGGTCAGGGGCTGATTTCAAGAATGAAGAGACATACACCTGGCACCTTCGCAGAGAGGATGTCGAGGAAGTTGATGCAGCACTCCAAAGCTTCAAATGTAAGAGGCTCTATGAAATTACCCTTTATCAAAACTAATACATAGACCCAACTGACTTCGACTGTAGCTCTTGGCCTCGATGGAGACCAAGTTGACCGTGACAACTTCCCCCTCCCGAATCTTGCGGCTCAGCTAGCCCAATGCGCCAGAATTATTCATGAGCAGCGCGGCTTCTTCGTTCTCAGAGGTCTTGAAGGATCAAAATACTCAGTTGAAGATAGCACCACGGTTTATCTGGGCATAGCAAGCTATATTGCTGACAAGAGGGGGTTGCAAGACCGCAAGGGCAACATCCTCTGTAAGTTACATCTCTCCACTTGTGACTCGGACGAACACGGCCTCTGATGTAAAACAAACCAGCACACATCACCAATTCAAAACTTTGGAAAGTCCCCGTGGAGATGCGCCATGGCATTCATTCCAATCATGCTTTGGTAAATATCCATTTCCCTCCATCCAACCTATTAATCAGTACTAATTCAAACAGCCCTATCACAATGATATGGGGTGCGATATCCTAGCGCTACAAGTTCGGTACAGCGCGGAAAAGGGGGGATACACGTATCTGAGTTCGGTCAGCACCGCATTCAATGAACTGCTTTCCGAAGCCCCATCAGCAGCAAAGACTTTGTTAGCTCCAGATTGGCCTGTGCAAATGTAAGAGCACTGACCCCCTACTGCATGGCACTGACCGTTGGCTGAAATCAGTATTACCTTACAGTTCGGGGCGTGGAGCAAAATACTACTTCGCGCCCGCTCTCGCGATTCACGATGACAGATTGATGGCTAGCATGGATCCGAATCGATTTGGACCTCATCCATCTAGTGGACCAACCAATATCCCATCTCTGACTGACTCACAGCAGTCTGCTCTAGAAAGAATATCAAAGGCCGCGTACCGCACAGAGCTTCGACTTCACCTTAAGACGGGAGACATGCTCTTTTTCAACAACTGGGCATTGCTCCACCGACGCGATTCATACACGGACAGTGATGAGACGTCCCGCCACATGGTAAGGCTTTGGCTCCGAAACTCGAAGCTAGGCTGGACGGTCCCGGATTCTATGTTGCCACCTTGGTTTGCGGCTTACGGTGACAATGGCGTCCGGGACAGGCTCTATCCTTTGATTCCCATGCCCGACTATAAAGTGCCAAAATATTCGGCAGGCTCTGCAGCATTTGTGATTGAGGATAGCGATGTCTCGGATAACGAGGAGTTCATTGCGCAAAGCCTGTGAATTGCATGGAGGAACTTGATACATTATTAGGGGGGCGGCGGAGATGATGCTATCCCAACTGATCCTTTTTCACCACTTGAATTTCATATCCTTGATTCACTCGCTACATTTACAGCAACTTGCTTCTCTTCAAAGCCTAAAATTGAAAGTGTCTGCTTCTGACTCAACCAAATGCTCGCCATCTTTACCCTGGTGTTCTACCGAGCTAGACCTCGAGTGCCGCGCCACAAAGTGAAACAAGTCTCACGGCCAGGCGTAAAAGGGTCCTCAGGGCCCACACAGCGTTGGTTGATTTCGCGCCGTTGCTCGCATCTGGTTACTATCCACAACTGCCGCCAACAAGTTTTTAGCCTAGAATTGCGGCGGTTAAGACAGGCAACTGTTCGAATAGGGAGCTATTCCGGGCACGTTGCCCCCATTCTTCTGGTGGTTCAAGGCATGTTGGTGATTGAGGATCCAAGTCCGGAGCCCCCCTAGATTCTACATTCCTGCATTTCGCGCATCACCGACCCAGCCCAACGTTCAAGGCCGCACAATAAACCATGTAGCTTCCCTAAACAGATTTCCTTGCAGGAAAGATTTGCATATTTAGATGAAAGTGGTACGCCTCTTGTCAACTGTCACATGCCGGATGCTTCTCATCACAAAAAAAGTGTTGGACTGGCGTGTGACGTGGTTTATTCCCGCTTTTGCCATGACAATCTCACCGGGGAGATGGCCCAGTCGAATCACTTTTCTGCGGTAAAAACAGGTCCTTGATTTCTATTGGGCTCGAAGAGGGCATTAACTCGTATATGACTGGTAGTTAGCCGGAGCGGCAGTCAGCAGACTGTTGCCACGTTGTTGTCTATGTCGTGGACTCGCGGACCACCACTTGAGCCCGAGGTGCCCGCTTTGCTACATTTTCAGGGGGGAGGGAGCCCAAGACATGTATAGACACGAGTCAACAGCTTGCGTTGTTACCGAAGGGAGGGAAATTACACGGGCGATTGCCTTTACCATTGAATCTAGAGAAGATAGATGTCGGCATGTATGACAGTTGCCTGCATGGCCCCCCATAGTTGTCTCGGGCCTTTTGCAAGGAAATGTGAGCCGATATCTGCATCCTGGAAGGGCCGTAGATCGGTTTCCCATGGCCTTGGTGTTTATATATACCACTTGGCGTGTTCGCCCTCTGCGAATCGGATTCACCCTTTAGCACATTAGATGACATGGATATATATGAAATAGTTCGTTCTCGCCTCGCCGGGTGTTTCCCCCTCATCTGCTGTGTGGTGAGCGAGATGTAATGCTACGTTGTTGGGCAGATAGAATGGCGCACCAAATGCGACTCTCGCATCACTTTGCTTGCTTCGGTCCCGACAAAAAAGCAATTGCCGACTCTGGAGCCGAGAAAGGTCTAGACAGCTCGCGTCTGTCTGCGCTCTCTTGGCAATTCGGGATGGGAAAGGTATGAATGCAATTTCTGTGGTGGTGGGGGGGGGGGGGGGGGAGTTGATTTCTCGAGACCACACTCTACGCCTTGATAGGTGGCTGGTGATGTCTACAAGTACGGAGTAGTAAAAGGCCAGAATCCTCCCTAACCCGCGAGCGCTCGTACGGCGATGTGACGAGTGGGCGCCTCCAAGGGGACCAGGGGCTCGGAAAAGGACCCGGAGTTCCCCGAATCCACAGATTTAATTTCCTGCATGATGCTCCAGTCCCGGAATCTCATCCTTGAACCATCTTTTTGATTTTGCGGATATCTAGAGAGGGGTAAAAAAGACTAGAGGGGAGCGTGGAGTTCCGGGGGAGAGGCCTGCTAGGGATGGGGATGTCGATACTGAAGCACGACTCTGGGATGGAGTTGCTTGAGATTCATGCGATTTGGGACCATTAGCTGGCTGACGTGTTGGTCTTCAAGAGTGGTATGTAAGACTCCGTCATCTAATTCAATACACGGAAACCAAAGGCGAGCCGGAGAGACTCGCCGCGATCATGGGCCGAGCAATGGAGCAAATTACTTGCTTGGACACGCCTAATCCATGTAGAAGAGCTGTAATACTTGTAGAAGCCTGCTTGGCGTCCAGCAAGGCAGGACTCATCCCACTGAGGGATCCTTGACGAGACAGACATGCATTGCCACCTTGGCTTGCATTTACCGCCTGCAATGCAAAGAGAAGAAGAGCTATCCTAGGACTATTCATGCCCAACATGGGGTAGACATCGACCTGCACTTCTTGTCTCTTCTCCGGGTGTACGATTTCAGGCGGCTGTAGCCTTAGAAAACACCCCCATACCTGTGGAGAGAGGATATCAAAACGTATGCAAGCATGAAGGAGATGAGAGACTGGCATAGCATAGGGGTCCATGTCCATGTCCATGCTCACGCCCCCCGGACACGTTGAATTGCTCCACCAACAGATAGAGGAAACGAAGCAGCTCACGTTTACCGGAGAGCCGAGACACGCCATGTCTGTGTTTTGGTTGTAGACGCGGTCATAGAACACAGTACGCGCAATTACACAGTACCAATGCCTGACTCAGCTAACTACTAAGAAAGAATTACACATTAATAATTCCCTAGACAAGTAACAAAAGAGAGAGAGAAGAGAGAGACACTGCCGTAGAGAAAACACGCCTCCTCCCTGTCACTGACATATATCCAGCGCAGTCTCAATCCTTGCTGGACGCAGCGTCTCATATTATCACCCCAATCCTTCACCCCCATCCTTCACCCCCTTTCCGACGACTGCATAGTAGCCTCGCCCTTCCAAAATGCACACCCAGCGACAAAAGTCGAAAACACGCCCCCATCTCGAGTACAGCCGTATGAAAAAAACGAAGAAACAAGTTTACACATACAAACACGAGTTTTGGCACCCTGCGAGTACATGAGAGAGAGCCATTCGAACGGATCGGCCGTTTGCGATCCTCCCCACCAGCTTTCTTACATGGCAAGGGCCGTGCCGGAGATTATTTGCCCTGGGTTTTCCTTCTTTTCTCCAGAGCGGGGCCTAGTAAACGATGGGAGAAAACTTGGTTTCTGTCGAGGCGGATGCAAGCCGAAGACGATCGATTGGTTGCGTTACGCGAGGCCACCCTCCCTTTGAATAGGCGAGAGAGAAGGTTTGCCAATGAGAACAAAAGGAGATAAGCTTGAGCGGGGGAACAGGCGGACAAACTTGCCCACCCTGCGTAAGGCTCTGTTGATGCTATTGGAACGAACGGACGAAGGATCACGGTCCCTCTTGGCAAAGATGTTGGGAGGTGTTTTGATGTTGGTTGGGTGGGAGGCTTAGGCCAGGATGGCAAGCAGTGCGGCTACGGCACCCAAGGCGCGTGTGTCTGCGTTCCGGAGAGGAGATGCTGCTGCTCCTGTTACCACTGGTGGAGTTTCGGACCCTCCTTCTGTTGCTGTTGTTGATGACGCTGATGATGTTGCTGATGTCGAGGCTGGGCTTGCGCCACCTTCGCTTGAGACTGACGGCGGAGGATAGGCGGTTACTTCAGGCGACCATGTTATCGTCGTCATGGCTCCAACAGACGGTGAAGTCGACGATGACGAAGACGAAGACGAGCATTCGTTCCCGTACCCCGAAGGGTTGCCAGACGCGGCCGCACACGGAGCCGAGGCGGATGGATCCGGCTCTATCTCCGTCTGCGTCGCCATTCCCCCCTCATCCGAGCTTTCGAAGTCTGTTAGAGTCGAATAATATGTTTCGAGAATTACACTCGTGATTGTCGTCGAGCGAGAGATGACCCATGTCGTGGTTCGAACAGTTACAATGGCTGAATACTGGGGACGAGGCGTCGTCGATGGCTCGATGATGCTGGACGGCGGATACCACGTCTCTTCGAATGAATAGGGGTCTGGAGAGGAGTATTCGTCGATGGAGGGGGTGGGAGTTTCGTAGGAGGAGTCGTAGGAGAGGACGGCGGAGCCTCGCCATGGTGGTGTTGGGGGAGTTGGGCTTGATCTAAGTGACGGTTCAGCATGTTAGCCCTTGACGAGAAGGCAGATTCTTTTCCTTTGCATTCCATATCCTTGACGATATTGTAGGAGATGATCCCGTCGTCGCTTTTTTTTTTTTTTTTTTTTTTAAAGCTAACGGATATGCTGTCGTAGTGTTCCATACCGTTCCACAGGATCATGGTTGAGGGCGTTGGCGAAGCATGCCAGGGCAAGCCCAAGAAGAATTCTTGCAATCGTCTCCATTCTACAGCTTACTGTAGACTGATATCCAATGATGGCAGTATAAAAAGAGAATAATTAAGATAGTAAGAGGGCATACATAGAGGCTTTAGCACTTCCAGACGATCAGACTCCAAGAGCAATTGCACGCTGGCCATGCCCAGCTTCAAGTAGTCCAAGGCACGTCACAACATCACTGCTGCAAACACAAACTGTTTCCCCCTTTTGTCTTCTCTTTCTTTTCTTTTTTGGCTCTGCTTGCGTATTCCCGTGGTATCGCCTGTGCCCATGTCACGGTGCGGTTTGTGTGATGGTAGTTTATACATGAAAATTTGGCACAAGTGTTGGCATTGTTTGAGTGACGGGTTGGCACCGCTTCTTTGCAAAGGCCGTGGCAGTGGACGGGCAAGAGTGTCATTTGAGGAATACAGATTGCGCAGATTTGGATGATTTGGGTTGTGATGAATGCGTGTTTTGGTCTTGTGAGGTGCTGTTTGCGACATGGCATGGTGTAATGCTGTGATGATGTTTGGGATTGTGATGGGATGGCTGTACGCGAAAGTCTTTGACTGACGAGGGGATGTTGGTACTTATTAGATGTCAGTTCGAGGTTGAATGCAAACATTTCTTGTGGGTTATTTTCTCATTTGACGTGTCTAGCTGAATGAGTTCTAGGAGCATGATCTGTATTCTCTGGCATATACACTCTCATTACTGCTCTACTATTACTCAGTGTTATGATGGCCATACATTTTTAAAGTTCATGTAGACATATTGGTACATTACAAGCGAGAATGAATAAAAATTTACGATTGTGAATGAAGGATGCGAGAGATTTCCAGTGTCACCACTTCTCAAGCTCCAAGTGACTTACTTTAGCCAGCTCTATATAACTGGTTTGGGTATATATGATTGCCTATAACACATGGGCGACTACAGTGAGTCATAGGACCGTCACGGCTTTCAATATGCTTATCCATTTATATCATAAGCCTTCTGATGTGTAGTACTCGAAATGTGTGACAACATATAGTTCCAACTTGTCAAGCACAGAGAGCATCAGGTGAGTGGTTCTCTAGTGCTAAGGTGTTGAAAATGCGAGGCGTTAAGCATATGAGGTAATGCAGACTCTAGTTATTGAATCAAAACACCCAAGAGACACTTTGTCATCTTTATGGGTATGAAGCGTGAAAAATGTCTCTGAGCGTACACACACCAGCTTGTCACGTCCAGGGCAACTCTGCGCCAGCTCCCTCGTTGATTCCACCTCATACATACCGTTGCAATTTAAGACATTCAATAAACCCTACATCCCAACCCAGGGTTCAATTTGTCTCAAAATTATCCTATATCGGGACCCTAACGCGAAAAGCCACTGCGCTTCAGAGACCAGCTATTTCACATCATGACCACCATCTGGAACATAACACACCACCATAAGCGAAATTCAGCATCATCTCAACACATGATGTTCCAAAAAAGATCCAGACAAAGGGTCCTCACAACACGCTTGTCATGATGAGAAGAGGCTTTTTGCTGTGTCACCATTGAGCTGAGGATCTCCTCATCCCACATTTGCGTCCATATTGGCAACATCTGGGCTAAGCCATTGCTGTGTTTCTCTCAAATAGTGACACTGATTGTTTGCAGGAAAAGACAAATAGGTAGCACACAAGCTATCTCGGTTGTGTTCTCCAATCAGTGGCATTCTTCGGTTGAGCAGGCCGGAATAGACTTGTGGAACGTTCATTTGAGCGAGACGCGCTTTGCTCAAAGCTGAAGCACCTGACACTCTCGTTAAATGTAACGCGAGTAACTGGATCAGATGTTGAAGATGGAATTAGGCCTAGGATTCGGTCCTAGGATTTGATCGATGGAGTGGAAACAGCCTTTCTTTGAACCGGATGTCGCAGCCAGTTGGTTATTTCCAAATAAATCCTATTTAGCCCGAGGATACCGGCTAGCAGGAGCATTACGCAGTAATATGATCTAGGGCTATTAAGTTACACTATCGTAATATCAAGGGAGATGAAAAATATTTGTTGTTTTCCAATAATTATGCATGGAATATTTTATTGGAAGTTGTTATATCAAAGGCTGCTAAGTTGTGGATAGTCATACTACTCTATAAATCAGTTGACATACTAGTTAACCAATTCTGAGTATGAATGAATAAATGCTGTATTGAAAAAGCCAATCGTACAGAAGCCTAAGGTATCCAAGGAATGAATCTGCCTTGGGTTGGGATGTTGCTGGAGAGGCTCTACCCTGGAAAGTTGGATGGGAATCATGGTCATTGGAAGGCAGCTATGCGTTGACTACGAGTAACACGATGAATAAATGATACTACGTATCTCTTGAATCTTGTACGAATGTGATCTGTTTGTGTGGATGCACTGGAACTCCGTAAAATGTAATAATCCAGATATGCAGCTTCATCTTCAGTCGGGATGCCCTCAGGAACATATCAGAGCTACCAAGAAGCTTTTACACAGTCACTTATCAAAACACTTGGATGGGATAAATATGCCAAGGAAATGAACCGAAAGAAAACAACAACACGATGCTGCACTTGACCTTGTCACAGCAAGCCGTGAAGCCCATCTCCAGTGCCGGCACGGACTCGACCCACTTACGCCGGACGTTGGCCCGTAACTGTCGGAGGGTGATCCGCTCCGAACATGAAAGTTTTCGTGCGTTGTTGCTAGAGCCAACAACAGGTGTGGGCATTGGCCAGGACGAGATGAGATTGAACTTGGGATCTCGTATTAGATACGGGCGTGTTGTACGTGACTTGTCCTTGAAAAGTCTGATCTCCCTCTCCTTCGGCTCTTTTTTTAGGCGGCAAACGGGAGATCTGATGCATGGATACAGATACTATGGATCATGCCCTCTACGTGTCTGTCGCGCAGTGGATCGTCGTGTCTGGTCTACTTTCGGACCCGAGCGGTCCTAGACATGATGCCCATCCTAAACTCGACAACTATTTAATTCCAAAGCCCGAGATATCCGGGGGACGAAGAAAATATTAATAGGAAAGTGAGCCGGTTTCCGAGTACGAGCAGCAGAAGCAGTGCCTTGAGCTTGAAGACTAGAGAAACAGAGAGAGAAAGAGAGCGAAAGCGATGCCGGCATCTGAAACGTTGCCATCAAGGTCCTTGATCCGCTGGCTGGCCGCCTGTCCCTGTCCCCCCCTCTCCATCCCGTGATGCTATTTGCAGGGCCCCAGAGGATCAACAAGATGCCCTGCCCTGCGATGCCGCGCCAGTAAGCACTTGTCGCTGGTCAAAACAGGCAAGCCATCGTCTCCCGAGGCGCTAAATCTGCTCTCCTGTGCCCAAAGCCGAATCGAGCAACGCACAAAGGAAAAAAAAAAAAAGAAGAAGCAGCGATGAGCAGTAAAGGGTGAGAGTAATACTCCGTAGAAGCTAGTGCAGGCCAAGTCAGACGGCCCTGCGAATGCCGACAGGAGGAAAGCCGCGAAGGATTTGGACGGAAGGATTTGGATGTGCCGGAGCGAAATTCTTGCGGGATTGGCATGACTGCATGAATCTGAAAGTGTCTTGAAGAAAAGGGATGGACGTGTTAGTTTTTTGTCGAGGGCTACGGACACGGTCATGTCGAGAGCTACAGGCTGTTTTAGCACATGCAGTTCTCCGATACTTGTCCGTACCTAGAGGACATGCAGCACATGTATATATGCCTTCGGATACAAAGCACGGAGAAATTGGTACAGTATTTGATACTGCCCGCGATGCGTACGAGTATATCCGCGGATGTCGCCAAGATCTGAGATGACAATCCTTCAGGTACATAAGCGAGATAAGCCGTTCAGCTTTCGTATCCTCGTCTGCTTGCGCCTGTAAGTGCGTGCATGGAAGATGGAAGATTAACCTCGTAGATGGCCAACCTCAGCCAGCAGACGAAGCAGCAGGCGGGTGTTGCCGTGCCAGTGCCAGTGATGCCACAGATCTCGGGCCCCTGAGACGAGATGACTACCACGCTGCCATGTGCTGCCATGTGCTGCCAGCTACAGTAGCCTGGCAAAGGAATAGGAATTGGAACAAGAATAGGATCACGACGTGGCCCGAGTCCCCCCTCTGTTAGCCTGTTAGCGCAGGGAGAGCGAGCTGCTAGTGTTTAGTGCTTGTGTGACGGGGACTGAATCCAAGTCGGTGAGGCATGACGCAGTTGCGGGCACAGACCAGGAGACTGATGGGCTGCTGGGCGTCGGAATCAGGCGAGGCGAGACATGGAGTTGAAAATTCAATGTTTTGTGTTGGTGAAGATGGAGGGCCGAGGCAGAGAGAGTCGAGTCCATCACGTGATGGCATGATGTCGGGTTTGGCATGCAGAAAAACGACGAGCGGAGAGGAGGAAGAAGAGGAAGAAGCAATGCCAAATTGTCTGGGTATATTATACTGGATATTATCGTAGGAATGCTTACAGCAGATACTATACAGAGACATCAAAGAGGCCGACAGCACGGGCAGGCAGAGAGTGAGAATCCCGGGGAGTCGTATTGCAGTATTACGCACTTACAATACGCATTACGCATCAATTACAGCACGCATTACGCATTACGCATTACAGTGTGTCGAGGTTGTATCGCTACTTGTCATCTGCGCCTGTAAATTGATCCGTGCATGACGCTGAAGAAAAATAGCACGAGCATTGGATCGCCATGCATACAAGGTACAAGTACAGGCAGAGAGGCCCAGTCCAGTGAGCGGCGCTCTGGTTGGTGCAACAAAGTGCGTGCGGCCCCCTTTCTGTGCAGCGCCCCTTTATGCAACGTTGTCTCTGGCTCTCAGCCTTGCAAGCAGAGGAATGGCCTCTTCGGTCCGATAAACGACTTCTCCGCATTTGTACCAGTTACCGCTAGCAGGGACAAGAAAAAAAAAAAACAGAAGAGCTTGAGAGCAGAGGTACGGGGAAGAAGAAGAGAAGCTTGTTGGGCAGAGCTGGGAGGAGACTTGGGCAGCTTAACTGTGTTGGACGAAGCAAGCAGAAGAGAGCTGATG